CCGCGGCTCCCGCGGCATCCGGCTTCGGAGCCGCCCCTGCGCCGGCATTCGGTTCCAGCTCAGCGCCGGCATTCGGATCGACGACTGCGGCGCCGACGTTTGGCGGCAGCGCCGGCGGAGCCGCTCCCTCCGGGTTCGGAGCCGCACCTGCTGCTGCTGCTGCTTCCGGTTTCGGCGCCGCCAGTGCACCTGCGTTCGGGGTGTCGGCGGCGCCGACCTTTGGAGCAGCATCGGCTCCCGCGTTTGGAAGCTCTGCAACGCCTGCATTCGGTGAGAGTAACACCGGCTAAGGGCGGGATTTGCCTGAGCCATGCCGCCCTTGTTGCGATGCAACCCTCTGCCCATACTACCGGTACTCCTGTCATGCACGCTGACCTGGCGTCCTGTATGTCCCCTATGCCACCCCTCAGGTGCCGCTCAGCCCAGTGCCACGCCGGCCTTTGGTGCCGCTCCTGCACCCGCCTTTGGCGCGCCCTCGCAGCCCGCCGCGCCGGCCTTTGGTGCCGCCGCGCCTGCCCCGAGCTTTGGCGGCGGCGGCGGCGGCAGCTTTGGTGGTGCGGCCCCGGCCTTTGGTGCAGCCGCCCCTGCGGCTGCGGCGCCAACTTTCGGGGCCCCCGCCGGTGCCCCCGCGTTCGGTGCCGCACCGCAGGCGGCGACGGCTTCAGCATTGGTGCGGCTGGCGGCGAGAGGCGGCGCGTGACAGCCTCCAGGAACAAGGGCCGCCGTTGAGAAGGGTAAAGGGACGCGATGTCTGGCATGTTTGCTTTTGATTTGGGTGGCATTCGTAGCAGTAGCTACAGGCAACAGCAGGCACCGAGGCAGCGTTTTACGGGGATGTGGGCCTTGGGCAACAGGGTTAGCGAAAGGAAGCGTGGGGGAGGATGGGGACGGACGCTATGCAGAGGCAGGTGGCTTTAGGGTAGTTGGGTTGTGTGTCGGGAAGGGGTTGGGTTATGCGTACCAATTCAGCAGCGTGTGTAGGTGTGGACCTTGTGTGGAGTGTGGACAGCACTGGAGGGCAACGTGGGTGGTATTGTGTTGCTGTGCAGGCTGCAGGCGTGGCCTATGGGTGTCGTTGTAGATGTGGGCTGTCCAGTCGGCAAGAAGTGTCAAAGGTAACTGTGCGTCCTGGTGGCTAGCTAGGTTGCCAAGTGGTTGGGGCGCGCTTAGTTGAGGTGCATGTATCACGTCTCCCTCCGCTGTTACGCCACAGCAGAGCAGAGTGCGCGGAGCTAATTAGAGAAGAATGCGCAGGCTTGGCTTTGGGAGGCAACAACCTCACCTGGTGTTAGGAGGAGACATGATGGTCCTGATTCCCCCTGTGTCCTGAGCTTCTAACTGCTTGTCAGCACTCGGAATTGGAATCGCTCTTGGGGCGCCCTTGCGCTATGAGGCAAGGGGCATTTAACACCTGGCGCATTTGGGCGGGTTGCTGGGCATTTCCGATCAGGTATAGTGTGCGAGGAGCACTAGGCTCCCAGATGCCACCAGGGCTCTTTGTAGCATGCGGGTTTCACCGCAACTTGCCGGAACTCCCGTGCGTTCACCCGCCGATGTGGTCTTGCGAATCGGGTTGTTGTGAACCCAGATCTGGACGGGGATCACGCAACAAGCGGACGGCTGTCCCTACGTGGTATTAGACATGCAAGGTAAGAGGATTCTAGGGCTGCCCGGGGCAGGGGCGGGGGATGGAGGAGTGCGCGCGGTGGGCATGGCGGATGGGGGGATGGGGGTGGCGGGAGGGGGCTGCGGGTCACACAGGCTAGTAGGCAGTCCCAGGACCCCAAGCACTGCGTGAGCCAGGGAGCAAGGCGCAACGAGCGAGGGTGGCGCACGGAGTGAACCGCGGGTCGCTGCGTGCTGCAAGAGACGCGTGCGGGCACGACATGCCAGCAAGTTGATAACTGCGACGCCTTTAGTCTCTCCCGAACTAAAAGCCACCAGAAACATGTAAGTATTCGGCACGCGCGTATACCGTATGGCTAGGAAAACGCTGGTGACCCTTGACTGTCATGATGGTAAAATTGGATTCCATGCTGGATTCGTAAAGAGGCCCTTCTGAGCCAGGAGTCCTTAGCAACGAAATAGCCTTACATGCTGCCCATATAGACTTAACTTCAGACAAACAGCCCTTTGCTTCTAACAACGCGAAATGGAGAACCCGTCAGTTGAGGAAAACAGCGAGCAGGTGCCGAGCTTTGCTGATATTTTTAACAAAGTCAGCATGGCTGCGCGTGAAACCTTTTGCAACATTCTCCAGAGCGAAGGGGGCATGGCAAACGCGCGCCTGGCGCTCCGCGCGCTGTGCAACGTAGTGGACCCCTGCGTGCGCGAATTAACGCTGGTCGTGCGCCTTGAGCATCGGCAGTTATGGGACCAGGGCTTGAGGCCCTCGCTTGAGCGCTGGCCCTGCTGCGAGGCTATCCGGCTGGACCTGGGCCGACTGGACGCGGACGATGTCAGCCCGGAAGACATCGCAGAACTCGTAGCGCTGCAGTTTGCGGGCTCGCCGCTGGCAACCAGGCAGCGTATTAAGCGTGTGAAGGTCATCTGGAGGTTGGGGCGCCGCGTGGACATCCAGTCGGCTGTTGCGCAGCTGCCGCTGTGGCTGCCCGCTCTGGAGGAGGTCGACCTCTCCGACGCGTGGCCGCTCCTGTACAATCCCCCACGGCGGAAGCAGCAGCTCATGTACCACGCCCTGTCAAACCTTCGGGCACTGAAGCGGCTGGTGCTGCGCAGGAGTACGACGCTGGGGGGTGTGGGGGCCCTGGCGGCATGCAGCAGCCTGACGCGATTGGAAGTGGTCGGGACGAGGTGTATGTTCTCCCCCCCTGGGGATGGCGGGCCGTACTTGCCTGACGGTTTGACAGCTTCTGTGATTACCGAGCTCGCCAGGCTGCAGCATCTGCAGGTGCTGCGCCTTACGTGGTGCGATCTGACGACTGAGGAGGAAGACGAGGAGGAAGACGAGGAGGAGGAGGACGAGGAGGAGGGGGACGAGGAGGAGGAAGACGACGAGGAGGAAGACGAGGAGGAGGAGGAAGATGAGGAGGAGGACGAGAGGGTCAACAGCTGCGAGCTGGTGCGCCTGCTGCTGGGCAGCTTGCCGCCCTCCATGCGGCACCTGCAGCTGGAGAACTGCAACTTTGCTCCCTACCACTTTGAAGAATCCGTGGAGTATCACCTGGATGAGGGTCACGTGCGGCTCGTGAAGCTTCCTGACTGCGGCATCGCAACGCTGTCAAGCCACTGGCTCCTGCACAGCATCCCGCGTCCCCTCCTGCAGCAGGAGCAGCAGCAGAAGCCACGTCTGGTTATTGACAAATTGTTCGTACGTACGGATCCGCTGTCCGAACAGCAGCTGTCCCGTACCCGCGCACTGCTGTGGGAGCATTTCTCCGTTACGGAGGTGCAGACCTTGTCGTCCTTGGATGCCTCTGTGGCTGCAGTGCTGCAGGCGGTGAAGCTGGTGGGCCTGCCGCAGAAGTTGTGGATCTATACTGTGGACTCCGAGACGATACGGTTGGCGGCAGCGGCGCCTTCCGGCCCTGCACTGGCGGGCGGCGAGGGGCCGCAGCTGGGACCGGCGGCGGCAGGGGGCTGGCAGCAGCTGCCGTCAGAAGTAGAGCTGCTGCGGAGTGCGATGGGGTATTTGGCGGAGACGGCAGCGGCAGCAGCGGCTGAGGAGGAGGTGGGCGGGACTGCTGTCAGGGGTGGCTCGGCAGGAGTTCGTGAGCTGTGTGTGAGCGGCCCGCTCCTGGCTACCATGCTGAGGCAGGGCGAGGAGGGGCAGCAGGAGGGGGAGGGGGAAGCAACGCTCCAGCGGTGGATGAGAAGGCTGAATGAGCGGGCGGTGCAGGCGGCTGGAGGTGAGGGCAGCGAGCACTGCTTGAAATGGTACCAAGAGCTGCCGGCTGTGCAGGCAGTGGTGATTCAGTGCTACGGGATGGCGGCGGCGGAGGCGGTGGAGGCAGCTGTGAAGGTGCTGGCGGATGAGGCGGGGGCTGCTGGGGCAGCAGCAGCGGAGGGGCCGGGGGCGGCGGCTGCACCGCTGCAGGTGCTGCGGTTCGCGTCGCGGCAGAAAGTGCTGTTGAAAATGTCCAACATGTTTTACGCCGTGCAGCAGGTGGGTGAGTGAACCGGCAAGTCAGCAGGCGCTGGGGCCTGCGGTGCGTGGGGTGCGGCTTGAGGCAGGTCACTGCATGAGGTCCCTATGGCGCCTTTTTCCCTTCTCCCCAACGCTGGCTGCACCTCACTTTCCCCCCTACACACACACCCACAGGCCATCCAGCATGCGTGGGATGGCGCCTGGGAGCCCAGTGGGGGCGGCATCGGGCTGAGGCGCCTGGAGTGGCTACTGGCGCTAGACCAAAAGGTCTTCCTCCCGAAAGCACAACGGCTGCACTGGTGAGCCGTGCTGCCGGCGGTTGGTGGGCTGGCTGGGGGCTAGGCTGGAGGGGCTGCTATTGCACCGTACGTGTGGGGGTACCGCAGGCGTGGGTCAAGGGAGGTGTTGCATCCGGATGCAGGAAAGCAGCAGTCAGGATGACGCCGCAGGCACGGGCTGTGTGCAGGCGATGAGCGGGCCTTCATGGAGCAGCGATGTGCATGCATGCAATAGGAGTCGCCGTACAATGTATGGGATCTGTCGCTATCCATTCAATCGTACATGTGGGGGGACGCCCCAGGCGTGGGGGTTTCGAGTAGTGAGAGGTATGAAGCGTGCGGGGGTGTTAGTTTGCTGGTTGTCAGCTGGGGTTCAGCTGGGTGCACGATGTATGTCGGTCGGGGCTCATGTCACGTTTTGAGTCCGTGTTAGATGACCTGCCTCACTTCCTCTCCGTTATACAGCTGGCGGATGCGTGGGTGGTGGGGAGGGGCCTTGCGGGTAGCTGAGGCGCGAGCGGGGGGGGCTTGGCAGTCAGCTGAGACGCAGGGATGTTCCGTATATGTCGGATGGTGAGATGTAAACCTGTCGGCTTCATGCCACGACAAGGCCCCCCGCCGCTGCAATGCTAGGGGCCGCTACACGCCCCTACTGCCATGTCTGTAAATTGTTCCGGACATGCAAGATACCAACTTACACTTACGCAGTGTGACCAAGTACATTGGTACATCGTGTAGAGCTCTCCCCTCCGAGAAGCAAAGCACGCACCGACAAGCCAGTCCCCTACCTGTCCCCGCTCCACACGCTAAGCCACTGCAACGCACTGCCAAGCCGACCCGTAACACGCCGCGCAGGAGCTACCAGTAGCGAGTAGGCCTGCTTGTACCACCTCCGAAAGCACTACTACCGGTATTAGGGCACCCATAAGCACACTGGTGGAAGTTGACAAGGGCGCCGCTAGCAGCTGCATCTTTAGCTCCTCTATGTTGACATATTCGCATGCATGCACGTGACGTTCCTACGCTCTTTCCATGCAACACGGCAACACTCTCCCTCGCCCGCTCATCTAGTCATCTTCCCCCTCTTCTCAGCACCCCTCATATGATAAAGGTTGTATAGCTCCGTACACCCCTCCCTCATACCACGCCCCAACCGCCATTCTTCCTCCTTCCTCACCCATCCAAAACCACTGCTGGGCCATACTTCCATAAAAACACGCCACGTCTCTCCTCTCCAACCCTCTCCATCTCTCACACCCCTCACGCCGCTGAAGACCCCGCACCAGCCGCAACCACAGCAGCAGCAGTGCTAGCCGCCGGCACCCCCGCGCCCCGCTGCCCCGCTGGCGCCCCCGCGCCCCGCTGCCCCGCTGGCGCCCCCGCCGCGAGTCCCGTGTAGTCCTCCAGCGCCCCCACCTTCCACGGCGGCCAGTATTTGAACACCGCACGGCCCACGATGTTCTCCCTGGGCAGCGGACCCCACAGGTGCGAGTCGTAGCTGTTGTTCCGATTGTCCCCCATCACAAACACCTGGGGTGTGGGCGTGCATGTGGGAGGGGGAGAGGGAGGCGCAGGGGAAGCCAAGGTATGGGAGGCGGTTGAGTACCGGTATTCCGTACTACAACAAACCCCCAGTGTGGTGTACGGCAGCACTCCTATCTCCCGTACACCGGATTCCCATGCAAGCAGCCCCACTCACATCCCCCGGCGGCACCACCACTCGCGGCATCTCGTACAACGGATGCTCGGCGGTGAACGGCTCGGATCGGGCCACACCGTTGACGTACGTACGACCGTTGTGAACCTGTACGGCAGCGCAGACGCAGCAGCCGGTTGGGGTTGTAGGGTGCGGTACGGATCGCCGCGTCACAAGAACACATGATACACACGGCTTAAGACACTGCGTTTTTACCTGGTACATGCACGCACACGCGCCGTACGACATGCATATGATCACTCCATGTGATGTACGGCACATGCGCCCCATAATACCATGCATGCACCGTACGGCGTGCATGTGCCGTACCTCGACCGTGTCTCCCTCCACTGCCACTATTCGCTTGATGTACACGTTGTCGTCCCCGAACAGCGAGGGCTGCTCGGTGGGGGAGATCTCGCGGGGCGGGTGGAAGATGATCACGTCACCGGAGACTGGCTCCCTGCGGTACGCCGCAGAACAGGACAAGAACAGGGGTTGGCAACGGGGCGAGCTAGCTGAGAGAGTAGCAGGAGCATTCACTCCGTGATGGAAGAGAGAAGAGTGCCTGGTGGCAGAAGCAAGCCCGGTGCATGATGACCCATGGGCCACACGACGACCCATCGCCATCACGACAGTCCCGTCCACCCACCCACTTCACTTCGTCTCCTTCATTACCGACCCATCCACCTTAGCCCCAACCCAACAGAGCCCCACGCACCTAAGGAAGCGGTAGGTGACCTTCTCCGCTATGAGCCGATCGCCCACGTCAAAGGTGGGGTACATGGATAGAGAGGGAATGAAGCGAGGCTCAGCAACAAACGTGCGGATGCCGTACGAGATCGCAACCGCCAACGCTATCGTCAGCAGGTCGTCTTTACTAATGCGCATGCCGAAGTGTGTCGGAATTGGAGGCTCCTCCACCGGCTGATGAGGAGCCAGACGACGAGGAGTATGATGAAGAGGATGACGAGGATGAGGTGTTGCTGCGGTTGCTGGCGTTGCGGGTGGTGCCGTTCTTTGGGTCTGGAGCGCCGTTGGCGCTGCTACTGGGTCCAGCTGATTCAGAGGTGGAGGCAACGGCTTCCGTGTCTGTATGCAGGAAACACGGCGGGATGTACCGTGGTAAGGGGGAAAAGTTAAATAAGTGAATCAACGAGTCCCAGTCCCATATCCCGACTAAGGGGGAGGGGTTTGAGGGGAGTGGGTTCAGGAGGTTGCTGTGAGAAGTTTTTAGTTGGGAAATGCCCCCGACGTTTGCATGGAAAGCCCCCGATGCCGTGCTTGGCCGGGCCTGGGTGTCGCTATCTGGAACCGCCCACCTGGCGGCGTTGACCGCAACGCAGCTCCACGCATTTGCAGGCCAATGGTCGGGGCCACCCGGACACCGTTTAATCTACATGCATAATAACCGTTAGGAGAAACATCCATGTGGAATGAAACGTGGGTATGCACTTGCATGAAGGAGTCTACGGGCCTTCGCAGCCAACAACCATTGGGCATGGCCATTCGGACGCAAATATTGCTCGCTAACAGCGTCAACACGCATATTCACCTCGCGCATGCACTCCTTGCTTTATGGCTTGCCCCCGTGCAAGGCACGCGAGGCGCCAGGCGTGTAAGGGTGAACATCCTGGCGACCTGTAGAGCAGGAAGCAAGGCCGACCGCAACCACAAGCAAGCAAAACGACTAATCGTCTATCAGACCAATCCAGCGCGCTTGATGAACTAGCTAGCACCGTGAGTTTCTGATGTGTCGTACAGGAAAGTTGCGGACTGGTAGAAGGGACCTGCTGCTGCCAGGGTTAGACACTCCTTACCACTATGCCCAGCTTATAACTACGCCGAAGTTATGGTTGACAAGATTGCTTGCTGCTTTGACCTGCTATGTCACATCCTCTGACCGCAGCGCATACCGGTATTTTACTAGAGTCTGACGTTGCACTAACTTTTGTAGTGATACGAATTAGGACAAATGAATACCGGGGGCAGCCCAGTATACGGTGAGCCCTCACCAGTTATCCGGGCGCCCTTGAGCGCTACGGTTGTGGAGTCGCCCCAGAGTCTCCAACCCATGCACACCAGCAAGCTGCCGCGGCTGCATTACTGTGCATATAGAGGTGCGGTGATCTGACGCGACCGCAGTTGAAACGGCTGAGCAACCTACACGTCGGGGCCGCAGCAGCACACGGGGGTATTATCGAGGCTCGCTATTTGCCATGTATTATCTTACGCAGTATTGCATTTAATTGCTGAGCCTGCGGGACAGGCATCTACCTTGTGATGGCAACAGCTGCCCTGCAACTTGCCACGTCGTTTCCCACAGGCGACGTAGAGGGCATTCTACAATGCATTAACGAGGGCTGCAGTCTTCATGAGACAATATCACTCCGTAACCAGCACGGCCGCCTCGTTTGTGGGGTAAGTTGGACGGTTCGCGCAGTCGATTGCGGGCAGCAAGTGCTGTAAACATGAACTTAAGCGTGATGGTTAAGATCATCTTGTAATAATGGAATCATGTGTTTTGGGAAATTGCATAAGCCTGAACCCTGCTGGAGTTTCGCTAGAATTTTGCTGGGGTCAAGCTCTGCGACAACTGCTATTTTATATCCCCATGCCCCTTTCACAATAAAAATGCAACGTGTATATTATACAAGCGCATAGGAAGGTTTCTTGGTCTTGCCGACCAAAGAGCCTGGCACAATTTATGTTGCGGATTGTGACCCAGCTGATAAAGTTGTCCAGGACACCCCTAGCCGTCCCGCGATTGCTCTGCCTTCACATAGGACAGATAATGCGTCTTGAAATGCATTACGTTCATAGCTCCATCGCAGTCCTCCCCTCGTGTTTTACTTGGTCTTTCCCGGTAGCTACACTCCAAAGCCGCATCTGAGCCGCATGTACTCCTTATTCCAAGTGCTCTTCCTGCCTCCTCCTGTAACCCTCACATCCCTTACCCCATTGTCCACTCCAGATCCCGCTCCTAGATCACCGCACTCTTCCTGGCCGCCCAGCGCGGGCACGGCGAGATCGTGAAGCTCCTGGTCACCAACGGAGCCAGCCCCGTGCAGCCCTGCTTCATACAGGTCTGTATCCTGGGGGGTACTCCTACGCGAGACAAAGGGGGCAACGGGATAATGAAGAGGGAAAACAAAACATCCCATGGTTCGTGTCATGGTTGCGGACCTAGGGGCTCCCACCATCGGCCTCTCGCCCCTGTACCCCAAGATACAACGGCCTGCTGGTATGTGTTAAGAAAACATGTGTGTGGGTTTGTGTTTGCCGTCGCAACACGACGCACTCCACAGGGTAGCACCGAGCTCTGCACCCCCGCGGAGGTCGCCTCGCTGAACCTGCACTTCAAACTTGCTAGGTGAGGGAACACCGGGTCAGGAGGGGCGCCGTGTAGGATGGTGATGGAACACTGTGTCAGGAGGTGGCAGGAGGGACCCTCAGGAGGGACGCGGCTCACCGCTACCGTGTAACCCAGGCATTGGGACCCCAAACGTTTTCGTCCCCTGTCCCTCTCCCACCATGTGACCCGCCCATCCTCCACCCCCTTCACCTACCTTGCACTCTCCTCCCCCAGGTGGCTCAAGTCCGCAGCTCGCGCCCGGCGGCGGGAGGATGAGGTGCTGGCGCTGGATGACGAGGAGCGCATGTCGCAGGTGGGGTGGGAGGGTGGGGCTGCAACGGGGAAGAAGTACCATGCTTTAGGAGAGCAGGCGGAGGAGCGTGTGGGACTGGGGCCTCCCTTCGTGGCCTCTCTTGCAGGGCTCCCCGCCACCCACGGCTCCCCCTTACCTCACACTCACACGTGTCCCTGTCCTCCCTGTCCTCCCCCTCCAGGTCTCCTCCCGGCTGGCTCGCGGCCTGGTCCGCGCGCGCAGCACCCGCAGCCTCTCCAGCGTCCCCATGCACGGCTCCACCTCGGGGGCGCTGGGGCGCTTCTCCCGGGGCTCCCGCACCGGCGGCATGGGGGTCGGAGCAGCAGCAGCCGCAGGGGGCTTCAACGACGCCGCCAGCGTGCAGAGCAGCGGGGCGCATGCGGTGCCGCCGCGGCTGGAGCAGCTGGGGTACGGCGGGGGGGCGGAGGACCAGGAGAACGACCCGCAGCGGCTGGCTGCACTGAACTTTGTGCAGGTGCGGGTGGGGTGGGTGGGACATGCTCACACACTCGTCAGCTCCTCGCCTTGTGCGCAATTGTGTACCCTCTACTCAATGCCCCACCCTTTCCCAACCACTCCGTTTCCTCCTTCCTACTAAGCCAGCTCCTCCCTTTTCCTGCTTTCCCCATCCGGCGCCGCTCGTCAGAACGTGGACCTGGCCGCTTTCGACCCGGACTGCCCGGCCTACGTGGCGGGTCCCGGCAAGGGGCAACGGGGCCCGGTGGCGCGACTGTTCCGCCGCCTCATGTCCTGGGGCGGCTCCGGGTCCCACCCGCCGGCCGCTGGTGCTGCTGGTGCCATGGGGGGCCTGCAGGGGAGCGGCGCGGTGCGGGCGTCTGCCTCGCAGAGGGTGCGGAATGGAGGAGGAGGCGTTGGTGCTGGAGGCGGAGGTGGCATGGGAGCGGGTGTCGGAGGTGGTGGCAGCGGCGTGGCGAGGAACCTGGCGATGGATTTGGAGGTGGGTGTGGTGGGGTAATATTGCGAAGGGGGGGGCCTATGGGTTGGAGGATGTGGGGAGGAAAGGGCAGGGACATGGATATATGGGTTTGTGTGGTCTAGGACAGACAAACGTATGCCGAAAAGCACTAGGAAAGAATAAGAAAGGGCGGGGGATCGGGTGGTGCCGCTCGACCTAGGATTCCCAAAGCCATGCGTTGCGGCACGTTTTTCACACCTGGGGGGCGCCTCCCTGTCCCTGCCCCGCCCCTCAGGCGCACAAGCCTGACTGGCCGACCGTACCAAGCCCCTGACTACAGACCTCCGCAATTTTGTTGCCAATATTTTCAGCCATAGGCCCTAACGATAGAGCAATCTGGAGATACATACCGTACAGTTGATTTAGCACACACCATACAGTTGCCTGCATACACTATACAGCACCGGGAAACCACCTGGCGCGCGTGTGATTTATTTGTTGGTTGCTATACATTGCCGTGACTCAAAAACATGCAAGCGCGCGGAAGTGCATGTTGGAAAAGCGCGAACATACCTTGCGGGGTTTTGCGAAAAAGTCCTCTCGATAGCGTGCGCCCGTAGAGGTTAGTATTGCGTTTTCTGTACAAATGTCCTGTCGGAGCTCTACATATAGATATTGTCAATTGTGCTTGTCATGTATTACCATCTTTATGTGGCGACTATATGTCGAGGAACGGTACAAATGGCTTATTGTCGGGCATGGCTGGAACCTGGAGGGAGGTTGGAAGGGCGCGTTTGGTTTGGTCATGGAGCCTGCTTGGTGTGCTCGTGCTGGGTCCGTGCTGGTAGTTGCGGTACCTGGGAGGACGTGGGGTGTGTTCCTTGCTTGGTCAAACCAACGTACTAAGAGCTTGTGGGGGCGTGCACTTTCACCTATCCTGCCGGGCTTCCCAGAGCTCTATCCTATTGTGTGATAAAAGGCAGCACCCTTCTCCGGCCTGCATGCACGAAAGGCGGCAACACCCTGGATGCCTGGCACAGACAGCTGTAAAGCAAACCACACGTTCGTTCGCTGGCTGCGCGTCTGGGAACCGCGAGCCCTTCTCCCTGCAACTTCGCTGTCGCTGTCGCTGTCGCAAAAACATATCACGCAGCATATGCACAGCTATATGCCTTACCCTACTCCACCATGTTTCCTTCCCCCCGCCTTCTCCCCCTGTCCCTGGCTCCTGCGTCTGCCCGCCCGGCAGGCCGTGGACCCCGCCCGGCCCGACCACACCAAGGTGCTGCAGCGCTTCCTGAAAGACCTGGTGAGGGGGGCGAGGGAGCACATGAGGACTCGGGGGGGGCTGCTGCTGCAACAAAGGAAACAATGACTGGGCCACATTGACCTGTTGCCACCTGCTACAACGGCAGCGGTACACGGCAGCAGCAGCACTGCCGGCCCATATTCTTTGTCGACTGCGTTCCAGGGAATAGAACCCTATAGAAGCAAACAATGCAACACGATTACATACTCCCTCCACGCTCTGCACTCCACACCCCGCCACTCAATTACGCATGCATGTATGCCTGTCGCCACCTGCGATCCCGACACCTGCCGTTACGCCTTTTCAAGCGACCTCACACCGCCCAACCGCTCCTTGCCTCTCCCCCTCTGCACTTATAGTACTACTCTTCCCCTCTTTCCCCTCCCCTGCCCTCCTCCTGCAGGACCTGGCGCACTGGCAGCCCGAGCAGGACGGCCCGCTGGAGAGCTCCGTGGCGGGGGGCAACGCCAACCCCAGCAGCAGCAGCACCCGACCCACCTCCCCCAGCCGCAGTCGAGCCAGCCCGCCAGCTAGCGCACGAGGCAACGTGAGCCCGGCGCGGTCCAGGGCGTGAGGGTGGTGATGGCGGTGGTCATTGCGGCCTAGGGAAGTCGAGGAGGGGAGGAGGGGAGTTGTTTAGCTGCACGGGCTGTACTTCTCCTGGAAGGGGGTGAAGGAGGGGAGCGGTCGACCTCTTGTTCATGTCAGGATGAGTCGGAGGGGGCGGGGGCGTGCTTTCCTGGATTGGGTCTGGTCAGGGCGTGGCTGGGAGGATGCAGGCAGGTGGGATAGGGAGTTGGCGAAGAGCGGGTTGTTGTGGGATGTTGCGCGGGCCGGTTGTACGGATGCGATGCAGGCCGGTATGGGCCTGTTGGCAATGGTTCCGTGGTGGACGAAATTGGCATGCAGTTGGTCTGGTACGCGTGCTTTGCGTGGCCTAACCGGTATTTGCATGCCTCTTGTTCAGGGTGTAGTTTGAGTTCTTTTCTTGTTGCAGCTTGCAAAGGAGTGAAGCGTGTAGGTAAGGCTAGGGGATTACATAAAGCACAATTTATGTTTCTCCAAGTGACATGCTTATTATTGCGGCGTTTCTGGTTATGAGGGGTTTTCCTGCTGAAGTAGGGAAAGTCGGCTGCCCAGGGTAAGAACGAGGGTGATGTAGAAAGGCAGGCATGTTTTTGGGGAAATGGGGACACCGGTGACACTTGATGGAGGACCCTAGGAGGGTTGCAAGTCACAACGCCCTCGCTTTGGGCTTTGGTTGCAGCTTGGTTGGCAGCGGCTGCCTGCTTACTGCAGGGGAGCTGCTGCATCAGAGCCGGCCAAACCTGGATTTGGTCGTTGTCATGCATGGTTGCAACAGATGCGTTGTTTCATGTTGTTGCGCTGTACATCTGGTCCCTCCGCCGTGTCTGGCAGGGGCCCTGAAAGGCTGGAGGAGGCAGCGGTTTTGCGTTGGTTAGGGGCCCTGGGTCATGTTAGCTGTGCCTCTACTGGCGGTAGGCCCTCTTGCTTGGGAAGTCAAAGTGCAAGGGGTTCTTACCGTATTCACAGTGTGGAAGAACAACCAAGAGCCTCTGCGCGGTCACTTGCGACGTCACCTTGTTAGTTTGCCGTCAGGATCATTATCCCACTGACAAGGAGCAGGGCCGTTGTGGCGACGTTTGCTGTGCTTAGCTGGACACATGGAAGCCCCGTGGTCTCTGATCTTTGTCAGAGGCCGACTAAGATGGGTTCTTCCAAGGTACAGCGTTGCTGTTGCTACTTGATTAGAAGTAGCTAGTGTTGCTAATAGCAGACGGACCCGTGGGTCATCGTGTCTCAAGAGTGTATGCATTTGTTAGGTGTCCCAATGTGCAGGGTAAAGTATGACTTCAGCATCATTTGTGTAGTCCCTAAATGGATGGGGAATGGGATCATTAAGCGGTAGGCTGCATCCCAGTTGATGTTAGGGCGATGGTTGGCGATGAGGCGTTGAGCTTATTTCCTGGGTTTGGTAAGTCCGTAGCGCTGCAACTGTTAGACGTCTGGGAGCTTAGGCAACGATGTTTCTGATTCTCGTAGGCGTTGTATAGCATCAGACACATGCAGATTTGGCAATTAGCAATCGTAGTTGGTATTTGGCCTCATTCCCCGTATTTCCCCACGTTGATAGTCTTCTTTAATACTGTTATGGAAAAATCTCTCTGGAGTCTCCCAGTCCACTCGTTACTAGTTGTGTTGATGCCGAAGGGTGTGCTAGTTGATTATACATGGATTTAGCTTTTGCAGACTGCGCAAATTTGCTTGTTTATTGGGCGCATCGGCTATTCTGTTCGAACTGCTGCTTTCAGGGGTCGTTACGAGGGGTTAAGGAGGGCGTGTAGCAGCACAGCCTGCCACCCATGGAACCCCAACTCGATGACTCGCATGTGTCATGGTGCTTAAAGCCACATGCACGTGTGTGGCTGAGATATGTTGTCAATTCTACTCTCCAACGCGCACACAAGCACTGACTTATTGGCCTGTAACTGTAACCTGATCACCTGGAGTGTTGCCCTGACGTGCTGCCGTCAAACGGCCAACCCAGGCGCTATTGAACACCGCCATGGGAACAGGGCTGTGTCATTAGCCGTCACTGCCGTGGCGCTTGCGGGAAACTTTCAAAAGTTTCAATCCTTGCGCTTTCATGTAACTACTTGTTCCTCCCGGCCTGTGCTCGGCTGGCTTGTGGGTTGCCCACCCCGGCACCTACATGCGAAACGCGCAATTCCCACCCATCCCCCCCAGCATGCCGTCGGCCTCGGGCCTCATACCGGTCCATACATGAACGAGCGCATCAAGACATGGCGGTGGAGGCATGCAACAGCGGCAAGCACTTGCACTGCTTCAAGTCGGGGCCACGTCGCACCATGCGCCATACGGTACATCACTGTGCCCCAGCTGCCTGCCAGGCACCTCCCCACCACCCACGCATCCGCCAGCTGTGTAACGGAGAGAAAGGGAGCCAGGACACCTAACAAGGACTCGTAAGTGTTGACCTGGTGTGAGACCGACCGACATACATCGTGAGCCCAGCTGAACCCCAGCTGACAACCAGCACACGAACACCGCCGCGTGCTCCGTCCCCCTAACTACTCGAAAACCCCACGCCTGGGGCGTCCCCCCACATGTACCAATGAATGGATAGCGACAGGCCCCACACGTTTTATGGCGACTCGTATTGCATGGCTGCGCATGGCGGCTCCGTGGAGGCCCGCTTACTGGGTAGCCCCTCCAGCCTAGCCACCAGACAGCCCCCCAACCGCCGGCAGCAGGGCTCACCACTACAGCCAATGTGCTTTCGGGAGGAGGACCAGTTTGTCTAGCGCCAGTAGCCACTCCAGGCGCCTCAGCCCGATGCCGCCCCCACTGGGCTCCCAGGCGCCATCCCACACCTGCTGGATGGCCTGTGGGTGTGGGTGTGTAGTTGAGCGGAAACAAGAGCAAGCAGTTGGGATAGGTTCGCATGCGAACCGCAAGTACAAGCAAACAGAGGACAAACCTGAACTATATAGCTAATTAACTGCTAAGCTGGTGCTGGATGTAAGAAGAGCAGTGGGTTGACGACGCATTCGGTGATGCTGATGGTGTCGGAAAAACCTGAACTATATAGCTAATTAACTGCTAAGCTGGTGCTGGATGTAAGAAGAGCAGTGGGTTGACGACGCATTCGGTGATGCTGATGGTGTCGGAAAAACCTGAACTATATAGCTAATTAACTGCTAAGCTGGTGCTGGATGTAAGAAGAGCAGTGGGTTGACGACGCATTCGGTGATGCTGATGGTGTCGGAAAAAACTTAAGTACTACCGAGAACCTAGCCTGCTGACCGACTCGACGGTGTGGGTGTGGGTGTGTATGGGGGGGTGGGAAGTGAGGTGCAGCCAGCGTTGGGGAGAAGGGAAAAAGGCGCCGTAGGGACCTCATGCCGTGACCTGCCTCAACCCGCGACCCCACACACCGCAGGCCCCAGCGCCTGCTGACTTGCCGGTACACTCACCCACCTGTTCCATGGCGTAACACATGTCAGACCGCACTCCCTGCCGCGACGCGAGCCGCAGCACCTGCAGCGGTGCAGCCGCCGCCCCCGGCCCCTCCGCTGCTGCTGCCCCAGCAGCCCCCGCCTCATCCGCCAGCACCTTCACAGCTGCCTCCACCGCCTCCGCCGCCGCCCTCCCGTAGCACCCCATCACCACTGCCTGCACCGCCGGCAGCTCTTGGTACCATTTCAAGCAGTGCTCGCTGCCCTCCCCTCCAGCCGCCTGCACTGCCCGCTCATCCAGCCTTCTCATCCACCGCTGAAGCGATGCTCCCCCCTCCCCCTCCTGCTGCCCCTCCTCGCCCTGCCTCAGCATTGTAGCCAGGAGCGGGCCGCTCACACACAGCTCATGAGCTCCTGCCGAGCCCCCCCTGCCAGCAGTCCCGCCCACCTCCTCCTCAGCCGCTGCTGCCGCTGCCGTCTCCGCCAAATGCCCCATCACACTCAGCAGCAGCTCTCCCTCTGACGGCAGCTGCTGCCAGCCCCCTGCCGCCGCCGGTCCCAGCTGCGGCCCCCCGCCGCCCGCCGGTGCAGGGCGGGAAGGCGCCGCTGCCGCCACCCGTATCGTGATGACCTGGTAGCTTTGACAACACCGCAACTTCTGTGGCCGGCCCAGCACGTCCACTGCCTGCAGCACTGCAGCCACAGAGTCATCCAAGGACGCAAAGGTCTGCACCTCCGTAACGGAGAAGTGCTCCCACAGCAGTGCGCGGGTGTGGGCCAGCTGCTCTTCGGGCAGCGGATCCGTTTGTACGAACAATTCGTCAATAACCAGACGTGGCTTCTGCTGCTGCTGCTGCAGGAGGGGACGCGGGATGCTGTGCAGGAGCCAGTGGTTTGACAGCGTTGCGAGGTTGGAGTAAGAAAGCTTCACGAGCCTCAAGTGACCCTCATCCATGTGAAACTCCACAAATTCTCCAATGCGGTTGGGAAGAAAGTGGCAGTAATTCAGCTCCAGGTACCGCATGGAGGGCGGCAAGCTGCCCAGCAGCAGGCGCACCAGCTTGCCCCCATCGTCCTCCTCCGCACCCTCCTCTTCCTCCTCCTCCTCATCAGTCGTCAGGTCGCACTGCGTAAGGCGCAGCACCTGCAGATGCTGCAGCCTGGCCAACTCGGCAATCACAGGAGCTGTCAAACCGTGAGGCATGTGCGGATCCATAACCCTGCCCTTCGTTCCGATCACTTCCAAGCTAGTCAGGCTGCTGCATGCCGCCAGGGCCCCCACACCCCCCAGCGTCGTACTCCTGCGCAGCACCAGCCGTTCCAGGTTCTGAAGGTTTGACAGGGCGTGGTACATGAGCTGCTGCTTCCGCCGTGGGGGATTGTACAGGAGCGGCCACGCGTCGGAGAGGTCGACCTCCTCCAGAGCGGGCAGCCACAGCGGCAGCTGCGCAATAGCCAACTGGATGTCCACGCGGCGCTCCATCCTCCAGATGACCTTCACACGCTTGATACACTGCCTGGTTGCCAGCGGCGAGCCCGCAAACTGCAGCACTACGAGTTCTGCGATGTCTTCCGGGCTGACATCGTCCGCGTCCAGTCGGCCCAGGTCCAGCCGGATAGCCTCGCAGCGGGGCCAGCGCTCAAGCGAGGGCATCAAGCCCTGGTCCCATAACTGCCGGTGCTCAAGGCGCACGACCAGCGTTAATTTGCGCAAGCAGGGGTCCACTACGTTGCACAGCGCGCGGAGCGCCAGGCGTGCGTTTGACATGCTCCCCTCGCTTTTAAGCATACTACAAAAGGTTTCACACGCAGGCATGCTGAGGTTGTTAAAGATATCTGCAAAGCTCGGCACCTGCGCGCTGTTTTCCTTAACTGACGGGTTCTCCATTTCGCGTTGTTAGAAGCAAAGGGCTGCCTATCTGAACTGAAGTCTGTAAGGGCAGTTTGTAAGACTATTTTGTTGCTAAGGGCTCCTGACTTACTAGGACCTTTTAACGGATCCAACGTTGGGAATTGGGGATCCAATTTTGTCATCACGAGTGTCAAAGAGTACACCGGCGTTTTCCTAGCCATGTGGAGTTACGCGTGTGCAGAAGACATGCACGTCTCTGCTGGCTTAAAGTTCGAGAGAGACTAAAGGCGTCGCAGTTATCAACTTGCTGGCATGTCGTGCCCGCACGCGTCTCTTGCATCACGCAGCGACCCGCGGTTCACTCCGTGCGCCACCCTCGCTCGTTGCGCCTTGCTCCCTGGCTCACGCAGTGCTTGGGGTCCTGGGACTGCCTACTAGCCTGTGTGACCCGACGCCCCCTCCCGCCACCCCCATCCTCCCATCCGCCATGCCCACCGCGCGCACTCCACCATCCCCCGCCCCTGCCCCGGGCAGCCCAACAATCCTGACTTCAAGAGTCCTCGTTACCTCCTTCCGACAATTCGCATAAGTAAACCACCTTCAGGACGGTACTAGCTAGGCATCATCGTCGCCATCAACAACTCCACAACAACAACAAGGATGCCCCACGCTCGCCTGCAGCAGGGCCTCTGCTGCTGCCCCTCTCAATGGGCCGTTCCTCACACAAGCAAGCCACGAAGGCCCCAGCTATCAGTATGACAGCGGAGCCCGTGTAATACGGGAAGCAGGACGACGAGAGATGGCGGCGAGGCAGCAGATTGCTGCTGCTACCCTCGTCCGTAATGCTGCTACCCTCGTCCGCAATGCTGCTACCCTCGTCCGCAATGCTGGTACCCTCGTCCGTATCCCGCCACTCATGTACGCACGCATGCATGCACGCTCATCGCCACTCGCCCAACCGCTCCTTGCCTCTCCCTCTCCCTCTCCCCTCCTCCTGCAGGACCTGGCGCATTGGCAGCCCGAGCAGGACGGCCCGCTGGAGAGCTCCGTGGCGGGTGGCAACGCCAACCCCAGCAGCAGCAGCACCCGACCTGCCTCCCCCAGCCGCAGTCGAGCCAGCCCGCCAGCTAGCGCACGGGGCAACGTGAGCCCGGCGCGGTCAAGGGCGTGAGGGTGGTGGTGGTAGGTGCTGGTCGTTGCAGCCTGGGAAGTCGAGGAGGGGAAAAGAGGAAACAATTAACTGACTGAGGGATAAGGCGTCAACACGGGTTGCAGCATGTGAGCCAGCCCGACCCGCCCAGCCCGAAGAGGGGAGGAGGGGAGTTGTTTAGCTGTACGGGCTGTACTTCTCCTGGAAGGGGGTGAAGGAGGGGAGCGGTCGACCTCGTGTTCATGTCAGGATGAGTCGGAGGGGGCGGGGGCGTGCTTTCCTGGATTGGGTCTGGTCAGGGCGTGGCTGGGAGGATGCAGGCAGGTGGGATAGGGGGTTGGAGAAGAGCGGGTTGTTGAAATGTTGCGTGGGCCGGTTGTACGGATGCGATGTAAACCGATATGGGCCTGTTGGCAGTGGTTTCGTGGTGGACGAAATTGGCATGCAGTTGGCATGGTCCGCGTGCTTTGCGTGGTCTGCTGATCTACATGCCTCTTGACCGAGTTGGGATAGATAGCTTTTCTTGTTGCAGCTTGCAAGGAGTGAAGCGTGCCGATAAGGCTGGGCGTTTAATGGTACGCAGTCCCGGCTGGCCCCGATTGCCCTCGCTCATCTTCTAGCGGCCAAGCCCGGCCCACATTTCCCACATCCGTCGCCTAGCCGCCACCCCTAACCTTCCCCACCCCGCACCCATCCCCCACATGTTGCAAACCGTGATGAAACCATGAAGCCTTACCACACGGCTCGTTAGTCGTTTCCTCTTTACCACCCATCCCCCACCTTCCACCATCTTGGCCTGCTGCTCCAGCAGCTCCACCAACGCCTCCGCAATCTCCTCCTCGCCCACCGCCACCCACTCGTCCACGCAGCACATGCAGGGAGGCAGCGTCAGACTGCCTTCCTCCACACCACCCGCGGTGGCGTCAGACAGCGTCGAGCTAGGGGCAGCTGCAGCAACTGCATTAGCTGCAGCAACAGCAGGTGTCGTACCACCGCTTTCCATGGTACCGGTAGCATAGCGGCCGCTAACAGTCGTGCTGTTAGCGTCGGCTGTTGACGCGCTGTTACTAACGGTTTCTGTTAACGTTGGGATTTTAACCTCAGGTACGATTCGTCCAGCGGCCACGGATCGAGCCATGACGTCTGAAGCCGCCGGCTGGCATCCCACGATCCTGATGTTCGGGTGAGCTGCTTTTAGGACGGCTGCCATGCCGCCGATAAGACCTCCGCCGCCCACAGGAATGAAGACCACGTCCAGTTGACCGCGGGGCAGGTCTGATAGGATCTCGAGCGCAGCTGTGCCTTGGCCCGCCATGACCCATGGGTCATTGTAGGGACTCACGTACACTGCGCCCGCTGCTGCGGCTGCGGATCGAGCGGCGGTTTCGGTTTCCAGGCAGTCCCTGCCGTACAGCTGCAGCTGGCCGCCTAGGGCTCGGAGCTTTTGGATCTTGTACGGAGATGCCGTTTCTGGTACGTACAAGACGGGTCGCATGGGGGCGTGAGAGCAAGCCGATAAACTTGGGAGTACGGACGACGCATGGGGAAGTGATGATGACGAGGAAGAGGAGGATGTCAAGGAGGATGAGAGTACGGCACATGCGTGCAGTACGGCAAGGGCGTGGTTCCCGGTGGATGCGGTGAAGACGCCGCGTGAGAGCACCTCCGGGGGCAGCGACAGCAGCTGCGGAGGAGGAGGAGGAGGAGGGGGCGGACACAGTAGCGATATCGACTCACCTGACTCTCAAGGCGATGAAGACAGAGATGCTCTGTTCCTGATCAACATTAGCACCTAGGGAGGTAATCACCTCCCGCCAGGCAGGATAAGCAATGCGAGCTGCGGGGGCGCGCGCAGCGATGTGGCAATGGCCGGTGTATCCGGTCGGGAATCATGCAGGCATCATCAGGAAGGAGGCATCAGGACTAGGTGGGGCACCCCGAGCCACACATCATGTGAACTGGAGGAGCAAGCCAGCCAATCCCTTCACTGTCCGTCGTCCCCGCCGCTCTCTGGCATCATGTAGGAACGCAGGGCGTGCGTGCGGTAACGAACACCGCCCCCCCTACCTTACCGTGTTGAGGGCACCTCGGATCTTGAACGAGCCGCTCAGCTGCTCGCTCTCCATCTTGAGCCACACCCGGCAGCCCCCTCCCGCCAGGTCCGACAGCCAGGGACATGGATCCAAAGGTGTGTATCGTACAAATCGCCGGATTCTGCCGTATGCAAGAGCAGCTTCGTACGGGATGCTTCCAGCAGCACCGGAAGAAGAGGTGGAAGGCACGGTAGGCGGAGTCGGGTCGTGGGTGGATGGGGCGGAGGTGGACAGGTCGGCTAGGGGTTGCCGAAACTGTTGCGGGTGGTGGGTGAGGATCAGGGCTGCTTGGGACAGGGTAAAAGTGCCAACATGCGTACATAAAGAAAATGTCAAATGCCTCTGGCAACGCACACCCACAGCATCAAGCTCAGCATGAGCTCACTTTACAGAGCAAGGGCCCTACCTCGGCTGTGCTCCAGCCCTCTCGGTCTAGAGCTTCTAAAAGCAGCTCCGTAGTTGTGGGAGTGCTCATAGCCGTAATCGCGATACAAACAGGCTAGTTGTTACTGCTCGTCCAGTTAGCGACAAGGGTTCTCAGCGCAGAGACGCTCGCCTGTATTGGGCAACCAGCTAGTAAGCAAGCCCCGTAACATGACACTGTGGTACCAGGCGGCTATGTAGATTTGAGGCAAGCTTGCGACTCCTGGCTTTCCGTAAGAGCAGCTACTGCTCCCCTGAATTTCCACCAAACAAATTGCTAGCAAATTGCTGTTAAGGCAGCTGCGGAATGCAGTTGAAGAAGGCGATGCGCATTACCGTCTCCTTAGTAAGCCAGTACGGTGGGAGCACCCAGCGACCCAGGGCAGGACGGCAGCTAAAAAAAATAAGTTCGTTTTAGGGCGAAGCCCCCATCGCGGATCTGAGCACGCTTTGTCGTTCAACGTCCCGCATGCTCAAGGACGCCAGGGTTGCCTGGGGTTGCTCAGGCCTCATGCTCACAATAGACGACCTCCAAAGGACTTCCCTGTGCTTCCCTAACCCTTCCCATGTTGTACGGCGGTCTGCTGAGGCCTGAGCATGGGCCAACGGAGCTGAGCATGCTTCGTCGTACAACACATGATCAGGGTTGCCTGGGGCCGCCCAGGCCTCAGGTTCACAATAGACGGCCTCAGGTTTGTTTCCCCCAGCCATTGCAGCCACCCCCTCCGCCTACATCGCTTCCCCCTCCGTCCCTGCCGGCGCCATCACAGACCCTATCCCAGCCCCAGCCCCACCGCCCGCAGCCGTCCCCTTCCCAACCCCCACCCCCACCACCCCCACCGCCCCAGCTCCTCCTTCTTCTCCCTCCTCACCCTCCATCCTAAACTCCAAGTGACCCGCCGGCTTGGGCAGCCACAGTGCAAACAGTCCCGGCGGTCTCCGCAGCACCTGCCATGCAGCATAGTAGCCCCCCTCCCGTCCCCCTAGCAGCTGCTTCAGCCGCCCATAGGAAGCCCCGCGCCAGTCAGGACTGCTGCTGCCGGGCTGCTGCTGCTGCTCCTGCAGCTGCTGCTGCCGGGCAGCTGCATGGGAGGAGGAGGAAGAGGAGCCACAGCAGTAGCGGCGGCGGCAACCCTCCGTCTGGGCATCATCATCTTCATCCACGTCGACACAACACCCTCCTCCGTTGCCGTCACGCGATGGCTGTGCGGAGGAGCCCGGTTGGTGGTGGCGCTGTTGTGCAGCACACCAGATGGCTTCTTGGGCGGCCTGCATGCCACATGGTGGCGACAAGAGTGAGGGTTCAGAAGCCCCTCCAGCAGCTCACGCCCCGTCACACACACACCATGCTTGCCCCTCCTCCCCTCCCTCCACCTTCCTAGCCGCCCCTCCGTCTCCTCTCCCCCTCCCTCTCCCTTCCGGTTCAGGTCACCAGGAGCTCGTCCGCTTGTCTGCTAGCATCATTTAACACCTTGCGATTCTTCTTTCCCCCGCCCCGCACTCACCCCGGGCAGTCCCTCCAGCAGCTCCACCACCCGCCCCTGCAGCGCCGCCCGACACAGCCGCGACCGGGTGCGTCGCGAGCTCCATCCCGCACTGCGCCTCGCAGCACCCGCCTTGCGACCCTCGGCAGCAAGCGTCACCTCGTGCTCACCCCCGCGGGACAACGGCGCTGCGGACCAGCTCAGCGTGTTGCTGCTACTGCTTGCACTTCTGGGGGAGAAAGAGTGGACGCCATTTGCGGAGGCTGCTGCTGCTCTTCCGGTTGTCGCTGCCTGGGGTACTGCTGCTACTGCGGCGGCGGCGGCGACTCCTTCTCCTCTGGATGGCGCAACTGATGGTGCTGTTGCTGCCATGCGTGGGGTAGCATGTAGCGAGAGTTGTGCCGCACATGCTCCGGGGGCTGCCGACCAGTTGATGGACACACCTGGTATCAGTGGTATGGGGGCAAGCAGGAGAGGAGGAGATGGGGGCATTTGGTGGAGAGAGAGGCCAACAACAAACGTGCAACCGGTACCGACTGCCGGGCCACAGAACACGGGCTGGGACTCTTGTAGGCCTTTAAATTCGCGTGGTGCTTTTGGTTGCACGGCGATGCCTTCCTCAGCGTCCTCAGGGAGTCTTTGCATGCGGGAATCTGACCTCGCGGGGGCAAGCGAGGAAAGCGTTTGCGAGAACCAACGAGCGAGGGGGCCGTACGTAACGTACGGATAAACGCACCTGAGGGCACCTTGCGAACCGCATCCGGGTTGAGCCCCAAGTGGCTGGGCGGCGGCGGCAGCGCTGCTATGTACGGAGGGTGCAGCTGGTAACGGTACGGCAGCAGCGGCAGCAGGTGCCGTACAAGCCCTCCCTCCTCGCCAGCCCTCCTTCCCTCCTGCACCGCCTCCGTTGCCGCCGCCGCCTCCGCCTCCGCAGCAGCAGCAGGAATGGCTGCTGAAGAGGGAGGCGACGAAGAGGGAGACAGCGTCTGCACGCCGGGGTCAGCTTGCAGGCGCGTGTGGAAGGCTCGGGTACCGGCGCGGACCACCGCTGAACAGGCGGCTTCGCGGCCTGCGAGAGGGCAACAGCCTCTACTTCTTACCCTGGTTACTCTTGTGATAATGCTGGATTTGGGGCATGACAACGTGTATAGTGGTGAGTAGGCTGAACACCCCCACCAACCATTGTACCCTTCATCATCCACCAGTCTTCTCATCCGCGGCAGGACAGCGCGCTGAGCGATTAACGCAACGGCCTGCCTGGTTTCAACCCACACCCACCCGCCGCCAGCTCCATGCTCGTAGTGGCGCCAACCGCCAAGGTGTCGATGAACAGCGGAGCCTCCAGCAGGCCACTCAACAGGGCGCCCTGGGTCGCCATGACACGTTGCAGCAAATGCAGTTTGAGTAAATGACCCATTGGTCACACAGCGCAACCGATGATGCACAATGCAGAACTAACGGTACCGGTAATAGGGGGTTTGGGAAAAGCCAAGAAGATAGAATCCGATACATGTACATGTATATACCGGTACATCTACATACAGCCGCACATTGCCCAAGGCTGAGATTAAGGCCATGAAAGGCTTGTAAAGCATGCTTAGGAAGCCAACCAGCATTCAGACCAACCACCCCCTCATGCCCCCACCTGCACGCCCAGGCAGCACCAGCGCGCCACCTTGTCGCTGCAGCTAAGTGAGAGCGTGGCGTCGCCGCGACCCGGCTTCCTCCGCAGGCCCCCCGCCGCCGCCAGCTGCTGCTCTAGGTCAACCTCATGGGCTTGCGGTACCGCCGGGATACCAGTACCCAGGAAGGAGGGAACCGTGGGAGCTGCTGCTGCCGTGGGTGCTGCTGCTGCTGCTGATACTGGGTCGCTTTCAGCGGCGGCCACCGTCGCCGTCGGTCTTACCGTTGGCGGTTTCAACGCATCAACTGCCGCATCTGTGGCTCCCAGCTGTTGCGAGGGCAAGGGCGAGGGTGAGGGCGCCGCCATCAGTCGGATCGCCTTCGCGCCCGTTCGGAACCGAACCGTTGCGAGGCAACTTGCTGAGGAGGAGGAGGACGGAACCGTACGGCAGCCCTCCGCCGCAGCTGCTAGGTTGCCGCGGGAGCTGCAACTACCTGGCGCCTCATCACCACCTTCCAAGTCCGTCCCTGACACTGCGGGTGCACCCGTCGGCAGAGGCATAAGACCCTCCGTCCCTCCTGCTTGCCCTGCAGGAGCTACAGCATGGCTAGGTACGGCAGTCGTTGCTGCCGCTGCTGCCGAACCCGTACTACAACATGCAGCAGCCACGACACCGGTACAAGCCTCGGCCGTAGCAGGAGCAGGAGCGGAGACGCCGGGTGGTGGTGCTTCAGGGGTCAGAACGGAAGCTGCTGCCCCTGCCGGCAACGAAGCCGCACCACAGCAAGCAGTAGCAGCACCAGCAGCACCTGCCGTAGCAGTAACAGCCTCTAAGTCCAGAATGGAAGCGTCGCCACAGGGCGGTTGGCTGACGTACATCAGCAACCGCAAGCCCTGCCGCAACCGTAACCGCCATCGTAACGGCTCAACCACTGGAGCCCCTTCCGCAGCTGCTTTGGCTGACCAAGCAGCGTCGTCGGCAACGGAAGTGGTGGCAGTGGCCTGACCCGTGGGTCGCAAGGGCCTTTCCATGCAACAACCGTCCAAGTCGACGTCCCCTGTTGCCGGTAGTAATCCTGGCGTGCTGCTCCCTGTCGACTCCGGAACCACCTCAAATACCGACATCCGTGTGCTTCCACTGCCGCTGCCGCCGCTGGCGTTGCTGCCATCGCCATCGAAGCTTTTGTCTTTCTCGTGCAATTGTCCGAATGCAAGCGCGGCTTCGCCGTACATCCATGCAAGCAGCGCTCTCCGTGCGATGATTTCTGCATGGCTGTCGTTGAGGACATCGCCTTTGGGGCTGCGCTTGGAGGCACCCAGGCACTTGGTGCCGGTACCCAGCGCCACGACAGCCACTGATGGCTTGGTAAAGTTGGGTGCATGTTGGGCTTGAGGGGGGCTGCAGGGACGTGATGGTGGTGATGATGGGGATGAGGATGTGGGTGCCTGCGGAGGTTCCGTACCATCGTAGGCTATGGCAAAGCCTGCGGTACAGAGTACGGGTGCAGAGGCGCAGGGAAAGGTTTGGAAAGGGGTTTGTTAAGATTGGGGCAACCTGCTGCTAAGGGGAAGCAGACCTGATGCGTCGCAGGCGGGCTTAATACCACTGCGTTCCCGTTTGCCTTCAACCCCAACAGAGCCACCTGTTGTGTACCCGCATGCCCACATCACCGCGGGGAGGAATCGCTGTATGGCGCGACCCACCTGCTAGGACGGTGTGCTCGTTGGGCTGAGGCTTTCCAGTCTTTGGGAGAGCGGCATATGCCGACGTGACAGCGGCCGCCAACGTCGTGGGCAAGTCAGCCGGGATGTTAACGCCGTTTCCAGTCATGTCAAACAGGAATCATGTATACAAACATACAATACTTTACGGTGTATCACACATTCCAACGGAAAGCGAGATGCGCTTCGCCGTGCACGGCAACAGCAGTACAGTTAAGGGGCCAAGTAGTGCGTTAAGATACTTCTGCAGGTGACCCAACTTAGCATTTTGAACTTCTGGGCGATCTCTTTCCTGTTTTGTGTCCGCCGGCGTCGTTGCTCAGCGGGATGTTGGTGACGTCTTTTTTAATAAAGGGCAGCTTGTAGGGCGCACACATGGTTCTGGACTCACAACACCTTTTTCAGCCGCAATCATCAAGCGGCCAGTCGGTCTTTAGGCGGCTAACGTTTGTTCCGGCCACCAAGCCTGATGCGCATTCCGCACCCACCGGCGTTGACCTGACACCCTTAAACGAGACACCTCAGGTATGATTAAAATGATGCCAACAGCACTGCATAGAAGTAGAAATCTCGGACGCTGTAGACTCCGGTGCTCGCAACATGCGCCGTTTAGCCTGAAGTTGGCGGCCGGACGGCGGCGGGGATGGCGAGGCGCTGCTGCCAGACAAGTTGTCTGGACATACTTGACACATATGCGCCTTGGCTTGCTTGGTATCGCAGATGCCCGCGCTTCCGGCCGGTAAGGCCGGCCCAGGGCCGTCATCGCTGGCCGCAGCTGCGGCTGCAGGCCCTAAACGCCAGCGGGAGCTTTTTAGAGAAGCAGATGTTGTGCTTCAGTGGACTACTGTCCGCAACCGGGTAAGACGGCTGTTGATGCTTCATTTCGTTGGCCTTGCGGTTAACATTGGGTGCTGGCTGATATGCTCCTTACCGAGATTTGCAAAAGGCGCACCCTATTAGTGCCCCTTACCGAGATTTGCGTAATGAGCATGGCATGCTGGCGCACACGCCAGGGTGTGGTTCGTGTCAAACTGAGAGGCTTGTCTTGGAACCTGTATGCAGGGAGCTGGATTCCACAACCTCGGCAACACATGCTTCATGAACAGCGTCCTACAGGTGAGCCTGACAACTTTGCCATGCTGCGCCTAAGCATGCTTGTTATCCTGTTATCGCCTGCAGGTTTCATGGTCAATGAAGCCTGCACGATATACCTCCTTTCGCCTCCGCTTTGGCTTTTTTGTGCCAAGCTCATTACGACCCACATCGATTGCAGGCCCTGGTGCACACGCCTCCCCTTGCGGAGCTTTTCCTCAGCCAAAAGGGAGAACGGCTATTAGCGGAGGTAGCAGCCGGCGGTGGCGGTGGCGGTGGCAGCAACGACCCAGTGGGCCTGACGCTCCAGCTGGTTCGCCGCTGCTTCACCACGATGGTCCTGTCACCCAAGGGCCACGCGCAGAGCCTGAGGCTCATCAACAAACGGTGCGCTGTGGTCCTGGGCTTGTGATAGCCGAGGCTGCGTAAATGGTTACGGGCCTTTTTATTACCCATACGGCCTGCTAGACCTTCGAATCGCGTGCATCGTATGTAGTTATAGAGTAGACGCCCACAGGCACCTCATCCCATGCCTTACCGGTACCAGGGGATACCACCCAACCGGCCCTGCCGGCGCCATGCACCAGCAAATATGCAGTACAACCTGGCACAAACCACAAATGTTACCACCCACCACCCACAGGTTCCGTTTGGGCCGCCAAGAGGACAGTCACGAGTTCCTGCGCTGCCTGCTGGACGCCATGCATGAAGCCTGCCTGCGCCGCTTCAAACCCAAGCCGCCGCCCGAGCTCGCCAACACCACCTTTGTGTACCGCATCTTCGGCGGCAGGCTGCGTAGCCAGGTGGGCGGGTTCGGAGAGGACCCGGGTGGGTATCCTTGGCCGCGCAAGGGTTCTGTGCCTTCCGTTAGGGTTGACGTGAAGCGCACGGCTTTTACCTCGTTGTGCACTCCTCTCCCGTGGCCGCATAATCCACACCCGGCCTCCTCTTACCCTTCTTCCACGCCGTACCGCCATGCCACACTGCTTCCCGCCACAATTCCCAACCACAGATCGAATGCGAGGGTGTCGACTACGTAAGCCGCACGTACGACCCCTTCCTGGACCTGAGCCTGGAGATCATCCGCGCGCCCACCCTGGAGCGCGCGCTGGGCTCCTTCACGGCGCCCGAGGTGCTTGACGGCGCCAACAAGTACCGCTGCCCCAAGAACAACAAGCTGGTGCGTGGCGAGGGCGTGTACCTGTGCACCCTCCGTTCCGCGTTGCTGTTGTTGCTGTTCTCTTTTCCTCTGATGTGCCATTGTAGTGAGCGTAGCCTCCGCTTGCGTGCTTGTCCCAAACCCACAGGTTCGCGCCGTGAAGCGCATCAGCGTGGAGGAGGCGCCCAACGTGCTGACGGTGCACCTGAAGCGCTTCGAGTACGGCGGTTTCGGAGCCAAGATCAACCGCAAGGTGGACTTCCCCACGCAGCTGGACCTGCGGCCGTACATGAGCAACGCCAAGGGCTCCAAGCAGGTGGGTGGTGTTGGGGGGTTGCTGGCGTCAGCAGCATGTGTCAAGAGCAGGGTGCTCGTTTCAATCGGCTGGTGGGTAGCGGCCTTGATGTCCATGTGAGTTTGCTTGATGGACACTTCCTCATTCCGTTGTCCCTCCCATCGTCCCCTCCCACAGTTGTACGACTTGTACGGAGTGCTCGTACACCACGGCCACACCGTCAACAGCGGGCACTACATCTGCTACGTGAAGGCGGCCAACGGGCTGTGGCACGTGTGCGACGACCACCGTGTGACCGCCGTGGGTGAGCGCACGGTGCTAGAGCAGCGAGCCTACATCCTTTTCTACATCCGCCGGCACCCCCGCGACCCCGCCGTCGCCGCGGCGCAGCAGGCGGTGCAGAGCCTCATGCGCGCCTCGGTCTCCGAAGGCGCCCTGCCCAAGCCTGCCATTTCGGCGGACGCTGGCGGCGGCAGGCTGGCGCAGGAGGCGGCGGCGGACGGATCAGCGACGCCGGTAACCGCGCCGGCTGGGCTGGCTCGGGCGGCTCGGGCGGTGCAGGAGGAGGCGTCGGTACAGCGGCCGGCTAAGCGCGCTAAGAAGGCAGCGCAGGCGGAGGAGGTGACGCCAGCGGCGCCCAAGCTACCGGCGGTGCCGGTGGCGGCGGCTCCGGCGGCGAACGGTGGGCTTGCGGTGAAGGGGGCCGCTGCTAAGCAGCAGGCGGCTGCTCACCCGATCCACGCGGCCCCTGGGTCGTTCCTAGCGAAAATGATTGACAACCTGCAGGACCTCAAGCGCGGAAAGCCGGGTGCTAAGCTCGACAAGGAGGGTCTGCTGCCGCGGGTACCCAAGCTCAAAGCCAAGGTCACACAACAACTGGCCCAGCAGCAGCACCCGGAGGTGCAGGAGAAGCAGCAGCAGCAGCAGCCAGAGGCGGGAAGCCAGGCGGCGCAGCAACAAGCGGATGTTGGTGGGGACGTGGCGGGGAGCACGCCGGCGCCGTGCGGGCAGCGGCACGCCGGAATGGCGAGCGCGAATGGGGACGCGGAGGAGACTGGGACTGGGACGGCTGCAGCAGCTAGCGTGGGCGACGGGTTAGCAACCGCCGCGGAGCATTCGTTGCTACTATCCAATGGCAAGGAGCACAGGTATGTGGTGGCAGGGTGTTGACATGCTTGCAACATCCGGTATTGCAACACCCGGTATTGCAACACGGCTCCCTGATTCTTCTCCATTCCCACTGGGTCTGTTAGCGGCTTAGGGGTTGGGCTTTTCACGGCAGTCTGCATGGCCTTTGCATGCATGTTGAGAGGGGCTGATGAAACGCACTGGGCACTGACTTCCAGTGACTGATACTGCCAGGGGCCTCAGAAACCCCGCTATCTGACCCTCCTGCTTGCGTGGGTGTCTTACTAGCTTCCCTTCTGTACGCATGCTGTGGTTGGATGCACTCTTGTCATCGTGCGTATTGTTGCCAAGGGGCTGATGAAACGCACTGGGCACTGAATTCCAGTGACTGATACTGCCAGGGGCCTCAGAAACCCCGCTATCTGACCCTTGTCTCATGCCACATGCCTCCCAACACTACGAATGACTGCAAGCACTTGCAGTGTTGCATGATGCCTCCTCTTCACCAAACGCACTTCCAAGACCGCGTTGGGCCCGAGGGATTAATGAAACGCACTGGGCACTGAACACAGTGATCGAAATTGCCAGGGGCCTCAGAAACCCCGCTATCTGACCCTTAACGGGCTTCCACATCGTGCTTGGCACGCGAGCGTTTACCCGCATGTGTACGGGCCTTTTCCAGCCCATCACGTTTTGAGGGGGCTGATGAAACGCACTGGGCACTGATAACCCATGAGCGATACTGCAAGGGGCCTCAGAAACCCCGTTATCTGACCCCTAGCACTTGCACTGTAGCACAGTAGCACTGCCATAGAAGTGCCTCCTCTCTCGCCTCTGCGTACCAAACTCGCAGCGCATCTAGGAGCTCCCTATTCCCTCGAGCTGCTTCCGTTTCTGGTGTGCAAATTGCCTACCCGCCCTACCCTTCACCTGCCTTTCCTCTTGTCTCCACCCTCAGATCCGCGTCAGCCCTGAAGCGTCTGCACACCTCACCAGCGTTGATGCGGGGCCACAGCAGCGTTTGGTACGCAGCCGCGGGCCGTCTGCGCCACAATGCTGTCGCTAAGTCCTCGACCGCCAACCCCGGCAAGAACATTGCGGATGCGGGCACTCCTGGGACTTCACGCGTCGCGCTGACGCCGCACACGGAAGGCAAGAAGGAGGCCGGGCTTCCACCGTTGGCGCCTGCCAACGGCTACGTGGAGACAAGCGCATCCGGGCGAACGAAAGACACTCGGCCTGAGGCGGCAGCGGGGCTCAAACGGGCCAAGCGGCTGGGTGCGATGGCATCAGAGCATATCCAGGCTGCTGCTGCTGTTGCTGGAAGTAGCCAGGGAAAGGAGGAGGGCAAGGAGGTCGCGCCGCGGCAAGCCGGCGTCAAGCGGCCGCGGAAGGAGCAGTCGGAAGCTACCGAGGTCGGTAACGGTCATGAAGCTGGGGACAGCGGCGCGGCAGGCGCTGCTTCTGCTGCTGCCGGAAAGGCAGGCGAGCGGCATGAGGACGGCCCAGCCAACGGCAAGGCCAAGGACGCTGAGGAGCTCCAGCAGCAGCTTACGAAGAAGCAGCTGAAGAAGCTTCGGCGGCACCAGCAGCAGGCGGAAGACTCCGCGGCCGCCACCCCCATGGACGTTGCTGATACACCGGCATCCGTGCAGCCATCTTCCAAACCGCAGAAGGAAGCAGTTCCTTCCGCCAAGCCGCAAAAACTTGCAGCAGCCACACCGACCGTCCGCCCACAGGCTCAGCCCTCGGAAAGTCCGATGGTCATTACGGGGGCAGACGCCATTGCATGGCTGACTGGCGGCGCGCCTGGAGCAGCTGGCATGGGCCGAGACCGCAAGAAGCCTGGGCTCGGAGGCAGCGGCCATGCAGACGACGGCGCCGCTTGGGACGAGGAGGCGGGTGGCAACTCAGAGCTCCGGCGACAAGCGGCGCAGATAAACCGGGAGCTTGCGGGCACCAAGCGCCGTACACCTGCCGGCGGGCGCGATTACGACGAGTGGGACGAGGAGTACGACAAGGGCCGTACGAAGAAGATCCGCAGCAAGGATGGCGAGGATGGTGATGAAGACGATGGCGAGGGTCGTCGGGGTTCGCTGCTGCGCGGTCCTGGGAACATGTTCCAGAAGGCTGCTAGCGAGGGCTGGCGCAGCGACCAGAAGAGCGGACCCGGGGGGCCGCAGCGGGGTCGCAGCCCCGGTGGCCGGGGCCGCAGCCCGGGCGGCCGGGGCCGAAGCCCGGGTGGGCGTGGTCGTGGAGGCTTTGGGGGGCGCGGTCGTGGAGGTTTTGGGGGGCGAGGTGGCGGGGGTGGTCGTGGGCGTGGTGGAGGACGAGGGGGAGGGGGCCGTGGGCGTGGAGGAGGGCGAGGCGGCGGCGGCCGTGGACGGGGACGTAGATGAGTAGTTCTTGGGGCCAGGGGTCTTGTGATGAGCGTAGTCGCCAGGATACAGAACTGTACATGAACAGGAATTAGGCATATAGGTGGTGAGCTGTACCACTGCATATAGCACAGGCAGAGGTAAAAGGGGGAAATGCAGATAGAACAGCTTATGTACTGTCTCGTCGGTCGTTGTGGTCGTATTTGCCGCACGGTACTGTGCGCAAAGATCATGAGGATGTTCAACTTCTTTGAATTGCATTTGCATTTGTGGTCTGCTTCTTTGAACTGAGAGGACACGGAAAATTTGCAAGGCGTATACATTGTCCGACTCTTTACTGCGTTAGTGGCCCGGATCATGCTAGCAGGATGGTTTGGAGGTCTCCCCTGGAACTTGGTTGTGTTTTTGCATACTGCAGCCTACGTGTGACTATGGCATCCATCATGTCCTGCCGTTAGGAGCTTATAATAGGAACTGTAAGGTGGCTTGACTAATGGTAGCAGGATCGTCGTACCACTGCGCTGGGCTGTACCGCGCCACTCTTGGCTACATGCACAACCAGCGACAGCCCTGCATATTAACAGCTATATGGCTATGACACAAGAGTAAAAAGGACGGCCGCGATCTTAACCAAGCCTTAATTCTCTACCAGGGTAAGTTGACCCTTTTGTTGCAGCAGCTGAGCGTCGCCATAGCCATCTCCGCGTCTTCATACCGTCACGCAACGACAAAGTGGATGAGCAGGAGCATACCGGCTAGGCGACGAGCCGACAAAGTGCACCTCAGCTCTCAGTGGCAGTGATTTGCACTCCAAGACGCGCAATTGCTGCACGATGTACAACGGATACAACGGCACGCATCCCTACGGCGATGGCTACGCTTATCAGCCTGACTATGGTAATCTGCAAGGTAACTTTGGTGCGGCAACTGGTGCAAACAGGTATGTTGAACTGCTTTGCCATCAGTCATATCTGACTAGCGTAATAATATCAAAAGAAGGGCGTGCTCGGACACCTAGACGCAGAGCAATTTTACCGCCTTTGGGTTACTGGCATCTGCGCCGGGACTGACTTGGCTTGCCAAATTGTGTAGTGGCACCGTGCTTATAATCTCTGCCCCAAATTGGCTTGTTTGGAATGAACAAGAAATGACCGGAGACTGGAAATGCTGAGTACATCCTCTTGGGGCTCTTCCGTCTTTTCTCCCTTGTGGCCGCAGCTTCCAGGGAACCAATGATGCATACCAGGGCCAACATGAAATGTCGCACGCCGCTTACGCGGCTTATGGCGCGTATCCCTACCAAGGCGGTTGGCCGCCCCAATTCCAACAACAGTACTACCAGCCACCGCCTCCACAGCAGCAGAACGACCAGGGCGGAGCGCAACAGCAACAGTACCAATACGCACAACAGGGCTACCCCGCTGCGCAGCCTGAATCGCTGCCTCCGCTCCCTGACGGTGTGCCTCCACCGCTGCCACCGACACCGGCTGAGGAGCCCCCACCGCTTCCTCCAGACCCTCCCAGCGGCCAGCCGCCCCCGCCTCCACCTCAGCAGGCTGGCCCAATCGGGCACCCTCCGCCGCCCTTCCCAGCAGGGCTAGACCCCTGGCAGCACCAGTATGCACAGCAGCCGCCTGCCCCACAGCAGCTCCTGGCACCGCCTGCGCCGGGCTCCGCCGCTGCCGCTGGAGGTTGGCACCAACCCCACCCATACTCTGAGCACCAACACCACCAACCGTCGGCCAACTACCCCAGCTTCGACCAACCGCCCATGCCGGCTCCTGATCAGGCCAACCAACCGCCGCCTGCGCCTCCACCCAGCGCCCCCGGCGCACCAGCCGGCCCCAGCTTCGCGCCTCCGTCACACCACCCGCACCACCCCTACCACCATCCACACTTCCCCCATGCGTACCACTACCCATATTCTGCAGCGGCCCCCTCAGGCCCGCCTCAGCCCTTCCAACCCACTGCACCTGGCAGCAGCAGCAGCAGCTCTGCTGCCGCATATCCTCATCACCACCACCACCACCCTTCCGGCGGGGCTCTTTCCGCTTCTGCTACAGCCGTCGGCATACCTCCCACCGCCCCCTCGGCGCCGCCCCCGCCGCTGGCGCCCGTGGTGGTCGACATCACACGGCTGCTCCGATCGCCGCATCGCGCCTCCCGACCGGGTAAGATCCTGCTGGTGCTGCGGGGGCTGCCGGGCAGCGGCAAGAGCACCCTGGCGCGGAGGATCAGGGAGGCTGAGCTGGAGGCGGGGGCGGAGGCGCCGCGGCTGCACAGCATCGATGACTACTACATGCAGGTGGGGGGTGGGGGTGTTAAGGAAACTGACCGCGAGTCGGAACGTAGTGTGATTGCCGGAAGATGGGATGGGTGTTCTGTTCAAGAGTGTGTCGGCGGTGTAAAGCAATATGCCATGATGCTGGGGAAGGGGCGCGGTCTCGGGATGGCGGGTTGGGCGTTAGGGGGGGCTTGTGGGATGAGTGTGGGGAGGGGGCCGTTGGGGCTGCTGGCTGTCTGTTTTCCCAGTAAGGACAGTTGCCTGACACGTGTTTGGGTTGTTGTGCGCTCCCCCTCCTGTGTGCGTGCTCAGGATGTTGAGGTGGAGGTGGTGGAGGAGGAGGGCGGCCGCAAGAAGCGCCGCAAAGTGACGGAACTCAAGTACGTGCATGAGCCGGAGATGGAAGGTGCGCACCATCCCGCCCCCATGCCCCTGTGTCCTTCCATGTGCGCTCCCGTACGTCCCCAGCCATCTCCCATTCAACGGCTTTTAGCAACGGCTTCCGTATCCCCCGTACACCCCTGCACCTGCCTTCTCCCCACCTCCCAAACTCCAACCCCCGCCCCCGCTCCTCGTGCTCCCCCCCCTAACACCACGGGCGCAGGCACCTACTTCCGCGAGCTGGTTCGTGCGGTGGGTCGCTCGTGTGAAGACCGGCTGCGGCGGCACCCGTTCGTGGTGGTGGACGCGCCGGTGCTGCGGCTGGAGCAGCTGAGGGAGATCATGGCGGTGGGGCAGGTGGGTAAGCATGAGGCAACTGACGAGGCAACTGATGGACAGTTGTTGTTGGTGGGGGGTAAAAATTATATAAGTGAAACAACGAATCCCAATCCCATATCCTATATGGTGGGGGGTAGGTAGCTGGTAAGGGGGAAGAAAAGATCTAACCTGGATAGGTGGGGGGAGTGCAGCAGTGCACATGTGTGGGGTGCTGGGGAGGGTTAAGGTGTTGCTGCGCATCAACAACCTTTCCTTGGCTTCCACCGCGCTGTCCTTTCGTGCCTTTCCTTCCCCCAGCGCGTACCCGCACACCCAGCTAGCCCGTGACACCCACCAACCAACCAACCAACCAACCAACCGATACGTCAATGTACCGTACACCTGTCCCTCTCCCACCGGTCCTTCTCTAAACCCACCCTCCCTGCCTCCTTCCCTCTCCCTCTCCCTCTCTCTCCTCCTCACACCCCCCCCCACAGCGCGCCAACTACGAGTGCTTCGTATTGCGGCCCCTGGAGGCCGACCCCGAGGTGTGCGCCGCCCCCGGTCGCAACGTGCACGGGCACTCGCTGGAGTCGCTGAAGAAGATGGCGGGCAGCTGGGAGGAGGCGCCGCCGCTGTATGCGCAGGTGTGTGGGCGCAGGCGCATGTCGTGGCGCATGCATGAAGGGGGGTTAGGGGGTTTACGGGGCTATTCGCCAAGCGGATGGCTATAGCATGTTGATGGTGAGGCGGAAGGGAAAATGGCGTAACGCACGCTTGGGGCTGAGAGTATTGTAGCCGGGATGTGGGGCCGGCCAAGATGTATGATGACTTGAAGGAGATACATAGGATGTGGTTCACGGGGTGGGACTGAGTGTATCTGTGTGGAGGATCACGCTCTGTTTTTCAGCTATATGCCTTTTTGAGCTACGACAACGCGTGTCAGTTCCCGGCCGCAAAACGGCTGTGTGAGATGCGTTTGCTTGAAGCACTTCGGTGGTACAAACGCGCAGGTGAGTGGCGTGTCCCTCTTCGGAGGGCCGGTGGTGGGCGAGGAGGCGGAGCAGCAGGCGGGGGGCGAGGAGATCCAGGAGGTCGAGATGGACGCGGAGGAAAGCGACGAAGCGGAGGATCATGGCCGCAGCGGTGGCGGAAGCAGGTGGGCGGATGACGGTGGGGACGGCGAGGAAGCGGCCCAGCAGCAGCAGCGGCGACCGACAAGCCGATGGCACGACGATGCTGACGATGGCGGCGACACCGGCGGCGGCGGAGTTCGGGAACAACCTGTACGGAAGAAGAAGAAGAAGGACAAGCTTAAAGCAAAGGTGGACGAGAAGAGTGTCCTGGCGGGTGTTGCCGACGCGTTGGTTGCGGCGACGGGGGCCGGTGGCGGCAGCGGCACTGCCAGCAAGGCACGCGGAGGGCCGCTGAAGTCGGCGCTTCGCCGCTGCACCTCGCTGCCTGCGTTGGAGGGCCCTGGCGCCTCTTCCGGCTCAGTGCTGCGTGCTGCTGCCGGCACTGCTGGAGGCGACAAAGCCAGCAGCAGTGGTGGTGGTGGTGGTGGTCCTGCTGCGGCCAGGCGACGTGTCTGGTGGCCTGATCTGGGTGCGCGCATGGAGCTCGGGGCTGCTGTGGATCAGACGGATGCCTCGACACCGGATAGGAGCTCGTCAGAGGTATGCGGTTGGGGCTCATATGTAAGTTTGGGGGCTCGCGCGCAACAAGGCTGGTCATTGGTTCACGGACGGGAATAACTAATAACTGTGTGCCTGGGCCGCTTCCAAGACCAGACCATGCATGTCAGCAACGTGCATGGCGCTGTCACCATATGCCTGACGTCCGCATGCGCCCCACACGCATGCACACGGCTTTCCCCCCCCAACAACGACAACAACAACAATGACAACCGCGACCACAGGAGCTGCATGCGCTGCTGGTTGAGACGATCTACCTGGAGGGTCTGGGGCCGCCGCCGGAGCTCGAGGACCTGCCGTACGGCTACCAGCGCCGTACGACGGGACCCCCAGCTCTAGTTGCGGGGCTGGGTCCGCGAGGTGGTGCTGCTGCTGGCGGCGGCGCTGCTGCGGGGAGTGGAGCTGGTTTGCAGGCTGTTCACCACCATAGCTTCCGAGACCAGGTGAGCGTGGGAACTATCGAGATAACAGGGCATGTGAAGGGTTTATGTACCTCCTGGGCTATATGTCCTATGCTGCTGTGCTAACATGCTGTGGTTAAGAGAACTGGCCGCGAGCCGGAACATGACCTCTTATGTGCTGTGTGCGTCCCCGGTCTGTTCTCACCCGCAGGCCAAGGCGGAGCATGAGTCCGAGCATGACCTCTTCCGCCGCCTTCTACTGGGCAAGCAAGCTGGGAGTGGCAGTGGGGGCCTGCCTGCTGGTGGCGGTGGCGGTGGTGGTGGGACACCGCTGGGGCTGTTCGAGAGCGCCCTGGATGACGATGATGCCTAGGGGTGGCAGCAGTGACAGGGGATTGCTGCTAGGGCTCGTCTGGCTTCGTTGCCTCGTACCTACTAGGTCCATTGGCCCACTGTAATGGGTAAAAGAAGGACAGGAAACAGGATGTACGGTACGACGTGTTTGGAATGCTAGAGAAGGAAGACCTGGGGAAGGGAGGTTTGCCAGCGATGGGGTAATGTTGACTTTGTTGTGTACGGGGGCATGGGGCGGAATGAAAGGGGGAGGGGCGTGGCGGACATAGGAGCGGCGGAGGTAATGACAGCGCGGTTGCGTACCTTAGCATGTGTGTGTCGGGAACGTACGAGGGGGGGGTATTGCAGACCCTGGAGGGGGGTTTGTGCTGTTGGTCCCGCGGACTGCGGACTGCGGACTGGGTTCTTGCCGGTCAGCGAGTGATGTGGTGGTGGCATGCAGGATGGCAGCGGGTGGTGGTGGCGGGCGCTGGGCTTGCATTGCAATGGCCCAGCTACACATATGCCGAGAAATATTGGGGTACCGGTATAGTACCATACACGTTGATCATATATCGTGTTGAGGAATGACATCATGTGCCCCCCGCGGGTTAAACCCCTCGCGCTGCCGTGTACCGGTAATGAAACGTCGTCGTCGTACCGTATTACCGGTACTATCGGAGACTCCTCCTGCAGCGCACACAACATCTATCACAGTACGTTTCACTCGCGGCGAGTTTTGTCAACACAGCCCAACTCCGGGCCAAAACAGCGCATCCGTCCGCGGCTGCCATCCTGCAGCAGATGCAGCAGCAATACCCCTCGACCGCACATCCTGCGCAAGACCTACACCCAGTCGTCGTCAGCAATCAACCTCTTCCTCCTCTTCATCATCACCAGCCCTTTGCATTGCCCCTCCTGCTATGCACCCATGTCTCCATCCTCTCTGGCCACCAAACGCCCTCCTCCCCAACCGCCATGCCTCCCTTGCACATGCGCTATGTCTCAGCACGCTTGAAAACCGCACGCCAGCACTCTCAGCAGCCCTTGCAACCCAAGTCCTAACCGCCACACACACACGCCCGCGGCCATACTCCTCGGCTCCTGTGGCGTTCCTGTGGGGACTTCACCTTCCGGCAACCACAGCACGTTCCGACTCGCAGCCCGTTTCTTAACACACCGCTACACATGCCGCCGGGTTGGGTGCACCTAGCCCTCCACGGACCCACGGGCCACCCCACCCATTCCATTCTGCCTCACCTCTTCACCCTCTTCCGTCCCCCGCCCCCCAGTCACTGCAAGCTGTGTGACCCCAGCCACTCCACCAGGGCCCCCTCCGCAGCCCGCTGCAGCAGCTCGAGCGCATCAGCCGACCATGCGACCACCCGGCCCCCCTCGTCCCCCTCCTCATCTCCCTCAACCCGCTCCTCGGTACCCTCATCACCTTCCCCCACATCAACCTCCATGGGGGCACCATCCTGCTCCTCGGTGTCTGGGGCCCCCTCCTCATGCCCCGACTGCCCCCTCCTGCTGCTGTTACCACTACCACCCGCCTCAAGCGCAGCTGCAGACGGTCCCCCATCATGTTCATCAAGGTCTGCGCCGCTGCTGCTGCTATTGCTGGCAGCCGCGCCCGCAGGAACGTCACCACCGTCAGCAGCAGCAGCACCGGCAATAACGGCCTCCTGCTCCGCCGCCGCCTCCGCCTCCTCCTCCGCCGCCGCCGCCTCCGCCGTCGCCGCCTCCTCCGCCGCCCTAACACGATCGCTATCACGACCTCCAGTCGCCATCCTCGCGATGACGTGCACCGGCCGCAATTGCCGCCTGACAGCACTCTGAGACTCCACACCCATGGCCGGTGGGAGCAGCCTTCGTCCACCTGAGGAGGAGCCCAACTGCGCATCCAGCCCTCTTGTGGCAAGGCTTTGCAACCAACCCTGCGGATGCTGATCTGAAGAGCCCACAGCCCCTGCAGCAGCAGTAGCAGCAGTAGCAACACCCCCTAGGGCACCCGCAGCACCAGCAGTTGCTGCACTGCGTTCCTGCCGAACTGTGGCCCAGCACTGCCTAAACAAGCCCATGAACTCCGCGCGTGGAATACCCGTCATCGTCGCCGCCGTCGTCGCAAGCGCGGCACCCCTCCTCGTCGCCATACCATCCGCCAGCTCCGCAATATTACCGGTAGTACCATCAACCGCCGCTGCTCCTCTTGAAGCTGATGTCGTACCAGCCGTAGCTGACGTGGCTGCCGCCGGCGGCTGACGTGTCGTACCCCTCGTACGACAAAGTACGACATGCAGATCTCGGCACAGCGCCGCCGCCGCCTCGACGTCTTGCAACTCTAGCAGCTGCGGCTGCAACCGAAGCAGCTGGGCGGGATCCGGCCTAACCACCTCCGCCAGCGCTGACGATACGGCAGCCGCCGCCTCCGCCGCTGATGACGACGATGATGACGACGCGGCGGCTGAAGGTCCGACGAACTGCGTCGGCACGTTGTTGCCGCCGGCGCCACTGCCGCCACCGCCGCCGCTAGGTTGCGGAAGCCATGCGGTGCCGCCGGGCCGCCGCCACCAGCACCCAGCCTGCAGGTGGTGGGTCCTAATCAGGCGACACGCCAGGTTCACGTCAGCGAGTCGCGCCGCATGCACTAGCGCCGCTGGCGTCAGCAGCACCCGCAGCGGCGGTGGCAGCAGCTCCGCTAGCAATTCGCGCCGCAACAGCCCTCCTGTCGCCTGTACGACAATGTCGCATTGCGTGCTCTGCGCGGAGGAGGATGAGGAGGAGCTGCCCACGTACGGCAGGATTGGCGGTGGCGTCAGGGTTCGCAGCACTTCTTCACGTGTAAGTTCACGTGGGGGTTGGCTCATGTGAGGTGTAGTACCGACAGCAGCACGGCTACGGCTGCTGCTGCTGCTCGTAAGAGCAACAGCAGCAGCAACCTCGCCACCTGAGGGGCCATCGCCGTTGTTACCCGAAGCGATGAGCCCGGCAAAGACGCTCCTGAGGGTTGCCTCACACAGCTGCAGCCGCTCCTCCGCCCGCAGCAGCTCACGTTGGGCGCATGTGAGGCGGGAGCAGCCTGCATGCACGGAGGAGGGAAGGAGGGAAGGAAGGAGATGAGGGATCGGACTGGATCGGTTGGCGGCGGTGGTGGCGGATGGTGGTTCGTCACAATGGCGGTGTTGGTAGCATGCATGGTGGGGCTTTGCCAACGCAAATAAACCACCTAAGACACAGCAGCAGCATTGCATGTACTGCACGCCCTTCCCCTCATCACCTTCACACTGCTCTCCCGACCAGTACGAACAGCATCCAAGCACGCCACCCCCCCGCACAACCGCCGCCGCCGCCGCCGCCACGTCTGCTCCTCCCGTCGCACTGGCAGCAGCAGCACCACCACCACCAGCAGTAGCAGCAGTAGCAGCATCAGTCGAGCATCCCGGTGGTAGAGATACCCCGCAGTAGCGGCGCAGGTCAAGTGGACACAGCAGCGGTTGTCGTCCGCTGCCTTCACCTCCACCGCCGCCTCCACCTCCGCCGCCGCTGCATGCTGATTCCCTCCTCACATCCCCACACGCGCACGCGCTGGCGGCTAGTACCAGCAACGCAGACGTCGGCTGGAGCGCCAGTGAGGCTAGGGTTTGTGCCAGGGACCTCAAGGGCAGCGAACCCAACAGACACGACCCCGCAGTGGCGGTGACCGCAGCAGGGGTGCTGCCGCCACCGCTGCTACCGACATGGTCGCTAGGGCAGGGAAACATGCACCCAAAGGAGGGCCCGGTAGAGGAAGGCGGCGGTGGCGGTGGCAGTAGCTGGCCCAGTGGGGTTGTGTCGAGTGCTAGCTGAATATGCCAGGGCTGCAGCCTGCCGCCGTTGAGCCGCATAAGGCCCGAGTCGAGGTAGGACTACGCGGCAGGCGGCAGGCGGCAAGGCAGGGAGAGCAGGGATTTAGGCGAATGTACGGTTCCCATACGATTGCTGCGCTCAGGGCCCCACTCCCGGTTCCCTCCAACACCCCCACCCCCACATCCCGGCCGGTCGTTCCCAACGAAGCATGACCGACATGCGAACCTTTTTTCTTCCTCCTTTTTCCTTCTTCCTTTCTCTTTTCTCCTTTCCCATGTCTCGCCTTTTCCTTGCTTACCTTGACCACCTGCAGCACCCGCGTGGCGAACCAGTCCAGCACAGCCGCCAGCGCCACCACACCGCGGATATCCGCATCCCCGCTGTCCTCCTCCCCACCATCCTCCTCCTCGCCCCCATCGCCACCAGGAACCCAACCTTCGAGGTTACCTATCTCGTTAAGTCCGGCCCAGCCACCATCCTCCCCGCTGCTGCTGCTGCTGTTGTCCATGCTCACGTCATCACCACCCCCGCTGCTGCTGCTGCCGTCGCTGTTTTCTTCAACAGAATCGTCATGGCTGCTGTCAACGTCGTTGATACCGCCACCCTCACCATCCTCATCCTCATCGCTGCCGCTGCTGCTGTCTACAACGCCAAAGCCCCTGCCGTACAGCACATTATCCCGCAGCCGCCGTTGCTGCCACCAATGCGGCGGGGGCGCCTCGGATTGCTGCTGTTCCTGTTGCTGCTGTTGTTGGTCTTGTTGCTGTTGTCGCTCGGGCTGCGGAGGGCCTTGTTGGGCGGCCTCTTGCTGCTGCTGCTGCTGTTCTTGTTGTTCTTGCAGCTGTTGTTGCAGCACTCCAGCCGATTCCTGAATGCGAAAACACGAACCGCAGCGGCAAGCACACCATATACATACGTAGGTAGGCAGCAGGGGCAAGGGCAACGAGCAACGCGCTTCTAGGAGGGCAAGGAAGGGATTAATGAGTGTGGTGGATGAAAGCATCAGGTTCAGAAGACACCTACACGCGCCCTCCGCTCCCTTCCCACCCACACACTTACCTCCTCATCCGCACTTTCCCAATCTCCGGAAGACTCGCCACCTCCATCTCCTCCTCCTCCTCCACTTCCTCCTCCTCCTCCCTGACGCCGCCCCCTGCCACCGCCGCCGCCTCCGCTGCCACCCGCAGCCGTACCCCCTTGCCTCCTTCCTCCTCCTCCGCCTCCGCTGCCCCCGCCCCCGCCGCCCCCACTTCCCCACAGTCCCCAGTTCCCAAACGCCGACCTCACGCTACCCATCAGCCCTCGGCGCGCCTCCACAGCGGGAGCACGGGGGCCACCGCCACCACCACCACCACCGGGTAGCATGCGGGGCAGTCTCGCAGCGGCGGCAGCAGGACCTCCGCCACCACCATCACCACCAACAATACGCCCGCCATGGATAGCAATATAAACATGTCGAGGGTCGTATGCTTCTGCATCATCTGAATCTGCCTCTTCCTCCTCCTCATCCTCCGTGTCTTCCTCCTCCGCGCTGCTGCTGTGGACATCGCTGTCCTCCTCCTCCTCCTCTTCATCGTCGCCATCACTGTCATCGTCATCACCGTCATCACCCGTGTCGCCCTCGCTGCCGCTGCCGCTGGCTGGGTCATCCTCCCCCGACACGAACTCGCCCTGCAGGGGTGCGGGGGTTGCGGGTTGCGAGCAGGCATGGTGGGGGGGGGGGGGTTGCGGGAGTCGCGGGGGTTGCGGGATTCGGGTCTCGTCTTGCAAGGAGGCATCGCAGCGTGTCGCATTGCCGACCGGGAGGAAGCGAGAAGACGTACTGAGCCCGCCGTCACGTTGACTTCACTCCTATGAAGTACTCTACAGGTGACCGACAAGACCGATTATGTCACCGTACACCCTACCGTACACCTTATCGTACACGCACTACCGTACACGCTACTCACATGCAGGGGCGTGTACTGCCCCACCAGGCACGCCACTCGCCCCAGCTGCAGCCCCAACTCCAACTTGTCCCCCAGGCTGCCCCAGCTCTCGCCCCACAGCGCCTCCTCGCCTCCCTCGCATGCCACATCCGCGTACAGCAGCAACACATGTCGTACAGCCGCCTCCGCCTCCGCTGCCAGTGGCGGCGGGAGGAGGGAGTGTACGGCGAGCAGCAGGTCGCCCTCACCCAAGGGGGCTGACTCCTGGGGCCCGCGAGACATGCCAGGGGGGGGGCGACGACAGGAGGGGTCGAAACAAGGGGTTAAAAAGGGAAGGGGGTAAAAAGAGGAAGCTAGCGAGCCGTACTACAAGGCTTCACAATGGTTAGGCTGCATTGGCCCCAGCCCATATGGGGGAACGACATGACGGGAGGTGATATACACCAACATGTGCCCTAACCACAGGGGGTTGTTGGGGCAGGTTAGGCCAGGTTTGGGGCGTGGGAGATGATTCGCACCTGCACCAGCTCGCTCCCCACCACCGCCATCATGCGCCCCACCAGCCGCCGAGCAACCGCCGTCACCGCGTCGTTCAGCCCCGCCAGTGCCGCCCCGTCCCACTGGCTGCTCCGCCAGCAACCGCCACCCCCGGGCCCGCACCCCTCCTCCGCGCGCGCTCCCTTGCTCTGCTCCTGCCGCCCATGCTGCTGGGGCTGCTGCTGCTGCAGGCGTTCATTAGGCAGCTGCTGTTGGCGAGGGGGGAGTGTTAACAGGGGCGGGCCGGTCGCAGCGGCACCGGCACCGGCACCGGCAGTCCCCAGCACGCGACGTCCAAGTCGCAGCAGCCCCAGCGCCCAGAAGGCGCGGTAGCCGTGGTGGAGTGCGGTGTCGTAGGCTGAGTGGCGCATGGGGGTGGGGCGAGATTAGGAAGGTGGGGTTGCGACGAGGTGAACATTGAGAAAGGGGGAGCTGAAGCTGACCAGAGATGCTAGGAGTGCCGAGGCACCATGGTGGGGCCGTGTCACATGTGTATTAGACCCTGCCATGCCCTGCCAAACCCGCAACCCCCCTGCCTGCCTGCTCCACACTCCGCCCCACCCCAACCCCAACCCCCAACCCAACCCCCAACCTAACCCAACCCAAACACACCTGGTAGGTCCATGACGGGTTCATCCGCCCCCTCGTACTGCGCCAGCAGCTGCGCGTCAGGACTGCCCTCAGCGGGCACCCGCAGCCAGTCACCGCTGCTACTGCCACCACCACCACCACCACTGCTGTCTCCGCTGTCACCGCCGCTGCCGCCTCCGCTCCTGCGGCTCCCAGCGTTACCACCTCCTTGCCCCTGCTGCTGCCCCTGCTGCTGCGGTGGCTGCTCCTCCAGTCGTGCAACCAGGCCAATCAGATCTCCGTACACCCGGGCTGCGGGCTGCGTCAGCCGCTGCTCGGTGGTGAGGGGCTACAAGCAGGGAGCGGGCAAGGGGGGTGGTTGAGGGTGGGGCTAAGGAAGAAGAAGATGGCGACCCAATGTGTGTGTTGAACGATACACATGGGAACAACCAGGGCAGGGCAAGGGGGGTGTTGCTGGGTGGGTCTAGGGAAACCGTCAAGGGAGGCAAGGGCGCGTAGTGCAGCAGGACTCACCAGTTAGAAGCGCGGGCGCGTGCACTTGACCCAATGCCCCCACGCACGCCACCCCCGACCCTACCGGCCCACAAACGAGTTCGTCCCCAGCCCACCTTTTGCTCCTGCTCCCCCTGCTGCTGCTGCTGCGCCGCTCCCACGCAGCGAGGCCTCTTGCACCCCAGGCCGCCGACCCGGGTCGTCGTCTCCACACCTGAGCAACCCTCCCCCACCTCCTCTTCCTCCCCCTGCTGGCGTGTGCTGCCACTGTCGCTGCTCCCACTGCTGCCGGCGGCGGCTTTCCGTTTGCCACAAGAACCGCCATCAAGCTGGCCGCTTGGAGGTGCGGCTAGTACGGCAAGGTCCGCCCCTTCTAGGAGGGAAAACAGACTCTTATAAAGGTCCGCGGCTCCTGCTGCGGCGGCGGCGGCAGCGGAGGAGGCGGCTGCAGGGTCCGCTTGCTCTGCTGCGGCTGCGGCTGCTGCTGTCGGCACCTTGCCCGCCTCTCTCATCACCATGTCCTCTTCCTCCTTCCTCGCTGCCTCCTCCGTCAAACCCAGTAAGGTGACATCGCCCGCATCCACCGCTGCTGCCGACATGGCCCAGGTACCGCCGTGCCCTTCACCGGCCTCAGAAGACTGCTGCTGCTGCTTCTCCTTCTTCCCTTGCTGCTTCGCCTGCTGCTGGTGCTGCCGATTCTCCTGCCCCGGCTGCCTCTCCTGGTGCTCCTGCTCCTGCTTCCCCTGTTGACGTACTTGCAGATGCAGCTCTTGTCGTACATTCGGTGGTACGGCGGTGAAGTGCTGTCGCACGAGGGCTGCTACGGCGGCCTCCGGCACTCCCTCCCGTGTGGAATCCACCACCCAGGGCCAGGGAGGTGGGGGCAGCACACAGCTGCCGCTGCTGCTGCTGTTGGCCCCGGCGGCGGTGGCAGCAGCGGCACTCGAGGAAGCTGCTGGTGTGGGCAGACCTTGCGGGTAGAGCGCAGCGGGAACGAACAGCCCATGCACCCAGGTCCCATGGGTCGTTGGCGATGGTGATGTAAATGATGATGGCGATGCAACAACGCCGGCGCCAGCAGGAGCAGCATACCCAGCGTGCTGCAAGGAACTGTCGCTGCAGCTGCTGCCGATGTTCGCAGCACCACCAGCAGTGGCTGCGGCTGAGGCAGCGGGAAAGTGTGGGCGGTAGATCGCCTGCTGCTGCTGCTGCCGCTGCTGCTGTTCCTGCTCCAGTTGCTGCTGTAGCAAGGACCGAACATGGCCGATCTCTTGATCAGGGGAAGCTGCGGGCCCTCCCAGGACTGCCAGGAGCCGTGCTGCATGAGGTGAGGTCTGCGTTCCATCGCAGTAGGCGCAGGGGCATCCCCCCACCCGGACGTGCTCCACTAGGGAGGGCAAGTCTGGGGCTACGAAGCTGCAACCGCGAGGTCGGTTGGGGCAGGGGCAGTGGGATGGACATCCCAGCCAGAGATGTTCCTCAGCCTGACCTCGCAGCACGGTTGCGTGGCAGTGGCGGCAGCTGAGGGGTTCGTACAAGCAGCTGCATGCCAGGTGAGCGTCCAGGGATTGTGGTTGTAGTTGTGCAGGGCAGCCTAAGGGTGCGTTGGGGCATGGCAATCTGCGACATGGGCAGGATGCTGAGCCCAGATGGTCCGCCAGCGCGCCACGTTGCAACGCGGCGTTGCAATCCGGACAACGTACTATGGTAAAGTCACAGGAGTTGGCTAGATGGCCGACCAGGTCAGCGCGACGGACTGTCGATGAGCAGCCGATGGAGCGGTTGGGGCAGTACACGAGCAGTGAATCCAGGCGGCTTGCCAGGTTTTCCGCCGGAAAGAGCTGCGTATAGCGCAGAGGTGCCCGGCAGTAGGGGCACGAGAACGGAACACTCTTGCGTCTCTGAGTCGAGCCCCATTGCGAGATGCACTGAGTGCAGAACGCCTTTTGGCAGCGAGGGCAGCATCTGGGCTCCCTCAGCGCGTGGTAGCATACAGCACAAAGTAAATCTCCAGGTGGATCCGTGACATAGTTGTAATCGTCCATTCGACGGGATCTGTGCAGCTGGGACGCCGAGAAGCCTTTCAATTCATAATATACGGGATATCAAAAAAGGACGATTTTCTCCTCTTCTTCAGGGTATAATTAACAAGACCTCTTATTCTTCTCGTTTGTCGTTGTGAAAGGGAAGGCCTTGCAGCGGGCGAAGGTAATACGAAGCATCGACGGACGCGTCGTTGTGACAAAGCTTGCAATTAAACGAGTGTATAGCTGCTCCTGTATCGTGTGGATCACTCTAAGGTTCACGTACGGTACTTAGTAAGCTTTTGGACGATCACATCCCCCATTGTAACATCCGCCTCCTATGGATTTGAAGCATATGTATAACAAATTTAGCTGACAGTAGGTTCCCGGCCTGGACGCCGCAGCCACCTGCAGCAGAACCTAACGAGAATAGCCTTGCAAACGGTGAACTGCTACGCCGGTTTCCGGGACGGCTGTCGCCCAGGTGCTGTCGGGGCGTCCTTCCTAACCGAACCATGCCCAGATTGCTCACAGGATATGGTGATGTGCCTCCAAGCTCCAACCGAAAGGGCAGCAGGAAGCCCCAGCCGGCAACCCAAAGTTGCACGCCTTTCTCCCACAAGAGGGTGCACACAACACCTTGACTTCATACTCGCCATGTACAGCACTGTACGGCCTCCTAAGCCGTACAAACGCGGCACGGCGTTTCGAGGCCACAGCGCCTCCCCCAATCACGCGATGCCTCCACCTCCACAATCACCTTACTGCTCACGACAACCGCTCGCTTACGCCTCCATTGCCCCTCCAAGTACATGCCCCTATGTAAAATGCCGGCACCAGCAGCACCACGACACCTAGTACCCCCATCACCCGCCCCTCCCCCCGGGACATGGGCGTGTGCTGATCCCCCTCCCATTTCTTCAACACTTTCCCCTTCCCCTCCCCCACGACATAGTTCGTGGTTTCTATGGGTTGGTCTACTTTGACCCCCCTCCCAGCCACCGCCCCGCTACTCCGCCAGCACCGAGTGGAATTGCAGCCGGTCTGAGGACTTGGGCAGTCCCGCCTTGCTGGGCGACAGCGGGGGGGCCAGGGTAGGCAGCGGGGCGCGCTCCCTGGGCAACCGCTCGCCGCGGCCCACTGCAGGGCGCGGGAGGGGGGGGTAGGGGAACACGCATACCCAATGTGTTGGTTGCATGGCGCAGGGCGGAAAAAGAAATTCCAAAGTGTGGCGTGATAATGATACAAGTTGCTGACAATCAGGGGGGGGGTTGAGAGATATACCAAACCATAGGAGACCACAGGTTAGGGCAAAGCAATGGGGGTAGGAGGCGGGGGGGTAAAGAAATATATCCAAAAGATAGGACAAGTTCAGGCAGAGCAAAGGGGATGGGGGGGCAAGATGTCACAAGAGGAAAGGCGTGGGGGTTCGGGGCGCAGGTGCGCAGCAAGAGGGCAAAGACAAGGAGATGGTGCAAGAGATGGTAAGGGGATGGTGCAGGAGAGGGTGCAGCAGCAGCAACAGGGCAAGCTATCGCGGCTGCATGGTGTAGATGCCTACGGTTGTGCAGGCAGTAGTAGTGTGGCAGGGGCAAGACATGCCATCCTGGCAACCCGCAACCCGCAACCCAGATCAACCCACAAACCTCCGGTCCACAAAACCCACCACACGCTCCGCCAAACACCACCCCACTCCCACCCCCCGCCCTCACCTGTTTCCACCAGCTGCTTCTCCGTAGGCTTGCTGTGCGGCAGCGACTGCGGCGCCTCATACACCCGCCCCAGCCCCGCACTGCCCCAATCCCCTGCACTCGTCAGGCTCAGGTTCACATCCGGCGTGGAGGTCCTCACAAGCGGCTGCGAGCTCTGCCCCCGCGCTCGCGGCCGCGCGCCCGCGAACGGATCGAACCGGTCATCTTCATACGCCGCCAGCGGATCAATCATGACCGACATCTTGCTGCCGCTGTTGTTGTTGTTGTTGTTGTTACCCTCCGCTAGCAACGCCGCCACACGCGCCGCGGTTCCGGAGCCCGTGCTCCTGGCCGTCAGACTCCGGGCACCCACGCCGTTTAGGGTGCTGCGCGTGCTGCGGGTGCTGCCGGGGGGGTCGTTCATGGCGGAGTGCCCACGTGTGGGGGTACCGGGGGAGCCGCTGCCGCCGCCGCCTGCGGCTGCGGCGGCCTCCGCTAGCTGCGCTTGCAGGGCCTTTTTGGCGACTTGCTTGGCGTAGGCTTCGCGAGTAATGCCCTGCTGGGCGGGTCGCAGGGGGCCGGACTTGGTGACGCCGCCGGCGCTGGAGAGGGGAGGGAGAAAGGGAAGGAAGGGGGAAGGGGAGGGAATGGGCAGGGAGGTCAAGAGGTCAACAGGTGTCACACCCTAGCCAGCCCACCTATACGGTACCTAGACCAGCACAGCCCCAGCGAGGCAGCACCAGCACAGCACATCCTACACGCTTCCCAGCCCCCTCATACACAGCCAGGCCCGCCCGTCCCCATCTCCCTGCCGCTCCTATCCCCATTGTCTTGCCCCAACCTGTGGCTTCCTATGGTTCGGTATGGTCTTTGACCCCCCATCTCCCGATCTCCACGCTCATTAGCCCTCCCAGCGACGCCCGCCCCCTTTCCTTCTGTCTTCTAGATCCCTGCCACCTCATTCCCCATTCAATTTGCTCATCTATGGTAACATACGGTTTGGTCTGATTTGTCCCCATTCCTCACCCCCTCAGCGTCACGCCACCCGCCGGCATGAGCGTGTCCATGGCTGACGGCTGCGTCTTGGGCTGCATCTTCTTGAAGTCCGAAGCCAGTCGCCGGTCCCGCTCCTTCCGCATCTCAGTGGGGCTGAGGGTGGCGGAGGAGCGCGTCAGCGGCGCAGCAGCGGCGCCCGCCGGTGGTGCATCCGCCGCCGCCCCTGCTGCTGCCCCCCTGCCGCCCGCAGCACCCCCACCCACCGCACCGCCCGCAGCACCCCCGGCTGCCTGCAGGGTGCTGCGACGCTTGGGCGAGAGGGCTCGTGCGCTGTCTTCGGGTGCGGCCACCTTGTAGCCGGGCCCCGAGAGGCCCTCCAGGGGTGTGCGATCGGGGTCGAACTCGTTGAGGATGACAACCTCTCCCTGGGGGGGCGAGGGGCAGGGGTTGGGGAGGGGGGTGGGTAATGAAGAAAAAACTAACTGACCATGTGATAAGGCGTCGTCATGGTTTGACGAGCCAGCCCGACCCAGGAGGGTGCCGTGAGGGTGGGTGAGGTGCCGTGAGGGTGGGTGGAGGATGGAAGGAACCCACTTGGATGCGAGGGTTGAGGGCGGGGTGAAGGCAGGGTAGGTGGTGGAGCCAGCGGCACGCAGCCGGTAGGCGGGGGCCATCTTGGACCCATCATGCGACCACCCCGACAGCGATGTTGCCCAGCCCAACCACTCCGCTTCCCAACCCTCCACATCCGCGCACCTTGTGGTCATACGTGTAGTCCTTGCCCTTGAGCTCCTTCCGCAGACTCGCCAGCTTGCTCCGCTCCTCCGCGTCCTTCTGCTCCAGCCGCCGGCTCATCTCCTCCTGCGTCTTCCGCTGCTGCAGCTCCTGCCGCAGCTGCTCCTCCACCAGCTCCTGCTCCGGCGTCAGCTGCTTGCGCGTGTCCAGCTTGGTGATGTGGCGCCGCGAGGAGGTGGGGTGCAGCGAGCGGGTGCTGGCGGCGTTGAGGGGCGGCTCGCGGCGGGGGCCCGCGCCGCCGCCAGAGGTACCTGCTGCGTAGGTGACGCCGGCTCCTCCTCCTGAAGTGGCAGCAGCAGCTGCTGCTGCTGCGGAGCGAGCCATGCGGGCGTCCTGGGCGGAGAAGGAGGCGGAGCGGGAGGCCGGGCCGTCGCCGACTGGTGGGGCGGAGGTGGTGGGGTCGCCGGTGGAGGTTGGGGTGGGGGTGGTGCCGCTGCCGCCACCGGTACCGCTGCCGCTGCCTCCGTTGCTGAGGGTTGAGGTGTTGCGCTTGATGGTGGGCTCCTTCATGAGGAACTGGGGTGGGTGGTGCGGTGGAGAAAGGGGGTGGGGGAGAAAGAAGGGGGGAAAGGGGTAAAGAGGAAGGAACTAGGGCCAACCGTGTGGCATGTAGACAAGTTCACCATGATGGGTTGCATCATGGTGGCCGACCCATCCCGCCCCAAGCCCGAATCAGCCAAGCCATGACGATTACGATGAAAGGACTGGGGGCAAACACAAGGAGAAGTGAAGCACTGGAAGGCCAAGGGATTAGAGGGTCAGGAGCATGGGATGGGAGCTGTGAGGACATAGGAGTGCAAGGGACCCGACTATGGGGGCCACCTAACGGGGCCCCGGGATGGTTTGAGGGACCAAAGCAGCCAGCCCTGTTCCCTGGCGACTGCAACCCCAACCCCACCTGCTGCATGGCCCAAGAGCTGGTGGACGTTGGCGCCATGTCTGGCAGGGCGGACCGCAGCCATGAATCGAATGAGCATGGATCGGGTGGCTTCTCCTGCTCCCAGCTGTTGTGTTCAAGAGATATAGCTGACACAGGGTTGTCCTCACGTGCCGGGTATTGCATCTCTATTACGTCCAAGGCTGTCGCCAGACATGAGTCGACCGCATCCTCCACGACGCGAGTATGCGCCCGATGCTCATGAACGGCTAAGCTGAAGCAGTGCAAGATATCGTCCAAACAATCACGTGCTATTTGCTCAGGCCGAGCTTCAACGGTTCCCAGTATCGTCTTCTGAAGCGCGTCATATTCAGGCGAGTCAAAGCTAGGGCCAGCTGGAGGAGGTGGTGGTGCAGCTGGCATGTCTCTTACTCAATTTAATACTTTACAGCTAGGTAAGCTCTGTTCACTCAACATTGTCTATAAGACATGGAGGGCTTGTTTTGTTGAGCTCGTTCCATTTCGTTTACAAAGAACTTGCTGCAAGTACCAGCATCAAACCATAAAAGTTATCAACGCGTGACGCTCTGGTTGAACTCTTGCGGTTGGTTTCCGTACGAAGTAGGCGAAGTTCAGCCAGGTCGAGTGCAGGTTTCAAGCACCGAGCAATGTTGCAGGCTCCACCAGCACAGGCACCAAACCAACCCGCAATGCTACGAAAATTAGTACGTTGCAAACTCAGGTCTATATGTACACGCCCTTAGCCGGGACTTAGTCAGCACATGTACTGACCTGTACCTACAATTAGCGAGCCTCATCTGCCTATCACATTAAACCCCTACCTGCCTTGCTCTCGGCGACTTACTCTTTCCCTATCTCTGCACCTTACTCTTTCCCTATCTCTGTAGCCGAACCCGCCCGATGGCATGCAGCACATGCCTCCATCACCGCCCCCACCAGCGACTCCATGCCCGCCGCATCCCGCGCCACCCCAAGCAGTTGCCACCAGGCCAACCCCGCCTCAGTCGCATGCATGGGCAATCGTACAACATCCTCCGTACGACTTAGCCGTACAGCCGCCTCCAGCACTGCCATGGTAACCTCCCTGGACTCCTCCGAAGCCGCGTCCATCACACTCAGGCGCGTAAAGCTCCACAAGTCATTCAACAGTGCTAGCGCGAGTCGCTGGACGCCGGCTGGCAGCCGCAAGCAGCGCGCCGCGTTTAGCAGCAGCGCATGCGGTTGCACAATAATTACCGTAAACTGAACCGCTCGTAGTAGCAGCTGCTCCGCGTTTAAGAGCTCCTGCTTGGCTGTGTAGTAGTCAGTTCCCACTAGGACCTGGCAGCTAGTCACGGCCGCGCGAAAGGCTGCGGCTGTAGCAGTAGCGCTGGTGTCTGCATCCGTGCTGCTAACATGGGCCGCGGCAGACGACGCAGCAGCAGCAGCAGGAGCAGCAGCAACGGTGGTGGTGGCGGTGGCGGTGCTGTTGCATTGCATGGGCGGTGGTAGTGGCAGCAGCAGTGCGGCCGCTGCCGCAACCGCAGCCACGTCTTTGTCACTGACAGGGCCATGGACCGCCGTGGCTGTGGCGGTAGATACTTGTGGTGGTGGTGGTGTGGTGGTGTCTGCAGTTCCGTGCGGCCCCGTGGCAGCAGCCCCAGCAGCAGGCACTCCGTGGGTCCCTGCACTGCATCCGCCCCTGCCCGCTCCCCGCACATCTTGCTGCTGCTGGGGTTGCTGGGCTTGCTCCAGCCGGCGTTGGCGCTCCTCGCGCTCTAGTTGGCCCACCAGCCGAACCACGTTTAGCAGGTGGTTGGTGGATGTTGCGGCCTACGGCAAGGAGCAGGGGGGCCCGCACAAGCTGAGTGAGGGATCATGAGCGGTCCTTTGGGCGTCCAGGTAACCGAACAGGGCGATGGAAGGGAAGGAAGCGGCGTGTTTTAGCAGGGAGTGGATGGACTGGCCCCCTTGTGGCCGAATTCCCCAGGTGGTAGCAATGCCCGCAGCACTCACCTCCTCGACTTTCGACGCAAGGAGCATGCATGCAGCTATGACGGCCTCCTGGGTTGCCAGCCCACCGACAGGGAGTAGATGGCGGGCAAAAGTCAAAGGAAGGTGAACCGCTGTCAGCAACATGAATGCCCCGTCCTATTCAACCCGGCGCAATAAACCGTAAGTCAAGGTGACGCACGTTTCCTGTGTCGAGTGCAGCATCCGCATAGTGCCACCGATGAAGGTAAGCAAGTGCTGTCGCGATCGCACGTGGCGGCATACGGAGGAGTGTAGCGCACGACTTTAGGAGGCAGCATGATCGAAAATAAGGGACTACGTGTAAGTACTTGTACGCGTCGACACCTGCTCTTGACGCTGACATTTCTTTTACTACGGGATTACGCCTAAGCAATCTAAATATATACGTCTGCAGATACGGTGAACCATGTCTAACTCGTGAGGATGCGGGCTATGCGCCGCGTCTGTACTGCAATTTGGCATACCGGTATGACCCGCGGGCGGCACCCCATATAAGCCAATTGACACGAGGATCTGTTCGCAGCAAAGTCCTGTAGGCGCTAACAAGATGGAATCTCTTGTAGGCTAAATATATTTTCAATTTGGCTTTTCCTGGTGGACAGTTAGCCCCTTGCTACCCATCGCTGTTACCTAGGCAAAGGACAGACCCTATTCTATATTTTACTATTATACCCCACTACGCAAATGCAGCTAAGTCGCTTGGCTCCTCGGGGGCTGGCGGCCCTGCACCACAATTCGCGTTTTCTGCTGCTTGCTCCTAGACTGCTAGGGGTGTCGCCAAGGATTATCAGGGTTTCTGCCGATGCTCCAAGTAGAGACGCAGCTACGAGTCAGGAAGGAGATGCCAGACCAGCGTCGCGACGAACGCTGTTCCGGGGCAACGACAGCGATGCTGCGCCGGCAGAGGCAAACGACGCCACCCCTGCTCGTCGTCGCGAGTTGATAGGCATCCACAAGGAATCCTTGCGGGAGGCGGGCGTAAAAGTGGTGAGCATGGCAATGATAACGAGACTTGCAGCGCCATGCATATTGTCCTTCGAAGCTCTTACAACAACACATTTTGTGAATCTTGCACAATTCAACTGGAAACGACTCTCAATCTGGGTAACAACAAATCTCAACCTACGCCCGCAACTCGCGCCCGCAGGGTTAGCCTCCCATCTCTTCCCTACCCTTACCCGTGTTATGTTGCTCCGATATTTCCCTAACCCTGCTATCTTGTCCCGCTTTCTGCACACCGCCTCAGGACCCGATTTCCATCCAGCAGAACCGCCTGTACTCTCTGAAGCAAGCTATGCGGCGCGATACACGCGGTGCTGCCCGTGCAGCCGTCACCCGAGAATTCAAAACTGCAGAGCGCCGTCTGTTCAGCCAGCAGCGCCGCGCACGAGACGGTGATGATGGAAGCCAAGGCAATGACAACATCGCCGATGGAAGGCGGTCGTACGGCACACGGTCGTACGATGGCCCCCGTGACAGCTACCGGGAGGACAGCTACCGCAACCGAGAACGGCGCTCTGATGATCCCGAGGACCACGGCGGAAGGGGACGCGGCAGGTTCGAAGAGGAGGACCGCGGAGCAAGGGGACGCGGCAGGTTCGAAGAGGAGGACCGCGGAGGAAGGGGACGCGGCAGATTTGGTGATGAGGAGCGTGGCGACCGTGGCATGACGCGTCGAGGAGGTTTCGAGGAGGAACGCGGGAGGGTGCGCGATCGGTTCGACGAGGACCGGGGCGCACGACGTGTCAGGTTCGATAACGATAACGATAACGACGAGGGGCAGGAGGAGCGCAGGGGCAGGAGTCGCGACAGGTTCGGCGGTGACAATGAGTGGAGGGGCCGCGACTGGGGCCGTGATGAGGACCGGGGCAGCCGCGGGCCCCGTGGCGTCAGCGGCTTCGATGAGGATCGGGAGTCGAGATACGGCAGGCGGTTCGAGCGAGACGACCGTCGGCCCGGACCCCGGCTGCTGAGGGACAGGGAGAGCGAGGGTGGCAGCAGGGAGAGGGGCAGCAAGGAGCGGAAGGAGAAGCCGCCCAAGCTACCACTGGCGGAGCAGAAGCGGCTTACGCAGGCGCAGCAGAGGGCGAAGCGGGAGGCGCTAGCGCGCATGACGCCGGTGCGATACGAACGATTGCACCGCCGTACACACTGTGCCGTACGATAGCACGACGGCAGTCCTTCCTTTGCCCTGCGTGCGTGTGATATGCATGTGTGTTGTGCCCGGACTGTTGCACTCGCACTTCCCCATTCTCGCCCCCACATGCGCTCCATGACGTGGCGTGTTGGTTTACCTAACTATTCCTTGTTATCTGTTTCCTCGCAAGTCGCGACTCACTGATTCTGATCCATTTTTCCTCGTGGTACCGGTTTACCCGTACACCCCTTAAGCCTCTCGAAATCCCTGCCCTGCCCCCGAAACCCCTCCTTGCTCCTCCTTATCGCTGACCAAGCTGGTCTTTGCTCCTTTTCCTGCCCCTTCTTACCACACACCCCTTCTGCGCCTCAGGAGGAAAGAGCGGCATTGGAGGAAAAGAACAAGCGTCGCGCAGCCGTGGCCGCGGCCACGGCGGTGGCGGCAGTGGAGGCCCGCCGCCGTGCTTTCGAGGCCAAGAAGAGCGGCGCGGGGGCCCCGGTGGGCGATGTGGAGTCGGATGACGAGGATGAGATGGAAGAGGGCGAGGTGGGGGAGCTGTTTGACCTGCAGAGCCAGATTGACGCGGTGGGAGAGGAGATTAATGAGGTGAGGAGTGGGGGGAAATTATGTAAGTGGGGGGGGGAGGTGTTAACACGGATGTTCGGAGGGGGTGACACCAGGCGTTGACCAGGGGATGGTGCACACGGGCTCCGTGGGTTGCTGCGTTTCAGCTGTGTAAGATCCTCCAGCAACACCATGCCAGCAACATCGCAATCACAGTTCCAGCTTCCAAGGGGGGTACTTGCCAGCGGTACACTCGCCGGCAAGTAGTACATACACCCGTACCCGTACCTTGGTGTACGACACCCTCCTCCCTCCTTCCGCACCCAATGCCGTACGTCCCAGTATCACTGTTGCACGCTCGCCTCGTCTCCCTGCCCCCATGCACCCCTCCTCCTCCTCCTCTTCCCCCTCCCCCCAATGTGGTTTGGTATGGTCTTTGACCCGCCCCCCCCCCAACGTGCATTACCGGTATCCATCTCTGCCTCTGAAAGATGTATATACCATATAACTCCCTCGCCTCCTCCCTGGCCTCCTCTCCGGCCCGCTCCCCTCCAGGCATCCGGCAAGGTTCGCCCGGTCACCGACCTCATGCCCAAGGAGAAGCGCGGCCCCCTGCTCTCACACAACCTGCCCTCGGTGAGCCGGGGGAGGCGAAGACAATGTTAAATGAACAATGATTTTTTGAATGCATGTAACTTAAATATTGATTGTTAGCTATTGTTAAGTATTGATTGTTTTGAATGTATGGAACTAAACGCAACTGCTCGTGTTGTGAGTGCTAAGCGGGGTGGACAAGCGGCGTTCGGGACTCGCGCAGAAGAGCTTCGGGTACTGTGTAGCGGCTCCTGCTTAACCCCCTCCCCCCAAAACAAGTATAGTCATATATAGGGGTTGCATACAGTCCAAGAACCACGCAACCCCTATTAATCCAGCCTAACGCGGAATATGTATCCCGATTACCCCCCCCCCCCAATATATTTTTTTACCCCCAATCGCCAACCTCACCATCCTCACACACCCCCGTTTATGAGCACCCTGCCGCCTCCTTATCCCCTTTGCTTTGCCCTAACCTGTGGCTTGGTATGGTATGGTATGATGTTCTTCCACCCCCCTCCCCCCTTCAGGAGCTGAACAAGCGGCTGCTGGAGACGGTGCTGCTGGGAGCCAAGCACGCCAAGATGCCCGAGATTCCCATGGGTGAGGTCCTGGCAGGGGGGTGGGGTGGGTGGGGATTGACACATTTTGATAATGGTACATGTTCCGCACTAGGCTGAATGTATAGGATTGCGGGGGGGGGATGGGGGTTGGGGGTTCAAAGGCCATGCCGGACCATAGGAAATCATGATGTGGCGAGCAGGCACCGGTAGCTCTGGGGATGCCACCAAGGGGGGAGGACCGGATCGCGGCCCCATACACACACACGCCGTATTCCGCATGGCAAATCAACCAAACCGCGTGTAGTAGCGCATCATCTGACCAAAAATTCCCACCCACCCCTCGCGACCCATTCCCCCCTTCAACTGATGATGAATCCCCCACCCCCCCTGTAACATTATAAAAGGCCTAACCCGGGATGCCATATGGGCCTCCTAGATCGTTACACCCCCTCCTCGCTTCATTACACCCCACCCGCCACCCCGCTCCAGTACACCCCGCCCCCCCTTCATTACCATCCCCCACCCCCTGGCTCACATGTTGCAACCCATGTTGACGCCTTACCCCTCAGTCAGTTAGTTGTTTCCTCTCTACCACCCCCCCTCCCCCACCCCCAACCCCCATCCCCCCCCGCAGGCCATTCGGGCATCACCAAGGGAATCCTCGCGGCAGTCCACCTGGGCTGGCGCGGGAACGAGCTGGTCAAGCTGCGCATCCGCGACCGCCGCAAGACCGCCAAGAAGTACCTGCCGTTCATCAAAGAGGTACGACACTGCAGCGGTGGTGGTGGTGGTGGGGGTGGTAGGGGTGGGGGTGGTTGATCTTCGCGGCCCTCAGCTGCGGTGGTGGTTCCATCCCACCCTTCCATCTTTGGCCATGGGATTCTTGGGTTTCGGTGCTCCTTCACTTGCTCTCTCTCTCTCTCCCCTTTCCCATCTTTCTCATCCCACCTCGCCCTCCCCCGCACAGGTTTGCGAGGAGCTGGAGAGCCTGCTGGGCGGGGTGGTGGTGTGGCGCTCCGGCCGCTCCATCTGGATGTACCGGGGGCAGGACTACAAGCCCATGAGCCGTGAGTAAACACACGTCTGGGGGGTGGGGGGCATGCCATCCTTCTCTATTACAGTTACAGTCTGCACAGTCTGTACGCGTGTACAGTGTGTCTGTCCTTTTTCAACTTCAACAGGTGTGCCGAAGAACCTTATGTGTGCCTTATGATGGTGTGCCTCTAGAGCGCTCTCCAGCTGCTGAACCTTGTCTCGTGCTGTCTTCATCAGCCGCGTTAGGAGCTGCCCTAGAAGCTTCATCCTTGTACGGCAGTCACCGCCATGTATGTAATTATATTGCCGTACTACAGCCAGGGACCTCACGCCTGCCTGTAGTACAATTCAGGCAAAGTAGTAACACACATGTCGTACGATACCCGCGCCCAACGATAACAATGCCTCCCCCATGCAGCACCACCCACGATCATCATTACATGTATACACATATCTATACATATTGAGAAACAATTACCTGTATACACGTACCAGTTTCCTTAACATATACATTTTAACACACCCGCGTTCCTGCTTCTTTCCCGCCTTCCCCAGAGGAGGTCGTCCTGGAGCGCTTCCTGGGCAAGAAGGAGCTGCCGCTGGACGGCATCCCGCTCATCACCAACGCCATCTCGCTGGGCGGGCAGCTGGTGGAAATACCCGGGGTGAGGGGCGGGGGGACGTGGGAGGCGGAGGGGTGGGGGGGGGGAGCGACGTGGGGGAGGGGTGCGAGGCGGAGGGAGGAGGGAGGAGGTAAAAGGAAACTAATCGACTGTGTGATAAGGCGTCATCACGGTTTGAAGCAACATGTGTGAGCCAGCCCGACCCGCCACGGGACGGGGGGGGGGGAGGGGTGCGAGGCGGAGGCGTGTGAGGCGGAGTGGGAATTCCCAGGTGTGCTATTTTCTTCGTCTCGGTGACTTGCCAGGCAGGCCCCTGTGACCCCGGGGAGCGCCAGCCCTGGACAGCCCCTCCCCGCTCGCTGCAAGCAGTGTGTGGTCTTTTGCCCTCACCTCTCCCCTCCCATTCCGCCTCCCCTTGTGACCTCACACCCATCCATCCGCGCCCATGCACCCATGCCAACACAGGCTGGCAGGGGATACCTGACCCGTGGGCCAGGCGCCCCGCGCTCCACCTCAACGGGGGCCGACTCCGCCGCCGCCTCATCGGCTGACGCCGCGGCCTCTGCTTCGTCCGCATCCCAGGGCGCAGCCACGATGGCCGGCGCCTCAACGTCCGTCCAGGATGCGCCGGCTGACACCGCTGCCGCCGCCAGCAGCAGCAGCAGCGGCACGGGCCAGAAGAAGATGGCGGTGCTGTTCCTGCATGAGGCCTTTGGCATGGAGACCTCGGACTCCAAGCACACCAAGCGGGTGCGTGTTGCACCGGGTGTGACGATCCAATACCGGGTACCGGCAGTACAGTGTTTTGACCGTGTAGCTTTGACCGTAGTGTCAGTTTTTCATTACTTTTGTCCCCCACCTGCTCGGCCCCCCCCCCACTCTTCATCACTGTTAAACCCTCCCCCCTTCTGCTTCGCCCCCCCTCCTGCTGCAGGCGTGCGACCGCCTGGCCCAGCTGCTCGGCCCCGACGTGCCGGTGCTGATGCCTGACCTGGTGGACCGCGGCAAGGACGCGTGGCGGGGGCCGGACTGGCCGCCCGCCAAGGCCATCTACGAGCGGCACCAGGGCTGGCTTCAGAAGTCGGGCCGCGGCAACTGGATGGCTGTGGGTGAGTGGGGGGTAAAGAGGAAACAACTTAAACTAATTGTGTGATAAGGCGTCATCATGAGTGGAGGGAGGCGGGGTGGCGGGCATTGGCTGTGTGTTGAGAGAACTGGCCGCGGTCTGTGTGTATGTGGAGGGGGGACGGTCTGTGTTAAGAACGTCTACCCAGTATAGCCTATTTGGTGCTTCTCTTGCCTCCAGCACGTCCACCTCGAACGCTCAAGCCTCCTCCTGCTCCTCCCTCCTGCCATACACACAACCACATTCCCACACGGCCGGCTCCCACCTGACTCCTTCTCCTACCGGTCTACCGTAACTTCCATACGCCCACCTCCCATACTCCTCCTCCCCCTTTTCCTTTTCCTTCCCTGCCGTACAACCACACCACGCGTGCACCCCCTCCCCCCTCCCTATGTTGCAACCCATGTTGACGCCTTATCCCTCAGTCAGTTAGTTGTTTCCTCTTTACCCTCCCCCCTACTCCCACCCTCAGCCGGCATCGTGGACGCGGCGGTGGCCTACCTCCGCGGTCCCGAGGTGGGCGCCACCCACATTGTGCTCGCGGGCACCGGCTGGGGAGCTTGGCTCGCAACACATGCACTCATGGCGGATACGGCAGCCGCCGCCGCCGCTGCTGCTGCTGCTGCCCCCGCCGCGCCAGCGGAGGCTGACGCCGCCACCGCCTCCGTGACCGCCATGACTAGTGGCGCCGGCGCTGCCTCGCCGCCTGCCGCCCCCGCGGGTCCACTGGCTGCGGTGAGCGCCAACTGGCCCGCCTACGCGGTGACGGCGCGGGAGGCGGTGGCGGAGAACTCCCCGGCGGTTGCGGAGCGGCTGACCTTCCAGGCGGCGCTGCTGGTGTCCGCCAACCACTTCTTCACGGACGAGGAGAGGCTGGCGCCGGCCATTTCGGTACGGGAGGGAAAAAAGAGATTCCAGTGTGTGGTGTGTGTGTAGTGGTACATGTAGTGGCGCCATTTCGGTAAGGGAGAGGGGGGGGGGCGAAAGACCATAACAAACCACAAGAGGGCGGCGGGGAGGGCCGCGGAGCTCCATTCCTGCCCTGTTTTACTAGCCTTAATTTGGTCTTTCCTGACTCCCCCGCCCTACCTGCCTTATCCCTCAGCCAGTTAGTTGTTTCCTCTTTGCCCCACCTGCCCACCTGCCCACCGTCCCACCCAGGTTCCCATCGCCATCATGAGCTCCAAGTGGGACCCCATGGAGAAGTTCCAGCTGCTCATGAACGAGCGACCCCTGGGTCACTCCGCCTTCAAGCGCTTCGGCAAGCTGCTGCCCGGCTTCCTGGGCAAGAAGGCGAAGTGGGAGGAGCAGTCCCAGGCAACACAGGCTACACAGGTGGGTGGGTGGGTGGGTGGGGGTGTCAGTGCGGCAGCTAGCTTGGGGATCATGCCTGGGTGAAGAAATGCCTGGGTGAAGAAATGCCTGGGTGAGGAGGAAGGAACCAAATAACCGTCGAACCAACCGTAGGACCATGGGGTGGGTGGGTGACGTGGCGTGGGCGGGATGGGGTCAGAGAGGGACCCGTCCGTTGCCCTCTGTGCTGTCACCAGTGCAGCCTACCCGCCTGAACACCCACCTCCCCCCTGCCCCCTCATTTCCCCCACCCCACCTGCCTCCGAACGCGCTCACTGCATGAGTCGGGTTTTGGGATTGCGACTCCGTTGTTTCGGCTATCATTTACTTCCCCCCCTCCCCTCCCCTCCCCTGCCTCACCCGCCGCAACAGGCGCTGGTGATCGGCGCCTCCTTCCTGCGCTGGCGCGTCTTCTCGGACGAGGCGGCGGAGGAGGTGGTGCGCCGCTACTGCATGATGAGCCGCAGTGGCGTAGGCGAGAAGCAGGTCTACAATCTCAACTTCCCCTGGCTGCCCCGGGTGGGTTGGAAGAAGGGGAGGGCAGGGAGGGGAAGAATGGGGAGGAGGCGGGCTTGGGCTTGGGGAGTACCGGTAATACCGGTACTGAGCCGCGTAGGGTACCACAGAAGTTGTGGACGTGTGACGTGCGGCCCTGCGTGCGTGCCGAGCTGCCCACCCAGCCTGCCAAAGCAGCGTAACAGGCCCATGCAGCCAGACAACCCGTTCATCCTTTCAGCCATACCCCTATCCTGAAACAATTTTGGGTGTCCCCAATACGGTCATCGCACCCCAGTTGAAGCACCGGAATCACCCTCCGCCGCACCCCTGCCCTCGTGCCCTGTCCATTTACCGCCCTCTCTGCCCTTACCGCCCTCGCAGCCGACGCTGTTCCGCGGTCGTGAGAAGCAGGAGAAGCGCGCCAAGGAGGCCGAGGAGCGGGCCAAGAAGGAGGCCGAGAAGGCGGCGAGGCTGGCGGCGGGCGAGGAGATTGAGGAGGAGGAGGAGGAGGAGGAGCGGAGGCCCAAACGGAGGAACAAGCCGCAGACCAGGCCGTCGGATCGGTGGATTGGCCGAGGCTCCCAGCGCGGGTGAAGGCGCGGGCGCTGAGGAGTTTTGGGGTTGGGGTTGGGGTTAGGAGGTAGTGGGGGCTGGTATGAGGCCTCTGGGATAGGGCTGGGAAGGGCTGTGTGGTGCGGTGGGGCTCTCTGTGCCTCTGGGGCTGCTTGCTTATCTGATATGAGGTTGGGTGCTGTGAATTTTAGTTTATTGTTGGAGGTATGCGCAGGTGCTCGCGCGTTAGTGCACCGCCGGGTTGGCGTACAAACACGTTGGGAGACAGGCAGCGCATTCACAGCGTCCCCTCGCTTCATAGGGACTGAGCCCATCCCGTTATCGGAAGTAGCAGCTAGCCAGCTACTCTCGAGGCCTTTCCACGCGCTTTCTCTTAAATCTTGGTAGCGGGGAAACCAACCAGCGTGTTCATGCATGCCGTATCCTGGTATGGTAGTTTGGGTAATCTCGGTGCTTTTGCTTTTTGGTAGTTTGCAAGCCGATTGACATGACGGCAAGAGTACAAGAGACGGTGGTGAGGACTGCGTACAGATGGGGTGCAAGGCGGATTTCTCTACTGCAGACGCCATGAAGGGAAGGATTCGGGGGTGGGTTTACGTCGATAATCTACCATGCGTTGTCAACAAGAGGATGTCACAGTGTGTGACCCTCCTTTGCGCCTAATGGAACGCATTGCGTGCCCTCCAGGTCTTCCTATAGCTGGTCCGCGGACCCGCCATTATCTGTTGCATAAGGTAAAAGTGCCGTACCTTGGTTAACCTAACGCTTGCCTAAAAAGGGTGCCTGGATGTGGTTATGTTAGCTGGCCACAGCAAAGATGTTCTGGTGAATTGCGAGAGCTCTGCTAGAACCAGACGACCACGCAACAGAAAAAGTGCAACTAAGGACTCGGAAAATTGCCTAGCTTTGAGCCGTCAGGATTTTAGGAACGAACTCTCTTGATCAAGCCGGTAGCACCATTGTCACGCTGGTGGGTATTATTTTGGAAGTCACACACGTGGCTTGTTGGGGTGCGGGCCGCAGGGATGCCTCCTGACATGCCATGTGTGAAAAATGAAAGCAAAGGGTAAAGCTGTTAGTAATAAAACAGGTCGTCTCGTCAGGACAATGTGCAGCGCTTCTGTCAATTATATGATGAAGATAGGCAAGCCGAGTCACACGCCCTCATGCTTATGTAATCGCCAAACTTTAACGCAAACAAAGCTCTCGCCAAACATTATGCTTCCGCTTAATTGCATATACCACGTCACTATGAAATTATACATATTATCGACCTTTGCATTGGCAGCGATGTGTCAGATATATACGTCTCGCCAACGAGAGCCGTTTTGTCGTGCACACGAATTCCTTGCTATTGGATGGTTGTAACTAAACGCATAGTATTTCAATAAAAGCCTTCAATGTTGTTTACATGGCACAATGGCCAGAATCTGAGCATACGAGGACGGTTTCGGACGTTAAGCACCTTGATCCGTCGGGATCCAACAGAGCTAAAGTGTCAGCATCCCTGATAATGCAAAGCACCTAGTACGTTTTAATACTTGAACATCAATGTAAGAACCAGGAATTGGGTCGTGGCTTTGCTTTGGGCGGGGGATTTCCTTGCCGAACCTCGTTAGCCATGGCTGGTCGAAATCACACCAAGAAGGGAAGGGACGATGGCTTTTGGAGACGAGTTGCTCTGGCTCTAGGCTGCGTCCCGGTATACGTAATGGCGCGAGACGACCGCTTCGACGCTCCGTCTGAGGTCGGCCTTCGGAGCGGGCGCCAAGAGAATGCCGCGAGCATTCCAAGCGGAAAGTCACCAAGCATGAACTACTTGGCGGTACGTAAGCAACACATCTATCTATCTCATGCTGCAAAACATTTTCCACTTTTCTGGTCGCTACCGTAGCATTCGCCGACAACATCGCGATTCCAAGCAAGCCCCTCGCCCGAACACTGTTCACTTGACTTTAACCTCCCAGTTAATCAGCCGTTTACTCCGCCCAGGACATCTCTTCCTCATCTCGTCCTCTCGGCATTCCCTCCTGGCGCTCCGCGAACCAATCACGGCTAACAGTCTACGGCAGCAACCGCATTGTGCCACACCACGGCGCCAACAACCCTGGTCAGACTCAGCTGCAGCAGCAGCAGTCGTCGGTGCATGGAAGGCAGCAGGACTCCTCACCGCTTCTGCCGTCCTCACAGCCACCATCTGCCTCCCAGCAGGCCGCAGCAGCCACCTCCGGATCGCCCCTTTCCCCAAGCACCAGCGCAGTTCAATCAGACCCAGCCCCCCGAACCAGCATGCCGCGCTACTCACTTGACGTCAACAATCTCCGCGCAGCCTACCGTAGCATCGAGCTGCCTGAGAAGCTGCAAGATCCATCACTTCCATCTGCGGATCAACCATTTGGATTATTGCCGTGCAACCAAACACCAACGGATCCACGGCGCATGACGCGGAAGTGGTCCTCTGTTAAGGAGGTACGCAGCAGGGAGGAGGATTGCGCCTGTTCGGAAGCACCGAGACGAACGGTGCTTCGGGAGACCTGGACTACGGAACAGCCAGAGGCACGTCAACAGCAGCAGGAGTCGGGAAGTACGGCAGCAGCAGCAGCAACAGCGGCGGCGGCAGACGGATCTAGCAGAGGCGGAAGCGGACACAGAAGTCACTCTCCTCTCCTGGAAACTAAAGCGACCGGCTCTGCATCTGAGGTGGTCATGCGCGCGGAAACAATTGAAGAGGCAGAGTTCATGGATACGGACGAAGACGATAACAACAACACCGAAGAAGGAACGCCGGTAGCAGGTGATGATGAGGCTGCGGTACAACAGGCGGCTGCAGCGTCGGAAGCACTGGCCGCAGCTGTGGTGTCGGCAATAGCGGAGGCTGGTTTGGCGTGTATTGAAGAGGCGGCTTCCGACGGCAGCGGCGAAGATGTTGACAAGGAGGTGCAGAAACGCGATTTACGGCCGCCGCCTTTGCTGTTACCGCGCGTACAGGTAATTTAAGCGCCTCGTCTTTGGTGTTGGTATCGTTTCAAGCCTCTGTGGGCTACTGCGGCTTTGCCTGACTGGGGGCAGCACACTTGTGTTTTGCGAGTTGACTTCCGTCGCCTTTACAAATACCCCCGTGCAAGTAACGCCTGTAGTACTGGTACTGCCAATCAACCCCGAGCTAGCCAAGGCAAACTATTCCGGTGTTCCCTGCCTTCCCTCCTCCCCCATACCCTTACAGGACCCCAACGCTCGCTCCCAATCGGCCACCGGTGAAGGGCCCAGCCGCAGTGGCAGCAGCAGCAGCAGCCGCCTAGATCCCCCGCTGCCCACTGCTTCACCTGTTGCCCTGGGCGCGATCGCAGAGGACGTTGCCACGCCGTCAGGTCTGTTTGCTGGCGGAAGCAGCTACCTAGGCGGCGGTGTGGGAGGGGGTAGCAAGGTGGTCCGGGAGGGGTGGGGTCCGCCCAGCGGCCGGCAGGCACCAGGGGCAGCTGCGATGTCCTCGTCTGATAACCCCTGCAGCAACGCCGGATCTCCCTCCCTCGCCCCTGTTGGGAGTTCCGGCAGCCTTGCCCAGCAGCGCTTGCAACAGCAGCTGCAGCAGCAACAGCAACAGCAGCTGCATCCTCGGTTCCAGCGATACCAGCAACAGCAGCAGCTGCAACCGCAGCAACTCCTGCTGTCGCAACCCCTTGCTGACACCGCTGCATCAGGAGGCAGCAGGCTTGGCGCCAGACCTGACAGCAGAGGCCCGAGCTTCACCACTGGAGCCCGAGTAGCTCCCTTGGCCCGCTATGCGAGCACCCTCTTCGCTGCGGCGCTCCCAGACGGCGCCGCGTCCCCTGCCGCTGCCGCCGCGTCCCCTGCTCGCGGCCGGGAGCGGCACATGTCCCTGCTGGGGCTTCTGGGTCGGCAACCCAGCGTCATCGTGCCCGAAAACAATTCGGGTTACTACATGCCAGCCCCCACGTGGTTCGATGTGAGCACTTCGGTTCGCGCTGCTGTTGCTGCCAGCCCTAATGCTGCAAGTCTGCTCCCGCAAGCCTCGCCTAACACAGCGGCTTTTGTAAACCTCGCGCCAACGCCGGCAGCGGCCCCACCGCCGAGTAACCGTATGTTTGGGTCACGCAAGTTTGTTAGCATGGGCCCTCGAAGGGGTGCTGTGGCACCTGCTGGTTGTGCGGCGTCGGAGGTTGGGCTTGGGGTTGGGGCCGTGGCACGCACAAGCAGTGTGACTACAGGGGTTGCCGGGGGTTCATGGCTGAGTGGATTCTGAAAAGGATGGCGGAGCACCTGCGGAGAAGGCCGTGGCGTAAGCAGGTGGTGTGAGGAGGCGGGGAGGGATCACAGAAGTTGGCAGCAGCTATACTGGCAGTAGCAGGAAGGTGCTGCAATGCTTGCGGACACAAACATTGCAGACTGCGCATGTATTTTGCCTCGAGCGTGTCAAGGGGCCATGGTACTTTATGGCTGGAGACGTATACGGTTGGTGTAGTTTACATTTTCGCGACGACGTGGAAACTGTGTATCTTAGCAACGCGACCCAGGGGCCAATATAAAGCTTCGCTACTGAATACAGCGACAAAGCAAGTGATATCCACTGCACCCATAGCATGGGGCTGCCTTTGCTAAAGGGAAGAACAAGGCTTTAGCAACAGCCAAATGGCAAAGATTTTCAAGGCATGTTTCTATTAATGTATACAAGCATGAACTATATGTGCGTATACATTGTCATTTGTCGGAACTGAGCCTGAGCACTTCACGTACTGGTCTTCGCTGTACGACGAAGAAACAAAGAATTACGACTGCGCAACTGAACTGACAGCTCGCTAGCATGGATGCAAGCTACATCCTCAAAGCTCGAAATTTTGCAGCGATTAAGACTCGTTTGCGACTACCGTAATAGCTTTTGCTTGATGACTGCGTCGATCACCCCTTGACACTACAACCTTATGGTGGCGTACGTATTTTGAATGATGCGAGCGCAACACCGGTGACGACTTGACCTAACATCTTAGCTAGCCGGAGCCAGCCCACAAAATGAACCGAGCTGGGACACCTCGACCCGCGGCTGGCCGCCGTGGGGGCGTGGCGTTAGGAGTGCTTGGCTTAATGCTGCTGGCCTTCTTCTCTATCGTTTTTATGCTGGGGCGTCCGGGGTACTGGAAGTCTTTTAATGACCTGGTTCATCACCCCTTTGACCCCCATCCGGTTGGTATTGATAAGCGGCATAAGGAGACAGCAGGTAGGATCTAATATCGCTAGCTTTGGAACCGCTCCTGCAAATGTATAGCGTATTGCGTGCCTTACGTCTGTTGCACTCGATTATGCCCAGCGACAACGACCGAAGCCAGCAAAGTTGTTGGAGCTGCCAACCTGACGACTCTTAAAACTGTATCGGAGATAGCTAACACTACTGCGGCGAGCAATTCGCCATCTCCTAGTCCGGCAACTGCTGGGGCCAAAGCACCTTCCGCAGCAGCTAAGGCGAACACTAGCAGCACGCAAGCGGTTGCTAAGAAGGATGCCGCTGTAAAGGCGACCACCGATAAGGAGGAGGAGGAAGAGGATGACGGCAAGCTCACAAAACTGGATTCCGAGTACAAACCCACAAGGTACGACAGCAAACACCCACGACTAGGGAGGCACGGCTTTGGCGACCACAGCATGGTTTTGAAGCATAAAAGCATATGCAAGCCTTGGCCGATTGGCAACCTGTGTCCGGCACAATTGGCGCCAGGCAAGGGAAAACTGCTTCGGCTGCGAAAGGTTGGGCTCTCTGCACGCTGCTAAGAGGGTAGTGCGGTAGCCATGTGCCGTAGCACAAGCACATGCAAGCCCCACTCAAAACGGCAACCAACCATGCCCTTTTCCCTCGTCGCCCTTTCCTACACCCCAGCTTTACCCAACTCTCTCCATCACGCTTTGACTGCCCCTCTGCCCGCCTCTGTCTGCCTGCTTTCCCACACCTTGCCCCCTCACCGCTCCCACCCCCCACCCCCCACAAACCTCCCGTTCCACAGGGAAATGGTTCAGCGAATCGCCCAGAACGGCTATCTGGTGGTCACCTGGGCCAACTACCACTACTTTGATTTCGTCAAGACGTGGGTCATGCACGTCCAGCAAGTGGGGATCACGGGCTACATCGTGGGCGCCATGGACGACCACCTGCTCCGGGAAATGATCAAGCTACAGTACAACTGCTTTTCAATGAAGTCCGGGCTCACGCTGGGCGACTTTGGCTGGGGCTCTCCCACCTTTGCCAAAATGGGTCGCGAGAAGATCCGACTCATCTCCATCTTCCTCAACCTGGACGTCAACGTGGTCATTGCGGATGTGGACGTGCTGTGGCTCCGAAACCCACTGCCGTACTTTGATCGCTACCCCGAAGCCGACATCCTCACGTCCTCTGATAACATGGCTGCCACGGTGAACGATGAGAGCCTGGAGCGCTACCCGGAGGCGGGCGCGGCGGCCAACATTGGGATCATGCTGTTCAGGAAGAAGTCCCTGGACTTTGTGTCCAAGTGGATTGAGATCATTGAGGCGGATGACAAGGTGTGGGACCAGAACGCCTTCAACGACTTGTTCCGCTGGTGAGAGGGGGTCTGGTGTTGGGGCTTGATGTGGGTTGGGGGAGGTTGTGGATATGCTGTGCTGTGCTGCCTCGAGGGATGGGTTATAGACTTATCGTCCATTGGATGCTGGGTGGGAACAGGGCTGCTGGACACAGGAGGGGCTTGCGGAGCAGGGACTGGGAACGGTGCGCGCATGAGAAGTACCGGGCGGGTGGCGTGGCGTGGAGCTATGTGCTTTCATACCTCCTTCCTCCTGCCTGCCTCCCTCAGGGGCTGGCGCCCGCTGGAGCCGCCCAACAAGAACCTCTTCCTGGGCTACAACGGCACCCTCACCATGGGCATCCTGCCCGTCTCCATCTTCTGCTCCGGCCACACCATGTACGTGCAGCGGCTGGGTCACCGGCTGGGTCTGGAGCCGTACGCCGTACACGCAACGTTTCAGTTCAGCGGCACTCCCGGCAAGCGGCACCGCATGCGGGAGTTCATGCTGCACGACGATGCGCCCGAGTACTTTGACCACAAAGAGGGCTTTGTGAGCTTTGATGTGAGTGGAGGTGTGGGTGGGCCGTGCGGCGGGGTGAAGTGGAGGGGGAGGTAGGGACGGAGGGGCACGGATGGGGGGGGTGAATGGAGCGATGGATGACGTGTAACGGGAGGGCGCACATGCGACAGTTGGGTGTGCACCTCTTCTTTTCTTTTCACCATATCACATGGCCCTATCTTATTCAGTCCGTTCCTCTCACGTCACACGCTCACACCGCACCTCTCGCTCCCACAGATGGACGGCATTCCGGAGCTGTTGAAGAACGCTGGACCCGCCACCAATACCATGGACCTGTCAAACGTCCAGGTGCGGATCAGGACACGACGCCGTGTGAATCCTGCGGGTGGGCCCCTCCTCCTTGCTGACGTCCTTGCCCTCCTTTTTCTGCCACGTCGAATCAAACGGAGGTTGCTACCCTACCACGTGGTGCAAAGCGCGGCGAATACGACTGTGAATGGAAGCTGCATTCCTGCTTACCTGCCTGCCCTGCTTTCTACAATCCCTCCCCTGGATGTTGTCACATCTGCCTGTCTTCCCCCCTACCTGCCCTCCTACCTCTCCTGCCGCTCCTCACCCAACCGACCCAAGGGTCACTTCAAGCTGGTGAACCACCAGCTGCAGCGGCTGCGCATCGCATTTGCGATCAGCTCGGTGGTGCTCCGCAGGGCGCTGGTGGTGCCGGAGGTGTGGTGCGGGCTGGACCGCTGGTGGGCGCCGCATGCGGGTGAGCGCCGGAGCAGCGGGGGGAGGTTAGGATGAGAAAACTGGCGAGGAAACAGCAGCGGGGGGGGGCAGGAGCAGCAGCAGGGAGGCGAGCCAGGGAAAAGGAGCGACCGAGAGGCGGTTGGGGGTTGGAACGTGGAGGTATATGCATGGTTGTTATCGGTTTATTGGTTGCTCCCTTGAAGAGGCTGCTGACTACGTGACCCCATTCCATCTCCCACTGCCTGCCTGACATGCTTCCCCACATTCCGCGCTACGTCCGACCCCCCCCCTCCCCACCACCACACACAAACAGGCCGCATCCCGGGCGCCAAGTTTGACCTGCCGTTCGTCTGCCCGCTGGACCACGTGCTCGACCTGGAGAACGGCATCTTCAAGTGAGCAGCAGTGCTCGCCGGTTCCTGGGTCTGGGACTAGCTATAAGCCTACAACGTTTGCGGGCCTGTGGTGCATGTGGATTGCCGGGGGCTTGTGGTGGGCAGGGCTGGGGCCAGGAGAGGGGCGTGAAATTGGCTTTGACAGAGAACCCTGTGGTGTGCCTGCAATAGTACTAGCGCCTGTTGCCGCAAGCAGGAGACTCGCGGAAGCGCACTCTTCGACAAACCCCGCTCTTACCCTACCCCCCTTCCCTCTCCCCTCCGCCTCAGCAGGGACTTTGCGGAGGACCATTTTGGCCCCGCCACTGAGATCCGCGAGTACTCGTTTTTCAACAACAGCCGCATGAGCCCCCGCGTGCGCAACGACCGAGTGGTGGTGGAGCTGTGCGCGTCGGGGTCCGTGGACTGCAGCGACGGCAAGCAGCCTGCCAAGATCCTGGTGAGTAACGGCGGAGTGTCCTACACCCTGCTGCAAGGTTTTGACGGGTCGGTACGTCGTTTTGTCGCCGCTACCGTGAAAGGGCTTGATGCTTCCCGCTGTAACCCGTCCGCGCACCCGTCAACTCGCTGCCTAACTCCAACAGACTGAGGCCGGCGTGCGCAAGATCCGCATCCAATCGGGGCTGCCCTCGGCCGCCCTGGAGACCGCACTGTCCTCCGTCCGCTCTGTCAAGGTGCTGCACTTTGCCAGCATGGCCAACGCTATGGGCGAGCTTTCCGATGCGGCCGTTGCCAGGCGCTTCACGGAGCGCATGAAGCTGTACGGCAGCATCTGGTGCTGCGTCGCGGCGCACCCTGGCCACATTCATTACGATCTGCTGTGGGATGTCGTACCGCACACGGACAAGTTCCAGCGTGTCTGGAACTCCTCATGGGTCCCCAAGACCGGGCCATGAGGTGATATGGCTGCGGGAGATGAGACGGAGGCCGTGAGGAGGAAGAAGGAGATGTGCTGAGGGCTGCAGTTTGTGCAGCAGTATGCAGGCGTTCATACCCTCCCTTGGACTCTGCTTTTGTAGCGTTTGATGTTGCATGCGTCGCACGCCACGAGACCGTGTGATTCCTAAAGGCTCGGAGTACAACGACACGGGATGGGTATGGGAGGTTGCTTGTGCATGGCGTGACGTAAGGACAGCAGGCGGTTCAAGATCAAGTGTTTTACTTGATCGTACGCCTGTTGCTAGCGTGTGTGCTAGCTGCTCCTACCAAGGGGCATAGGAAGATAGTGCATTGTGAGCCAGGGTCAGCGTAGGCGGTCTTTGGCAAAACAATGTTTGCAGCACCGGAGGACTGCTCCGTAACCCGTTTTAATTGGAATGTGTCGTTAATTGGAAAGTACATGAAGCACCTTGCGCAGGGTGGTAGACAGAGACCCATGGGCTCGGTATCTCCTATAAGTTGCCGTGACAAAAGGCCTCACAATCTTCCTCCCTCGATAAAGCCATAGTGTCACCTTAATATTACAGCTGTCTATTACCGACGACTAACTTCATCCTCAGCGATACGGCAAACGTTGCATTGCCGACTTCCGCCCGACTACTCCAAACCAACATGCAACTAACAACAAGTAGTATTACAAAATCTGCTTTAGTAACCAATTGCGAACGGCTAAGGCGCCTAGTCACAACCGGCCCAGCAGTCATTAGGAATTAGTATGGTGCCGAAAGTGTATTCCGGAGACCGCTGTCGCCTCGCGCGCATGCCGATTTCTTTGCATCGTTAAGGCTTATGAGCACCCTTCACCACCAGTGCACACTAACAAAGCAAAATGCAAGCGTGTGCCGAAACATCGCTCGATGCGCCTACGGTCCAGCGTCATACCACTCCTGCGTGCGTGCAAAGCATTCGCGACTAGCAGCGCCCCTTTCCGCAGCCCCCACTAACTTGATTAGGCCACTTCGCAGATTTCTTCGTCGAACATCCTAATGCCAATGCTTAACTCCTGGGCCAAACTCAGCCAACACATGCGACTAAGGCATCCGAACGGCAGAGGGAGCCTACAGGGACGAGCGCTCATGAACATGCAACGGAAGCACCTGGACGGCGAATTAGCAGGGTGAGATGTCGGTGAGCGCCAACGTCCCAATGTTCCCAACGTTCCGGCACTTAGGCCCGAAGCCTAACTACCGGGAACACATCGAGTAACATACCCGGCCCTACTTCCCAACTATTCACCACACCTCTCCCATGCCCCACCAAACAGATATCAACCAGCAACAACGCAACAGATTTATTACACGAGTAATCGGCAGGGAGTCAAGTCGAAAAGTGCCGCAAGCTGCTAAAGGGAAGCAACACACAGTCACCGGGGTTCCTCGAGGGAAGGCCCATCAAGACTCACAAAGTGGGCCTAAAGTGATTCATGCATTGCAACAATGACAATACCAGGTTTGTGTTCACGCGAGGATTAAGACTGTGGGCCTTAGGCGATTAAGATGAGCTTTTACCTAAAGCCCAACACTCACCATACAGAACCAATAGTACTGATTACTAATACGAAAGCGCGGCGAAGGCTAAACACTACGAAGGAAACTATTCCCCTTGAACCCAACTAATAGTCTTCCCTGTCCTCGTTTATCGTCCACATATGGAACATGCCCGGAAGCCGTCAATATAAATAAGACCAGTACTCGCGGCTTTGTACCCATGCCTTGCTTCCTCCGAAAGGGTTATCTCCCATGTCCAACAATGCCGTCATAATAATTCAACATCAAGCAAACTGGATGTGGTCCTTCACTTGTTCGAAGATCATAACATTCCCCTTCGCTTTCACCTCCTCCGCATCCACCTACCCATCAATGATGCAACCCATTGGTGGGAAATTGCCGCACGGCTAGATTCTTCCGTTTCATCATTCATTGTATCTTCAAACATCCATCACTCATGGCACCCGACGCACGGTCATTTCAGTGCGTCAAGAGTGGACCCCTCACGGTCAACACTATGCCTCAACAATCACGGTCTATGGCCGTGGCTCATAAGACTATTGAACACAAGCAACAGCGAGCAACTTATCAACAGCACGCAACAAACAGCAAAAGCATACACAATCGCAGTACAGCACATCACCCTGCGTTAAGCGGCTCGTCCTTAAGCCCCATCCAGCGCGACAGGCGCCACAGCAGCCAGCAACTGCAGAGCTACCAGCCCCCCCGTGAGGGCGAAACCCATGACACGCGCCCTGCTATCTTGTAGGCCCACCGCTGCACCGTGCGTGACGGCCGTGACGCCGCAAGCCAGCGTAAGGACCACCAGACACAGGCGGATGAGCAGCTGCGCCGCTATTGGCAGCTTGGGCAGCAGCGGCAAGGCCACGGCGATAGCAGCAACGCATGCTGCCGGATGGGCGACGGATCCGGAGACCAGCTGATGCCATGATCGGGCTGTGGAGGTCAGCACGACGGCGGTGGTGGTGGTCTTGGTCATGGCGGCCGGTTGGGTAGCCATAGAGCCCCCAGCAGCGGTGAGGGCACCTTCGCCCCCAGCAGCAGTGCCAGTGGCAGGAGCAACAGTCCCCAGTACAGCAATAGAAGCCGGTAGCACCGTAGCATGCGGAGGGGGAGGAGGTTGAGCCCCCGCAGCGTCACCCATCGGCGCGTCAGTTGAAGATGGCAACGATGACGTCGAAGATGACGCGGGCGAGAACCATGACGAGCCGCTAGAGGATAGCAGGAAAGTCGACGTAGCTGTTTTGGGGGCTGCATCCACAGCTGCGACAGCCAGCACGGCCGCCGGAGCATTGCGCTCGACGTCTGCGCCAGCGACAGCGTCGTCACCCGTTACCGCCAAGTTCGCAGCAACCGCCAAGTCATTCTCGTTGCCAAACAGCGCCGTCAAGGTGGCATTGGAGCCATCCGCCGCAAGGAACGCAAGCGGCGGCGGTGCGGGCACCAACGCACCCCTCGGCTGGGTGAGCTGCTTCAGGGTAGCCAACTGCTCCAACGGACATGCGGCGGGCGCCTGAGTGGCGGCTGCTGCCGCTCCAGGAGGCTGCTTGGCCGCTGCTGCTCCTGCGGGTGCTCGTGCCGTTGCGGACGCCACTCCGCTCGGCATGGGAGTCGTGACGGCAGCACGGATGCTGGCAACCTTCTCGCATGAGAATGAGAGGCTGTCAGATGAGCCCCACATGGCATCTTCCTCCTCGTCAACGCTATGATGCTTTTTGGTATCGTCCGCAGCCATAGCCGCCGCTGCCAAACCTCCAACCTCCAAGGTATTAGCATGCAGACGAGCACGCGCCGCGCCCTTGGCGTGGTACGCCTGCCACTCCGCCTCCACCGCAGCCGCCTCGGCCGCCCAGCCATGCGTAGATCCTGACCATGTAGTTGCCGCAGACAAGCGTTCCCCGGAAGGCGCATCCATGAGTGTCATAGCCGCCCGAACCTCCCAATCCCCACCCAAAGAGTCCACGGGTGAACCCCTACTAGATCCAGCAGCAGCGGCAAGCAACATGTCTGTTGGGATGGACGCAGACATCAGCCTACCACTCCGTCCGGACTCTGGCCCCGAAGCCAGTTGGGTGTCGAGAGCCCTTGACAGCCGATTCGTCGACGACGACGCCGGTGAGTCCGCTGACGTGCGCTGCTGCGGCGGTGTCAGATGAACCATGGGTCGTCCGCGCTGCGTCATGGCGGCAACTGCCGCGGCAGCATTACCACCTGCGCCAAGCGAAACGCCTTCAGCAACAGCACCGGCAGCGGGCAGGGGAGGAGCAGGCGTGGGCCCTCCGGGATGCATCATTTGGTAGAGCTGTAGCGGCGTCAGTCCGTCGTCGGCGATTGCGCTCGTCAACGCATGCTTCGCAGCGGGATGGACACGCAGCAGCGCTAGCATGAGCCGCGGGGCATGAGGGAGGAGAGCCAGGAGGTGCAGGGGCGTGACACCGTCGACTCCTGCGAAGGAAGGAGAAGACGAGGGAGCACACAGCGTGTGAAAAGGAGAGAGATGCGAATGAAAAGGGTCGCAGCCAAAAGGATAGCGGCGTTGCGTGCATCCCTCCCTCTTCGTAGCTCACCTCGCAGCGTCAGACTGCACATCTCGCCAAGCGCTCCCTCCAGATTCATCACCGACAGCACCGTGTTCTCGTCGCCCGCGCGCGCGACCGCATGCATCAACCCAAACGCGCCAGGCCGGGGCAGCGGCGCAAGTCCCGAGTGGACCCGGTCCGGGAAGCGCTCGTGCAGCTCAGCCAGGGCCGCAATCACCGCTGCCGTACAACGGGGCATGTTCCTGCGGAGGGAGATGTACGGCAGGATGCATGGCAGCAGAATGTACTAGGTCGGTTGATAACGAGAAGACAAGGTAAAGACTATGGAAAGATGGTACAATGAGGAAGAGTTGCTTCATGGCACTTCCTCGTCTCCGCTGCGTTCCGCTGTGACCTCACCACCCCAACCACCCAACTATGGCTGGACTCACCAGCTGACAGTCGTCTCCAGCAAGACGGCGCTAGCGCCCTGCAGGGAGCACAGCAGAGTGCGGAAACCGATTAGCCAAAAACGACAGAAGCCCGCCCACCTCTAAACCTAATGCGGGAAAGGCGGACCCACTAGAACGCCCTGCCGTTCCCATTAGTGGAGGTTTGAGTATACCGGTAGCAGTGTGTCCTGTCTCAACCATGCCCAAGTCCCAACTAATCAGCACCCTGTGTGATCAACATGCCCCAAACCCACACCCAAACTACTTACCAGGAGGCTACGCACCGCCTCCGCCCCCAGTACCGTCTCAAGCACATCCTCATCGTCCGCATTCGTCATGCCGTCCGTAATGTCCCACCCGCTCAGGCCGCCGCCGCTGTTGCCATTCCCACTGTTGCCCGGAGTGCACATACGGCTGCTGACGCGGCCGCTGTTGCTGCGGCTGCCGCCCCGCCGGCGATGGTGCAGCGATGCGCTGGCGCTCACAGCGACCCCGCAGCTGCCGAGGACCCGAGGGACTTCCGCTGCCGGGAAGGGCGCAACGTCGCCGTCCTCGTCATCGCAGTCGGAGCCCTCCGGAACGGCGCCGCAGGTGTCACGGAAGCAGCCCGCTGCCGTCGCCGTGGACATGGCCGTTGAGCCGTGAACGGGTACGACACCGTTGAGCGGTTGCGCTAGGAGCACTGGAGTGGCCAGGAGGGTGCCCAGGTCAAGCACAAACCGCCGGAGACTGCGGAAGCGAGGCGAAAGAAGGAAACGTGTATTTATAGTTAAATAACACAGCCTTTCATGACGACGCACAGTAATCACATAAGCACATATGATGGGGTCACGTTACACCAATTACACAATTGCGAGTCTTAGGAAAACATCCTCAGGGAATACCTCTTGAGCCGTTGCGTACCTGACTGGTCCCATGCTGGCTGCCACGGCGTGCACCTCCGCTACCGCCTCCGCGCTTGACAGCACCAGCAGCGGATAGCTGGGGCCCAGCGCTCCACAGTCTGCTCCTCCTGAGACGCCGCTGGCGCTGCCAGCTGCAGATGCTGACGCCCCATGCGAAGAGAGGCTGGGCAGAGGTGTCGTGGCGGTGGCTGCCTCCAGGTGTAGCACACCGCATGCTGGCAGGGCGGGCAGGCGTACCACCACTCCGCCATCACGGCTGGGATGAGACTGTGGAAGTATGATAGATGCGGAGGCAGCAGAAGCACAGGGCGAACATGAAGTGAGCACGGAGATGGGATTTTTAATAGTGGAAAGCATTGGGATGCAATGAACACCAACGGCGGTAACAGACCAGCTCCCGCCCTCACCCACCTGAAGCGGGTAAAACACGCCATGCATTCGCGCCCAAAAGACGGTGCCCGGGTTGTCAAGATGGGTGCCGTACAGCGTGACCTCCGCTCGTGCATTGTCTGTTATATCCGGTATTGAGGGAGGGCCAAATACAAGGGCCAAATGGTAAGTGGGAGGGTGGAACACGCCAAAAGCAATGTACAGAAGCAGCCGGTGACGTGTGCCAAGAATACACATGCAATGTACGGTAATGGCACCAAGATGTCTTTGACTACACTGAACACTGAAGAGCCCAGAACCTCGAGACCTCCCTCTTACCTGTGCTGACTGCGGCGCATGAGGCCGCTACGATGGTTGGGAGGTCCTGCAACTGCCGTACGGATCCCAATGAGCCGTCCTCGTACACGGAGATTGCCTGAAAAGGAGCGGTTCCGAGAGAAGAAGAAAACATGAAAAGAAAACGGGGAACATGGATGGCGCTCGACTTTGCGGCAACAGCTCGAATAACGAGCCCGAAGGCAAACGGGGGAACAATAACACCTCAATAGGTCGTTATCTCCCAGCCTGACCCATTGCTTACCGTGTCCTCCAGCTGCAAGGTCAGCGCCGTGCTGTTGGTCATCGCCAACTGCTTCAGCGCCTCCCTGACCAGTGGGTCATTCAACAACACGGTCAGATCCAGCCCTTTGCCGCCTGCCACCATCCGCAGCTGCTGCGCCCGCGCCGCTCCATCCATCGCCGACGGCAGCCCATGCAATGAACCAGCTGACGACTCATCGCACCACCAAGAGGAGCCCCGAGAGGAGGTAACGGAGGGGGAAACGGAGTAGGGGATGGCGGCACCAGCTGACGGGAACGCGCTGTCGCTTCTGGTGTTGCAGCGCTCAACACAAGGGATGTGGGTCTCGGAGGTGTCCGCAGCGCTGAGAGCGCAGTTTGCCAGGCTGCTGCAACTGCTGCTGATTGCAGGAAGCAGAGCGAAGCGCGCGTCGATGACGAGTTGCGTGCAGCCGGGGCGCACGTAGCCTTGCAGGCTCTGCGGACGACACAGGTACAAGCGGGAGGATACGGCAGCTTACCATGGCAGTGGTATTATGGCTATATGGGCATGGTTGACACGTCTTCAGGAAGAGGGACAGTAAAGCAGTAGGTACGACACAGGGACACGGACAACAACACCGCGTACCGGTAACAGTTGCAGAGTAAAACCTAAGGGACCGTACAAACTAGGAAGCCCTCAAATAACAAGCAGGCAAAGGTAAACCCACTTCCCGTACATAAGCACATGCGTGACATGCCTGCAGTTTGTCGTACACCGACAGCATCTTGCGCAGCGAGGCAACAGTGCCTGGATCCAGTTCATCAGGCGCCCGACTTGTCAGCTTGATCGACATGCGGACCAGCGAGTCAGCCTGCGGGACGCCCACGGGAGACGGGACAGTGTCAGTTTGACGGCCAGATGAATGAACACACTATACAGCAAACGTTAGGAATGCCTTCCTAGAGCCTCTAGAGGGATCCGCGTGGCCATGCGTCGCCCCAGCACGCTCTCACAGCGCAACCGGCTAATACCAATACAATACCAATGTGATCAACGTATGGCATGGCCACGACGCACCTCGCCAGCCCTGTAGCGCAGCGTCTCACGTACGCTTCCTCCCGAAGCCAAGCCGCCCAGCATCCTTCCGGCGCCGCCACCTGTGCCATGGCCGCCAACCATCTGCTGTGGCAGCGGCAGCGACAGCTGCGGCGCTTGGTGATGCCGCTGCTGTTGCTGCTGCTGCAACGTCAGCTGCCCCTGTCGCTGGTAGTGTTGCATGGGGTTCTGCTGGTTCATGTACTGCATGGCAGCCATGAGGCTACTGCAGCTGCGGCCAGCCAGCGTCACAACCTCGGAATGATGGTTGTTGGAATGTTGGACGCTGTTCATCATGCTGCCACCCATGCCGTACCGCAGCGCTGCTTCCATGGAGGAGGACGGTGCGCCCTGAGCAAAGGCGGCCTGAGCAGTACGGACTGACTGTGCTCCTGGAACTCCTCCTGGGAGGTATGCACCGGAGCCATCGTGGCGATGATGCGCGTCATGGGGGGCAAACGCAGCGCATCCGCCGCGGTCGTACAACGGGGCTAGCACCCGGTCAGTGCCCGCTGCCGCGCCGTGTGCATGCGCTGGTTCCGGTCCCATCATGCTGCTGCTGCTGCTAAACCATCCCAGCTGCTCAAGCTGCGCTGAACTCGCAATGTCCTGCAGCTGCATTTCAAGATCCACGTCGTCCACACCGGATATCGTGGGAGCCAAGGCGCCCATCGCAGGACCGGCGGCGGCGCAGTACAGCTGTTGCTGCCGCGGCTGGGGCTGGGGCAGCTGGAACTGCGGAGCTGGCTGCTGCTGCAGATGAGATGAGGTTGACGCCTGACTTTGTAGCGACGGAGCCATCGCGAGCTTAGCACTTGCGTCACAGCGTTGGTTATTAATGTTCGTGTAATGAACGTTCCTGTACAGGAGGCTGCTGTTGACCTCTCCGCCGCCGCGGTCGTGACCTGCACCGCCACCAAGGGCCCCCCAGCCGCCCCCGCCACCGCAGCTGGCCGCAGCCTCCGCCTTGCCATTGCCAAGCGAGTGCGTGTGTGGCAACTCGCCGGTGACAGTGCTCGGCGCCGGCAGCCTTGCCGGCAGCTCACGGGACGTAGCCGGTGGCAGCGTTGGCGGTGGCAGCTGCGGCATAGGTGGCGGCGCCGGCTGGTGCGGGAGGTGCAGATTCACGCTGCCGTCCTCATAGGAGGTCCAGGGAAGTATAGCGCTGTTTCCCGCATCGGTAGGGATGGCGACAGGTAAAGGGCTGTCGCCGTCGGCTCGGGTGCTGGGCGGCGGTGGGCTGGGAAGGGCCGAGGTTGACGAGAGGTTGGGATCGGCGGGATTGAAACGTCCCGCGGGTGGATTGATGGCCAGCATGAAGTCCTGTTGAAAGGGGGAAGGTCGGAACAAGAACAAGTTGGACGTATAGGGAATTCAAGCGGAGAAGGCGAGCGCTGAATTCAAAGGACCAGACAGGTGAGGTTTCAGTTGCGCAAAGGACGTGGTCTCAGTTTGGCTGTACATTCAAAAGGCCACGAGAACTGCTCATTGGCTTTTAGGCGTGTGTTTTAGGCGCAGTTGCATTTGCAGAGCAAAAAGGACATCTAGTAGCAGGTTCCAACTTCTTGCCTGGCGGGAGCTGTCCGCAGCCAAGTCCACGTCACGCATGAGGATGTGCGCCTGGGACTCTGTGCGCGGTTGAGGAATCCGAGCATGAGAGGATTTGGAAAAATGAAGACAATCCAGCGCATGCACGCCACATTAATGCATGAGCATACTCAAGACAGGATCTACAGGTGATTGTGGAAAACCGGACTGCGCAACACCGCAGCAACACCCGCAGACACAGCAACATCCCTAGGTCGAGAGCACGCGCCCATGCGCTTAAACGCATATAATACGGAACCAAAACCTGTATCCCAACCCCATGTATAGCTTTGTCAGACGCACCTGGTTGGCTGCGCCTGTCGGCCTCCGCCTCGGTCTCAGTAGTGGTGGCCCCCCAGGTGCGACTGTTGGTGCCGTTATCTGTCGTGTTGTCGCTGGTAACCATATCCTGCTGGTCGCGTGCCTTTGTGGAGCGGCCGCCCCTCTTAACTTTCGAGGCAGCAATGTTAGAGCGCCGTTCCAATGACATCTTGCAGCTCCTAGGTACAATATAGCAAAGAAAACAGCTTATTGTGATGGTGACCTCTTAGGAGCCGTGAGACACGACCGTAACCCAGCTAAGGCCTTAAGCTCTCCAAGCCCTTCGTGCTCACCGATTTGCACCACCAAACAACTCAAGTTCCTCGAAGTGACCACATTGTTGGCAATAGCGCATTTTGACACCTGCAAAAAGGACAGTGACAAGGGTATGGAATTAACCAATGGTCCAATTTGCGGATGGAAGCTAATAAGGGACTCATCAACATGCAGGCAATAGAGACAGTAGCATTCCGCGAAGTGAAAGAAAGCCCCAGCCCAGCATCCACTCCATGATACTCACCGTGTATTAGGACGTAAGGTGCCTTCATGTGCGTCATGCAAATACTGTGACGCTTAAAATATGGCTTAGCATCCTTTAGATCAACTGTGCACCCCGGAACTTGGCAATTGATTTGGCCGGTAGGACGCCGGCGCTTATTTGTATTGCGGGAATCATAAGCCTCAAGGGTAAGCGTGTTCCAATCATACGTAGCCGGCACCCACTGAGCGTGGGTCTGCTCCATTTGGCTCAGGAGGAACCTTTCGGTAACCAAGGTTGCAACTTATATGGGCTCTTCAGACTCCCTTAGTGCAAGTACTATGGTATGACCGGCCCCCTGTATGATCTAATGTTGGCGATGTGCAGTCTGCAGCGCTCCTAGTCCCGTTTGTCGTGTTTGACCCTGCTTCATTATTTGGACTCGTACATAGAGGAGCACCCCGAATCCCCTATAGTAGTGTCTCACTTCATCTCCAATAATTTCCGAAGGGCCATTACATCAATGCCAGCCTAAAGGCCATTATGCTTATGTCAGGCAAGCCAGGCTACCCACAGGGTGAAGGTACCAAGGTAGCGCCTTGCTTGCCAATCTACCAATCCACCCTCCCGGCATATGCAGACGCGATTTCGTTACATGGATGCGCGATACAACAGTGTTGTCGGTTTTCATTTAGCATATCGCAATCCTAGCGGCTGAAAAGTGATAACAGCTACAGACTGGGTATCACCGCTTCAATGTAGCCAGTAACCAAACGTCCGCTCAACATTACTTGAATTTATTTGAAGTATGGCATTTTCACCGCTTGGGTAAGCTGGCTATTCGGGCCATCCTATGCATGTTCTTTGTATATGAATAAGATTATCGCGTACTCCGGCAACCATCGCTCTAGCGCTCGCTCTCCCAGAATGACCGCTTGGGCGGTGCTTGTCCTGATGTCTACGTAAGCCGAAGACGAATTACGTTTCCAGCACCAAACCACCGGAAATGCCTGCAAGCAAGCGACAAGTCGCGGGCTATCAACTAAGCTACAGAACAGCAATGCGCCAAAACACTTAGTATGCACACCGTGGAAACTGACACGGACATCCTCTCCCGGCAGCAATCAGTCGCATGTCAAGCGCAAGATGAACATATGCACGTTTTTCTCTTCTTGGGCCCCTAACCCCGCCCTACCTCTGTTCATGGATCTAGCGCAGCCGCGTGAGCTGGCAAGCCGGGAGGAACCTAACGACCAACAACCACACCTAATCCACGCACTCGTTACGCAAGGGCCTCTAGTGCGTGGATCAGGTGGGGGTGTTGGCCTCGCCCTGTTCCGCCCGGCTTGCCATCGTTGTCAATGCGGCAGTTTCGTATCGTGGCACGTGTTAAGGCTTCCATGCTGGGGCAGGGCGGTTGTTGTACACACGGCCCAGGCCCCAGGGGTTGCTGATGCCGTACACGGTTTGGCCCACTCGGAGACCCGCCGACGACCCAGGGGTCACTGACTGCAGCTCTCGGTGCTGTCAACGTAGTGAGGGGAAGGGCAATTACAAAGATTTTCAGTTGTTGGTGCTGCTTGAAGCTACCGGTATTTTCACCCGTCCACCATGCTAGCAACGGCTTGTGTGTCTACTATGTTGGGTCTGCTTCTAGCTCTACTACCGCTGCTGCTGCTACTGCTCACCTTAGCTTGGGAAACTGAGAACTTCATAACCATGCTGCTCCTGCGGATGACTCCTGCTTGCATCGTACCTGCGGGAGAAAAGTACAGACGGCATTGACACCGCCATCACTTTTCTGCATCTCTCCTCTCAACGTGTGGCTAGTTCTCAAGCCTAGTTAGGTTACTGCAGTGCACAGAGACGGCCCACGCAATCCCCAAAGCAACAGAGCGAGCCTCCCGATGCAAATCCCTACCCACCATTGAGTGATTTCCATTCTGAACCCCAAAGGCAGGCGAGCTCGCAATTGCCGTACCCCGCCATGTAGGCGTGCCCGAGGTCTTCAGCTCTGCAGGATGGAGCCATCTGCGGGAGGACAGGAACGTGGCGAGGGGGGATGACGCCAGAAAGGAGAAGATGAGACGAGGAAGGGCGGCAGGGAGGTGAGGAGACTAGGAAGAGCGGCAGAGAGGAGGTGAGGAGACGAGGAAGGGCGGCAGGCAGGAAGCGCATTTTGGCGACAGTGCTCGCAGGCAGGCACGCATGCGTAAACTGCGCAAATACACCGCCTTGCGTGGCCCCGATCCAAACCTTACCCCGTAGGATCCCCAATTCGGCAGCACCTTACTACGTGGCTTTCGTCGCCCCAGATGAAGAAGACATTGGATCCAGTTTATACGGTCCAAGAATAGCAGTGTGCAAGTTCGCCGCAAACAATACCAAGTGAACGCGCCCAGACGCCAGCGGAACGCACATGACGTCCAGTGATGAGATGCTCGTCTCCAGCATATCATCGACTTTTACCAAACAAAACCACAACATATCATAAATATGACAATGCTAGCAGAAAAACATAAAAAAACTTCACAACGTCGACTAGTACCATGCCCCAGGGGCCGTCCATTCGCTACGCATGCTGGGGATGCCACATTTCCTACGCGCCCCCACAGCTGATAGCAAAGCCATCAATAATACTTCGTCAGCCAGCGCCGTCGACTGTGGCTGCTGCGAATGCGGCTGCTGCCGTGGCGCTGGCTGTGACAAATCTAGCTGCAGACTCAGCTGCACGGCCGGCCGATGCTGCTGTAGACGAGATGCTGGTAGCGCCTGAGGTTGCGGCTGTGCACCCAATTCGTTGTTGCGTGCGATGTCAATGCTAGCGTAGTGTGGGTTGCTGTACATGAGGCCGCTCCTGACCTCCGGGCTACGACCGGCACCGGCACCTCCACCATGACCCCCCCAGCCGCCACCGCCACCGCCGCCGCAGCTGGCCGCAGCCTCCGCGTTATCACAGCCAAGCGAGTGCGTGTGCGGCAACTCGCCGCTGGATATTCTCGGCGTCAGCACCAGCGGCGGCAGCTGTCGGGATGTAGCCGCTTGCAGCTGGGGCGGTCGCAGCTGCGGCACAGGTGGCACCACGGGTGGTGTGGGTTGACGTGGGAGACGCAAGTGCACGGTACCGTCCTCGGATAGGGTCGTCAATGGAAATATGTCGCTGTCTCCGGCGGCATTGGAAGGGAGGGTGGGAGGTGTAGGGCTACCGCTGATGTTGGCTCGGCCGCCAGCACAAGCCGGCAGCGGGTTAGGGCGGGCCGTGGCAAAGGAAAAGTCGGAGCCGGCGGTTGGATGATTGGCTAGGACCAAGCCCTGTGCCATGGGTTGGGAAAGGGTTAGGAACCGAAATTACAGCAAACCAAGCATATGGGGCCCAGACAGGGGGCGCAAAGTGTAAGGACGCGGTCTTCGCCAGGAAAAGCTCTCCAGCCTGCTGTTGCTGTTTGGCTGCTAAGCGGCGTATTCAGTACACTTGGGATGCAAGGTAAGGGAGACGTCATGACAGGTCCGGATTGCTTGCCTGGTTGGAGCTTTCCATAGCCAAGTCCACGGCACGCAGGGCGGCGCTTTTCGCCTGGGGTTCTGCATGGGGCCAACCAGGAGCCAGGACAAGAGGTACAGATGTACGTGAGTATGGAGGACAGCTGTATGTAGTCACGTCTGTCCATGCCGTCAGGCTTGGTTAGACCAGGCGCCGTAGAGGATACAAAGCAAAGCGTGGGGTCACGAACACAAACACAACAGCGTTCCCCACCATCTAAGGCGTGTATGCCACCACCCCACGCCTTATGCTCCTTGCCCAATACCCCAAACAGATTTGCCAGACAACTTACCTAGTTGGCTGCGCATGTCGGTCTCCACCTCGGCCTCAGCAGCAGTGCCGTTCCAGGTACGGCTGATGGTGCTGTTGTCTGTCGCGTTGTCACTGCTGCTGATATCCAACTGATGGCGCACCTTGGAGAAGCGGCCGCTCCCGCTAAACTTTGAGGCGGCCATGTTAGATCGCCGCTCCAGCGACATCTTGCAGCTCCTAGGGTAGAAGATAGACAACGTATAAGACATGCTACCACGAGGAAATGCAGGTATGAATAACTCTATATGTAAAACCGAGCCCAGTTAAGCTACGAAGTCACTAGTCTGAGGGTGTCCGCACCCAAAGTACTAACCGATTAGCTCCACCAAAACACTCCAGGTCTTCAAAATGGCCACATTGTTGGCAATACCGCATCTTGACGCCTATAGGAGAAGCGATAGGGGTTTGAGGCAAGCGAAGTTCGTGAAGGCGCCCGAAACCAGAGATAAAGCACATTAACGCCATTTGGTAAAACGGATTGCAAGGCGGAGGGATAGCCACAAAGGATTAATCACATCCAGGAAATGCAAAGTCCGAATCGGCTTTCACTTTATGGTACTCACCATGTATTACGACGTAAGGCGCCTTCATGTGCGCCATGCAAATGCTGTGACGTCTAAAATATGGCTTGAGCTCTTTCAGGTCGGCCGCACAGCCCGGAACCTGACAGTTGCTCTTGCCGGGAGGACGCCGGCGTTTATTTGCGTTTCTTGCGTCATATGCCTCAACCGAAGGAGTGACGTTATCAAATATGGCTGGAGGCCACTGCGCGTGGACCCTCTCCATTCGATGGCGAAGTTTATTTTTCTAGTAGTAAAATTGTATTAATATTAATGTTAAGTCCAAATTATTCCCATGCAGAAACGTGAATCCACCCTAACGCAAAGCTCGATATTGAGCAACTGCGGGAATGTAATTCTTATGTTATTTTGCACGCCTGGCCTATCCGTGAATTCATTCATATGTTGTATTCGGCATGCAGAATAGGTTTGGGCTGTTGCCCACAGCCTGTGGGCGGTGTCTGGGATGTTAGGGATGTTAGGGATGGTCGGGCGACGAGCGCATAGGGCCCCATTGCTGCCCTGGGCGTTCATGTTTTGTTAACCAATCCTTGAAGTTTGTGTATTATGTATGGCCCTTTTGGCCTTGGTTTGGTTTGCCGGCCAATGGTTTCGACGAAATATTTTTGCCGGGACCAGCAGCGTCTCACTGGCAGTACACTACCGCAAACCGCAGACAATAAGTGCATAACAAAAAGAGGGAAGCATAACCACTGGTAAGGTTGTCACCCCCCGAGGTGTTATCAGGTTTGGAATCCAGTATTCTGCTACTAAACTCGCGCCAGTGAGGTAAAGCAAACCACCCGTTGCCTATGTGGTGTATCCGCAATTCATTGATGCGGTGGAGTAGCTATCCCACGCCCCAACGGCTAAAAAAACGCAATTGCTGCTCTTTGGACGGTTCGCCTCGGTTGCAAAAATGGACGCTGCCCGCCCCCTGCCCTTACACTGGACATAAACATATTGAGTGGCGCCGGCTGTGCGATGTCTGCTTGCACTTGGGCAAATGGGTCCCGACCATGGTCGCCAACATTGCAGCCCCCAAGCCAACAGTTTCTTCAAGAGAGTTACGTCTATAGACAAAGACCTGAGGGCTGTTGTACTGCAGGTGATTCTGTGACCCACGAATATAGTCGTCACAAGTTTCAGTGCATTGTAGACTGCATGTGTATGCTGCTATACGTCAACCTCACAACATATTCAACCAAGCGGCATACGCTCAGCTTTAACATGCGGCATATGTATGAGCAAGGAAAGCATGCACAGTTAAAAAAGCGAAGCAAGCTTATGTGTTATTCGTTAGTGTCTGGGAAAAGCATTGCGGACACACGCGGCCACGAAGGCACTTTAATGAGCGGCTCTCCAATAAAGAACAGTAACCAGTATACAATGACTTCTGCAATAGGACATGCGCGTTAAACGCGTGCAACCCTTCTCGTCGAAAAAGTACGAATTTAAGACCGTGTTGCAACTCATGCTCCTTATCACTACCACGTTTGATAAGCCGTTATTTTCTGTTTTCGAAGCAAAGCTTTCCTGGTGCATGCAAATCGCCTTTGGCATAGATGTTGCTGACTCGCAACGGAGAAAAGACCAGCAACAGCTGCACATGTGCCATGCGCCGGTTGTTGCACATACATGGGCCGGAAAGCGGTAATTGCAACGTGCTCTGCCGTGGGAGACCCCGCCATGTGTAGGAGTGCACGGTTGATGGACGGGCACCCGTTGCTGCTGCTATCAAAAAGTGAACAGCTAGCGATGATTGCACAGGCACAATATGACTGTTCTTGACGCACACGGGCCGGAAAGCGGTAAATGCAACGTGCTCTACCGTTGGAGACTTCGCTATGTGTTCCTAGGGCTTTTTTCGAAGGGTTACGAACCTGTACAACACCTAAGCTTCCACTTACTGCACAACCCCCGCTTGTAACGTTGTGCGCATTGTCCAAAGGGCACATACAGACGTTAATGAAAATGCAACGATGATGAGAGAAGCCGAATAAGGAACAACGTCAGAACTTGGTGGCTAGAAGTACCCAACATAGATTTGCAGGCTCCTTGATGACAAAACTTTGCAGGTTTGCGGCTGTGTGCTGTTTGTGCGCCAGCCGAAAGAACAACAACACGCAGGCCAAGTTACACAACAACCAGCACCCAGACACCATTTCTCAACCAACGTGCGGGTAACCACCCCGACGTCTGGGGGGAAGAAGGAAATACCCCCCGAATACACCCAGGATTAGTCGGGGGGGTCCGCTATAAGTCCCCCGTCATTGCGGCTCCGTGGTGGTGGGCAGGTTATGCATTCTGCAGGACAAATGCAGCACGGGCAGGTTAAGGCCCTCATTCTGTTCTCTGATCGAAGGAGCCGTAAGCGATGCAGGAATTGCACATGCTGTTCTCTTTTCTGGGTTATTAGGGCTGTTGCTGCGCGGCAAAAACACTCAACCTCAAGGCAACAGAGGCGTGTAGAGCGGCCAATTGCCCACTTTCCGCGGAGACGGGCATTCTTGTCCTGCCGTACTTCTGCACTTGAACCCACACGCATATTACAGGGCAGGATCTGGGGTGTTTGCCCTGCGGGCTCACACTGCGTTCCTTGCCTTGCGCCTGTTCCCTCCACTCCCGTGCTATTTGGCACCCTAGCAACAGAACCGGAGACATGTACTCAGTTTGGAGGTAGTTAGGAAAGGTTGTTACGGCAAGCTGAGCCTGGGGTCTGAGATTAGCTGGAGCAAGTGAATCGGCGTCTTTGGCAAGGCGGCTACTGGAACGCACATGGTACTTACTTGTGTTGGCGTCTGCCGCCGTCCCCCGTGGTTTTCAAAACCAAGTACAAAGGCAGCTGAGGAGCGGCGATGTGCCCGTGCGCCGGTGGACGGGGTAAGGGGTCGAGACGCGGGGTACGAACGAGGGATTCTGTACGAACGAAGGATTCTGTACGAATGAGGGACTTGATGGCATGGGCTTGTACTTGTGGGCGCATCATTGGGGTTGACGGGTTTGATGTGAGCAGGCTGCGATGTCGTAATGGCCATGCAAACAAATCGTACAACATCGTACAACCTATTAGGCAGGTCACCCGTCCTTGTCCTCTCTGGTGTGTTGTCTGTTGCAGCTCCTTTCTCCTCTGTCAGGTGGGCTTGCAGGTGGTTTTCCAGGGGTGCTTCCCTGGTATCCAGTGGTTTTTTTCTCCGCTGGCTTCTTGGTGGTCTTCCTGTCCTTCTTCTGTAACAGTCCACATCGGAAAAAAAATGTGCTGGGGCCACCTCTTGAGGCATCCTTCCCATGCATGGTACCTTGCATTGCACTTCCATCCGCTTCCATGAGAACAAACACCTCTGTACGATTGTACCGCTTTCGCGCCACCAGCTCGTGCCAGCATCCGCACTGGTGGCGCTTCTACTTCCATCTTGGTTGACCGCCCCCTACCACCTTGTGTCCGCCTTGCGAGCTCGGCCCGCACCGCCGTATCTCGCTGCTCCCGCCTCCAGACCTCTATAGACGCCTTAGATCCCTTTCATATGTACCCATGTTCGCACCCCATGTTCCTACCTCATCTCAAAGCCATCATGGTGCCAAGCGAGGCACCGGTACGTCCGCAGCTCATGTCTGCAGCGGCAACAACTTAACCACACGTAAGCACCGCCGCCGCCTTCAACGGTGCACCCAAGCTCTCAACAGCACCCCAACTGAACTGCCCAACCGCGCTGCTGCGGATACCGCGTAACAAACAGCCTGCGACCGCCCCCGCCGCACTACCCAACCTGACCTGCACTGCGCTGGCCTGCATTCCAAGCAACGACGCCCTTTATCCACGCTATTACTTATATTTCTGAACTAACGAACGCCACTACATGTTTTGTGTTTTGACCTGGAACCCCAATCCAACCGGCTTGCCTTGTCACTCCTCCACAGCGCCCAACACCCGCTCTCCCAGGGTGACCGTGAGTCCCGTCTGCTTGCCATCGCGCAGCACGTCCAGTTTGATGCGGTCGCCGATGCGATGCTCGTCCAAAATGTCGTACACGTCGGCTGAAGATCGTACGGCCTTGCCGTCGAGACCCACCACCACGTCACCCAGCACCAGGTCTCCGAAGATGTCTGCGTGCGTGCACGTGTGCGGGGTCGAACAGTCACGAGGGTTAGCGGTGAGAGGTTAGGGTTAGGGTTATCGGGGGTGTGACAACACCAGTAAAACAGTAACTGACCTGCGTGTGACCACCCCCATTACATGTTGGTTTCTCTCTCTCTCTCTCTACCCCAACCTCTACCTCTGTGCGTGGGTATTAGCTTACTGGTCGTGCTTCCATGACCCTAATTCTCCCACAACCCCGCCCCTCGCCCCCGAACTCCGGTCAGGGTCAGTGCTTCCGCAGCTCAGTTTATCTAATAATCCCCCACAACACACAACGAGCAGGGTATTCTTCATTCCCCCCCCCACCTCTGTGCGTGGGTCTCAGCCCCGCCGCATGCGCCGGCGAGCCGGGAGGCACCTCCAGCACCAGCACGCCCGCCTGCCCCACGCGCTCCAGGACCTGCAGGCAGGGGGAGGGGAAAGAAGAATCCCAAGACGTGTCATGATGCTAGCAGGGTGGGGGAGAATTATAAATGCAGCAGCTGGAGTCCCAATCCCATATCCCGATTCATGCAGGGGGGCGGCGGCGAGGTTGGAGAAGAACTTGTATAACCTGTATGAGGCCACAGGTGGGTGCAAACAACAAAACGGTGTGTGGACATGGGGTTTGGCTGAACCCACCGTCTTCGTGAGGACCTGGAAGCGGGTCAGGAAACAAGCAAACACACCACACGTTGCAACGAATGTATGCGGCGATTTTGCCTTGTTTATCGTATGTTGGGGCATGTGCTAGGGTTCCGGCACCCGCAGCGGCATCCAGGCATTCCTTCCCAAGCTCCCATACACGACACCACACACCCAAAGACCAGTTCACACACCACACAACACGAGTTAGGGCTTCCACACCAGTTCACTCCGCCGTACACCCTGAACCCCTACATCTACCCTCCCTACCTGCGCCGGAGCCATGGTGATCCCAAGAGCCGGTCGTACAGTCCTGCCGTACAACAGAATCTGGTTGATCAGCCCTCGTACGGCATCAATGGGTACGGCAAAGGAGCGACCCGCAGCGCCGCCGCCGCCGCCCCCGCTGCTGGCCGGCGGCGTTACCAGCATGCCCACCAGGCTGCCCTGAGGGCGGGTGTGTTGGGGAAAAAATGAAATAAGTGAAACAACGAGTCCCAATCCCACATCCCGACTCATGCAGTGAGCGCATTCGGAGACACGTGTGTGTGGGGGTGGGGTTTCCGAGGTGTGGTGGGTTGGGTTGGTGGCGGGTGGGGGTTCCGGGGTAAAAGAAAGAACACCCAGTGTGTTGGTTGATGTTGGTAAACTAGGTGACAAGCCCTGGGGGTTTCCGGGAGTGGGCTGGGTTGGTAGCGGGTAGTGGGGATAAAAGCGGCGGTACCGGTAGTGACAGGAATGCACTGACAAGACAGGCAAAACACAAGTGTGCTTGCTGCCACCAGGGCACCACACCACGTGGTGGCTTCAAGTACACAAGTACACAAAACACGTCGCGTCACCTCCCACTTCCTCCTCTCACCGCGCTGTCTAGAAGCGCCCCGCCGCTGCTGCCCGCATCCGCTGCGGCGTCCGTCAGAATGACGCCCTTGATGGGGAACAGCCCCGCTGACAGCTCCAGTCCCAGTCCACATACCAGGCCCTAGGGGGAGGAAAAATGAATGGGAAGTAATGCAACGGAGCAGGGAGCACGGGGTAGGGAGGTACTGTAGAAGGAACGAGCAGGGAGGACTTAGGAGGCAGCGCAGGAGAGAGGAGGGTTGATAAGAGGGGGCGGTTGAATGGCGGTAGGCCAGCCACAAGCGGTAGGGTAGCGCCCGCTGGCCTCAGCTAGTCAAGGAGGGGTTACTGTAGGAGTGCCGGTAGGCGGTGTGCGGTGGCGCCGGGAATCGTATTCTTTATACCAATCCGTATATCCAATCCGCGTCTCTCATCCCGCGCCTCGTCGGAGTCGTCCCGCACCCACCTTGCTCATGGTGTGTCCCAGGCCCCAGGGGTTGCTGATGCCGTACACGGTTTGGCCCACTCGGAGACCCGCCGCCGACCCAGGGGTCACTGACTGCAGCTCTCGGAGCTGTGAACACGTGGCGGGGTAGTGTAGTAGTGGAGAGGGGGGGCAATGAGACAGTGATGACGGAGGCTTGCAGATAGTGTTACTGTTACTGCTGTCGCACTTGAAGAGGCTTGAGCAACAGCTACCGGTACCCCTAATGAGCCAGTATGCTAGCACATGAGCGGCGTCTGGTTCTCTTAATTCCTACGGTGTCGCTGCTGCCGCTGCTGCTGCTGTTTTTACCCTAGCGCCTGCCCTACCTTGCTCTTGGGCACGGAGAGCTTCAACACCGCAAGGTTCTTGCCGGCATCGTACCTGAGCGGGCGAAAGGGCGAAAGGGCAACACGCATGGAGCCCTTGCAGAAACAACAGCCCCGCTATAGTAGTGTTACTTAGGCAGCCTATCTGCGCTACACCTTTCCCCCACCCATGCAGGATTCCATCCCCAGCAGCTTGTCGCCTGTTTGCCATTCTCATTCAACACATTGGGTATTCTCCTTTCCCCCTCCCCCCCATGCAGGCACGTACCCGAGGACTTTAGCGGTGTAGGATGAGTTGTCGTTGAGCGTCACCTGGGGGCAGGGAGAGTAGGAGGTGGGAGTGTTGGTGAAGTGATGTGCAGGCGGGTAGGCGGGCAGCCGGGCAGGCGCTGATGGCACATGTAGACAAGCGTACGGCCAGCCGTGCGCTGCCTCGTGTGTACCCTACATACCGGGGGGCTGTACGGACGTGCGGCACCCCGCAGCAGGTGCCCCATGCATGGGTCGCCACCCGTGGAAGCCCCATGCAGGAACCCTTGACGTGGACCACCTCAGATGTGGACCATCACTCCAGGCATGCTAATGCATGCATGCACATCCCTCACCTTGACCTCGGAAGAGCCCTTCACCAGGTGGTAACACGTCACCTGCGCAGGACGGTGCAAGGAACAACAACGCGTGTAGGGACGACGTACACCGGTGGACACTCACAGCTACAGCTACAGTACGGCAGTACGGCAGCAACAGCCACTTCGCCCCGTGGCACCCCCCTCCTTCGCCCCTTCTGCCATATTCCGTGTTGCTCTGCCCTTTTGCTCAAACCTACATATGTATTTAATTTTATTGTAGCGCCAAGGACAAAATCACTTACCACATGCCCCTTGTCGCCCCAGATGAAGCCACTGCCCTGGCCGTACGGCATCTTCCCAAGATCCAGCGTCGTGAAGGTCTGTCGTATGACATGAAACACACACACAAACACCAGGAGCGTGTGTGACAGGATGCGATGGCAAACAAGCATGTGTTCAGAAAACTGGCCGCGAGTAGGAATGCAAAGCATGTGTTTCGGTTAGGTATGTCGCAACTATTTCGGTTAGGTGGGTTGCAACTATTTCGGTTAGGTGGGTTGCAACTATTTCGGTTAGGTGGGTTGCAACTATTTCGGTTAGGTGGGTTGCAAACTCCGAGTGCGTAGCGAGCCTCCACGTGAGCTGGCATCCTAAGTACCCATGCATCATTGGTTCATTGCATGAATGGGCTGCCTCGGCGGAATCCAGACCCTACGACGACGACGCATGTACGACAGCATGTAGGAGAAGACCGCTCGTCGTACCAATGATAACAAATAACCGCAAACTGCCGGTAATGCCTTGCAGACGAGAACAGAAGCACAGGTCGCAGGGCTTGCTGAACACAACCCGCTACATACATTCCTTACCACCACCACCCGCACCCCTCGCACCCCCCGGCACGCTCTTCTCACCCACCTGCATCGCCCGCATGCCGCTAATGTTGACCACGCTTGCTCGATTGCGTTCAAACAACCGCACCACACTCGCCTCGGACACCCCCACACCAAGCTGTTGCGCTAGCGCCAGATCCTCTGGATCTGCTGCTTGCGGCAGTACGGCACCCGCCGCACTGCCTCCGCCTGGGCTGCTGCTGCTGCTAGCGCCGCTTGCTGTGCTACCTACAGCTGAATACCCGGCTATGTTGCTACTGCTGCTACTGCCACCAACAGCACCGGCAGCTGAGCTGTTGCTGGCGTCTGCCAGTTCGTGAACCGTGGGTGTTGACGTTGCATACGCAGGTAAGGGGGAGTCGGGTGTGAAGTACGATGATGATGACGACTGTCGTACACGGGAGGTTGTTGTGGAGAATGCAGCTGGGACTGGGGCTGGGGTGGAGGAAAGGGAGGCGGCAGCGATATCGGCGAGGTGCGTGGTTCTAAGGGGCGCCATGGCGCCTATGGCCATGCCATTGCAAGCTGTTGATGTTGCCTGGCCATGCCTGGGAACGCTGCCTGGTGCAGCACGGCTTCCGCTGCTGAGAGATGTGGACTTAAGAGGGCTATGCGAGCTGGTTGCGGGCGCGCTACTCCTTACGCCGGGCTCCAATGTCGCGACGGTTGCCGTACAGGACTGCGCGGCAGCCATGGAGGGTGCGGGCCGAGGCACCAAGCTTGCCAAGCAGCAAGCGGCACCGATTAAGGCCCAGCGCGCCAGCGCAAGCAACGCCGCGTGCAGTTGTTGCCAAAGCCACGACAGCCCGGCTGACAGTCGATGGCGTCCACCATCATTTGGAGCCACACACAGGCGCGTACAAGAAGGCAAGCTGCAATTTGCTATATTATCCTTGCTGCTTATGGTGTAGTCCCCTTCAGCTTCCCTATTGCTCCACCGTGTCGCTGCAACATGGCATTGATTGGAGAGTCCGCGGCGGTTAGGAGGCGTGAGGCAAGATAAAACCAGTCTTCTTCGTACATATGGCCGGAAACTAAGTAGCTGGCATCCTCCGCTGGTTGCTTTCGTGTGTTGGGAAAGATTGCACATTCCGCTTGAGAGGGATGCCTGTCACATACTAGTAGGATTGCTACCCATAAGCAAGGTCAGTGTAAAACGTTCACGTCACGGCGTGTTGGTTGCGTCATGTGCACGGCATGACCCAGGGACCCCATCACGAATTCGGGATCCAATCCTGCTAGAAAGGCGGACCTGCAGACGAAACATGTACAATTAATTTATGCAAGTAGGAAACGTAAATAGTGCTAACATGGAGAATCGTATACCCTGCTTTGTCGCTGGTAACAAAGGCTACGTCTGGGACGCAGACGGTGCGAATAGACTTAATATATACAGTGTTATTGTTACATCAGTGCGATCTGTGTTAAAGAGTGTCATCATTGTTCGCAGGCGCTATGCGTCTTCGCAAGCAGCATCACATAATGGGCTGTCTTGTTGGGAGCGTTGCACGTAAGTCGCAGATAGCTTACAAACATATGCAAAGCATGTCTCAGACATCGCGCTGAACCACTTTCGGGATTGACGCCGCCAACCGAACATCTTCCCAACACCCCACGCAGTAGTGCACCTTTAGTCGGCAGTCCCCTGTCAGCCTTCACCCTGGCTACCAGCCTTGCTTCCGCATCCCCTCATGATGTGTAATCAGAGTCCCCATTGTTAACCAAGTAGGCTTGCTTCCTATCCCCACACAATCCATTGGTCGCAGTCCACGTCCCGCCATCCCATGCCGCCTGCCAGGATATGCAGCAAGCTCCTTTCCCGTTGCCCATAACCTTACCCCAATGCAGAATTCAAGAACCAAAACGATGTCAAGCACCTGCCGTTGGAGCTCAGCGCTGATGAAGTGACGCTTGCAGTACGACAAGGCGAGTACGGCGCTTGTGAGGGGCTGGCAGTTAGCCGATGTTTGTATCCGTACCACACCCGCGGTCCCTTCATGCTGTCCGTGCCAAGGTTGTCTTGTCGTGGTTCATGTTAAGCGCGCTGGGTGATTTAGTCCTAATGGCCGGCCAATGAGCCTAATGAAGAGCTCCCTCCCCATTTTTCCTGGTGCTTTTAGGCTGGATCGAGCTCTTTCCAGAGACCTCGACACCTGTAAGGGCCGCAGCAGCAGCGGCCGCTGCCGCCGAAGCAGCAGCAGCAGCAGCGGGAGAACGCAGCAATGCTTGTGCAGGCGGCGGTGATGGTCGCTTCGGCCGCCGTGCCCTTCCTCCCGACCCCGATTGGGAGGATGCCTACCACGAGTACTACTCGCAGTTCGACCCACGGGTCGGCTTCACGGGTCGCCGCCTACCTGTGCTAGGCCCCAAACGACGGCGTCTGGCGCCTCCTCGTGCTCTGCATCCAGAGCAGCAACAACCGCAGCTGCAGGTGGGGACCATTCAGCAGGAGACGCAACAACCGCAGCACCAAGCGGGGGGGATCACTGAGCGAGGAGGGGGACAGAAGGAGGCGCAACAAGCGCACCAGCAGAAGAAAGAGGAATCCGAGTCAGGCACCCATGCGACCATGCCGGGGGCAGCGGCAGCAGCAGCAGCAGCGGCTGTGGTGGTGGCTTCTGGCGCACCAGATCAGTCCGAGGCGGGGTGGCGGGCGGCGCTGGGATGCGGCGGGTCGTACACACTGCCCCTGACGGCGGCGGCGGCGACGGCGGCGCGGACTGGGGAGGTAGCGACAGCGGGGGGGAATGCGGTGGACAGCCGCCGGCCTCCAGCTGTGTCGCCGTCATCGCCGCCGTCGGCGCCGTCGGCGTCGGCGGGTGGTTCGGTAGCAGATGGAGGTGGGTTTGGGTGAGGAGGGGGTGGAGGTAACAGCGCTCCTCTGCAAAATGGATGCGTGGTTGCTCGGAGGGCTATTTTCCCCCAGTCGCCCTTCCGTGCAGCCCGCTAAGGACTAAACGTTGCGGAGTATGGTATCCCTATCAACACCCCCCCCCAAATCGATTGGTTTCGGTAGGGACCACTACCCCTCCCCCTGCCTTGTGAATGCCTGCTTTTTTCTTTTTTGGTTTTTCTTTGGTTTTAATTGGTCCAAAAATTGACCCCCAAATGGATTGCCTGGTGGCCCTCAGGGGTTTGCCGAGTGGGCTGGACCTACCCCAACACCGAGTACGAGCGGCTGCGGTTCGCCGTGTTCTGTGACCTGCATCGCCAAGGGTGCGTACGGCATAGCGCAAGGGCGGAAAAGCTGGGCAGTGTACATCACACGTGTACGGTGCTAAAGCCGGGCAGTACGGATGTAGGGCACGCATGACGTGGGGCGTGTCAGGGTCACAGGACACATGCAGAACTCCATGTTCACAACGAACAGGCTGACATGCGCTCAGGTGTTGTTGTTCTTGTTTATGACCTGCACCGCTGTAAGGTTGCCGATACATGATGTAACGTTCAAAGCCCGCAACCTGCATTGCCAAGGCTGGTACGGCGGCACCCCTACACCAGCCCAACCTCTACGCTCGTTCGCCAGCCTCGACCCTCAACCTCCAACCTCCACCCACACTCACATCGCAACCTGCACCCAGGTTTGTCATGACGGGCGGTATCAAGTTCGGCGCTGACATGCTGGCCTACCCGGGGGATCCCTCGCTCTACCACGCGCAGTTCACGGTACGGCCGCTGCTGCCGGGCGAGGCGCTGAACCCCATGCTGCTCAAAGCGGTGGCCCGTGGGTCACATGCAGCACGCAAACACGTGCTGCTGGCGTTTTACGCGGTAGGTTTTACGCATGGGCTGTGAACATGCACATAGGGGGCACTTCGTCTCGGGGCAGCGGAGGTGGCAGGATGGCTGGGCACACGGTTAGGAGATATGACCTTTTCCAGTCGAGCCGATGTTTAGAAGCGCTATGTCCCAATCTACGGAGCATAACCCTGCTAAGCGCGCTTGAAAGCAGTTATGCTTTGACAAAATTGACACCAGCCGTGCGTGTCGGACCTCCCTTCCTTTTCCCTTCCCTTCCCTTATCGCCGTTCAGGAGGGCGAGGCGGCGCTCGGGAAGAGCGTGTGGTTATCACCTTTGGGGAGCCAACTTCCGCGCATCAAGTACCTGTCCCTGGCACCCGAGGCCGGGTTCGGCGCCAATGCCTGAAATATAAACTGTTTTGCCATGCTCGCATGCGACAGTGAGCTGAGCAGCTAACAGCAAACAGTAATGTCTTGGGCGACTCGGATGTCTCTTTGCAGCCTCCTAGCGAAGGAGAGGAGAGGAGTGTCGCAACGAAACGCACCGCAAGACGACGGAGGAGGGCACTGGTATCGTTGGTGTCCTTCCATCTGGAGCTCAATTGGGGGTGCCGAAGGGATTATGTAAACTGAGGGGATGTGTTGCTGTCAGTGATTGTCCCTCCGGACCTGTGGGTCTCTGGAGGAACCTAATCACGCCATTGACACGGCATTAGGTGCGGTCGCACCCGTGCAATTAGCGGTGCTCAGTTATGGTCGGAGGAGGAGGAGAGGCATGCGTTCGAAGGGTCGGTTTGAATAAGGTGCACCCAACGGAGAGTTGGGCCCGTGGGGGCTTTACCGTGGTCTACTGTTAACAGTTGCGAGGTCATGCAACGATGCAAGCCGTCCTACAAAGGGTGGTTCTGGCAGGAACCGCTGCACGACGAGCGGGAACGCGGGATGTAAGGCTAAGCTGCTAACCAGTTATGATGCATTACGCCTACACGCACCTCGCTGCCGCCCAATGCGTGCACATTCCGCTTTCCGGTCCTCAACACTACTCACGTCCTCCAATCGCCAGCATGGCTGCAATGAGCAACCAATGCAATGCGCGCTCGCAGCACACCGGATGCCCAACACACAACGGAGCCACAGTACGTTCCTGCTCGCGGCCAGTTTTCTGAACACAACTGGGCCCCGCGTATCATCCCCCGCTGCAAAACATTGCACGCAAGGTACGACCGCACGACCCAGGCAGCCTACCGGATTTGTCTTCAGATACCGGACTTCCTTGCCTAGCCTCGCATACCGGCTACGGGTACGTTACGTTAGCAATACGGTACCGGTACCGCCCCAACTTCACAGCGCCCTCCGCAACACCCTCCCACCCTGCCCATCCACTGTGGCCACGGCCAGTGTTTCCTCGCGGCTCAGTTTATCTCATCCAGCCGTGCACAGAGGACGCCATTACGGTCTTTTTCAGCCATGATTGGTGTTTTGTTTGTTGTATTACCAGGTATTACCGGTAATTCGAAATCTGCTCCACAGCTACAACTCTCACCCAAAGCGCATCTGCTGTGTATTTGCGTGTCCAAAGTCAGGACATGATTACCGTACCCCCTCCATCATTGCTTCCATCCAGCTACCTACGAAACCTACCGAAACGAGAGCTCCTGCACCTCCCCGGCGCCCCCCTCAGCCCATGCGGACAGCCCCTCCACCGCCAGCTGCGCGCCCTTCACGCCGGCAGCCGCCGCCTCCGCCAGCACCACCCGAAGCGCAACAGCTGCAATTGACGACCCATGGGTCACATTCCCAAGCGCCGCCTCCTTAACAGCCCCTCTCATCCCCATCACTCCTCCTGCTTCATCCCGCTGACACGACGGCGTGTTGCTGGCGCCTTGTGCAGTGCTGCTGGGGGGCCGCCCATCGGCGTTCTCCTTGCTGCATGCCGGTAACAAGGTAACACCATCTCCATGGCCATGCAACCCAGATGAAGTAGAATCGTCTCGGTAAAGAGGCCCGGAGGCGTCAGGCAGCCGTAGCATCGCTGCCGCCGCAGCCGCAGGAAGCGTGCGGTAGGCTGCGGAAAGGCAGCGCAGCGCTATGGTGCGGACCTGCGCAAAAAGGAAAGCCAAGAAGTTGTGGCTCGGAAGCAAGTTTACCGGTAGGCAAAAGCCAGGAAAGCATGGCTAAAACAGGATACCGGTGCTTCGTCCCTACATCATTCACGATGCTGTCTGGCATGCGGCCCCATGAGCCCCCATGGCCCCCCTCCGTGCAACGCACCCCCCGTGTTCCCTGTCACAACCCTTCACCTCCTTGCATTGCGCACATCAACTTGCAGCCAAAGGCAGCAACAATCATGTCAGCTCCGTCACACGCATACCGGGTTTCCACGTCGCCGTGTAGCGGCAAAAACCGGCATGCTGTCGTACAGAAATACGCCCCCAGCAAGAGCCGTACGTACCTGCCCCGCTCGCAGGTTTAGGATAGCCCGGAGGCTGCTGCAGGGTGCTGCTTCCCGCAATCGCAGGAAGGCATGCCAGTCGCCCAGGGCCATGGCGGAGAGAACCTGATGATCCTAGGATGCAAAGACGTCAAGGGAAGCATGCCGGGGGGTACCGCCATGCAACGTGTACGGCGGCAGCAGCGTCGTACAGCAGTGTCAGTTGTACGGTGTACGGCATGAAGCACGGTTTCAGGGCAGGCATGGCTGCAGGGACGGACCGTACGCGACGAGGAGCATGAAGCGCGGGTGGCGATGCTGAATTGCTAATGCCTTGGCTGGTGCGTGGCATAAAAAAACAGAATGGTTTAGGGAATTAAGACGGCATGGGAAAGAAGGCGAGAGGGCTTCATGCGGGGTTGAGGCCTGACCCGCTATGATGTACCGGTGTTACTAAGATCGCACGCACCTTGTTTGCGAAGCGCATGTGCCCGGAAGACATGTACGACAACGCATGCTGGTTTCGAAGCACGGCCGCGGCGTCAGCCACCCGACCGGAGGGCACGCAGGCCAGAAAGAGGCAGTGAGCCGCGTACATTTCACTGCAGCGGCTGCAGCGGCTGCTGCTGGTGCTGCTACTGCCGCCTCCAAAACCGGCCCCGCCCTCACTACTGCTTGATTCGGCTTCGCCGGTGTCGTGACGTGCGCACGTTCCGTGAATCACGCGACCGCCGCCACCACCACCGTTGCAACCGCCGGCGGCGCTGCTACCTTCACAGACCACAGCTGCGGGTCTAACGGAAGGCCGCTCATCTGCTTCCTGTTGCTGCTGCGGCGGCGGCGTCGGCTGCCCCTGGGGCTGTTCTCCGTGCTCTTTCGTTCCTCCAGCCGTATCGCTGCTGCTGTTGCTGCTAGCAATGCTCGCTTCAGGCGCCTGTGGGAAAGCCTGCAGCGCCCCTGTGGGGTAGCCCGCCGAAACGGGGTGCTGCTGTGACTGCTCTTGCCATCGCTGCTGCTGCTGCAGCTGTTGTACTGCAGGATACAATTCAGTTGTGAGGCCGTTGACCGACTTTAGGTACTCCGACCAGGACTTGGCGGCGAGACAGACATCAGCAGAGGCCTCGTAAACCTGTTTGTGAGGAAGGGTGCATGTTGAGGTGGGGTTTGTGTAGCTTTGCCTGGGAAGACAAAGGGAACGGTTCCGAGTCTTGGGAGGATGTGGCCAGCTGGAAAGGGATTGGACCATGGATTGAACACCAATTGTGGTGATTTTCGCACCGCGTTCGGCTCTCTTGCCTGAACTGCGAGCTCGTCCTGAACGTATGCGGCTACGAGGGATTCTCGAAGGGAGCGGAAGCGACGAACTGCGCTCTCAAGCTCATCCGCACCTGTGGATGGGATGATGGCGGTTGGTTAGCACCTGGCAGGCGGCAGCAGGTGATAAGCCGTCACCAGTTACAAGTACGCCACAGTTGCGCTCTTACTTGCACAACCCTCACTGTCGCGTCTGAGGAGCTCCACGACTATCGGTTGCAGCTGCGCCCATGCACGCCGGCAGGCCTCAACGTCGCCCGCCTCTCCAACTAGGAGCGTCGGTCGTGGAGGCAGTGCGCGCCTACAGGGTCACATGGGGCTAATATGAGAGAAATTTCTCTCGCGTCGCTGCTGACAAGTCGATAGCTCCGTCGCTTGGCGAAATGAATGCCTAAAACTTGATTACTGTTACACAACATACCCGTTTGCCTTCGCTTCCATAATCGGCAAAGGAAGTGCGCGTGTTTGGCGCGAAACAAGCGTAAGTTGGTCAGGGTTCCTGCTTTCACCGATCGCCTTCCTTAAGCCTAGGCGTAATGCTAATACATGCTATGGTCTAGGCTGTATAAATGTACGCAAGCAGCCTTGACGGCGGAAACTCCAACCGTATTTGTACCACGCGTGTATGCAGTACAGTCTGTTGCCTTACCTGCTATGCTCTTGGTCTGGATGCCCATGGTGTCTGTTAGCCACATCTGGTTGCTCGGTATTCCGACGAGGAAGGCCCGACGAAAAAATTGTTCCTAATTGGAAACCGCGGAGAGGCTGTGAATTGCACTTGGCCACTGCAGGCAGTCTGCCAAGCTACCCAGAACACAGCAGACTACGTGCGTTTGGGTTTGAGGGCTTGGAATGCCAAGGCGGGCCAATGGTTCATGCTGTTGGGGTTTGGTTCCCTGACGAATGGTCTGCATGCGCCCTTGCACCCCACCCAGAAGCCCGTGCGCTCCAGATGGGTATGGGTTCTATATGGAACTTTATGCGGTGGGTGACACTGTGCAAGACACCGGTTCGGCAAGAATTACCACCTGGCACCAGCTGGCACCATCCATGTCACCAGGGCCTAAGATGTGTTCACCGTAATTGTATCGCGCGGCAAGCAAGTCCATTTGGCTTCTTCAGCTGTTGTGCAGACCACCTGTTGGCGTCAGCAGACAAACAAGATGCCTAGAAGTGCTGCTCGACGCTTTGCGGTTACAGCAGGGCTGGGAGGAAGGCTGAACCATAACATAAAGACTTATATAACCTGCGAGCTTGTATATATTGGATGTGGGATGATTCCCTGAGCAATTCCTGCAGTTGTTGTACGTTGCCTTACACACGCGTCTAAGACTGTCGTCCGAAAACGGAAACCTAGCTCGGCGCAGCGCATTGTTTCCACACGATGATGACAGGAATTTAGTGTAACTGGTTGTAATGCTATTTATTTCACGCTTCTACGGTTCAGGCCACCTGGGCCGCTTTCTTAACTATCCAAGTTGTATGCTCTAAACACCGTAACTTAGGCTCAGAAGTTAAGCCCTGCGCATCACTTTCATTATGGCAAAAAGCGGCCAAAAAAGGGGAAACGTGGGGCTAGCTGCGGAGGCGCTGAAGGTGCGGCTACCCCTGCGCTACCTTGGGGACCAACAGCTTTGGGACGCTTCTGAGTAGAATCCGAGTAGGGTATTGCTGGTGTCATACCTAATGACCAGCGACGTGCTGTGCATGTCATGACAACTGTCGCGAGCGATGGGGCCTTTGAGGTGTTGCAAAACGCTCGCTGAGTCGCTATCGGCGCCAGGTCTATACTGTTGTGCACGAAGGCCTAAGTAACCCTGGTGACCGCGCGAAACCTTCGCTCCATCCATCTACCTCAGGAGGCGCTCATTGCCAAGCTACAACGTGGTGCTAAGGACAGTCCCTTGAATCATGGCATCTTTCAAGCCATTAAACTCGTGGAAGGCTTCCTACAAGCACGCAAGGAGAGCCCCGAGGAGCTGGAAGCCCTCAAATCTGAAATTAAGCGCCTGTTAATGACCCAGGTGCGTAGCTAAGCGTACATCCTGCAACCACACGCTGCCAGCTGCAGCTGCAAGTCACGCTTGGCTCGCACACACCCCCTTGCCGTGGACCACCTCCTTAACCACCCTCTCCTCCTAACTAACCAAACCCTTATTTTGCTCCTCATGCCAACCCCAGATTGTGGCTAAAGCCTCGTTGCCGCCTCACCCCACGCAAGACGGGCGCTCCCGACCAAACGCAACAACAAAACCCACAGCAACAGCAGCATCCCTGCAACAACAACACCAGCTGGCGCAATCCCTGCCGCAACCGCTTCCACAACCGCAGCAGCTGCAGCCGCTGCAGCAGCGACCGCAAGCGCAGCCCCTGCCGCAGCCGCCCCAGCCACGCCCTCAGACGCAGTCGCAGCTGCTGCTGCAGCCGCTGCCGCCGCGGCCGCTCACGCAGGCGCAGGTTCGCGCGCAGCTGCAACAACGGTCGCAAGCGCTTCCATCGCAGCCACTGCCAGGCGCCTCAGCGCTGCAGCCGCAGAACGATGCGGCGAGAGGTGAAGCCACGGGCGGCAATAAGCCCCGGCGGGCGAGCGCCAGGGTGAGTTGATGGCTGACATCCGTGAGTGCTGTGGTGTGGTGGGGTGTGGTGGGGTGTGGTGGGGTGTGGTGGGGTGTGGTGGGGTGTGGTGGGGTGTGGTGGGGTTTGGTTTGGCGTGGTGTGATGTGGGCATGTAGGGTAAAGCGGCTCACGGGCCCGAACCATGTCACATGAACTGTGTGTTAAATCCCATGCGCGTTAGTCCTCAATCCCGTCACGTGTTGCCTCCCCATCCCCTCCCCACACCAAGAGTTGCCGCTACAGGCATCATCCACAGCACAGCTCCTCCCTTCACCTCCCACATTACTCCCACAACCCGGTTCCTCCTTAAACCCTCCCATTCCCTTCCACCCCTCCCTCCCCCTCGGCCCCCCCCCTTCCTGGTTCGGTATGGTCTTTGACCCCCCTTCCTGGGCGGGTCGGGCTGGCTCACATGTTGCAAACCATGATGATGCCTTATCACACTGTCAGTTAGATGTTTCCTCTTCCCCCCCTTCCGCACCCCAGAGCTCCGGCAGCGTGAGTCTGGACTGGACGCTGCCGCAGCGCACCCTCAACCGCAAGGCCTACGTGCGGGTGGGCGACTTTGGGCGCATGACGCTGGTGCAGGACGAGCTGGCGAGGCGGGCGGAGGCGGCGCGGGCGGCGGAGGCGGTGGAGCGGCGGCGGGCGGTGCTGGAGGTATCCCGGGAGCAGATGGAGCTGCTGCGGAAGCGGAAAGAGGTGGGGAGGGAGTTGAGGGTGGAGAGAAGAAAAAGGGGATAGAAAGGAAAAGGAAGAAGAGTATATCATGGTAGCGGAAGGAAGAGGTGGGAGTGGGAGTGGGATTCGGTAGGTTGAGCCGGGAGGAAGCTCCGAGGTGCGGGAGGGGTGGGGCGGGAGGGTGTCAAGAGCGAGGGAGGTCTGTCGGGTTGCTAGAGCTGTACTGCAGGAGGTGTGATGCGGCGAAGAATGGATGGGGCAGCACCGATGGGGTACCGGTAGTTGCTGGGGAAGGATACGGTGTTCAGCGATGATGATGGTGGAGGTGGTAAAGAGGAAACAACTAACGGACTGAGGGATAAGGCGTCAACATGGGTGGTGGAGGTGGTGGTGGGAGCGGAACGCGGGGTGAAGGCGGGAGGAAAAGGGCGGGGGCGTGGACTGGTGGGTGGTGGAGTCTCTCCCTCCTTCCCTGCCTCCCTCGCTTCCTCTCTGCCTCTTCCTCCCCATCTGAAGGTTTGTTCTTTCGCTGCACCCGCAGGACGAGCGGGAGGCTCGGCGGCAAGCGCAGCGGGATATGGACGAGCAATTACGGCAATACCAGGTACGTTTCCCGCGATTGAGGCAGCTGGACATGGGCGTAAGTCAGAAGTTGTGCGTGCGGGTGCGCGCCGTATAGTCCGTGGCACCATTCTTCACAGTCCTTGTACCCTCCTGACGCCTATATTGCTGCCGCCGCTGCTGCTGCTTTTATCCTGCAAACATGCCGGATACTACAAAAGGCTTTCCTCTTGCTGCTCCTGCCGCTGAGTACCGGTATCGTCCCTTTCTCCACCTTGCTGCATGTGCCGTACGCATGCCGTATGCAGGCGTCGGAAGCAGCTCGGATGCAGAGGCAGCGGGAGCAGCAGTCGCAGCTGCGGGGCTTGTACGCGGGGCAAGTGGAGGAGCAGCAGGTGTGTTGATGCGCTGCGCAGGGGGAAGGTGGCTTGTGAAAGGGGAAGGTGGCTTGTGAAAGGGGAAGGTGGCTTGTGAAAGGGGAGTGGCTTGTGAAAGGGGAAGGTGGCTTGTGAAAGGGGAAGGTGGCTTGTGAAAGGGGAAGGTGGCTTGTGAAAGGGGAAGGTGGCTTGTGCGGCGCTTCCTAGGAACTGCATCCCAACTCAATCCAACCTGTCATGCCTTACATTGCCGTACAAAACGGCATTGCTCCACCGCTTTCCACAAAAGGTATCCACTTCCGGTCAGAGTGTTCTTTCCAACGCGGCTCAGTTGGAGCACGCCCCATTCCCCCACTCTGCTTCACTTTTCAATTCTCTTTTTGACCCCAAACTCCCTACCATACACCTGAACACACCCCCTACCCCTCTCCCGCCTCTCTCCCGCCTCTCTCCCGCCCCTCTCCCGCCCCTCTCCCGCCCCTCTTCCACCAGGCTCGTAAGCGTAGTGAGGCGGAGCAGCGCATGCGGGAACACGAGGCGGAGCGGTTGCAGCTTCTGGAGGAGGAGCGGAGGGAGCGGGAGCGGCAGGAAAAGGTGGGGAGGAGGGAGAGGCGGGGCGGGGCTGGCGTGATTGTTGTGCCGGAACGTGGGCCATTGTTGAGTGGGGGCGGGTGAGCAGGCGGAGGGTTATGCTTTGGGAGGAGGGGGATCTGCAATTCTGCACGAGACTCCTCATTGTTACTCTTGTTGTTGCTGCTGCTGCTGACGGTTGCCGCCCTGCAGGTTGCCCGTGAGAATGCGGAGCAGCGGGAGGCGCTGCGAGTGGCGTTGCTGGCTGCCATGGAGGAGAAGGCGGCTGCGAGGCTGGCGCTGATCGAGGAGGAGAACCGGTACAACCGGGAGTGCATTGCCAAGATGGGTGAGAGGGGGATGGCAGGAGGAGGAGGAGGAGGGCGGCCCTTGCTGTTTTGTTGGGAGGGAAGGATCGGTCTTCAGCATCACGGTGCTGGGCGAGCACCCCCGGATGGTGCGCATTGCAGGGAGGTGACATCGCACCAGATACCATGCCTGCCTTTTCCTCTTGTGCCTTCCTTCCCTCACCGTGTCGCCCCGTGTGTTAAGGAAACTGGCCGCGAGTCGAAACAAACCGTGATTGCCGGAAAATGAAGTCACCACAGAAACGTCACAAGTGGAGTAGAGTCCGTTGGCTGTGTGGTAGTAAAGCCCTGTGTATGTGTTCCCGTGCCTCCATCCGAGCAACCGCTGTGCTACCCCCCCCAACACCCCCCGGTATGGTCTTTGATCCCCACCCCACCCCCCCGGGTGCTGTCCTGGCTCCCGGTGTGTCGTACCGCCTCCGCAGATGCTGACGAGGCGGCTCGGCGGCAGGTGGTGGCGTTGCGTCAGGAGCGCATGCGGCTGGCGGTGGAGCGGGGAGGCGGCGCAGCGCTGCAGGTGGGGGGGGCCAGGGGGGAGGAATACATGAAGGGCTCTGAAGGGGGGGGGACGGGGCGGGGCGGAGCGCGATGGGGCACATAGCTGACACGCCATGGGTAGTGGTGGGCTAGGGGTTAATGGGGATGAAGATTCCGCATGAAGCTAGGTGGGCTAGGGGTGGTGAGGGCGGGCCGCATGGCCGGCTTTGCAGCAGTTGCAGCGCTAGGAGGGTTGGGAAGAGGAGTGGGAGGAGAAGCGGGAGGCAGCGAGCCGCTGCCATGGGTTTCTAGTCCAATGGCTTTGCGCGGCGTTTAGAGGACAGCTACACGGGTGCTGCCAACGGCAACTTCAACCCTCAGCGGCAGCAAGGGACACGCAAAATCGCGCATCCTTCCTCCTCCGCCTCTACTACCGCACTTTGGCGACACGTGTTACGTGTACCTTGTCGTTTCGCCACACGCCTCCCCGTAACCAAACACGCGCTCTCCTCCCACACTCGCTCTGCTCCTCCCCCTCCCGCTGTCCCGTCCAGGCTTCCCTAGAGCAGCAGGAGCGCGCGGCAGCCGAACGCGCGGAGCGCCTCGCAGCCCAACAAGAAGCCGCAAACTTGGAACGAGAACGCCAAACCGTCGCACGACGCCAGCGCCAAGCGGAGGAGGCCCTGCGGCAGCTTGATGCGCAGATTGCGGAGAAGGAAGCGCAGAAACGCGCGGCGGCGGAGGCGGAGGAGCGACTGCGGGCGACCGTGCGGGCAGCGGAGGCGGCGGCGCGGGCGGAGGCGGAGGCGGCGAAGGCGGCGCGGCGGCGGGCGCAGGCGGAGGCTCTGGAGGAGCAGAAGGCGGCGGTGGCGGAGCAGCACCGGCGGCGATACCAGGAATACCGAGAGTGAGTTGGTGGGGGCGGTACTAGTATCAGAAAGTCGAGGAATCTTGACTTAGGAGCGCCATCGGGCAATTTGTCAGCATGTCCTCACACGTACTCGCTCCCCTTTTCCTCCTTTCCCATGCCTCGCTTGTACCTTGCCCTGACCGGTACACCCCTCCCACCCCGGCATGCGCAGGCCTGTTGAGGACCGCTACCGCTGGCTGCATGCGGGTGCGCTGTCGGGCACGCAGCGCGCGTTTAATAACCTGGCGGTGCCGGCGGGGAAGGCGGCGGTGCTGGCAGGCATGACGGTGTAGTGGAGGAGGAAGGGTGGTGGCATGCAGGAGGTGGGAGGGGGCTGCATGTATGGCGGAGTATGAATGTGTATGAGGAGTCATGCATGCAGCGTGTGATGGTGCGGTGCAGGCTTTGTGGATTGTGAATTGCGGGGCGATTTAAGAAAACTGGCTGCGAGTCGGATCGTACTGTGATTGCCGGAAGATGAAGTCCCGACAGAAACGCTACAGGTGCCGAGGAGTATGGGGGCGTGTGCATGCATGGGTTTCACTCCGTGTGCGGCTCGGCCTTTCCCTTCGGAGTAAAGCGGACCTGAGGACCTAAGCGTGACGGTGCCGGGCGGGGTGCAATGCACAGGTGGTGTTGGGGCGTTATTGCGGAGGGTAAGGAACGAAGGGTGCATGGTGGTTGCGAGCATGGCGGCGGAGGGGAGGTGTGAGAATTCCATGCAAGGACGCCACAGCGCAGGCACACCGCGAGAATACGCGTATACGGCTACCCACTTGGGGCAGATGAAAGGTGCAGGTGCCTGGGCGACTTGAGATTTGAGGTGAAGGTGCAGGCGAGCAGAGTGCGGCTCAACGGATGCAGCATTAGAGGTGTGTGCTAATGGCAGGAGGAAGCAAACCGTGCAGGAGTTGACTGGTTATTTGGCAGGCACGGGCAAGGTGTTGCTGTGGCCATGTGCTTGGAAAGCCCTAGCTATAGCTGTGGGATTATGGGCTCATCCTATACATACATATATCCTATTTATGGTACCCGCTTGGGCGCTTATACCGGACACCCGGTGGGCGTTGGAGGTTGGAGGTTTGAGGCAGTCGTTGATGTGTTGCGGGTTTGTTGACACGTGTTGCGACTTTGCGAGCGCTGAAGATGAAAGAAGAACTGAGTAGTCAAGCAGTGTCGTGCAAGCAAGGGTTTGTTCACACCAGGGGCTGCGAATATATCAGTCCGTGTTGGCTGGTCGTACACGCGGAAAAATGCCCGCGAAATGGATGAGAATAGTGTTGGTGATCTTTCCAGAACGAACTGTATTGGTGTTGTACATTGGTGTTCGCGTTGGTTCATATCCATGGGGTGCTGTCGCTTGCGCTCTCGCCAAGTACGACACCGGTCGTACATTGGATACGACAGGGTACGAGCTCATAAAGGCATCGTTACTCTTGCTCTCTTACTGCGGGTAGATAGGTACGGCTGAGGTGCATCAGTCCGATGCTGGGCCAACTGGGCTATATAGTTGCCGCTTCGTTGCTTCAGGCACTGGGTGTATGTTTTGCCCATATGGCACATGCATGCATGCGGATCTGGACGATGACACCGTACAGGAGCGAAATGCGTGCGCAGTGTTTCTCCTGCGCTGGCTGGTCCCAGCTTTTGCAAATGTTGTAAAGTTATCCTGTCCAGGCCCAGACGGCATACCCCACCATTGCACCTTGCGACGGGCCCTGTCAGGCCCTCCATGCCGCCGACCAAACAAGTTACGGGCTGTGGTTGGCAACCGGTTGCGCTTGGATGGGGCACCTCAGCCTCATCGCCTGGCCCCGTTGTCGGCACCGTTACATGCAGTCTTGAGGTGTCCTCAAAGCAAACTTAAGGGTTAAACGTGAGGAAAGTGACGAGGAACCAACCAACCATCTAAGGGTTGGGGGCCACACCATCCCCGGATAGGACTGGAGAACTTGCCCTAAATACCCATTTGCAGGTGATAACCATTGCCATGGACAACTGGCATCCATTGACGTGCTGGTGAGGGCTTGTGCTTCAAACAAGGCACTCGCGATGTTCTGCAGGAAAGGGGATGGGTGCGGGGACTACCTAGAGGCTAATCGCGTCCGTGGTTGCTTGAAAAGGTTGGAAACATTGAAAGCTGCTTGGACATTTAAGCGTTGGCTGCGAACTTCCCGGAAGAGAGTTGGTGCCTGTTGGTGGGGTGCCTGCTGCGGTCGACATACGGTATGTACGACGTAACGGCAAGCATATGCCGGCGAAATCGAGATACCGCCCAAAAGACTTCCAATGCATCTCATGCATCCACAACATTTATGCTCACTTTTTACCTTAAAAGTTTGATAGTACGTTCCCACTTTAAAGTCAACATTTGTCCAAGAGGTAGGATTACGAGCTCCTTACCCAGAAGGCGACACCATGGCGAATGCGGCTAATAAGCGAACGTACTACAAACGAGTATTACCTTCTCCTCCAGCTATAGCCTTCTCATCGGCCGAAGGTGCGGTATCGCTCGGTCATACACCACGTGGACAGCCCGCCGCAAATGGCAATACTGGCACTCTACCTCGTCAAGGGTGCCTTTTAGATAACGGAAGGGACTTACCCATTGTATACCGGTACCTGGTTACCTATGCATTACCCATACATCTAGCTTATACTTGCGCTGCAGGACGGGTGATATTCTCGGAAGCCCTTCGTCTTGGCAGTATGGTTGGATTCTTCAAATTGATAGAGCAATTTACGTGAGAAGCCTGTCAAGCTGCTTGGTCTAGGGTTTAATGCCGGTCGCTGTCTGGTTGTCAACCGACGAACCGGGGCTCTGCGGTTTGAAGGACGTCCACAATGCGGTCACGCTTACCCAAATATATAAAGGCCGCATATTGGTTGGTATGCCTAACGTACACCGCTAGGGCCTTAGGGTTGGGCGTTGACATGGGACCGAACATTCGCTCTGCCCATTGCCGCAGTACCCAGGAGGAGCCGCAGTACTGCGGCCTAGCAGCGCTCGCCATGACGCTTAACGCACTGAGCGTAGATCCGCGGCGCCTGTGGAAGGGCTCCTGGCGCTGGTTCTCCGAAACCATGCTGGATTGCTGCAAGAGCATGGAGGACGTGAAGCGTGACGGCCTCACGCTCAGCCAGGTCAGTAAGCCGGGAGGGGCTCTTGGATAATGATAAGTGGAGCCCCGCCTTACTGTCAGAGTCCTACCTTTCCTGATTCCTTGTGTCCGAGGACATGTTCTCCCCGGGTCCGAACCGGTCAACCAGCACTGCCCCGGACCCGCAGGCAGCCTGCTTGGCCCGGTGCAATGGAGCCGACGTGTCCATCCACCGGCATGGCACCTTTGATGCGGAGGACTTCCGTCGGACACTGCGGGAGGTCTGTGCATGCGAGGTGCGCGGCTTCTTTAATGGTATTGGTGTTGGCATGGAGTACTGGTGTCGCCACACTTGCATGTACGACACCTACGACACATCATCCCCCCTCATCCCTTTCCATGTACGGCACCACCTCATCCGTCATCCCTTGATTCCCCTCCCTCAGGACCGCCACATGGTGGTGTCGTACAGTCGCAAGACGTTCAAACAGAGCGGCGACGGGCACTTCAGCCCCGTGGGCGGCTACCACTCGGAGCGGGACCTGGTGCTGCTACTGGACGTGGTAAGCGGGTTTGGGCTGATGTGAACCCGCTTTTGTTTGTAACTGCATGTTTGCCCTGTTACAGCATGTAAAGACGTTGCGGAAAGGGTGGTATCAGTTTACTGTTTGTTGTCTGTCGCTACCGGTAGCCGTACTGGGTGGTGCGTTATCTCCATTTGTCCCTCCTCGCAACGTTTTGATGTTTCTGTTTGCGCAGGCTCGCTTCAAGTACGCGCCTCACTGGGTTCGAACCACGGACCTGATTGACGCCATGGGCCTGCATGACCCCGTCATCGCTCGCCCGCGGGGATTCCTGCTGCTCAGCTGCCGGCATCCGCGCGAGTCTGCGCTGTTCACTGTGACGATGATCCCCACCTCCAACCCTGCCCTCATCCACACTCCTCCACGACTACCGTGCCCTGCTTCCGCGACCGTCACGGCGACCTCCTCCGCCCCCGCTGCCACCCACCCTGCTGCTGCTGCTGCGCCGCTTTCAGTTCCTCCACCTCTCCTGCGGCTCTCAGAGCTGCATGAGCAGCAGCAGCCCCGGCAGCAGCAGCAGGAGGCCTCCCATTCCCCTACCCCTGCCCCGCAACCCGCATGGTCCGGGGCACTGCGCTTCCTGAGCCATGATGCCCCCGCGTTGCTGCGTCGGCTGGTCCCTGCTGCTGGTAGCGGTCTGACGGAGGGGGTGCAGGCGAGTGGCGACGAAGCAGCTGGGAGGGCGGCAGCAACGGACACAGCGGTGCGAGAGGGAGCAGGGGCGGACGGTCTTGGCTGCGGTGTCTGCAGCTCTGGTGGGATTGTGACGCCGCACGCACCCACTGTCATCCCCAGCGTGGAGTCTCTGGTGGCGTCCCTGGTGGCAGCAGCGCCGCTGGACAGCGTGTGTGCGCTGCTGAGTCGCCGACCCACGCTAGCAGCCGTGGGGGAGGTACGATCCGGACCTTGCTGCGGTTGTACGGCAACGTACGGCGGCGGCGGCTGTACCGGCAGTGGCGGAAGTAGCGTCCTAGCGCCATGCAACAGCGGTTGTGGTGGTGGTAGAGGTAGTCTCGTCACGGGGTTGATGACTGCTTGGGCGGCGGCAGCGGTGATGGGAGGGCCGGCTGCGGCCCAGGCGCAGTGCTGTGATGGCGGCAGTGGGGACGCGATAACCTTCGCGACAAACTCAATTGCTGCTGCGGCTGCTGATGGCAGTAGCGGCAGCAGCATTGCTGCTTCTGTTCCTGTAGCAACTGCTGCTGCTGCTGCTGCCACCAGCAGCATCAACGGAGCCATCCAATGCTGCCTCACAGCAGCGCGCGCCTCTCCTCCCCCACCAGCGGAGGCAGCGGCTGCAGCAGCGGCGGCGGCGGATTTCGAACTCCTGACTTCAGCTAGCACAGCAACCATGATGGGTGAATCCCCACCTGCCAGCATGGGCTTCCTTCAACAGATGTCTGGGAGCATGCCAGGCATGCCCAACCCAAGCTTATGCATGCCCAAGCTCCAGAGCACCAGCAGCGCCTGCAGCATCGCTTCGGCCAGCGATGTGGGTTCGCTGGGAAGCAGTCTGGGCAGCAGCAGCAGCAGCAGCGAGTGGGGAGGAGCGCGCAGCAGCGACTGCAGCAGCGCCGGGTGGGTAGCTGGGAACGGTACGCTGTGCTGGTGTGTGTCTATCTGAGCTCTTAGCGTCTTAGGCCCTGCTGGCTTGCTGGGCGGATTGGGAACGGCTGTGTGTATGCCGAAGGAGAGGCTCAGCGAGGAGGACGCCCGTTGTCATATACGCATATATCAGTGTGCACCTAACGGCGTCGCACCCTGCTACATGCCTTTTGCTGAGGATGCCGCTTGCTGCTCCCCTCTGTCTTGCATGGTCTAACCCCGCAGGTCGCTGCAAAGCAGCAGCAGCTGGGTCTTCTGCATTACTGGCTGCAAAGCCCGTATGCCCAATTGTAATAACAACAACAGCAGCAGCGGCAGCAACATTGTCAGCAACAGCAGCAGTAACGGTGGTAACAGCACCAGCGATGCGGGGGCATGCAGTTCTGGTGCTTGCAGCATCATCATCAACAACAACGATGGCGTGAAGAACGCTAGCACTGGCTATTGTGCCAGTGGCACTAGAATCTGCAACCACGGCAGCAGCAGCTCCTGCTGTCACGGGGAGCCGCTTGAGCACCACTGCGTCCCACCGCAGGTAAGGGCTAGGGAGGCTTATGCCGTTATACGCGAGTGCTGCCTTCCGCTCATTGCCGTACAGTCACGTACAGACACCAGACAACCGCTACATTTCTCCCTCCTATATTTGCGGCATGGCCATATGAGGCCCACAGCAGGGTTGTGTGTCGCACTTGATCCCCGTTCTGACTCCCCTGTAGTTATTGCATACTCCTTCTTTTGACAGTCCCTGGCTCCCTGCACGCAGCAAGCCCCCCGCGCGCATTAAAGGCATGAATGTGGACAATTGCCGTCCTGCGAGCCATCCTCCGTCTCTCACACCTCCTTGGTTCGGAGGTCCACAAGCCCGGATGTGCTTTTGCTGACACCTATGCCGCACTAACCCCTAGCAGAAAACTTTAGGCGTGACAACCCACCCTCGCTGCCGCCTTGTGTGCTTTCCCCTTCTGCGCCTCTTATGTTGCTTACCGCTTTGTCTTCCTCTTCCTCCTGGACACACATCACATCGAGCAGGTCCAAGCCCTCATGTTGGACGAGCTCCGCTTCACGCACATGTACCAGCTGGTGTCGTACTGCCTGCGGCGGCAGCGCGGCTGCCCGCATGGTCGTGCCCCGGACCTGGATGCCTTCATGCGCCCGGCGGGGACGAAAAAGCAGCCGCCACCGCCGGCTGCTCAGCTGCAACCGGCTGCCGAGTCGGGAGCCTTGGGACCACCCCAGCACATGCAACATGCTCCTGCTCCTCGGGCTGCTCCTGGGACTGCTTCTGGGACCATGTCCGCGTCTGCTGGGTCCAACACAGCCGACCTCTCAGCGGGGGCTGATGCCGCTGCTGGAGGAGCTGCTGGAGCTGCTGGAGCTGCTGCTGCCCCTGCCCCTGCAAACGGAGGAGGAGAAGGAGGAGTCCCGGAGCGGTTCCGCCCGTCCTCAGGGAGCAGCAGCAACAGTAACAACAGCAACAGCGATGCCGCAACGGAGGCCTGCGGCTGTGGCGATCTGGGCCTCCCGGAGCTGGCGGCTGAGAAGCTGACGCTGTTGCTGCTGACGCTGCCCGGGGCTAGCGAGTTGTGGCCGCAGCTGCCACCACCACCACCAACAACAACACCAGCAGCAGCAGCAGCACTGTCACCGCCGCCACAGCAGCAACAGCAGCAGCAGCTGCCGGGCGTCAGCAGTCCCTTCAAGGCGGCCGCCTTGGGAACCCGTCTGGTGCCCACGGATGCTGACACTGATGCCCTCAACACGGTTGCTACCAACGTTGCTGTCACCGGGTTCACCCAGTCAGAAACCGCAGAAGAAGAACAACATGCAGCCGCGCGTACCGGCGCTGCTGGAAGTGGCGGTTGTAACACCACCAGAATTGTTACCACCACAAGTACTGGCAACGGGGATCGGGGCGGTGTCGTTTGCGGACGGCCGTTTTGCCGCAGGTGCGGTCGACGCCGACGCGTAGGAGGAGGAGGTGAAGATCCTGCTGCCGCCGCCACTGTTGGTAACAGCCAGGCAGCAGCAGCAGCCCCCGCGGCGGCAGTATCAGGGCTGCCAACACGGTTATCGGAGTTGCTGTCGCTGAGGGAGAGGTGGGAGCAGCTGGTAAAGTTGGCGCCGCTGGGTCTGTTCGGTTCCGTACCTGTACTGCAGGATGAGGTGTCGTACGTACGACTGCAATTGTCGTACTTGGATCGCAGCTGTAGCGGTTGCTGTTGATGTGCATTGGAGGTATGTGAAAAGCGCGAGCCAGGCGATCCCCCCCGTTGATGGGGGATGATGGAGTAGTTTGCGACCATTGGAATTGGCGCTGACAGAGTGCGAAATGTATGTATGTCATTTATGTATGTAAGTTTGTAAGCAAGCAGTTACCGGTATTGTAGCAATAGCCTCACTGGTCGTATGTACCCAGCGCTTGAGGTGTGTTTTTGAAAGTTAGTTTTGCATGGCATGGCCACTTGGAAAGTCAAGGTTAGTAAACGTTTAGTATTTATGTCGTGGCACGTACTGCTGGCAGTTGTCAGTCGGGTATGTGCTGGTCGGACCTTAAACAGGAACCAGAACACCCCTGGTGCACGTGATCTTGTGATGTGATGAAACACGCAGCGTGGGACTTTAACGCGACGTAGTGCCGTATTAGCGTACGGATGACGGATGTTCGCATATTTCGTGTACGACAATATTAGACGAGACCTGATGTAAGGGATCATCTTAAGTGGCTCCCCTCTCTTGGGGGGACGCTGCCCGCAGTGGCTAGGCGACCCCGCATGTGCGACGCGGGTGTGATGCTGAGACTGCAAATGCAACAAACAGGTGCCAAGGGTGGAATTGGTGTGAAATGCTGGCATGCTGGGGCCGCGCAAGCTTGGCAGCGGTAACGCTTTATGGCATTATGGGTGTTGTATGTTACTTTGCAGGGCCAGATGTGATCCCGTGAACCCCTGATGACAGTGGGTGGTGCGCGCCGCGTGATGTAACTGAATGGCCGGAGACGGTGACCCCTACCTGCCATGTTTACACCCCATGGTGACGCCTATATATTATACAGCTCATCAGTTGCCTCGTCAGTTTCCTCATTAGTACCCCGGCCCGTGAAGAAACGCTTGAATCATGGTAGGAGCCGCTGCATAAGCGAGCGTGTACTGCGACGCCTATTGTGACGGAAGGGCGGCGGAGGAGGAGTGGCTCATAGGCTTGTAACAAAGGCAAATCCTGAACCCTGAGCCCGAGTCCCACCGGGGTCCATGATTTGCCCAATCAAGCGTGTATCTATCTATGCACGCCACACCTCTAGCTACCGAGTTCACAGCTCTCAGCTCAAGTCATTACAACCACCAAAACCGGGTCGGGTCGACCTCTTGGACACCTTACCGTATAGCATAATAGACACCGTGTCCACACTAAGAGCAGATGTTTCGCCTGTCTTCCTCCTGTAAGCCTGCATGCCTGCCCTCTCTCCTCTCTTACCCTGCAGCCATGCTTTCCTCTCTCACCTCTTCCTCCCTTGCCCCTGCCTTGTCATCCCCTGCCCCTCCCCTGCCCCTCCCCTGCCCCTCTGCCCAGCCGCCCTGACGGCTGTGCTCCACCCCGCAACATGTTGCAGCTGACAGCATCACAGCTGCCATCGCCCAGAGGGCCACGTGACATCCTTCACAGCCGCAAACATCTCCAGCACCTCCCCCAACACCACATCCGGGTCTATAGCACCACCGCCGCTGCCTCTCGCGCTGCCTCCCTCCCCTGCTCCTGCTCCTGCCCCCGCTCCCGCACCCGCACCCGCACCTCCTCCCTCAGCTGCGCCCGCACACGCAGACGAACAAGGCGAAGCCGCCGCCTCCGGCAGCCGGCCCAGGGCCCGAATTGCCGTGTCGATGTTCTCGTCCACCATGCGCTTCGTGAACATGCCGACCAGCGTGGTAGCCACCTCGAGTTGCCTGGGGACGCGCGGCAGTGAGAAGCAGAGGCGGGAGGGGGAGGACAAGGTGGGAAAAATACATGAAAGTGAAGCAATGGAGTCCCAATCCCGAAAAGGAGAAGGAAGAGGAGGGAGGGAAGAAGGGAGAGGCAGGAAGGTGGCACACAGCCAGGTTAAGAAACCACACGTCTCTGGATACGAGGCGGCACACGGCAGCCCGCATCCCCACGCGCAACTGCTTCTTTGCCGCCAAGGCCTCCCCCCTCCCTCCCAGCCCCAAACTATCCAAGCAGCCTACTTTAGCAGCACCTGCGAAAGGAAGGAATCAAAGATATACACCACCCAGGACCCACCGTACGGCAAACCGCAACCCCAGCTGCGAGATGTCCTGCCCCCGCGCCCTTGCATGCGCCGCCGCATCCGCAGCCGCCTGCCGCAGCGCGGGCGGCGCGGGGTGCCATGCGGGCGGTCCTGCGCTCGTGAGCAGCCCCATGCTGAGGGGGGAAGCGTTGATGACGCCCACCCCGGCCGCACGCAAGGCGGGCAGGCTAGACAGCAGGCTGGTGTCGTTCAGGCAGTAGTGGCAGTACGACAGGACGACATCAATGGAACCTGCAATCAAGATGAGAGGTGAGGAGGGCGCCATGAGGGGAAAAAGCGCTTGCGACTTGCAGGAGCAATGCGAGGCATGAAGAAAGCTGAGCCCCAACGAACGCCGCCGTCAGCGTTGACGGCGAGCGTTTGGTAATGAGAAGGACAGCCTGCCATATACCCACCATACATGAACCCATTTATGGGGGCTTTACGTGAAAGCGGTTAGCCAGCTGTCAACCGTCAACCGCCCAGATTCCGGTAACCGTCACAAGTTAACAACCCACCTGGCGGCGCCCGATCCAGTACGTACTGCAGCGCCCCCAGCGGCAGTCCCGTGATGCCGATGTGTCGTACCAGACCCTGGCTCCGCAGCCGTTGCAGCGCGGGAAGCGTTTCCGAAACCACCTAGCCAAATGCGGTACAGCGGGGGTAAGGGGCCAGGAAGGTTAGTAAGGACACAGATCCACAATGATAAGGTAAAAGGCATGCGTTTGTCATAAGCCCCAAACATGGACCCTTCCTGGCAGCGCGCTACCTGCCAGACTCGCTGCCCTCCAAACCCACCTGGCCGTCCCAAACCGCACCCCCACCAGACCCATTCTGGCCTCCCCAGAACCTGTAAATCCACTCACCCAAAGCACCCACCCCCCTCCTCCCAAAACCCCATAACTAACCTGATCAAGATCTCCGAACTCAATGTCGTGACACTGGATGATGTCAATGTACGACACTTGCAACCGCTCCAACGACTCGGCCACACTGGCCGTGACGCGCTTCGCGCTGAAGTCAAAGTCCCGTGGGTCGGTCCCGGGACCGTAGCGGCCCACCTTGGTGGAGAGAATGAATTCGGAGCGCGGCAGGTCTCGGAGGGCGCGGCCCAGGACCTGGGGGGTCAAAAACCATACCGAACCATAGGAAATCACAGGTTAGGGCAAAGCAATGGGGATAGGAGGCGGCCAGGACCCGGGGGGGGACCTAGGAGAACACCGTGAGGAGGAGGATGGTAATGATGGTCGGTGATCAGAGGGAGAGTGCGAGGCTGGGGGACAGCCTCTGAAAAGGGGCCGCGTGGGTTGCGTGTGCGGAGGGGACGCCCGGATATCGTAACACACGCAGCATCTGAATGCAGCACGGCTTCCCCTACGGCACTATAGCACGCCAGCCCTCCCTCTCAGACGGAGAAAAAACAAGACGTACGGACGTATGCTGGTCATACCCCCACGGGAAAGCGTTTACGCGCCATTCACGCACCGTTTCGGACTTTGTGAGCCCGTAGTAGGGCGAGGTGTCGAAAAAGTTGATGCCGCGACGGAAGGCATGGTGCACACATTCTACCGCCTCGGTCTCGTCAATGGGCTGTGGGGGGCCAGGAAGAATGACGCGCTCGCATTGTTGTGGGAGGAGGCCTTAAGAACAGGAGCGCTCGAAAGAGCGGATGCCACCCGCCCGCACAGCCTTACCCCAAACACGCCGCCGAGGGGAGAAGCTCCGAAACCCAGAATTGAGACTTCAAGCCCCGTGTTGCCCAGAGGCCTCCGTGGCAACTGTAAGCCGGCTCCTTCAGGTCCCTTAACGCTGGGCGCGCTTGCTGCTGCCATGCTCAAGTTGCGCGCTGTGTTGAAGCGATGGTGCGCGGCGATGTTGGTGAGTCGCGGGTGCGGGATGCTGCGGAGGTTCGCCACAGTCGCAATTGCTGTAAGCCGGTTAGTCCTTCTCCAGCACAGCTATTATTTCTTGTTTCTGTCGAGCGCCGGGCGCAATGGGCTAGCGATGCGTCGGCACAGCACTCAAGCAGGTAGCTATCGACTCGTAGAGATTATAGGTTCGATAGCTAAATCGATAGAAGCGGCAACTAAGGTATGATCGGGAGCAACCGTTCAATCCTTGGATGCAAGTACTATATGGGCGTAAGTTGGGACAAGAGGAGTTGGAGAGCCGGCAAGACACCAAGGTCGACCCTTACTTCCGCGATAGGATGCACGCGGACGTGCATACGAATGTCTACTTTGGAGAAGGCAAGCAGTCTATCTGTATGTGGATTTCGGGGGTGTTACCAGATAGTACGGCAGGTAGGGACAGGTGGAACGCATGGTCAACAGGACAGCTATCCCTGGCCCTTGCACGCTTGGACCATTGCCGCCCCAACTTGGCCATGTACTGGCGTTAGCCTACTATCCGTGCAGGGTGCTCCATAGTTCTACCCTAATGCTAGCAACCGGCCAAACCCGGGTCCAAGCCTCAACCTCCTCCAGCCCATGCCCCGTAGCTTGGGCCCCGCCGTCCTGGCCCCCGCATGCGGTATCACCTACACCCCGCCAACCCGAAGCTGCCCGCCCATCCCCTCTACTCCCAATCCAAACACAGCCCATGTTCAACAGGCAACTGCCTAAGGATGGGCTTAGCCCCCAAGCGGCAGATGCTGCACCACCAACTCCCCACAACCGCTCCCTCGCGTGTGCACCTTTCGCCTCGGTCCCTGCCTGGTGGGACCCGGAGCACGACTGCGTGACTATGATGGTTCCCTGCTAAATGGTTGGTGGTGCTGCTTCCCGTAAATAAATGGGTGGTCGGCCAGCTGCCCTAATGCCCCTCCTGCAATAGGTTCCACGTGCCGTGGCCGCGTGGCGCCTTGTCATCGCCGTTTTGTTCAATGCGGGCGAGTAGGGATGCGCCTACTGGAATGCTACCGGTGTAACGCGGGCAACACCGGCACGCCTGTACAGCCGGTAAATTGGCCGCAATAAGCAAGCCTACCAAGTCGAGAGAGAGCTGCACATACAAAACAACTTTTCATACAGCATGAGGTCTCTTTAACAGAAACGCAACGGGGCACCCCGAACTAGCTACATAATGTCACCTCAAAAGCGACCATGTCTTGTGTAGAGCAGGCTGTACCGCTATAAGGCCACCAATGATATACGTCGTGGGCCTAGAGCCTTCCACAATATGTGCCATAAAGACCGTCGCCTGAGTGGCTGGACGAGCTCGTCCTTCCAGCTCGTCCAATTCTTTATTTTTGGCATAAAATTGATTACCAGCAAACACTGACCCGACGGAGCCACAATCTGACACGTCATAATGGCCGGTATGACTTGCCGTTGCGTATGCGATCTTTACAGGGGAGTCCGAACGACTCAAGTGCGACGCACTTGCCGTTGCTAATATGCTGTCGTAAGGACCGCGGGCCCGTCGCGACCACTGTTGTGCGGTTAAAGCCGGTTGATAGGCAAGTTCCTGAGCGTTGGCCACCTCTCAGGGTTATCCGTACCACTGGTTGTTCCTATCTAGTAGGAGACCACGTGCGTTTTGGTTTTCGATTTTGTACGACTGGATGGATTGCCGTTTGCATAACTGGATAGATTCTTTTCCTGCCATTCCGCATGTAGCCACATGGTTCACAACCTCATCATATGTAACATTCGATAATATGTACCTAATCCACTTTGCATAAATCGACTCAACTGTCACCGCCGGCAGTCTGATGTCCAGTTGACCACAGGCATGATTGAGGGAGCCCACCCTCCTGTCACGAAGGGCCACAGTAATCATCGACTTATGCGTTGTCCATTTGTATTCCATTTGTAGGCGCGACCTTCAGTAAAGTTGTCCCGAGGTGGGCTCTGCCAGCCCAATCACTGCTGTGGTATGCCGCAATCGGCGCAGGGATTTGGTTGGCAAGCAAAGAGCCGAAGGCCAAGCACAAATCAATGCGTTAGTGCCTGGAATTCCTAAGCACGGGGGCAGCTGCCCGTCACAATCACTTGGGCGCTGCTACTACACGTATGTGGAACAAGCGGTCTTGGTCAGGCAGCTTGAATGGGCACGTGCCGCTAAATGTACGGGTAGATATGTAGGAACGATGGACGGCATAAACATAAGGCGGGCGTGGGTAGCGCTGTGGGACTGCTGGTAACACTCACCACGCTGCTGGGAACCTTGCGAAGCCTTCAGGCCTTCGAGCATTTCTGAAGCCTGTCTGTTATGCACGGCGCAGGAAAAGCCTCCGACATGCGTGTCTAGTTCAGCGCCTAACCTACACTAGCAGTTTCGTTGAAACTGAAGGCCCTAGGGTCTAGGCAAACACACCGTTGCAGCCGAAGCTACTAACAAGGGGTTACAGAAGCCCCAACACGCCCCCATCACTAACTGGTTGTCCTAGGCCACGTACACGCAACTGCATAGCCCGCCTGAGCTTGCCGGCCATGATCTGGAAGTAGTACCGGTGGGCCTGAGGACTAAACTTTTAGATTGCTCGTAACCACGTTGGGCCAACTACGCTAAGCTACAACGACGTTATGTGAAGCCACTTGCAGTGCCCCAGCTCCATACGCGAGTATGTCGGAAGGCATTGTCATTTTAAGGTTGTAAGTGCGGCATGAAGCAACAACCTACACTAGCTGCTGCAACAATACCTGATGCGGGATGGGAAACGGCGACGGCACAGTGCCTATGCATACTGCCGTATAAGACTGTAGACATTCAAATTACCATTTGCACTATTGCTTAAAGTGCAAAGTTAGTCAGTGGCTGGGGGACGCATTTGCTCGGCCCACGTGCTGCGTGCTCGGCCAGGCAAGTGCTCGGCGTGGGTAGGTTTCCAAGATGACCGTTAAGGCTTCTTCGAAGACAAGCACGCTAAGCGTAAAGCATCCTTGCGAGAATGGGTGTTGATGTAATGCGCGGCACATGTCTTCGAAGGAGTTACGCACGTGGTACTTGTACGGTAAAGGGCGCCATGCACATATATAAAAGGGACCAGCTGTAATAGTTATATCATTTTTGAAGTTTACCTTTACAGGAACTTGGAGCAAGCCTCACCAGTAAGCTTGCCGAGAATGGACGACTACGATGGAGCGGCGGCCAAGCTGGCTGCCTGCGTGGACCTTGTGCAGCCTACGCTGACTGGCGTACAAGGCATCAACGCAGCAACGCTCGCAAATGCAATTTGCACTGCTATGCAAGCCGCTGCCCCACCAGATGTCTCAAGCCGCATAGACGACCTGAGCACAGGCCTTAACACTTTTCTTCTGCTGTTTGGTGGAGCGCTAGTCTTCCTGATGCATGGCGGTTTCGCTATGGTAAGTGGCCCCTGTGTTAGAACCCTAGTTTTGTGACTCACCTTCAAACAGCCACGTGAGTTCTCGTCCGCGTGAATGGACCCTTCTCACGTGCTCTCAGTGTATTAGTGATTTATTACTGACATCGCTGGCCTGCAAAGCCAGCACTCTCTCACAATTTAAAGGGCGGCTGCGCCGCGGCCCAGAATTAACTTGTTCTTTTTCCATAGCTTTATGGAAAAAGGAGTTGCAGCGAACATTCATGCTTTGATACCTTCCGATATTGCCTTGCTGCGGTTCCGTTCCTTTCAGCAGCTTTCGTTGCTGTCGCGAATCATGTATATGATCATCCTCAGAGGCAGTGCACCCTATCTGCCCGACGCTATCCTATGTAGAAATGTTTTTGAGACACTCCTGTTTTCTTGCAATGCCCTTGCAGTTGGAAGCCGGCGCCATTCGGTCGAAGAACGCCATGAACATCCTGCTCCAGACTATTTTGGATGCCTCCGCGTCTGCCATTATGTGGTACCTTGTCGGGTACGTGCACTTGCAATGCGTTTGTGTAAAGTTGCTTGCTGCCCGGGTTCCGAGCCTCATCCAAAATACCTCCCGCGTACCACAGGTTTGGGTTTGCCTTCGGCATTGGTGACAAGCCCAACAAGTTCATCGGTAAGCTCCACCCTTTCCCCCACGCATAGCTCGCTTGCTCCCTGCTATAGGCAGCTAGCAAACTCTCTTATCAGTCCTTGCATGCGCACGCCTCTCATCATTTTCCCGTCCTCCCATTCGGGCAGGTAACGCAACCTTTGGTCTCGCTCGCTACGCCACGCACTTCACCGGCTCTGCCACCGGCCGCTGGACGGACTGGTTCTTCCAGTGGGCTTTCTGCGCCACTGCCGTTACCAGTAAGTCCTTCGTAACCTCGCGTTGTTGGCCAACCAGCACACATCATGCCGCACTAGTGTCTTTGCTGTCAATACCGCCATTGCGTGTGCTGCGTGCTTCAAGCCTGCATGGAACATGCAATTGACAATTATATGAGGTTGTGTTCTGGGATCTTTGCATACCTATGCCCTCGTTTCATCGCCTGCTGCTTCTCCTGCTCCCTCTTCACCACTAATGCTGCTCCTGCTCCCCTGTCTTGCCACTATCACCGCAACGCAGTTCCCGCTGGTGCCGTCGCCGAGCGCTTCAACTTCAACGCCTACCTGGGCTACTCCATGTTCATTGGCGGCTTCGTCTACCCCGTCGTTGCTCACGTGAGTGTCGTACCGGTCGTGTCAGCGTGAATGTCTGCATGAACATGTCGAAAGGCAAGTCACATTCGTTCATTGTTGGGTCGGCTCTGGGCTGCTGTCCTGTCCTTTCCCCTCACCCATTATCGACCCTGTCAGCTGTCCCTGTCTCTTACCTGGCCCTTTCCTTCTGCCGTCCTTTCCAACCCTGTCCAACGTCCTTTCCATCCCTCTGTCGCGCAGTGGGCCTGGTGCGTTGAGGGCTGGCTGGGCTATGGCGCCGCCGACCCGCTCTTCCGCGCCGGCTACATTGACTTTGCTGGCTCGGGTGTCATCCACATGGTCGGCGGTCTGGCCGGCCTGATCGGAGCCATCATGGTCGGACCCCGCCTGGGCCGCTTCGACGCGGACGGCAACCCCGTGGAGATGCCCGGCCACTCGGCCATCCTGGTGGTGCTGGGAACTGTGCTGCTGTGGTTCGGCTGGTGAGTGTGGGGGCTTGGCGATGAGAAAAGATGGGGGTTGGGTCCGTGTGTTTGTGTGAATGCACATCCAAGCGTAATTTGCATGCGTTTACGTATATTGCCGGTGGTTCCGGTGGCTTCTCTCATATGGCTTCCTCCTCCCTTCCACTGACGTGACGACCCACTCTTCAATGATGTAGGTACGGCTTCAACCCCGCCTCCGTCCTGACCATCGACTCGGTCGGCTACGCCACCGTCTGCGGCCGCGCCGCCGTCACCACCACCCTCGCCGGCGCCGCTGGTGGCATCGCCTGCCTGCTCAACGGCTTCCGCCGCCACCGCGGTTGGGACCTTGTGGGTCTGTGCAACGGCATCCTGTGCGGCTTTGTCGCCATCACCGCCTGCTGCCACGTGGTGGAGCCCTGGGCCGCCATCATCTGCGGTGCCTGCGCGGGTCTGTGGTTCGAGCTGCTCTGCTGGATCCTGCTCAAGCTGAAGATTGGTGGGTGTGTCGTGACCCGTGTGAGTTTGTCTGCTTTGTGTGTATTTGGTAATTCTAATGTTTATGTTTGTGCTGGCTTTTGCCTTACATGCTTTTTTGTGTGTAGCGCTCTTGTATATTGCCGTGCATCTGCTTGTGTTGATGTGCAGCACGCTATGTTGTTGTCGTTGAGCAGGCCTCCCTTCGTTTCCCCTGTGAGGCTAATTCCTCCTCCCTACCTGTGGGGCTCCTGATGTACTGCAGACGACCCTCTGAGCGCCGGTCCCATGCACTTTGGCTGCGGCTTGTTTGGCGTCTTCTTCACCGGTCTGCTCGCCAAGCAGGTGAGAGCGGATGAGTTGGGTTGGATTTTGGTGAAGCGCTGAGAGTTGAGGGGGTTGGAGGAAGAAGGATAAGACGCTATGTTGTCGATGACGCCTTTCTCCATTACCTTTCATTAACCCTCCACTCCCACCCACTCTCACCCCCTCTGTCCCCCTCTCTTCCTCTGCTCCCACCCCCCTCAGGATTACATCAAGGAGTACTACTACTTCCACGCGCCCTCCAACGACCCAGTCAACCCCCTCAGCAAGCCCTTCCCCTACGGCGCCTTCTACCCCCACTCGGACGGCAAGCTCATTGCCTCCCAGGTGATTGGCATCCTGGCCATCATCGCCTGGGTGGCCGGCCTCATGACGCCCTTCTTTGGCATCTTCAAGTTCTTCGGAGCCCTCCGCATCCCGCCTGAGATGGAGGAGATGGGTCTGGACAGGTCCAAGCACGGTGGCAGCGCCTACAACGGCGGCGGCAATGCGGCTGCGGGACCGATGACGGGAGGCACGCCCGGCAACGATGTGATGCGCAACTCGCAGCCCTCGGCCAAGGTGCTCCCCATGAATGCGTAAAAGCGTGGGATTGGGATTGGCGGGCGGGATGGGCAGGCGGGCGGGATGGAGACTGGGGTGCAGGGGCCAGCTGCTATTGGGATGTGCCTGCCCTCCCTGCCTTCGAGGGGTAACGTGAGACATGTGTGTTGCATGTCATGATGGCTGCCTTGTGTATGGGAATCAACGCATACCATACTCCGTCGGCCCACTGTTACTGGAAAGGAGGGTCTTACACCTGTACGACTATTTGCTGTTGTTATCTGCTTTGAGACAACGGAGGACTGGGATATGCGGCAGATGACCCGTGGGTCGGGATATGCTGCTGCCTGTTTGACCTGTGTGCATTTTTACTTTTGTGTAGTATGACGAGGACCAATGTGCATGCGGAGGGAAACCAAGTCCTGGGAATCTCTCTCGTGCACGGTTCCGACCCGTGTTAAAGATCAACAGGCTTGACACACGACGTAACCGACAACTACAAGGAATATCCGTTGACTCGTGTGTAGTTGGCGTGTATGTGACGCGTGCAGTTCTGGCGTGCGATATTGTGCAACGTAGCCCTATCTATCCTTGCCTGTATGCGAGCCTCTCCGTGGTTCCCCCATTCATTGTGACAATTGGAGTCGGACGCGATTCCCCTAATGGTTGAGCTCGCCTTGTTAGGGCCTGTCGGCACGTTGCCTTTTCAATTCCTAGCCGTCTGTTTTGAAACTAGTGCGACTCGTCAGCGCGCATTTGGGACGGTCTGGCATGTATGCTGAGGCGTTGCGCTTTGGTATCTGCTTCTGCAGGCGCAACCGACGATTGAATTCCCAGACGACTGCAAGCAAGAGGGTTCTTGATAAAGGGAGCGGCTCGTATGATGACGCTGGGATGCCGCGGTTACGGTGGGGGATTCATTCCGTCGTCATTCCGTCGTGATTACCTGGACGCGCCAACTGCGCTATATCGGTTACACATGCAGACAGGAAATCAACATGTGTTCTATGTATCTTCGGGACACTCGTGCGCAGTTATACCGTATTTTGTGTGTATGTTAAAGAACTGTGCCATGCATTGTTTCTCGGGTGGAAGGCGATGTGTATTGTTGGGGGCCACTATTGCCGTGAAGAAGGCATGAGGCGTGTGGACTGCTAGGTGGATTGCCGTGAGCCCAACTGTAACTCTTGTTTAGTTGTGGGCATTAGCATGCCCACGTGAAGAGGCCCGCTAGCCAACAGCATTCTGCGATGCAAGGAAGCGACGCGTAAACAGCAACCCTTGTAACGTACCTAGCACTGGTATCTGGGTGAGTGAGGTGTGTTGAACCAGCGTCTGGAGGGGACAGCTGACCCGGCTGGGCATCAAAGGGGATCGAAATGGTTCGAAGAAGACCGAGAAGGCTGCCTGTATGCCGATGAGCCGTTGTATCCACGCCCCTAGGCATTCCCATGTAAGTCAATGCAGGAATGACACGACACCCAGCCATGCGACGACACCCGGCCTTGTACGACGCAACAGTCCATGACTTAGGTTGTATTGATCACTGATCTATAGTGCCCCTTTTCAATCCAACATGTTAGTATCATATTAGCGCCAATGGGCAAAGATGTTTGTTTGCTAGCTTGGCTCAGACACACATGCAAGCGCGCTTGCGTTTAACTCCTAGGTCGCACTAGAGATGTTACAATATAAAGGTTGTTTGTCCAGACTTGTCATTCAACATTAAACAGACCTTCCTTGCGGCCAACAGCAACATTGACAGCCGCGATTGCTCGCGCCGGGCGGCGAACCAAGCTCCTTTCGTCTGCCAACCAGATCATCGCACACATACCTTCACGCGGGTAGGGAACTGAGACAAGGCATTAACTGACATGGATGCCGACAACACCACACCGGCAAATGCCGACATGGCGCCCGTCAGCAGTACGGCAGCGTCTGCTCCTGCGACCTTTGCGCAGCTACCTACGCATGTACTGGAGGATGTGCTTTCACGCCTGGACTGGTGAGGAGCCGTGCTGTCGGCTTTGCTTTGTCATCCTCCCTCGCGCTTTCCCTAGTCCAATCTCATCCAGTCAATGTCTAACAAGCATCAACCCGCACCCGAAACCTATGGGGATCCGTTTCCACGATGCACACCCCGCCACCGTTTTTACAACCCAGGACAATGATACCGGTTATTAACCCTTCTGCATCTCCCTTAACCCCTCTCCGCGATAGCTCCCTAACCGTACCGTGTGTCCTACTGTCCCTCTGCCTTCGCAGCCGCTCCCTGGCGCAATGCAGCTGCGTATGCCGCAGCTGGCAGCAGCTGGTAGCGTGTCCCGGTCCCGCTTCAGAGGCCCTTTGGAGGCAACAGATCGCACGGGAGTTCGGACTTACTTCAAATGCGGCGGCAGCAGCCGCCGCTAGCACCACCGCCACCACAGCAGCAGCAGCAGCAGCATCGGTTGCAACGGCAACAGCAGCAAGGGCAGCAGCGTCAGGAGCAGCGGTGGAGCCGCCAGGAGAGCCAGCCAGGGATGCTGCAGCTGTCACGTCCTCCGCTTGGTCGCCGCTGCTGCTGCCGGCAGTTGGGACCGGTGCGGGTGTCAGCAGGGCGGTGGATGCGGGTTCGTCCCTGTCCTCCGAGGGGAGCGTGGAAGTGCAGGAGGCGGCTGAGGTTGTACGGCCATCGTTGTACGACACATTTCGGCGCTTGGTGGTGAGTTAGTGTGCATGGTGAGCTTAATAGTGTGACCGGTATGGCACCAGTAGTAAGGCGCACCTATGTTGCAAACCGGTTATATACGTGTGTTGCGTGTGTTGCGGACGCCTTGGAGACGCAACCGTTGCTAGTGCTAGAAGCCCTAGGGGGGCCATGCCGGTACTGCTAGCAAGCAGACCCGCAGGGAATCAAGCCACTCCTCTCCTCCGCCGACCACCGCTCACTCCCGCCTGCATGTCCTCCCCCTCCTCCTTCCCGCTCCCCCCCTCCTCTTCCTCCTCATGATACTCGCAGCTCTGCCCCCCCGTCAGCCACCTCGCCTACCTCCGTCGCCTGCACTGCACCCTGGCCGGCGTCCGCAGCTGGACCGTGCAAGTCACACTTCTTGCGCCGCCGCCGCCGCCACCACCACCACCACCACCGTCAGCGGGTTCACCACAACCGCAGCAGCAACCGCAGCAGCAACCGCAGCAGCAGCAGCAACAACAGCAGCAGCCCCAGCAGCCCCGCCCCATGCTGCTGCGGGGCTCCCGGCGGCGCTGCGGTGCGGTGGTGACCAACCCGCAGAGCGTGTGGCTGCGCTTCCGTCTGCCTGGGTGGGTGCGGCGGGCGGCAGCTGAGCAGCCGGCATGGGAGCCAGGTGGGTGGGTGGGGTAAGGGGGGGAGTGGGTGGGTTAAACCAACTCAGCCGCAGGACTTGGTCTGTGGTGGGCAGGTGCTGGTGGGAAGGCCTCTCACTTCTATCCAAGTCCCATGCGCAACGTGTTGTGTGTTGTACCACCACACAGGAGCCACATGCAGCGGCAGCGGCGGCCCGAGTCCCGCTCAGGCCGGGACACCTTACCTGGTGAGAGCTGCGCTCCCTTGGATGCCGTGTTGTTGTTGTTGCGCATGGAGACACGGGGGTGACCGGAGGGTATTGCTTGTTGCTACGCTGGCTCTTGGATGATTGAATGAGTGAATACGGTACGACAGCGGCTACTAGGGAGGTTACACCGCTGCGCGCATGCTGGATCAGATGTGGTCAGCGGTTGGCGCACGTGTTCCTGTTGCCCCCCCTGCCTCCGTTCCACCCCCGCTCCTTCCCCACTCCCAGGAGTTGACGATCAACGCGGAGGGCGCTGGGGGCCGCTGCTGGGCCGCCCTGCACAGCAGCCCCTTCCGACTGCCGGCGGTAGGGTGTACCTCTTTTGAAGGGGTGGGGCTTTGGAAGGATTGGGAGGTTAGGGCGCGCACGGGGGTCCGTGTGGGCAGCCAAGGGGAGCTGTACGCGTGTACGCCGTGCGCGTGTGCATGTGCGTGTGCTTTCCTGCCTGCCTCTGCCCTCTGCGTGCAACTCCACCTTACCGGTATCCACGCCTTGCCCCGGGTGCCCCGGCTCCCCTGGTGCTGCGCAGACGGACCGACTGCGGCTGCTGCAGAGCCACGTGGAAGGTGGGAGCAGGGTGTGTGCAGGGTTGGGGTTGGGGTTGGGGTGGGGTTGGGGTGAGGGTGGTCCCGCGGCTGTGAGGGTTGGGAAGATCGTTGGTTGGCTTCATTAGGGACGCTGCTCGGGAACATGTGTGCTCCGCGAGGTACGCAACAACCCCCCCCCGCAGGTCTGTACATTTGGGACGATGAAGACGAGGAAGAAGAGGAGGATGAGGAGGCAACAACGACGGATGAAGGTGAAGAAGGAGGAGAAGACGGTCACGAGGAGGAGACCGAGCAGGATCCTGGCAGATCGGAAAGCGGCGGGGAGCATGCTGCTGCTGCTGCTGCTGCTGCCCACCGCCCCCGCACCCGCCCCCCCGGCCCCCATGTGGCCGCCTACCTGCACTACGAACAGCTGCTGCCGGTGTGTCCGCCGGGCTGGGGACTGCCCCCCTCCTCCTCCTGCTGCCAGGTGCGTGCTAGAGGGGTGCTAAAGGTGGGTTAAGAAAACTGGCCCCGTGTGTGTGGGGGGGGGAGGGTGGCAGGGGTCAGCAGAATCGGGCTCGTTGCAGCATACATTCGGAGGGTTTGGTAACAGCCTCAACAATCAAAATGGGTTGGCCAGGCTCTAGTGCCTGCCCGCCTCTGCCTCACCACGCTCACCATGCACGGTATGTACTGCGCCGTTGTCGTGCATACATGCAGGAGGGCCTTATCCTGCACTACCAGCCGCCCCACGCGGCTCACCCGGGCTACACACACTATGAGGCACGCAGGCAGCGCAGCCACAGCCACAGCAGCCATCATCCGTTGCATAACCACTACCCAACCCTACCAAACCAGCAGCAGCAGCAACAAGAACAACAACACCAGCAGCAGCAGCAGCAGCAGCAGGGCGTGGGCGTGCGCAGGGATCACAGCTTGACCCATGGGTCGGTTGACCCGCCTACCAACACCACCACGATCGCTGCTGCCCCCAAAGTTATTACGACGACGACAGCGAACATGGTAGGCCTTACTGCTTGTACGGCAGAAAGTATCAGGTTTGCCCCGCAGCCTGTGCTACAGCCAGTCGCGTACCTCTACATTGATTGGAGCAAGTTACCAGGCGCGGCAGCGGCGGTGGATAGCAAGGGCGTCAATGACGACGGCTGGGTCGCGGGTTGCATCGTACGGCTGTGGAACGCCTCTCCGCCGCCGCCAGGTCGCGAGGACCCTTCGTCGTCATCATCAGCGGCGGCGGCGGCGGCGGCTCAACAACACCGCATGGCGATGTTGTCGGCCGACAGCCGCCGAGGCGATGTCGTACTGCTGCTGCCTCCTCCGCCGGCGCCGCCTCGCCTTGGCACAACACTTGCGGCGACGCGAATGATGGGAGCGGGAGGAGTGGGAGTGGCAGCGGCAGAGGGTGCCCCTGTGCGCGATCCTCGACTCCGGCAGCCGACGTTGGCGGCAGCACCTGTGGGTCCCCTGCAGGCCGCCGCAGCGGTGGTGGCGGCGGCGACAACAACAGCAGCAGCAGCGGCATGCAGCGGCGTGGAAGAGCGTTTTGCGGCGGCTTGGTTGCGAGCGTTCGGTGGTGGGGTGGCGGAGGTGGAGGGATTCGCGGCGGGAGAAGCCTTGGACGGGCAGATGGGTGCTGCTGGCAGTGCTGCTGGTGGCGGTGGCGGTGACGGAGGTGATAGCGGCTCGGGGGCTTCCGGGGCGCTGCAGGGAGCAGCTGCTGCGCTGCGAGTCAAGGTGCGGGGACCCCGTTGCAATTTCCATACGTTTGCAGCTTTGAAGCCCCCTCAGACCGTTGTACCGGACTGCTGGCGCATGTTGCATGCGCAGCCCCCCTTGTGTCCCTTGTACCCCTAACCCCTACTGCATGTCCCTGCCCCTGTGCCCGCACTGCCCCTACCTCCCTACCTGGGCGTTAGTTATTCCTCGCTGCCCCTTGACCTCCTTACCTCCTGCCCATCTCCCCTTCCCTCCTCCGGTTGCTGCACTTCTGATTCATTCCCCCTCCCTTCCTGGCCCCCGTCCCTGTCAGGAGCTGTGCGGCGGCTCAGAGGCGCTGATGGCTGATCTGGCACTGCTGGATGAACGGGGGCGTGTGCGTTTGGGCAGGTGAGTGGGTGGGTGGGCGTTACACAACTGAACCGCGATGTGTTCTGAACCTATGCGCCGGTGAGACCATCGGGAGGGCAGCTGGGGAGCAAGCGAGGCGGAAGGACCCCGAGGCGCTCTAGCTGTGCCACCACCACCATTGCAGTATATTAAGAACGTTATGGGCAGGTATTACATCTTTACATGTGAGTCAACCAAGATCCGCAGACATCGCATTTCGTTGTGGCCCTTGTGCCCCTCCGTGCTCCTGTCATGTGAGCCCGCCTTGCGTCTTTTTGTTGTCGCCCGCCCACTCCTCCCCACTCCTCCTGACCTCGCTCCTTCCCAGGTGCGGGGTGGAGATGTGGAACGGCACCGATGACAACTCCGCCGCCCTGCACTTCCTGCTGGATCAGTTACCGCCGCTGCGGCAGTCGTTGTGGGACAACCGACTGCTGGTCAGCTGGGGGCAGGGGGGTGGGGGTGGCGGTGGGGGTGGCGGCGGTGGTGGTGGTGGTGGTGGCGGTGGTGGTGGTGGTGCTGGAGGTATTGATGGTGCTGCTGCAGGGGCGGGCGGAGGGAATGTAGGCGGCCGGGGCGCCGCTGCTGTTGGCGGCGTTGCAGGAAGTGACCCATGGGTCCGCATGTCGCTGCAGATGCCGCTGCGCAATTACGAGGTGCTCATGGCAGAGGAGCCGGAATGACGTTGGGGGGGGGTTGAGGCGGGTTTCGAACGTTTGTGTGGCAAGATGTTAAGAAGTCGAGCCGCGTAACTTTACTGACCAGAGCTGTTGACGGAGGAGAGATGCACGAGCGACTGTTCTGTGTCCTAGGAAACTGGCCGCGAGTGCGTTGTTGTCTGTGTGCTTGTTCGGGGGTGGGGTGGGGGGAACGTATGGTCAAGGGACTAACCCGGCCTTGGAATCCTCCTGCCCTCCTGCGGCTGTCCTCATCACTCTTGAGGAAACAGACATCCTTTCAGCAGCACCTTTCAGCAGCAGCAGCCACCTCTTCTACTGTTCTACGCATGACCGACGCGACAGCAGTCAGGACAGCCCTGGGCCTCCTCCATGAGTTGACAGTTGCAGGAGAGAGGTAAATTAACCAGCAGAAACCACAGCAGGCAAGCAAGGTAGTGACGGCCCAGCCGGTGCGTTTAAAAACAAGTTTTCTACGACATGATTACCACCCGCCGACCCATCGACACTCCTCAACATCCACCTGTTCAACCAAACAACCTACTGTTAACTCACAACACAACCTCCTATGTACATTCAGTAGCACTCCCCGTCTAGCGTGACAGCAACCGGGACTGCAGCCAAAGCTGCAGGCAGCATGTCAACCCGCACACGACAGTACCCCAGGCAGTATCCGCCAGCGCTAGGCTCCACGTCCAACGACCCAGTACGGCGAGGTTGGTGAACTCGTACGTGCCGTACAAGCACGCCCCCAGCAACGCTCCCTGCAGTACACGTTTGTCGTACGTATCGGGCACGGATGAGATGGAGTTGTGAAAAAAAGGATCAGTGGGGCTTAAATGTTAGGATTTGTTGCGTGTATAGCAATGTTGAACAAAGGAGAAATGGAGTGTCCTTAAAGGGCTGGGGATCCAATATTCCAACGAGCGACCGGAAGTGCCGTACAGAAGTGCCGTACTTAGCACTTGACGCAGAATGCGTTTGCAGCTCCAATCAACCTAATAAAATGACATGGCTGATCCCCAAGTTACCTGACGCAGCGCAGCAGTAGAACTCCTCGACAGGGGCAACGCGAAAAAGTAGATACTGGCCACGACGCAAAGCCATGCTAGCAGGCCCGGTAACAGGCCAGCACCTGGCGCCCGAAGGAAGTCGCCTAGGGTAGTTACGTATAGGTTGCCAGCGATGAGGATGATCCATGTTATGTCCAAAGCGATGAAGGCGACCAGCGATGGCAGGAAGATGAAAAGGAGAGCTGCGAGACAGAACCAACAAGCGAGGCTCAAGTTAGCTGCGTATCATATCTGTAGGATCTGCGGAATGTTCAACGCTTACATTTCCACAAAGGAACGCTTGCAGCGCCCATGCCATCCACTAACGGGTGGTACATTTGGTCGAGATACCACCAGAATACCACAGGAGATGTTTTAATGTACAGTCCGGCAAAGTAAATATTACGGTTATGTGAAGTTCAACGTGTTTCTGTTATACCCCTATCTCTTGATCCGTACAGCCAGTAACCGCCAACCGATGGTGACTTTTGACCACACCTGTGGCGTCTCAGCTTTCAACCGCGATCTGGCGCAGGACGCTTCCAACTCTCCTAAGTTCTGTACGATATTTGTCTGTGAGCCATGAACATGTTCCTATCTATCGTAGCTCGGTGGTTTGTCGAGGGTTGTCGTCCCTGCTGCCCTTACAGGTTACAAATCGGGTTGCTGAAGCTACAAGTCGCGGCCGCTACCACCGTCAAGTCCCTGTAACGTGCACGAGAGCAGAACACTCTGCTGGCTCATCATCGTCATCACCAACATCATCACCTGCCGTACATAAAGCCGGCTTCCAAGATCAGGCCACCCTGCCCCCTACCCGCACGACCTACATTCGCCCTCCCCTCGTACTCCTCCCCATCCTCTACTTTCCTCCAAGTGTCCCCCTCCTCGCCCTTTGTCCTCACCCCTCACCCTCCTGCTCCTCCCCCTCCTCCTCCAGCAGGTGTACGACAACGTACAGGAAGAGGTCGGGTGCGTGCATGGCCGCGTGCAGCCAGCCCACGGGTGCAGCCAAGGGCGGGCTAATACCGCCCACCAACACCCGACACGCGGGCCACCTCCTGCTACCCCTCCTGCTGCTGCAGGGGCTGCTCCCACCGCCACCGCCACCAGCAGCGGCAGCAGCAGCAGCAGCAACACTACCGGCAGCAACTGGGACGGCGGGGACCGCCGGGCATTGTGGTTGCAATTGCGGTTGCTGCTGCTGCGGCTGCTGCTCCTGCACTTGCAGACTGGTACATGCAGCTGCAGCGCTGGCATCCCCGGGATCAGCAGCCACTCCTCCCAAGCCTCCCTCCTTGTCAGCCTCTTCCTCCAGCCTCGTGCCGGTGTCTCCTACCACCCGCGAATCATCGCCCTCCTCCCCGGCGCGATCCCTTCCATCCCTCCCGCTGCCTCCCACGTCTCCGCCTCCACCGCCTTCGCCACCGCTGCTGCTGGTTCTTGTTACAACGCCCCGTCTACCCGCCAGTTTGCCTTCCCCTGACGGCCCAGGCTCACAAGCTGCTGCTGCTACTGAACCCTCCGCTACTGCAGCTGCTGGCTCCGCGTCCGCCGCTTCCGCCGCTGCTGCTGCCCCTGTTGATGTTGATGGTAATGATGTTGATGCAGGCAGGCGCTGGCAGCCCCCCGGCCGCCCGCCCCCCAGATCCGTGACCTCCGTGGCCTCCTCATGGGGCGCCGCAGTGCTAGGCAGCCCTGACTGCTGCTGCTGCCGCTGCTGCTGCTCCTCCTGCTGTTGCTCCTCCTGCTGCTGCTGCTGCTGCTGCAGCCCTTGTTGCTGGGTCTGTTGTTGCTGCCCCTCCTGATGTCCCCCTGCAGGTTGGTGCTGCGTCTGCCCTTGAAGCGGCTTCGCGCGCAAGGAGGGCGGTGGCGGTGGCGGTGATGTGCTGCAAGGGGATGCGGGTATCGTGTCCGCTGGGGTCGGCGGTGGCGGTGGCGGCGCTGGGGAGGGGGATGATGAGGCTGGCGGCGACGGTGGTGGTGCTGGGGGTGACCAGGAGGACTGCTGCTGATGGGGTTGTTGCTGCAACTGTGCGGGTTTTACACGTTGCTGCTGCCCCTGCTGTAATGAGTCCGCTTCCAACGGTGGTACCTCAAACTCCGGGAAGATGTGCGGCAACACGATATGCAGCAGCTGCCCCAAACTCGTGGGTGTTGAACCTCCTCCAGCTCCACCTCCCCCGCCCGCACCCGCACCCGCACCTGCCGCACCTCCCTGCAGTGCCGCCACCGGACGGCTGGTCGCAGTGATACAGCTCTCCCACCAGCCGCCCCCGGCACCGCCGCCAACGGCTCCATGCATGCTGCTGCCGCTGCTGCTGCTGACGGCGACGCTGCTGCTGCTGCTTGCGGTTCGTGCGACGCTGGCAGAGTTGTTGGCCTTTGCACCGCTTGCAGAAGTGCCAGGACTGCTGTTGTTGTTGTTGGTGGTGGTGGTGGTGGCGTTGCTACGGTCAACAGCGGGGGCTGCGGCAGAGGCTGCAGCGGATGCGGAAGCCGTCGCCGCCGTTGCCGCCGCCGCAGCTGGGGTAGCAGATGATGAGGTGGTCGGAGCGGGTGCGGAAGTGGCGGAGGTGGCGGGGCGGCGGAGGAGGAAGAGCCGCACCGGGATGTTTGGGGGCTGGCCTTGACGCTGCGGGGGCAAGGAAGGAAGGGTCAGGGCAGAAGGGCAGGCAGGGTCAGGGCAAGCGGGGCAGGTAGGGGTCAGACAAGGTGGGGGCAAAGAAATTCCTCTCCTAACTTCCCAGGCCGGTTCCCCAAGGACCCTCCCCTCCCCACCCAAGCAAGGCCCCAGCACACGCGCTCTCCCCCCCCTTCAGCTCCCACCGAGGTCGGCGCCACTCGGAGCGCCTCCAGGGCCTTACGGTACGACGCCACGTCCCCCGATTGTACGGCAGCCCATAGCTCGTCCTGAGCCGTACTGCCCATTCGCATGACGGCTCCGCTGCCCTCCGTTCCCCGACAGATGTAGCATGCCTCCTGGGGTGGGATGGGGATTAATTTGGAAACAGAATCCGCATTACGCTGGATAGTTGGGATAGCAAATAATTGTAGTTGGGGTGGGATGGGGATGGGGGGTGACCGGGTGAGGGGAACGGGTCGGGGTTTGGGCAGGATGTTGGCTTTTCATACTGCCGTACCGGCAGGAGCGTATCTACATATGAGGTACGGGGGGCGCAGCAGTTCGTTGGACGAGGTGGACCCGAGGCACCGTTCCAAGCACCTCTACTGGACCCCTTTTGGGGACCTCCAGACTCTCTACTGCCTTTCATGGCCTCTCAGCCGCCTGCCGCCCGCCTGTATACCCCCCTTCCTCCTCTTGGCCCTTTCCTCCTCCTGCCCATTTCCTCCTGGTGCCCCTCTCTACCATTGCCCTCCTGCCCTCCTCCCCTCTCCCCCTTCCGCCCCACCTTGAGTGAGTTCATGAACTGCGCCTGCGGGGAGGCGCCCGTGTCCCACCCCACCAGCGAGTCGGGCGGGTGCGTGTAGTGGACCTGGGGGGGAGGGGGGCAGGGGGGGAGGGGGGCAGGGGGGCAGGGTAAACGAGAAGTGCAGCAACTGGAGTCCCATTCCCGACTCATGCAGGGGGGAGATGTGTGTGGGGGCAGGTGGAGCAGGGAGTGAAACACAGGTGCCTGTGGGGATGGATACCGGTAGCTACATGCGGTGGGGGGGCCGCGCCCTGGGCTCATCCCCTCTACCCTTTTTGGTTAGCCGATGAAGCAGTGCTTACGACCCCACAGTGGTTACCCCCGACCCACGGGTCACCACCCACCGTAAGCCTCCAAGGCAGGTACTGCTGCTGCCATTCTCCTGCTGCTACTCCCCCCGCCCCCCCAGCCCCCGGGTCCTCCCCTCCGAGCAGGTCGTACAATACACCGCACGGCAGCTGCCTGGGGGGAGGGGAGGGTGTACGGCAACGCAAGGGGGGGATAGCGGGATGGAGATAACAGCAGTGGGAGAGGCGAGCTCGTCCGCTTGTTTGTCAGCATCCTTAAAAACCTTGGGATTCTTCTTTTACCCCCCTACACTCACCACTTGAGCGGCACTCCCCGGCAATCGAACCAGGGGCGAGGGGGCCCCTGCGGCCGTCCGGGCAGGCTGGGTAACACGTGCTACCAACCGTGTGGCCGTGTGCGCGTGTGTGTGTATTGAGTCAAAACACACACGCATGTGGGGGTGAGAGAGAGAGAAAGAGAGGCGAGTCCAGGCGGATGCGTGTCGGGGCGCATGGAGGCATGGGGACAATGGGTGGGAGAGGGGAGAAGCAGGGGCGGGTTAGGAGGTGTGGAACGGTAGAAGGAGGAGTAGGTGAAGGACAGGACAACAGCAGTTGGCGGGTCTGAAGCCGCCAATATCCCACATGCAGTGCGTAACTGGTATAGCGGTAGCTAACAAGCTTCGGGTGCGCTGGGCCTGGCCTTCTTCCCCCTCCCCTTCTCTCCCCTCCCCGTCTTCTCGCTCCCCTCTCCCCGCCTCCCACCTGCAGGTGAGGCCACGCCTGGGCTGCTAGCACGGTGAGGTAGCCCTGCCGGGGGCCCATCAGCTGGAAGGGGGCGGGTGCGGGGGGCAGGAAGCGATGTGGAATTTGCGCATACGCTCTGGCGAGACTCCGACAACCATAGGGTTAAGACTCAGGTCCAGAGGCAGCTGCATCCCGTTGCATCCCCTGTCAACGAACTTTGCCAGGGCTTACATAGATGGGTCGCACAGCCGATGGGCTGCTGATGTTATCAGGGGCCAACAATAGGAGCACAGGTATCTTGGTGTGCCATGTTTGCGCGAGGACTTGTGAAGGTGGCATTTTCCCATCGTTTGCACGTTGCCCGCTTGCAGCCATTTGTTACGTTATCTCTTCCCAGGGCAACTTAATATCGGCTTTTTACAACATGCTGGTCTGCAAAGACAGTTGTGTAGATCATGAGGTTTGCTCAAGATATCAATGAGAAAACCTTGGTTCGGCCCGAAAGTCCTAAGCGGTATTGGCGCCCTGCTCATAACAAGAATTAGTCGCCCAAGGAAATACTCAGCTGTAGCGCATACGACTCTCCGTTTTTGCGTTGCATCGGCTGTGTACGGGATAGAAGCATTAGTACCACCTCTCGCTAGCATTACAACACCCAAAGGTAAATATCTATTTGTGGGTGGCTTTAAGTCACTAAAGTTTAGCAAAACTTAAATCGAATTGCGTTTGCGACGGAAAGCGTCGACCAACTGCTCCCGTCCTGCGACGTTACCTGGTCACGCATACCGTAGAGCTGCACCGGAGCGCTTGCTTATCCTGCAATGCGGTGGCTCTGGACCTTCGGCCGGGTCCCCGAACTGGATCCGGACGGCATCCTGGCTGTCAGCAAACGCATCATGGCCATGTCACCCTCGCAACGGTGAGGCAAAGCTTGCTCTGCATCTCCCCCTTCCCAGCATATCTTAGTACGCAATCCACCTCCATGACCAGCCAAATGCCTGCCCTACCCTTGTCCTTCTCCTCCTGCTATGTGGCCTTGTCATGTCGCCATGTCCTGTACCGCCCAACCTGTCCTGTTTCATAACCTTTTCATGAACTTCCGTTCCTTCTCTGCAGCTGCTCCCCTTCCGCACCCCGCATCATCGACGTGCGGACCCGCTCCGAGTACCTGGGGGGCCACATCGCGGGCGCGTTGCACGCCTCCTTCCTGCCGCCCTGGTCCTGGCCCGCTAGGTGGGTTCAGCCGTACTCTGAAGATACATTCCAGAGATGTACTCAGAAGGAAATACTCGGAAGATGTGATTAAAGGTATGGCACCATACCTGTGTGATACCTCAAACCCGGTTCGCACGCGCAAAGACAGGTACCGGTATGGCAAGAAACATTGCACCATTCCTCTTCCTAACACCCCTCTTCCTAATACCCCTCTTCCTAACACCCCTCTTCCCAACACCCCTCTTCCTAACACCCCTCTTCCCAACACCTCCTCCGCTTCATTCGCTGCTGCACGCAGCATCCAGCCTCTGCTGGCCGCCACCTCCCCCGCCTCCACCGAGATCTACGTCATCTGCCTCTCCGCGCACCGCTCCATAGGCGCCCTCAAGTGGCTGCAGGACAGGGGATACAAGAACGTACGACAACTGAAGGTACGACAGCGTGTGCGTGTGTGTATTATTAAAGAGTACTGGCCGCGGGGTATGAGTGTTAGGAAACCTGGCCGCAGGCAGGAACGTACTGAATTGAGGTATGAGTGTGTGTGCGGGTGTGGGGGGCTCGCTGTGAGGAAGGCGTAGTACGACAACCCGAAACCGCCGCCACCCGCCACCAGCCTGCTGCCGTGTGCATGACATCTGCCGGCCATCTGCCGGGGTACGGTACAACGGTAGCAACAAGTACCCACCGCCCCTTCCTCTTTCGCCATGTCGCGCACCAACGCCGGTTTGAATACCTACCGTACCGTACGGGCAACCCATTATGGTGAAGTTGTCTACATGCCACACGGTTTGCCCTAGTTCCTTCCCTTTCCTACCTGCCGCTCTGCCCCGCCCCGTCTTGTGTCCTCCCCCCCGTGAAGCCCTTATTCCTTATTTTTACCCGCCCCGCCCAACCCCGGTCTGTGTCCCTGTCACCCTGTGCAGGGAGGCATGCAGGCCTGGCGGGCGCTGGCTCTGCCCGAGGTCACTGGGGGCGAGGAGAGGGAGGAGGCTGGTGCGGCCCCAGGGGAGGGAGAGGGGCAGCGACAGACGGAAGGAAGCGACGACACGGGGGCGACCGGTGGATCCAGGGATGGCAAGCCTGCCTCGTAGGGGGAGCATGGAGGGGGTAAAGAGGAAACGAATAACGAGCCATGGAGGGGAGCGCCGAGCTGCCCGGCTTGTGTTTGTTGGCTGGCTGTTGGTTAACAAGGAATGCAGGTTACGATGCAGGTTACGCGTGTTGAGGAGTGGCATTTGTTCATTTGTGGTTGTTAACAAAGGTGTGTTGCAGTGTGCTGAGTACGGGCAAGTTGTGTTCTGGCCCTGGCTAGGGTGAATGAGAGCTGTCCATGCGTTCATATGCTTGCAAATGTTTCGGGTGTTTTGAGCAGTTAGAGCATCTACATGGCATCATCCACATGGCAGGAGCAGCGGGTAAAGCGCCGGTTTTGGAATGTGATGGTTTTGAGGATGCAATAGGTGTGCCCCCACTGGCCCCCCATACAGTTTTGTCTCATACAAGCAGCTGGGGAAAGCGTGCTGGGAGGCGCTGCAGGCATAAGGCCCTCGGCCGTTTCGGGTACATGTACTTCAAGTTTGATTCCTTTGGCATGGATCGTTCATACCATGGTGAAAACCGCCCATCCCATCAGCACTGGGCACGTAAGCACCATTGGGCCAGATCAGTAGTACGGTGGGGGACCACGTGCGAACCCCTGGTGACGATCTGTTTTGCAGCCCTCACAAATCGACGTTTTGCGGGTTTGGCCGCGTAACTGGGTTGGCGGGAGGCCCCGTTAGGACTGCGTGCCGTACCTGCACCCCTCGGCCAGTCCTATGCGCACATGCCTGGCTGGCGGGTGCTGGTGGCCTCTGCTGTGCGTGCGTGGATGCCTGGCTATCCAGGAGGCGGGTCCAGGAGCTAGATTAGCGCATGCATGGGCGGTTGGGTAGGTGGCGCTTTATTTACTTGCGCATGCACAAATAGATGGATGGATAGCCAGGGGGCGGGTCCTGCTGCCCTACCTACCTGCGCACCCCACGCGCGAAGTCTGCGCATGCATGCATGGGGCGGCTACGAGGCGGCGGCCCCCATGCATTCGAAAGCAAGTGCGCTACTGCTCAACACGGAGGGGCGAGGTGGGTGCTGGAGCCGGCCCCGAATGCGGCTCCGTACATTGTGGCGGGCGTCTATGGACAATTGAGATGTAGTGTACACGGATGTGTTTCGGTCGCCACGGTACGTGTTCCTATTCGTGGGCCTCCTGGATGCGTTCCCTCCAAGTTTGAACCCCCCTCAGTATGGTCTTTGACCCCCCCCCTTCGGATTGGGACTGCGTTGTTGCACTTATCTATAAATTTCCCCCCTTAGGATTCCTTGCTTGACGCTCTGAAAGGTGGATTAACACACGTGTCCTTGGGCCTGACGCGTGTTGAAGTCTACTGGCCGGTAAAGACACGACACAACCCGGCTTTCCATCGAGGTATTCCCCTTTACAAGGCGCTGGGTATAAACATCAGAGCTAAGGACCAGCAGCCCGCAGACAACGCCGCCGTACAAAGGGCCTACAACCAACGCCCAGTGCAGACGGCGTGCCAATACCGACAGTCTTCCGCCATTCCTCGTCTTCCCTCCTGCTAAACAGAAACCACGGGATGCTATACCACCCTACTGGGACTCGCAACTTCAATGGCTCCTACTGCAGCCAGCAGACCTTTTAACGTCTCCTCCTAACGCAATACACGCACAGGGATATCATACGTATGTGGAAGGCTCATACCATGCGGAAATTCTTCATGCCAGCTAATCCGCTGCTGCTGCTGCCGGTGCTGCTGCTGGCGCCCGCTGACAAGCCAGAGAAAGCGCGGCTGGTACAGGAAACAGCGCGGTTCATGTGCCCCAACAACAACAACACAAAGGTATCACGCCGCAGCGTTAAAACATCACAAACAAAAAACAACGACGATACACACACAATGTGTGCAGGAAACGCACAAATATACAGCTTCTCCAAATTCAAGAGAGCGGTTCTCCTTATCCTTTTTCTTCTTCAAATATGGTGTTAGCTATTGCATTATCGAAAAGCCTTGCAACCGCTAACCGCTTCAGCAAACAGCGGAATGGTACGGCAATAATAATAAGCGACATATGAAACACACAGCAGCAGCGAAGGCAATAACAACAACAACAACGAATAGCGTTATTTTTAGATTCACCAACAGCAAGGGGGCCACATGGGAGGCCATCAGGACGGGACCAGTTACGACCACCTATCCCGTACATGCAGAGCACGCACAAGCGGACATACATTACCCGTTTACCCCGTCTGTGCTAAACCCGGCGTTTTACACAGCCGCCCGCGCCTCCCCGCCAAAACCCTCCTGCGGATCCCGTCCAATGCCTTAGCCGGGCAATTCACAACAACCCTCTCAAGCCACCAGCCCCTTACGTGCAAGGCTCATCTCTCTCCCCTACTCCTCCACTCTTTCAAATAAAACACACTCTCGTGACCTTTTCTTCTTCTTCACCCTCCCGTCTCCACCGGACTGTCGCGGCCATGCTGCATCCTGCCCCAGGCCGGCTGCACCCCGCCATACCGTAGCAGCAGTCGCCCGCTTGGACGCCCGTCAGGCCACATGCATCACCCGCAAATAGCGGCACACCGGCAAAAACGGCATGCATCCCAGCTCCTCCCCACATTCCCCTTCACAGCTTTCCTCCTCGCCCTAGCCCCTCATCGCTCCACAGCCCCGTGTACCTGCTCCTTCCAGCTCCCTCTCCTCCTCCTCCTCGGGTTTGCAATCTCATTCTCAGGTTTACATTCTCATTTTAACACATTGGGAGCTCCTCCTCCCCCCTCCTCCTCCCCTCCCCCCTCACATGGCCACCTCCCGCTTGAACACCCAGGAGAAGGCGGCGGTGCGGCTCTTGCCCCGCTTGCGGTCGCGCAGCCGCCGCTCCATCTGCAGGTCAGCCAGGCGCCGGATGCGCTGCGAGTGGTGCATCAGGAACTCCTGGGGAAGGGGGGAGACGGGGGGGGGATTAGGGGGGTTAAGAGGTTGAGCGTTTTTAGGAGGCGACTCAGCGCCTCAGGAGGGGGCCTCTGTTGCCCCTCCTCCCAGCCCCCTGCCCTTCCAGTCTGATTGCTTCCCTCCCCTCCCCATTGCTTTACCCTGACCCGTGGCTTTGGCATATCTCTTGACCCCTCCTCCCTCCCCCCAGTCCCCCACCTGCGCCTCCGCCGCCTCCCCGCTCTCCACCCGCACGTTGGCGATGTCCCACTTGCGCACCAGGTGGTCCACGATGCCCGCGTAGTCGTTGGCGGTGTACACGCCGATGCCGTCAGCAACGGAGGCGTAGTCCTGCAGCGCATGGGGCAGGGGCATGGGCGGTGACGATTGCATCCGGCATGAGCAGGGCGGAGTGAGGTAGACATGGCATGGGCAGTGTAGGGCAGTAGGGGTTAGGGGGGTACAGGGAGAACACAGCACCGACCCCCAGCCGATCCACCAGGCTCCCAACAGCATCAGGCCCCCCCACCCCCCCACCCACCCGCCCACCCACCCACCCACCTGGAATAGGTTGGACTTGGGTCCGTTGGCGGCGGTGTGCCAGCCGTCGTCAACGAAGTGGGCGGGCATGACAATACCCTGGGAGGGCGGCAGGGAGGGAGGAAGAGGGAAAAACAAAGTGGAGTCATGGTCAGGACATGGTCAGGAAACGGCAAGGTTGTTTGGATGGGGGGAATGAAGGGAGGAAGTGGGTGACAAGGGGTTGCACAACCCACCTCCCACAACCCCAACCTAGCCACCTCCTCACCCCTTCCTCACTGCCCCCCCCCCCCGGCTCCCTCCTCTCCCGCACCGTCATGCCTTGCCACACTGTTAGTCACCCCCATAAGCACCACTCCTATCCCCATTGCTTTGCCCTAACCTTTGGTTTCGTATGGCATGGTATGGTCTTTGGCCCCCCCCAACCCCCTCCGCCCCCCGCCCCCTCTCCCCCCCCACCTTCTTCATCATGTCCGCGAACGCCAGCACGCCCCCGTCCGGGTCCCTGCGCAGTACCTCCGCGATGATGGCCTGGTACGCCAGCTCGTGACGCGCCTCGTCAGCGCTGATGGCGCCGCACAGCCGACCCAGCGCCGCGTCGCCGTGGTAGAGCGCCAGACGGGCGGTGTTGCCGTGTGTGATGCGGGTGGCGCGCTCCTGGGGGGGCAGGAAGGGGGAGAGAGGGAGGGGGGGGAGCAAGTGAGTTTTTGAGAAGTGCAGCAACGGAGTCCCAATCCCCAATCCCGACTTATGCAGTCAGCGGCCGGGTGGGGAGGGCGCGAGGGGGTGCGGCGTGCAGAGATTGAGAAGTAGACACCACGGGAGACGAGGAGTAGGCGGTCGTATGTAGAAATGTATTGATCCATTACTGGTGCTGGTAGTAGGGAGTGTTAGTGCTCTGGCACTGATGCTCTCCACCCCTCCTCCCTCCTCCTCCCTCCCTCCCCCCCACCTGGAAGCTGGTGTACACGAAGCACAGGTAGGGGTTGTTCTCCAGCCGCGGGTCCAGTCCGCTGCTGATGAGGCGCTGGATGGTGGTCTCGATGCTGTGCATGTCAACCCTGCAGGGTGGGGGGGGGAGAAGGATGCCCAATGCGTTGAGGGGGGTGGGTAAAGAGGAAACGACTAACTGACTGAGGTTAGGAGGGGATGGGGACTCCGTACTGGGCCGGAGAGGGGGCTCGTAAAGGGAGGTCGTCAGCACCGGGAAAGGAAAGAAAAGAGAGTTATACTATTACTACTACTATATTCAGTCGCCCACTGACCCACGAGTAACCCAACCTTGAACCCTTCCCCCCATCCTGTCCTGTCCTCTCGCATCATACACTTCGTCAATTTCCTTATTTTCATCACCCCCTCCCCCCCTCCTCACCTCCCCGTGATCCACAGGTACTTGTTCAGCACGTCCCCGTGCCGGTTCTCCTCCGCAGTCCACTGCCGCGTCCAGTGAGCCCAGGGGGTGTCGTCGGCGCCCGTCTCGTCGCGCACCTCGTCCAGCGTGTTGATCATGTTCATGTAGGAGGGAAGGGCCTCCTGCGGGGGGAGGGGGCGGGGGTGGAGGGGGAGATATGGGGGAGGAGGGGGAGGAGGGGGAGAGACCCATGGGTCCGTTGAGGAGGAAAGGCTTTTTGCTTTCTTTTTTTGCTTTTAAGTCTCCTTAACCAGTGGTCAGATGTCCCCTACCAGCACCAGCACAGCAACACCAACCACTCCTTCGAAGCCCTGGGCTATCCCAACCTTATGTACCCACAACAACAACAACCACGACCGCTCCCGACCAACGGGTCAGTGTCCCTCCCCCCCTCCCAGCCCCCCCCACCTCTGTGATCATGTCGCCCACCAGCACCACCAGGTACTCGTTGGGCAGGTTGGAGGCGGCGGAGCGCAGCGACATAACCTGGGATTGACAGGAGGGGGAGGAAGGGAGAGGAAGGGGCGGGGACAAGGGGTTCGAGGTTAGGTGTGGGGTGAGGGGGAGGAGTCGGACAACATGCTTTCCTCCTTTCCTCCTTGAGCCCCATCGTCCTGACCCCATCCACCCATGGTAAAGCCTCGTCATACAGTTCGTCAGCTTCCTTACTTTTACCCACCTTCCTCACACCTTTTTCCTCTGTCCCTCCCTCCCTCCCTCTCCCGACCCCCAACCTTTTCCCTTTCACCTAATCGCGTCTGACTCTGCGCCCCACCGCCCTGTTCTCGCGCATTCAAACCAGTACTGGTGGTCCCGGATACGTTACACTAGCTACCCACGCTAGCTGTTAGCAGCCGGGTATGGCGCTACCAGCGCGACCCATGTCAACGGTACCCTCCCGCATCTCTTGTCATACAGCGCGCTAGATTCCTCTTCCTATCCCACATCCCGCCTGGGACACCATTACCCTCCGGTATACTACGGTCAAAGTCAGCGCTTCCGCGGCTCAGTTTATCTAATCTCCCCCCCACCTGGTCGTAGAAGTGCACCCGATCCCCCCACCCCCCTCCCCCTCCCCCCACCTGGTCGTAGAAGTCGGGAGATGCGGAGTCGGGCAGCATGTCGGTGGGCTGCCAGTGCCGCTCGGTGGGCTTCAGGAACCTGACAGGATGGGCGGGGGGTGCGGGGTAAATATAAGGAAACGAGGGGGGGATGCCGGAGGGGGACGTGGGAGTGTGGGGTCGATCCCCCCTCCAACCACCAGTAACCCCCCTAACCGCCCTCTTTGACTACCGCACCTCCCTTTTGAAGCTATCCTCTCCCGGATTCGGTTCCTTCTTCTCTCTTAGATACTTAGCTTATTACCCATTCCGGCCCGCCAGCGCTGCCCCTAGGTCGCGGCTAGAGTCGTATCCCCCCCTTTCGCAGCATCCCGAATCCTCAACCCCGTAAGCAACCCTCCTCCCTCCTCCTCCCCCAACCCGATCCACATCAGAGGTTAGCAGCTTAGGCCCCTTTTCCTTCCTCCTCCCTCTTCCTCCCCTTCCCCTCTTCGCAAACGAGACACGACTTCGTTTCCCGTCCAAGAACCCGACCCACTTCGGCAGCTCCACAGCAGCCCAATCCGCCATCGAACGAACGACCTCCTTGCCCCGCTCGCTCAGAGAGTGAACGCGCTGGGAACCGAAGTACACAATTGGACCATCCATGCCATGGCCGCGAGATGGCGCGGAGATGGCGGGAGCGGCAGCTGCAGCAGCTGCGGTAGCGACTGAAGAAGGAGAGGAAGTCCGGATAGTAGAGTTGGAAGGAAGGATAAGGCCGCCCGGGGTTGGGGCGGGATTAGATGGGATGATGAGGCGCGGCGCGGGTCCGGCCGAAGCGCCGCTGAGAATGCGAGCGGCGGTGGGGCTCAGCCCGGCCTGCGTAGAGGATGGTCCTGTGCTGCTGTTGCCGCTGCTAGGAACAGCGCGGGTGCTTGGCGTTATGGAGCATGGGGTTGAGCTGGACCGACGTGGAGTCGACGAGACACCTCTCACGGACTTCAAGTTTGTAGACGCCTGACGAGCTGAGCCCTGCGACATGGCCGCGGGCGAAGCCCGGTGGCTTGCACCAAGCATGGCTCACACTTGCAGCCCAAGCTTTAGTAGGGCTTAGGTCCCTTCGAGCCTTCAGCCCTGCAAGAAGCGATATGGACAGTTCGTGGTTAGCTCGGTCCTTATACTTCGTATGGCAAGCGCAAGACAATTTGGTGTAGCACCTGAAAGTGCGAAAGCCGATGGAGCGGAAACCAGTCTTGAGACCCAAACAGCACCGACAGTACTACAACCCAAGTCGTAAAGTCCACAAACACTAACGAGTATCAACGCATGCAATCATCGTAACGTCGAAGCGTAACGCCAGGGCCGCCGGTGGCACACCATCCAGACGATCGAACAGGGCAGTAAGAGCAAGGAAGCACGACCCCATAGCCTACCTCTGTAGGAGTGGTCGACTTGCTCCAAGTATAGAACCCCACCACAGCGGAAGACCAAGAGCTACGCAAACTGAGATAGACACTTGATACTTTAGCCTGGAAGTTGAGTTCTTCAGTCGAAAAGAACACAGCAACCTTCCCTCGAGACTAGCGCCTAGAGTGGTAGCAACTGAGACTCTGTTGGTGCAAGCGTGGAAGATGGCGCGAATGGCCGGTACGGCTACTACCGCCCGATGTACTCCTTATGGTACCAACGCGTCCCTTAACTGTGGCCGGCAGACTTACCTTGAAGGAGTGCTTGATGCGTGTATCAGATGGCTGTCTGTTGTATGTTATCATTGCCTGTAGTGCCTGTTTGACATGATGTGATGCACAATCAGACCTCACTCCAACCAGTACAACTAAAGATCGCCTATTGAAAAGGATATTTATGAAATGGTGTTCTTGTCATCGAACAGCTTTCGCGTTATAGCGTCTGCCGGTGCCAGAGCAACCAGTACCGGCTGCGCTGGCCGCATGCACCGTCGCGGATGGCAGTTGCTACCCTCCTGGCCCTCCCAAGCTAAAGGGTAGGACGACTTGGAGCTAGAAAACCTGATATCGCTACATTCCAACCATTTCATCATCCTCCATGCACGCCTTCAACAACAACAGCCACGGGGCCATGTACCGCAGCCCCAGCCTTGCCCACTGCCTGGCACCCTCCTCTGCCATGATACATGGTCTTGTCTTTACCATAGTGCAGTTATACACGGCTTTCCACGCGTGTGTTAATAGTTACAGATAACTTAGCACAACTCCGGCGTAACAACTTTCTTGTCCTCCTCGCAGGCTCCGCCTGCTCAATGCCTCATCAGCCCGGTCAGCAACCAGCACAACCGCCACAGCCAGCAGTCCTAACAGCCGCAGTGGCAGTTGTACGGCAGCCGGTCAGCAGCATGCGGATGCCGTACAGGAGGTCCCCGTGGTTATCTGCGGCGGTGGACCCACGGGTCTCACCATGTCCCTGCTGCTAGCGAAGTACGGTAAGCAACTGTTGTATTGTCACTGGAGGCACACACGCCAAACAAATGTTGTCATACAAGGTAACTGTATGCGTGTTTGCGTATGTGTGTCTTTGTATAGCAAAAACCCTCTTGAACCCACTGCACTCCTCTTTTGGCCATATCTCATTGCCGTACAACCCGACAATACAGGTATTCGTCACATGGTTCTGGAGCGGGGCTTGGGTCCCACCCAGCACCCCCAGGCGCATTTCATTAACAACCGAACCATGGAGGTGAGATACCAATTAACCAAACAAACACACACGCACGCACGCATGCACAGCATTGTGGTGTCTTGTCTGCGTGACCAGAGCGGGGGCTCCCGGCGCCAAGTTGGTCAGCGGGCTAGGTACTCGGTAGTAATTAGCTTTTCCCGACACCATCAGCATCACCGACATGCGTCGTCAACCCGCCACTCTTCTTACATACAGCACCAGCTATTTAAGCAGTTATTGCGTTATGTTTCAGGTTTGGTTACCTCTGTTTTACCTCTGTTTTGCTTGTACTTGCGGTTCACCTGCTTGCTCTTGTTTTCCGCTCAACTACACACCGTTAATGCAATGGAAGCAATTCTCTGTACCTCGGTAATCTTCCGTCGTCTGCTTTCACTCCGAATCCCCAACATAAGCCACGTAAGCCTGCTTTTTCCGTAACAGCCCCCACGTCGGGAAACAACCCACAACGCACCTCTTCCTAGCCGCAGCCCTAGCCTTGCCCCGCCCCTCCTCCCTATTTTCCTTTCTACACCCCTCCCCTGCTTTGTATAAATTGGGTACTCTTCTTTTCCCCCCAGGTGTTTCGCTCCCTGGGCCTCGCTGCCCCCGTACGGCACCTCATGCCGCCGCTGGAGGAGTGGCGCCGCTTCGTGTACTGTGAGAGCCTGGGGGGCAGGCTGTACGGCAGCGTAGACCACTTCACAGGTGAGTGGGTGTACGACAAGGGTGGGTGGGTGGGTGGGTGTACGACAGGTGGTGTGTAGTAATTATACGCCGACATGCCTAGTAGTGAGGCCGCCCGCCCGCAATCTCGTTGCCTATACCCCCATGAACACTGCCCCCTTCTTGAACGTTGGTACATCTTTGCCGTCCCTTTCCCTCCCCTCCCTTTGACGCCCCCAGGCCAGCGCTCCTCCCTCTCCCCGCACCTCTCCCCCGAGCCCCTGGCGCACCTGCCGCAGCACCGCCTGCTGCCGCTCATGCTGACCAGGCAGGCGGAAGCAGGGGGGCCGGGGACGGGGGCGGGTACGGCAGCAGCGGGGGCGGGTACGGCAGAGGCAGCAGCAGCAGCAGTGGAACCGCTGATTGCCGTACTTGGCTCTGGCGGCAGGAACGCGGTTAGCAGCAGCGGTAGTGGTGCTAGCTGTGGCAGTGCCGGCAGCAGTGGCGGTGGTGGCATGATGGACTATGTGAGCTGGGGTGCGGAGGTGTGCGGGGTGAGGTTCCTGGGGGGCAGTGGCAGCAGCAGCAGCAGCAGCGGCAGCACATCTGGAGCGGCGGTGGAAGTGGAGGTGGCTATGACGACGACTACGACGACGGCGACGCCGGGGCAAGGGCGACAGCAGCAGCAGCAGCAACGGCAGCAACAACAGCAACGGCAGCATCAGCAGCGGCGATTGGTTCGTTGTCAGTATCTGGTGGCGGCGGACGGGGTGCACAGTGCCGTACGGAAGCTGTTGGGAGGCAGGCTGGAGGTGAGGCGGGGGGGGGGTTTAGGGGTTTGCCATGCAGGGGGGAAGGACGTGAGCGCTCCGGTACACGCACAAAGCACCACTGTCCTTAGACACACACCGTCAACTGCGGACCATTCCGTCGTACACCCCCTCTTTTTCCGCTTCCTGTCTCCCTCCCCTCCCTTGCTTCACTTCTCATCTCTTTCCCACCTCCCCCTCCTCCCCCCCCCCTGCTTCACTTTTCATTTGTCCCCCCCCCTGCTCCCCCCAGGGCGAGGGCCCGCTGCAGCACCTGCTCAACGCGCACTTCCGCAGCGCCGCTCTGGGCCGCCTGGCCGCCCGCCGGCCCGCCATGCTGTACTTCGTGTTCAATGCGGAGGTGGTGGCGGTGCTGGTGGCGCACGACATCGGCAGCGGGGAGTTCGTGGCGCAGGTGGGGGGAAGGGGGGAAGGGGTTAAACACATACACACACACACGTACAGTACAGTACGTTTCGCCTCGCGGCCAGTTATTTTAACACACGTATGTTCCTACTCGCGGCCAGTTTTCTTAACACACACGCATCATCACTTCATCTTTCGGCAATCCCCTCCCCTCCCCTCCCCCTCCTTGCACCCCCCCAGATCCCCTACTTCCCGCCGCTGCAGTCCCCGGCGGACTTCCCGCCCGCCCGCATCATAGGGCTCATTAAGGCGGCGGCGGCAGCGGGAGGCGCCATGGTGAGCGTGGTGGTGGGGGTGAGGGGATAAAGAGGAAACAATTAACTGACTGAGGGATAAGGCATCAACATGAGAAGAGGCGGGTGTGATGGTGGAAGAGGTGCTGCTACAAAGGTGCAATGGGCTGTGGCTGTCGTGTACAAGGACTGTGGTATAGTAGGGAGTTTGGAGGGTCCCAACGCTTAACAGTAGTCCGGGAGGACTAGTGAACTAGCTTGCCTAGCTGGCCTAGCCAACCCCACCCCTCACCGCCCCCCCTCTCCGACCCATCCGGTTCGTACGTTTTTTCCTTGTTTTTACCCCACCCCCCACCCCCCAACCCCCAACCCCGCCAGTCTGACGGTGCGGACATCGACGTGGAGCTGCTGGAGCTGCGGCCCTGGGCCATGACAGCGCAGGTGGCGGACAGGTGGGGGGCCGGGGGGAAAAAGGCATTCCAATGTGTGTGTGGGGGGGAAGGCCACGTTGGGGGGTGGCACGTAGGGGGGGAAAGGGCATCTGGGAGGCACATGGGGGCATATGGCAGCCGCGCATGGGCGGGCGGGGAGGGAGGGCATGGGCATGCGTGCAGGGAACTACATCCTTGCGCCCAAGCATCCCTGTCATCATCACCCTGTCATCTTCCCTTCCCCTCCTCCCCTCCTCCCCTCCTCCCCTCCTCCCCTCCTCCTCATGTCCGCAGGTACGCCTTCGGATCCCCCTCCTCCTCCAGCTCCTCCAGCTCCCACCACCCCCACCCCCACCACCCCCGTGTGCTGTTGGTGGGAGATGCGGCGCACCGTTTCCCGCCCGCGGGGGGGTTCGGGATGAACACGGGCGTGCAGGACGCAGCCAACTTGGGCTGGAAGCTGGCAGCCGTGATTCGGGGGGTGGCGGGGCCGCAGCTGCTGGATAGCTACGAGGTAGGCGGAGGAGGCGCGGGGGATGTACGGAGGAACATAGTAGCTTAGTATCTGGGGATATTTGTAATGGGGTCTGGTTCTGGATTTGGATGCGCGATTTCTGAACAACTTTGTGTGGGTTGTTCACAGGGTTGTTTGTATGCCTCAAATGTGTGCCTTGGGGCGGGGGGGGCTCCGATCGACCGCTCTTCTACTCCTATCCTCTTCCAATCCTCTCCCTGCGCAGCCATACTGGCCAACAGGCAACAACAGGCATGAAACAACCTCACAACAACAACAACAACCCCCACCCTACTCCAGACTCCTGCCGCCTCCTGTCCCCTTTGCTTTGCCCTACCTGTGGCTTCCTATGGTTTGGTTCATATTGTCTTGCACCCCCCTCCTCCCCCCTTCCAGACGGAGCGGCGCCCCGTCGCCGCCGCCAACACCGCCCTCTCCGTGCGCAACTGGGGCGAGGCGACTCGCGTGCCCGCAGCGCTGGGTCTGGACCCACGGGTCGCTAACGCCGTCAGCAGCGTGGCTGCCAACGCAGGTGTGCACTGCGGTACCGTACACCCGCGTGCGCATGTGTATTCTTGGTTTCTTGACCGACTGTGTGTTAGGAGGATTGTGCTGTTGTGTGTATGGTTTGAATGTTTTGGGGAGCCCCCCCCCCCCGGGGCAGTCGAGGAGGGTGCTGGGGTTACGGCAAACCCCCTGTGCCTGGGCTGCCACTGCGGGTTGCTGTCAGCTTACCAGCTTGCCACTGTTCCGGTATCGTTAACGCCCATTGGCCTTTTCCTAAACGTTCCCCCCCCTGCGTTTCTCCCCACCCTGCGCCCCGAACCCACATCATGCGTCATGCGGTTGCATGCCCTTCCGTACGGCCCTGCAGCCCCGCTGCCGCAGTGGATGCGCAAGGGGCTGCTCGAGGCGGCCCTGGACGCGGGCAAGCGGCTGGCGGGGGTGGGGTCGCTGCCGTTGCTGGGGGCGTGGAGGGAGCAGGAGGTGGAGCGGATACTGAGGTGGGGAAAAGAAAAAAATCCATTGTTCTGTGTGACAATGAGGTGTGAGGTGGAGCGGGGATGCGGTTCGGGGGTGGGGTGGGGTGGGATTGAAAGGAGCTGGCAGATAGGGAAATCCGGTGTCTGTCTGTGCCTGCAACACACTATGCTACATGTTCACGCGATGCGCTCTCCCGTCCGCCTCTTTCCTTTTGGAATGGGTTATCACTCTTACCTCTCCCCGTTTCTTCCATTCTCAACCGGCTGCATGGATGCCTGTTGATGTGTACGACATATACGACATCCAAACAGCTCCGGCGACAGCCTACGTCTGCAGTACCCGGCTGAAGATCTAGGTTATGTGTACAGCAAGGGAGCTGTCGTACAGCCAACTGCTACAGCTCACGGCAACAGCAGCAGCACGAGCAGCAGCAGGAGCACAGAAGCAGCAGCAGCAGCAGCTTCTTCATCTGCCAAGGCGGCGGTAGCTGCGGCGGCAGCTCGCTTGCCGCCCCGTGGGTCACCCTACATCCCGAGCACCGCCCCCGGTTGCCGCCTTCCCCACTGCTGGCTGCACCTGCAGCTGTCCACGCCCTCGCTACCCGCCTCACGCCCTCAGCCTGCACCAGAAGCAGCTGCTGATGACGACAAAGGGGACAAAGGGAACCAAGTCCGGACGGAGGCTAAGGAGAAGGCGACGACGACGGCGGTGGTGACACTGTCCACATTGGATGTGGTGGCTGACCCATGGGTCGGCCCCCGCCTGCTGCTTCTAGTGGACGATTACTTCGGCGCTGAGAAGGGGTTATGCAGTGGCGGCAGCAGCAGCAGCAGCAACAACCCCTGGCTGCTTGCCGCGGCTCGCCTGCTGAAACATCCTAGCTACTACAAAGATAGCAGCAACAGCAACACTTCTCCCGTACCCGTGTCACTGGCCCTCGTTCAAGTGCTTACCAACGCTTCCAACGGTAGCGGTGGCAGTAGCAACAGCAGTAGCACAATGACAGAAGCAGCGGCGGCGGCAGCTACGGTTCCATCGTACACGAGCAGCGCTACAGGGGGTGGTGATGGTGGTGATGATGAGGGGGCTGTTGCCGTACACGACCCTCCTGAAGGCAGCGTTCTCGGCATGGCTGCTGCTGCTGCTGCTGCTGCTGCCTCCTTTACTGTGGGCCGGGAGGAGCAGCAGCAGCAGCAGGCGGAGCCGGGGGTGTTGGACGCGGGGGTGGTCGTACGGCTGAGTGAGGTGGAGCGCGGGTCCTGGCAGCGAACCATGGGTCTGTCGCAGCTCGGCGGTTGTCTGTTGGTACGGCCGGACGGTCACGTGGCTTGGAGGCACGTGGGGCCGCCCAAGCCCAGGAAACCGCAATGGGTGCAGCCCAAGCAGCAGCAGGAGCAGGAGCAGGCAGGTGTGGTGTTGGGGGCAGGAGGAGGCTGGGAAGGGAAGAAAGCGGAGGTTGCTGCTGCTGAGGAGGAGCTGAGGTCTGTGCTGCGGGAGCTGAACTGGCGGGTGTGATTTGAGTGGGTGGGAAGAGCGGTTTGGGTGGGGGCACAATGACCCATGCGGAATGACGAGCGTGCGCTGGCGTGCGAGCATGTTGCCTTGAGGGAGGCTGGTCGGAAGGAAGGAAGGAAAGGGTGGCGCCGCGTGCAACGTGAGGTGCCGCCCCTCGGCTCATCTCTTCCCGGCTGCATTCCGACAGCAGCAGCAGGAGCACCTGGTGATGTGTGGCGTGATGTAATGCAGTGGGGGGATTGCGTGGTGATGGTTGTTTATTAAAGCCAGAGCCAAAATTAGTTTGATGTGACAAGCAATGGCGGGCGCATGCGGGGGTCGGAGGACCCAGCGCGCACGACGGCGCTCAACCATCATATACCGCATCCGTACATAATGTACACCGGGGGTCAATGGGCGCTATCAGGTTCTCGACTGTTGTACGACAAACCCGCATTGACACGCACTACTACCTTCACCACACACGGCAGTTTCCCGTTCTTAACACATGCATGCACGCAGCCGACGCGTGCCTACAGAGAACTAGAGAGAACCCCGCCCCGGTCTTCTTTCCTTCCCACCAGCGTGGATACCGGTAAATGTGGAGGTATGCCCCATCGCACCTTGTTCCCCTGCCACCGCCCACCTTATGGGTTGGTGCATCCATCACCCCTATCATCCATCACCCCTACAACAGCCACCACCACCATCACCCCCAGCTGGTTCGCTGATTTACTATCGTCAACAGGAACCGCACTAAGCAAGAGTCATTCATTCACACACCCCTATTCACCAGAAACCCCAAAGTCACGACACAACTCCACTGCCGGGTGCACCAAGCCCCTTGGCAAGCCCCCCTCCCGCGTACCCCCTCGCACACCGCGCGCCCCCCTACACCTCCTCCTCGCCGCTTTAGATCACACGCATCAAAAGCAGCAGTCACGTAACACGTAAGCCGCAGTACAAAACGCCTTTGTCGACTGCTTTTATGTCGAGACTCTGTTATTAAAAATTGTGGATGATCTTTGGAGCATTCAGATCAACGACAGTGTGCTACGGCTTCTCCTCGTCCTCCGCGTGCTGGCGGTCCTCGCCCATCATCACCACCAAAACACACTTCGCCGCCATAATCTCACAACATATCTGCCGGCCGCTGCTCCAACTCCTCCTCCATCTCAACATCATCATCCATATGCCTCCTCCTTTTACATGATCACCAACAGACAAATCGGCATATCACCGTCAGACGGCATCGCCCCCTTGCCCTCCTTCGTCCTCTTCTTTGGTGGTGGTACCGTATAGCAGGCAGCGCGGGGCAGCACCAACAGCGGAGACATACAACCCTTGCTCAAAAGCATCGCACACGTTGAACAGTTGCGCCGTGCCTCCCGCCTCCCTCCCAAGTCACTCTCGCTGTCGCTGACAGCAGTATCATGCAACTGGCGGGAACAGCGGCAACACAACCACCACCGCATCCACCAACACCACCGTCAGCTGCTGCTGCTTCAGCCCACCTTCAGCTCACAACGTCCCCTCATTCTTCACACGTCCCCGGCCCCCCTTCCTTCCCTCCTTTTTCCCCTCCTCCCTTTCTCCCTCCTCCCCTCCTTCAAGGGTGCTGCGCATTGAACAGCGCCTCCCCGCTCGCCCACTCGTGGTGCGCCGCCCCGCTGCCGTACACGTAGCGGTACACGGAGGCAAAGTCCAGGTCACCCAGACCCTCCTCGCATACCTGGGGGGGTGCGCGTTGTGGTGCGTGTTGTGGTATGTTAGCGGTGGTGGTGAACTGGTGGTGGCCGGTCAATGGAGGCTAATGCGGCCCCGCGCTAGCTGATGCCGTGAGAGCTACCGGTACTAGGACCGGGTACCGGGTCCGCAACCCCTCCTGCCCCCCTCCTTCCCCACCCCCCCCCGCGCACCTGTCCGTACAGCTGCATCACCTGCCGCGCCATGGGCACCGGCGAGTAGCTCTTCTCCGCCGCCGTGACCGCCATCTTGAGGTGGTCCGCCACTTGGGTGCAGCGCAGGCCGCCGCGGTAGCCCTGGGGGGGGAGGATGCGGGGGTGCGGGTGGGTGGGTGGGTGTGGGTGGGTTTGTTAACAGAAGTGGCCGGCAGAAGTAGGACTACGTACTGAACAGCCGGAAGATGATGTCCCCACCAAAACGCCACACGGGAGCCGAGGAGCAGTCAGGGGGGCATGTGAGGTCCGAAGTGGGCTATTGGGTTGTTGGGTACCCATAGCCTGGTACCGGTACCGCTATCTAAATCTCCACTTTTTAGCCACCCTCTCCAGTCCTCCCCCCCTCACTGCGTTGCTGCACTTAACTTAATTTTTTCCCCACCCCAGCCCTTTCCCCTCCTCCTCACCCTGCTTGAGGGCGCCTGCGGGGTGATCCCGGGCACCGGGTTGTACTCCTGGCTCACCCAGGACCGACCGCTGCCGCTGTTGAGCACCTTGGTCATGACCCGCGGGTCAACACCCAGCCGCCGGGCGAGCGCCAGGGCCTCGGCGGTGGCAGCCATGGTGGCAGCCTGGGGGTGGGCAAGGAGGGAGGAATAGGTTGCGGGAGGTGTGGTTGACGACCCATGGGTCAGCGGGAGGGGTGGGCTGATGCTGTGCGTCGGCATCCACCCGTCGAGTGCCTGACGGGGCAGACGAGGCTGTTGTTTTCCTACCTACCTATCAGTGCGGGGCATAAGGACAAGGCAATCGACGAGACGTGCAACCCGCAAGCATGACACACACGACAACCCAACCAAGAGGTTCATGACTATCGCCCCAGTGAACCCCCACCCCTCATTCCCTTCCTTCCTCCTCTACTCCCCCCCATGAAGGCTCGACTAACTCGAGCCCATTCACCAGGAGCTCGTCGGCTTGTTTGCCATTCTCCTAATTCAACGCACTGGTTTTGTTTCCACATGAAGGCCCCCTCACTCCCTTCCCTCCCCCCCCCACCCTGCCGCTCCTATCCCATTGTCTTGCCCCAACCTGTGGCTTCCGATGGTTCGGTATGGTCTTTGACCCCCCCACCCTCCCCCCGCGGCGGCCCCCTCCCCCACCTGCACCATGGTGTTGCACAGTCGCGCCGCCTGCGCGTCCCCCGGGTCTCCGCACCAGGTGACGCTGGTGCCCATGGCCCGCAGCAGGTGCTCCACAGCGGGCAGGGCGGCCTCGTCGCCACCCACCAGGAAGGAAAGCGTGCCTGGGAGGAGGTGGGGGGGTGGGGGGTGGGGGTGGGGGTGGGGGGAAAAGGGGTATAAAGGAAGAAACTAACTAACCGCATGATAAGTTGGGGGATGGGGGGGGAGAATAGTTGAGAAGTGCAGCAACTGGAGTCCTAATCCCATGTCCCGTATGATGGGGGGTGGCAAAGGCGGGGTTGTGGACCTTGTGGTGGAGTTGGGGGGGATCCAATTGCATGAATGCTCTGCAACGTAAGAATTCGTGCCAATGGCTGCGGGTTAGCCCAGGAGTCCCACCCGCCTTCTCCCCACCCCCCTCCTCGTCAGTCAGTTTCCTTAATTTTACCCCATCCCCCCCCCTCACCCGCATCCGCCCCCACGATGCCTCCCGTCACCGGCGCATCCAGCAGTGTGGGCGACTGCGCCGGCAGCCCCTGCAGCGGCGCACCCGCCTTGTCCACATTCACCGCGGCGGCACGAACCCGGCCCGCCAGCTCACGAGCGGTGGGCGGATCCAGCGTCGTACAGTCCACCTGGGCCCAGCATACGACATGCAGCAGCAGCAGCAGCAGCAGGACGTCAGGGGGGATGGTGTGGTGGTGTGAGGGAGAGGGCAGGCACCGGGTTGGACGATTGGTCCGTCAGGGATCTCTGCGCTCTTAGCTACCGTAATTTTCTCCCCGGGGTCTGTGTCTCGTCACCTCCGCCACAAGCTATGGCTCTTCCCCCCCCCCGCCTGCGCTTATCTTTATATTTTCCCCCCGCCTCCTCCCAACGGGCCCCCTCCCTCCCTCGTCAGTTTCCTCTTTTCACCCCTCCCTCCCCCCCTCCCCCGCTGCTCTCACCAGCACTCGCGGCACGATGCCCCCCTGCGGCGCCAGCAGCCCCTTGGAGCCCAGGTACACACGCCGAGCCGCATCGGGGCCAGACAACATGGTGAACACAACTCCCACGCCTGAGGGGGGGGGAGGAGGGATACCGGAACCATAGGTTAGGGCAAAGCAATGGGGAGGGGAGGAGGTTGGGGGGGAATTCGGAGGGTGTACGGGTCAGGCGGGCGGACCCGAGGGGTGAGAAGAGGGGAAGGGGGAGCGGCAAGGTGCAAGGAGGGCCGGGGTGTGGCGCAAGGGGTCGGTGAGGTGGCGATGTGGGTCACCGAGGGGAAGATGGGTCACAGTTGGGAGGAAGTGATGTGGGTCAGGGCGCATGGGAGAGCGTTGCGGGGCCACAGCCAACGACACGGGGAGCCCTGAGGCACGCATGCGTCGGGGGCGGGGCACGTTGGGGGGGGCACGCATGCATGCATGGGGGGGCACGTGGCGATGTGTCATAGCAATGGCAGGGCGGTGGCAGCGTGTGACGATGAGGGGTATTGTAGATAGGAGGAAGGGAGCGGGGAAGGTGTGCTAGGCCACAACCAAGACGACGAGGATGCCTCAGCAGTTAGCATGTCACCACGCCTCCTCCTCACCACATACCGGGCTCCTCAGCCCTAGCGCATCTGATGCCCAGTTACCTCTTTTTCTTCTCACTTAGCAGCAGCTTCTTCTTAGTAGTTCTTCTTCCTCCACCACAAGGGTGAAACGAACAGAACAACGAAGCCCTCAGCCCCGCCTCACCTGGCGTCTCAGCGATCTCCGCGGGACTCCGGAGAGCCTCCGCTATTCCCCATCTTCCGCCGGGGAGGTGTGAAAAGGAGCAAGAAGAGCTGGTTTCGGAGCCCGTTCGTACGGCAGCCGCCTCCTCCAACAGACTCTCAACTGCCAGGTGGTTGCTGTCGTACACCAGGAGGTTGTGACCGGCGGCTAGCAGGTGCTTGGCCATGCGGAGGCCCATGGCTCCGAGACCCACGAAGCCGACCTGATGGATGTGGGGATGGGCATGAAGCGAACATGGTTAGGGAGGCGTGCGAGGAGAAGGAAGGCATGCGAGGATAGCGAAGTGAGAAAGGACGAGGATTAGGGCAAGGGGGCGTGAGACAAGGGGTTCTGGGATGGGTGGGTGCGGCAAGCTAGGTTGGGAGCAGGCATTAAGGGAGGCATGGAGGATAGGGCGAGGAAAGCCAGCGCCGATACAGCAGAGCGTAAAGCAGCGAGACGACAAGGTAAGTCAGTTGGAGACCTTTTGCTTTCAGGACAACAGTTATTTGCGGAGACGCGTGTGGCTGAGGGCCTGTCAGGATCCGCGCACACATTCCGGTGCGGCTGCCAACATTAAACAGGCTTCCTTCTATTTCCCTTGCTGGAGAACACGTATAGATAAAATACCCGATATCGGTCAGTCCCTTCTGTTACTCGCAACTTGATGCATTCCGACAAGACAGGCTGACCTTTCCAGAACACGTGCTTGCCGCCGTTGTAGCATAGCGTAGACCATATCCTAACGTTCCAGGTGCTAGGGCCGCTAACGGCGACGCGGCTGCGGCCGCCCGAAGCAACATTTGGGCTTCTTCTGGCTGAGAGGTACACTGCTCCTAAGTAATGACTTGACAGTAAAGCTCTACTACAGTGTTTGTAGCATATTAATTAATATGTTTCTCTTTGTTCTGCGCTATGCAGTGGGTTCCTGGCATCTATAACCCTGCAAACAAACTAACGGAAGCCGACCCTTACGCCCCTTATGTCGCAAGTAACATCTGCGCCTAAATTACGGCAACCGCCTTCCTTTAAGTTAGACATAAACTTTTGGATACATGTGTCACATCTTACGGAGGGGGCTCGGAAGGTTCACAGAGTCAGGCACCCTGTACTCCCCCGATAGCTCTCTTGTTCAACACATATGCATCACAACACATAATTGATTGAACTTTAGTGCCAAGCATATACGTCCGAGAAAAGATAGCAGACGAAAGACATCACGGCAATTATCGCCAGATCGCCACGTCGGACGGCCTAGGGTTGGGCAACTCCCCCTTCGCTGCGCTTCTTATTTTTTCAATTCAGTATAGTAGCATTACAGAACGAAAAGGATTAAAACGGATTTGCTAGAACGCTGCAGCGCTTGCCAAGACACTGCAACATGTTGCTGAGCAGCAAGCCCCGCGCGTGCTCAGTGGCTCGGACTTCTCCTGCCACGGCCATCAACGTTCGCGCTCCGTTGCGCCGCGGGGCACGTTGCGTGACTCGCGCAGTTCAGGAAGTGGTCATCCCCCCATCCAGCGTCACTGCAGCTAATGAGCTTCAAAGCCTTTCCCGGCTGAGCACTGTTGTGCCGGACACTCTAGCATTGGAAACTCTTACGCCCGGAGCGCGCCTGGCTGCTGCTACGGTGTCTGCAGCGACCGTGCGATCCGTCTTGCTGGGTGAATCGCTGGGCCTCAAGCCCTATGAGGCAAGTACATCTGGGTCGCCTTTTAATCTATTACTAATATGTTCCTTTTCGCGTCCGTTTCACCGTAGTCTACTAGCCTGCACGTCTAGCTGGTTTGAATGGTCCAATGTCCATCCGGAGCTGAGCGTTACTGAGTCTTTGCACCACTTCGCCAAACACATCTATATCAAACATCAGCCCGAGCATCCCCAACCTAGCATCACCGGCTAACACTCCTCACACATCTTTGCTGAAGATCCCTGCGGTACAGCAAGACTGTACCACCGGTACTACTACCTCCACCACTGTCGCTGCTGCTGCTGCAAGCGTCGACCCTCCTCCTCCCCATTCCTCCCTCCCTCCCTCCCTCCCTCCCTTCCTCCCTCCCTCCCTCCCTCCCTCCCTCCCTCCCTCCCACCTCCCTCCCTCCCAGAACGCCATCAACGCCGCGCTGGCCGCCCCCCGCTCCGCCTCCCTGCCCCCGGGTCTGCGCGGCTCCCCCCTGGCGGCCGCCTCCGACCCGGTGGACCGCGCCTTCGCCAACCTGGGTGCCATGATGTGCGACGTGGTGTGGGGACGTGTGGAGACGCAGGTGGACCCGAGGCTGGCGGAGGATGAAGGTGAGGAGGGGGGTGGTCAAAGACCATACCATACGATAGGAAACCACAGGTTAGGGCAAAGCAATAGGGGTGCGGGGGGGTGTTAGGGAGGGCGGGAGGGTGGGGGAAGAGTGGGGAAGAAGAAGGATAGGACTGCTGATGCCGCCCCCAGGGAGGCCCTTCTTCTCCGCATCCCTTCCGCCCCTCATGCCCCCCTCATGCCCCCCCCCCGGGCCCCCGAATGCGCTCACTGCATGAGTCGGGATATGGGATTGGGACTCGTTGTTTCACTTATATAATTTTTCCCCCCGGGCCCCCAGCCGCCGTCGCCTCCAAGGTTCGTGCCCTTGCCTCCCTGTACGGCGGCCTGCGGGTGCCCCTGGAGCGGCTGGTGTTCGGACTGCCCGCTACCTGGGCCGCAACGCAGGCGGCGGGACGGCTGGAGGCGGAGGGGATCGCAACGGATGTGAGGAAGGGGAGGAAGGGGGCGGGGGGGGGGGGTAGGGTGGGGCGGGATAGGGGGGGCGCATGGGGACCGGGGGGAAAAATTTAAATAAGTGCCCCGGCATGGGGGCCGGGGGGGCGTACATGGGGATGCGGAATTGTAAAGGAGGTGGTGGTGGATAGATGCTAGATAAGGACATACATAAGGCCCCGGAGGAATCATGAGAGGTGTGGGCCCTAGCCGTGTGGGCCCGTACCCATCCCATCCTCTTATCCCTTCAAACTATGCGTGTGTGTGTGTTTGCTCCCCACCATGTTCCCTTCCCCCACCCTGCCGCCTCCCATCCCCATTGCTTTGCCCTAACCTGTGTTTTTTCCTATGGCCCTGGCGCTGCGGTCTCTGTCCCCCCGCCCTTGGGCTGGACTAACTCGATTCAGTTCACCAGGAGCTTGTCGTCTTGTTTGCCATCCTCATTCAACACATCGGGCATTCTTCTTTTCCTCCCTCCCCTCCCCTCCCTCCCGCCAGCTCTACATGGTGTACAGCATGGTGCAGGGCGTGGCGGCCATGCAGGTGGGGGGGGGTAAAGAGGGTAAAGAAAATACCCATGCAAACCAGCGGGGTGGGGTGGTTTGAGTTGACGGGGTGTCCCCAAGGGTGGGGTGCGAGGGATCCCATCTGGGTCGGTTCGGCCGGCTGCTGTTGTTTGCATGCAGCCATCATATATCGGTACCGTAGTTAGTTGACCTTCACAACCCGTGCTTCTGACCCCGTCGCCTCCTCCTCTTTTAACATCCTGATCTCTGGTCACGTCCGTACGACCCTCGCTCTTATGCATGCATGCATGGGCCCCCACCCCCCTCCCCACCCACACACCCGCACCGGTAGCTCTTTAACCCAACTATCCAGCCTAATGCGGGATATATTATATGATTCCGATTACTAACCCGCCACCCCCCCCCCCCCCCCACACACACCCGCATGGCCCCCCGCTTGCAGGCCGGTGCCAGTGTGATTCGGCTGGATGTGGGGCGCATCCGTGACTGGTACGACAAGAACCCGGGGGCCATCCGCAACCCCCACGTGAGTCCTGTCGCCGAGTAAGAGGGAAGCGAGTAAGGGAAACGAACAGCACTTCGTCGCTGCTGTATCTCATGCGCACTATTGCTTTGTGATATTTCCCCCCCTCCAGGAGCTTGTCGTCTTGTTTGCCATCCTTATTAAGCACATTGGGTATCCTTCTTTTCCACACTCTCCCCCCGACCAGGGTCCCCGCGAGGACGCCGGCGTGCCCTCCAGCCACGACCCCGCGCTGGCCCTGGTTCGTGACCTGTACTGCTACGGCCGCCGCTTCCACCCCAAGACAAAGATTATGGCCATGGGGCTCAGGAGCAGGAAGGGTGAGCAGGAGCGGGATGAGGAAGGAGGGAGGGATGGGGGGGAGGGCGGGGGGCGCAGGGACGTAGGACGTAAGGCCCGGGGGGCTTAGTAAAGGCAGGCTGGCTTAGGAGAAGGCTTTAGGAGGAGAGGTAACGGGCGGGGGTGGGACAAGGGGAGGTTTAGGAACGGGGTTTCCTTCCTGGCTGCCTCAAAGAGGTACCCTTTCCCTTGCCTCCTCCTCCCCTCCTCCTCCTCGCCCCCCTCCCTCCTCCCTCCCTCCCTCGTATATCCCCATGGCCCCCCCCGTCCCTCCCTCCCTCTCTTCTCCCCAGACGCCCTGGACCTAGCTGGTCTTGACTACCTGGTGCTGTCCCCGCGGGTGCTGGAGCAGCTGTCGCTGGAGCCAACTGACCAGGTGGGGGGGGGGGGGGGGGGGGGGGGGGCGGGGGGCGGGGTTAGAGATACACCGGAACCACAGGTTAGGGAACGCAATGGGGATAGAGGGAAGGGGTAAGTTAGGGCAGGGGAAGGGGGAACGGGGGTATGAGTGGTGCTGCCTTGCCGTGTCACAATACACCCCTCCCTCCTCACCCCAACCTTTCTCACCTTCCGCCCCTCTCTCTCCCCCACCCTTCACCCTCTCTTCCCCCCACCCTCCACCCCGGGGCCTCCCCCCAGGGTTACAACGACGGCCTGAGTGCCGTGTCGGGCGGTGCGGGTGTGCAGCCCGCCCTCACCCCGCAGCTGGTGGCGGAGAGCGACATGCAGCGGGTGGGGGGGGGAGGGGGAGGAAGGGGGTGGGAGGGGTTGAAGAGGGAAAGGAGGCGTGTGTGTATTGTACGATGCGGGAGGGGAAGAAGGACGGGGAGAGGGAGAGGGGTGCAGCCTTTTGGCCCAGTTAGTTTTCCTTTCTCCTCAAGTTCCTCCACCCTCACGTGTTTCCTTCACGCACCCCCTCTCTTCCCCCTGCCTCCCCCCCCCCGCCCCCCGCGCTCACTGCGTGAGTCGGGCTATGGGATTGGGATTCGTTGTTTCACTTTTATATAATTTTCCCCCCGCCCCCCGCAGTGGGAGCCGCTGACCGAGTCCTCCTGGCGGGGGGGGCTGGGTGCGGCTGCCTCCCAGCTGCTGGCCGCCTCGCTGGCCGCCCGGCGGTCCGACATGACGGAACTGGAGGAGCTGCTGGCGCGGAAGACGCAGGGGTCGGAGTGAGGGGCAGAAGAAGACGCAGGGGTCGGAGTGAGGTGCGGAGGGGGAGCGGGTCAGAGTGAGGGGCAGAAGAAGATTGAGAAGTGCAGAAACTCGGAGTGAGGGACAGGGGCGGGGAGTAAGGAGGAGGAGGAGGAGACGGCAGACGTGGTGGGAGGGGAGAGGAACGACCCATGGGTCATGGGCATGGAGGAGAGTTGGGGAGGCAAGGGAAGTGGATGCTTGACAGGAAGGCTGAGGGGTGCCTGAGTGAGGAGGAGGATGGTGCGAGGTGGATGAGACCCATGGGTCGGTGTGGTCGGGTTGTCACGGACTGGTGGGAGGGGTTTTGTTGCCGTCGTGCGGGATCGGGAAGGGTGCATGGGTTAGGGGGCGGGTGCGACATGGGCGTGTGAGCAGTCTGTCTAGTCGGACTACTTGGAATTGTTTTTATACGTTGCCTGTCCGTTGTGTCCGGGGGCTTGAGAGGAAGTGAGAGAGGAAGAGCGAGAGAGTGACGTACCGGTAGTTTTCTTCTTGTCGAAAAAAAAGAGTGACAACAGCAGGTATGTCCCATGATTCGCGTGTTCCTGCTCCATACGTCGGTTCGAAGCAGGAGCGTGAAGAGTTGTACGGCAATCAGGCAGCCCTGGAAGGGTGTAGGAAGTAGCTCGAATCTCTTGTTGTCGATTGTCGTTACAACAGCAGAATGTTACACCATTTTGCTTTCCTCGTCGTTGCCATCAAAGCACTTGTTGATGGCATCTTGTTGCAGTGTCTGAATCGAAGTTTGTCGCAAAATGGGGTGATGTGTGCATTCCCCTTTGAATGAACAAAGAGGGTTGTGTGGGCCGGTGGGCTCCGCTGTGGGGTTGATGTGACGTGATTAGGTATAAAAAACTTGAGCCGCGGGTGTTGTGGGTGTTACGAACACTTGGGCCGTGAGTGTTTTGGGTGGGGCGCCCCCCACCAAAAGCCCCCTTTCCGGCTATACAAACTTGCGGCAGGGGCACACAGCAGGTGCCGTACAGAATCTCAAGACGTTGTAAACACGGCACGTATACTTCAGGAACACGAAGAAGACCCAGGGAAGGGAGGTGTAGGAGGCGTGACTTGCGCCACACAGTCCTAACCTGTTGCCGTGAAAAGGAGGGAGAGGCAAGGAGCACAGGAAGTAACGTTTGGGGGGCAACGAGGCTGGGGTAGGGGACCTCTTTAACGTTGGTTGCTGGGTGATGTGACCCAAGACACCGTCTCCAGCTCATTATCCCAACGTGGCCAAGCTGAGGGGAGGATTGAGGGGAGGTGGATTGGGTGAACATCCGTCGGTCGACAACCTGTCTATACCGGTACGGTAAGCACACACCAGCCATCCTCATGTGTGCAACACGTGTGCTCATCAGACGCGAGGATACACCGGTCTGCAGCAGGCACCCCTTCACCGCCGTGCCCCCCACGTTCACACAACGGGGACCCGTGCACCTCCCTGTCCTGTGTTAAGAAAACTGGCCGCGAGTAGGAATGTACTGGCATGTACGTACTGTGTCTGATGTATTGGTTGCTGCTGAAGGAACAAACCACCACCACCACCACCATGCTCCTATGTTCCTATCCCATGCCCAGCACACCACACAGCAAACCGTATCCGCACTTGATGACCAAGGCCTTGCGCCACCGTTCCGCTGCCTCGCATCCAGCTCTCCTAGGCGGCACCTCCCTTTCCTATACCGGTTCCACGCCTTGCATGACAAAAAGCTAGGCATAGCTACAGTGCTAAAGCCGACATCGGTCGTCTGTCAGCCGCACAACCTTTTCACCATCACCACTTCCAGCCTTCGAGACCTCTACCCCGGTACAGCCCTGTGACCCGTTTTGCAGAGCCTTTCCAAAGCCATCCTTTCTGTTCCGCTTCCCTTCTCTTTCTCCTCCGCCTCCTTCGACGCCCTTCGCATCCTTCACCATGCATGCCCCTCTACTGTCACAGAGCCCAGGTACGGCCCTTACTCACCCACATCCCAGCCACCATAGCCGCCAACGCACACAAGTATTGCGACCAGAAACGCACCCGTAGCATTTCCGTGTACGACAATCGTAATTCGGCACCGGCACCGGTACCCGGAGAACCGCTTTGGGCCACCGTCTAGATCAGATCTCTCACTGCATCTTCCATCTCCCCTGCATGGCGATTCTAGCGCACGCAGAGTAACAGGTTGCACACCGGTATGCATCCTACAGGGTAATATCACTTCAAAATGGCCTCAGGAGGCCCTCAGGAGGCTCCGAAGCGACAGCTGTCCAACCTCATCAAGCGGGTCAAGTCAGTCCATGCCAGCTACTCGCTGTGCCGCCTGCTCCATAACCGCCGCCGCCGTAATTACATCCTTGTCGCCTCCGCCGCCGCCACTCGCCTCAGTGTACGGCACATCTAGGTGTACACTAACCGCCCGTCGACTCAACCACTCGAGGCATTCCGCGTCGCATGGCTCCGCCGCCGCCGTCGCGGGGGGGCGAATCCGAGTGGAGGCTGCCGCCACCGCCGCCGCCGCCACTGACGACTCGGCGGCGGCGGCGACAGCGGCGGCGCCGCCAGCGCTGCCTGTTTGCGCGGCTGCAGTCGTCGTTGCCTTTGCTGCTGCTGCCGCCTCCGATGCAGCGTAGGCGGGTGTGAGCAGCTTGTCCGCTTGCGCCCCGAAGATCTCCTGAAGGTGGGGTGGGGTCGAAGGAGTCGGCGATGGCAAGGTTGGGGCGGACGGGGTTGAAAGGGAAGGGCCGTTAGGGAAGCCACCACCGGTTAAAAGGGTTGCAAGGGCGGGATTAGAGAAGAGGAGAGCTCGGGAGGTGGATCCTGGATCGCCTTTCTGGGCATATTTCGCAGGTGCTAAGGCACAGGCGCACGAGCGTGTCTCACTGCTCATTCCACGCTTCCAGCCCCAGCGGCCGCATCTGCCCTCCTCCTCCTCCTCCTCCTCGTCAGTTTCCTCTTTTTGACCTCCCCTCTCCCTCCCTCATACCCGGCTCCCACCTGTCTCATCAGCGGGTTGCCGAACAGCATGTGCCGGCTGCTGAAGGGGTTGCAGTGCTGCTCTCCAGCCAGCCCCGCAGCGGGGTGCGTGAAGCCGAAGCCGCTGCGCCACAGGCAGCGACCCAGGGAGCGCTCCCCCGATATGGATGACAGCGCGTCCGTAACGCAGCTGGTCCAGGCGGCCTGGGGGGGGGCCGGTGGAAGGGGGGTGGGGGGTGGGTGGGAAAAAGAGTACCCAATGTGTTGTTTAGTGGGGGAAGGTGCGAGGGTTGCAGTTAGGAGAGGAGGGAAGTTGGTGTCAGGGAATAGGAGGTTGGATTGCCGGTTGGGTGATCATGTGTGTGTGCGGACGTCATCATCCACGTGTGCAGCTTAGCTTAGCGGTTGCCACATGTGTCTGACGTCATCCATGCACTCCACCGCTTCCCCCCTCACCAATCCCACTCCCTCCCTCCCTTCCCTCCCTCCCTCATTCCACGGTCGCAAGGTTACCGCGGCTCAGTTTACTTAGTCCCCCATCCCCCGCCCCCAGCCCAGGATTGGGACCCAAGTTGCTGCCCTTCTCCTTTATCTTTGCCCCCGTCCCCGCCCCCACCCTCACCCCCACCTGGTCCAGGTACCTCAGCAACATCTCACTCATCGCCACCCCGCCCCCACCCGCAACCCAAGACGGCGCACAGCGGTCGCCGCTGCCCAGAAACCGCTTGCTGGCACACAGCGGCCCCCCCGCCAGCCCGTCACACAGGTCAAACCGGAACTCACAACCCGCGGCGGGGCGACACACGGGGCAACTGGACAGCGGCATGCGGGGCGGCCGGCGGCGGCCCATAAGTGCGGTTAGGTTCATGCCGCAGGGCAGGCAAACGGCGGCGGCGGGGGAGGGCGCGAGGAGTACGGCACCATTGAAGTCAATGAGGTGATCGCTGACGGCGGCGGCGGCAGCGCTGTCGTACGGCGAGAGGAGTTGTACGACATGGTGCGGCAGCCAGAGGGTGTCGTCACGGGCGACGAGCATCCAGCGGTAGGGAGGAGGGGGAACGGGAGGTGGAGGTGGGTTTGCGGTTTCGGAGGTCGTGGTTGCTGTGGTGGTGGTGGTGGAAGAGGTGGTGGTGTTGGCGTAGTCGGAGGAGTCGATTTCGGGCATGGTTGGATCGATGGAGGAAGAAGAGGAGGGGGTGGAGGAGGTGGAGGAGGAGGAGGGGGAGGAGGAGGAGGGGGAAGAGGGATCGGAGGTGGTGGAAGTGGCCTGGGCGGTCAGGAGTTGGTGGGCTAGGAGGGGCGCGATGGCCCAACGATGGCCCAAACGATGCAACGGGTGGAGTGATGAAGGCGGGCTTTTGCTGTTGCTGCTGCTGCGAGTAGCATGGGTTGGGATGTTGGCATCATCGCCAGTACCCGCGTCAGGCCATGAGATGTAGATTTCGCTGTGCTCTTTGCCGTAAGATGCATTGTACAATTTGTTCAGCCGTGCTGCTTCGCTGGCGCTTTCCAACGCTATAATGGTGCGGATGCCACGCCTGGTTAGGTGAGGGTTAGGAGGGTAGGATAGTCGGTAAGCATGACGTGTTGATAGGGTGGGCCACGCGAGTCCTATAAAGCCGGCGTGTTAGTGGATGCTTGATAGCGGTCTTGGCCGCTTGCACGAGCTTCGATGGCACGCGAACCAGTCGTTAAACAGGTCCCGGGTTCCCTACCTCGCCGGGCGTGAAGCATGTACTAAAGGTAAACGGCTGCTGGTTGTACTGTACACTATAACCAGGTCCGCTTTGCTAAGCGTTGGCAAGCCGTTAGATGAGCCCACGGACACTTGTAATTGCTCGCCAGTAGTTTCTTTTACAGCTAAGAGCGAGACTATTAAGGACAATAGCAAAAATATCCGCATTGTGGCGCTCTACATTAGGAAGCAACTTGACTCGCCAGCCCGACCAAAATCTGCCAAACTAAACAAGCTAGCACATCAATGAGTGTCACAGATACACTACCTATTAATATTTTTCAAATGGGTAAAGCGGTAACCTATGACAAGCGAACCCCTCTTGTTTGGAGTGCTGTATGAATAAAAGCGCAAAGCATGGATTGGTGCTTCGTGTAAGGAAAGACCTTCAAAGGCTGTAGTCAAGGCATGAATGACTGTCTGACTGGCTACTTAGTAACAGCTTGTCGTACGGGCTTGGCATCCCGGTAGTTGGTCCGCGGCGCTCTTTGCAACGCTGCAGAATTCCCCACTTCTACACCCATAACTTCTCAAACGCAGCGTGCTCAGGATAGGAAGGCATGTAAGGGAGCGGCTCGCTGTGCGGCGCCAGGCAAGCTTCATTGCGGTATAACGACGCCAGGTCCTCGAGCGGCGAACAAAGCCCTTGACACCAAGTAAAGAACATTGACAGGGCGTTTGCTTGGCATGTTTCGGCGCACAGCCGCATGTCCTCAAAATGCTTCACATCGTGCGCCAGCATCCATGCCCCCACGCTCGTATCTGCAAGCAGCCATAGCGAGCACGCTACTCAGACATTGCATGACTTATATAGGTACACCATATGCTTGTAAATACATGCTGTTGCTAAGGAAAGCGTTTTTGCTAATAACAACCTGTAGAATGGTCAAGACCTAGCATGGCCGTGACACCCACCTTCATTTCCCAGCAGTCGCAGGTTGTGGTAGTTGGTCAGGATCACCTTCCGAACCACATCCGCTGAGAGCGCGTAGGCGCTGCGAAAGGCAACAGCCACAGCGTCAGCGGAACTTGAACAGCGGGAGCGCGGGACTCAAGGACACACACGACCATACACGGAATGATGCGGTACAGAAACGCCCCGTACACTTCCCTACCTGCCGTACGCATGCATGTAGTAAGTGGGTCCAAGCAGCATGTGCAGCGGTTCATACCAACGGTCCCGTGGGTCGGAGAACACCTTGCCATGCTTCATGCAGCCCACATAGCCTGCAAGCAGCGACAGCAAGCAACGGAACGGCCAAGTAAGTGGCAGCAAAGCCCATGGAGGCTTGCAAAGCACGCCACGAAAGCTTCTTGAGGTGCCGGGCTCAATAATTTGACGTGTCAAAGACCCAAAGAAAGGCAGTTACACCGAAAAAAACACCCCAGAATTGAAAACCTAGCAGCAAACTGCCACTGCTCGAAAGCTGCTACCAGCAATGCCCGAAACGAAAACCCCACACAGGCGCAGCCCCACCTGCCCCCATGCGGTTCCACTGGTCCGCTGCGGCCGGCAGCCTCCAGGGTATCATGAACACATCGTCATCTGCGGCGTCATCGAAGAATTCGGAATCACAGTATTAGGGAAACGTAGTACATGTGTACGACAGATGATGCGTGCCAGGGCATGCCAGCAGGGCATTACCGACATGCACGCATCGACCCCCCACCCACTTGCCCGAAGCCTTGTTACACGGATAGTTATCGGTAGTTCCTCCTTCCTCTTTACACGCTTACCTGCCTTGGCCCTTCCTTTTTACCCACTTACCCGCCTTGACGACCCATCGCACGCTGGGATAGGCCCTCACGACAGCCGCGAAGAAGGCTCGGGTCTTGTTGGGCAGACAAGTGTAGCACTCCTGTCGTGAGGGTGGGTAGGGCCGGGTGGGACCCAACATGGGGCAGCAGGAGGTGGGAGTGGAGGGGCTGGAAGTGGCTACCGGTATCAGATATCCGGTATCTCCCATTACCCCTGTCACAACTGAGTGCGCACTATGCATCTAATTGCACCCCAACACCCTTCCCCTCCGTACTTCCCCCCCCTAACCGTCCCCAAACCCCAGTCTAACCGCAGCCCCCGCCCACCTCCAGCCCCCGCAGCCTCAGGAAGTCCCCATGCGCCTTCACCTCCGCCGACAGGGCCGCCTCTGCCGCCGGATCAGACCTCGCCTCACCCGCCACGAAACGAACCATCACCTGCTGCTGGCCGCCGACAGCATTCAACCCCCTCCTTCCGCTGCCGCCACCGCCGCCTGTCGCCGCTGCATTAGCGGCGTCGGCGTCGGCTGGCTGCTTGTGAGGCGAGTTCCGTTTGTTGAACTCTACCAGCCAGGTAGTGCGGATGGCGGCGCGACGCAGCGCGTAATCGTAGCGCCGCTCGGCAGCTGGCTGGCCGTGAGGGTTGTGACTGGTCTGCAGGATGTACGAGAAGCAAGGGGCGTTATATTGTGGATTTTCCCTAACGCCGTACGTATGTTGTTAGACGTCGTACAGATGGTGCAATAAGGTCGTAAATCGTACACACGCAGTTGGAATGACGTGGACGGGACCGATGTTGGATGCTCATAAGCAGCAATCGTAACATACAGAGCAAAACCGTCCGCTCATGCTTGGGTGGTGACGAGGGGCAACCGGCAAGCACAGTCCTATGTATGTCGTGTACGAGCACAGCCAAGGCATGCAAGGCAAAGGAGCACAACATATAAGAGCTAGCAAAGCAGCTACCGGTGTACCCCACAACTTACAAAGATGCCCACAAAAATTGTGGGACCGCTGCCCGCATCGCCAACACCGCTCCCGCTCACACCACCACCACCACCATCACTGTCACCACCACCGCCCCGCACGCCGGAATGCCCACCACTGCTGCGGCCTCCAGTTCTGTCATCCACCGAAACGCCAGCACCAGCAGCGCCACTGCCGCCGCCGGCGCTGATGCTGCCCGCAACGCCGCTTGCCGAAGTAGTAGCTCCCAGCAGTACCGTACCACTGGATCTGGAACTTGAATTGGAACTTGTGGAGACGTGATTTCCCGGTGCCACTGGTCTCGGCCCCTTGTCGAGCTGCCGCCTGCCACCGATTCCGGTGGACGCCTCTTGGTGACCGCCGCTGGCAGCAGCGGCGCCCTTAATGGCGCTCATACTCGACGATGACAGTGGCTGCTGTGGCAGCGGTGTTGACGACCCATGGGTCGCACCAAGCGGTGCTGACAGAGCGGCGGACAGCACACCGCCGTTACTGCTGCCGTATTGGCCTTCAGATGCCAGCTGCGCTGTAGCTTGGGCACAAAGGTGTTGAAGTGCCATCTTGAAGGCTTGGTCGGAGGAGGGTCTTGTCGCTGCTACTGCTGCTGCTGCTTCCACGCTCTCTTGTGCGCTGAGAAATGCGTTGGGAGAGGCAGCTTGGCTGCTGCTGCTGCTGCTGCTGCTGGTGCTTTTACCGGCGTCAATGGCGCTGCTGGCATGCGTGGTGGAGGGGTTACACACCGTCTTTAGTATCAGCCTTGGCCGCATCAGCAGCGGCAGCAGTACCTGCCCTAACCTGCGTTGCTGCTGCTGCTGCTGCTGCTGGTCCGCAGCGACGACTGCTGCCTTCTGAGATGTAACTCCTATCCCTATCGCTCCCACCCGCTCCCCAACCTGGATACCCAAAACCCGCACTTCCGCCACATGCTGCTGCTGCTGCGTCGCCCACTGTATACCTCCCAGTAGCTCCGGCTGCACGCCATGCTGCTGTGTTTGCTGCTGCTGCTGCTGCCACAGCGCTGCCAGCACCGCGCCCGCAACCTCGCTCCGCAGCTCCCCTAGCTCCAGGGTTCGCCGCCAGAGCTGCACCTGCAACAACACCACGGCAACAACACAAGCCAGCACCAGCGGCCATTGCGGCAAACGCCGGATCAGTTGGGCGCTGCCGCCGTTGCCGTTCATGATACCATTACCGCTGCCACTGTTGGTGCATCCACCACCGCCTCCGCCTCCACTACTGCTGCTGTGGTTACTGGCATGCGTTGTTGAGTAGCTGCTGCTGTTGCTGCTGCTGCTGCTGGCGCTACCGCCGCATCTATCACCAGGACTGTTACTGGTGTTGGCTGGGCTGCTGCTGTGTGGGTGCGTGGACGAGGGCTGCTGGAGGCCGCGAGAGCAGCCGCGATGGAGCCATTTCATGGTGGATGCAGGTATTGCGGGTAGCGGTGTGGGCGGGCGTTTTGGAGGCCGCGTTGCGGTCATGAGCGAGTGTAGGCTGCCTCGAACGAGGGTGCGTTATGTCTTGCCCGGCTGTTGAAAGCTTTCAGGCGTTAGGTTCGCCCCAGCGCAGATTGGTCAATCGCACTACTGCTCATCGCATGGAAAGCTCAGGAGGGAACAGCGTCACAGCTTCTGGAATGTAGGGATGATTAGAAGGGCCTTACGTCCATAGTGGAATGTCAGCCTTACTTTGGAGCAATAAAGACGACCGACCCGGCGGGTCGCTCGTTGCTCGCCCCAGGATGGCGTTCGTTAGTTAGTTGACACCTGGCGTTACAGTCGCTTGCTTTGAAGCCCCTTCAATCCTTGCCGGATACGCCCTTTTAACGGTTGTGCCTTATCTCTTGTGACTCATAGCAGTGACCGGGCATTACCGTGCAGTCCAAGCCCAAGGCCGAGGTAGTGGGGCCACCCGACATACATCGGGCCGTGGGCACGCGATCAGCCGTGACCGGTGGACAGCTGAACGAGGGTGACATAACAGCAGATACAGTTAAAATGGTTTATTAATAAGAATTGCTGCTTTGGGCATGCCGGCGGTACAGGATGCCTAATAGAAGCAGGGATGCGTAAGGCCAAGCTCCAAACATACATAACGCACAGCAACGGTGAACAATGACTGCTGCTCATCTCTCAACAGAACAGTGTCGCCGGCTCATGGCATAGCATCAGCGTCGAGGCCTGATCCGCATAGCCACCTACTAAACCAGTACTTACGGTCCATGCAACACACGTGTCTGGGCACATTACGGCCCCAACAAAGGCTGCAACTTAGCCAACATACCACTAGATTGCAGCACAACACGGCTACACCCGTGTTGGGTCCGCAGGCTAGACGTGCTTGGACCGCGCACGCTGAGATTCCAAGCAATTGCAGCAGCAAGGCGTGCCGCAACGCACGCCTCCACTGAATATTAAGATGCAAGTATAACATTGCTATCAGCTGGGGCATGACAGGGAACACAGTCGCAAAGGGCACCGTACACCACCCCTTCTGTTTCACTGGTAAAGGCCTTCAATGCACCAACAGGATAGTGCAACGCAACAACGGTGCCATTCATTCAATCACAACCGGGCACTCCGCCCCTTAAACCCAATTAGCCCCTTCATCACGAAGAGCACCCAAGCAAACTTGTCCAATTGTTGCAATGGGCTTATTAACCAGAACCAGTATCCAACTGAGGATGAGCATGAAAGACAACGCATCGGCTGCGCGTTGGATCTTGTAAGTTGCCAATTATGTAATGACTAATTGCCCTCTTTCCCGGGCACCTCGCCTAGGACGAGTTCATATGATGCCACAACCTTCGTACTTCCCAAAATACAAGAGGCAAACATGCACTCTTTAAGGAGAGTTCCTTACCAGGAACCCCCGTTCACTTAGGTGACTAAGATCCCCAACATCACATTTCAGCGCCTACACAGGGATTCAAGATAACACTAATATATATGCCCGTGCCTTCCAAAGCATGGCACAAACACTTCCAAAGTGGAAATGTTAACAAACTCCGAAAACACTTCCATAAAATTAACGGGAAGGCGCTGATAAGCGCGGTCCACGCCACATGCAGTACCTCACAACGGGTGCATGTGCAAGGGTGCCATGCCGTCACCAAACATATGCCTGTTCGCATTAAAACCAGACCGCCAAACTTTATACCGCATCATAATTTGATATGGGGTATAATAGCAAGGAACCCATTCAGGGGGACCGTTCCCAACCCAACTTACCATCAGTGGGCAAAAGCCCCTGCAATAATAGACGCCGACCCACGGGTCGTGGACCACCACCACACGCACGGGCAGTCACTAGTACCAGCACGCCATGGGTTGTGGCTGTCAAACTCCATTAAAGCCACTTGTAGCCAAATGACCACACTATTATGTACCTTTTGGTGTATATTTTTGAGTGAAAGCCTGAAACTGGGCCAGCAAATTACGCGCCTCAGTACTTTCTGTACGCTCTTGTTCAAGCTCTAAACGCAGCCGCTCGACCTCCCTCTGTGCTTCATTTGCTTGCGCCGTCTGCGCCTGCAGTGCTGCTTCCGCCTGCTGCCTAGCCAAGCGTTCCCGCTGTAACTCCTCCTCCAGCTTCGCGCGGGTCTCCTCTAATGAAGCCAGCAGCCGCATGCGGGCTTCCTCTGCCGCCAATGCTCGGGCCATCGCCTCATCTGCGGCCAGGCGTGCAGCCAAGCCCGCGCTTTCGTGTGCTGCTGCCTCGCTCTTCTTCGCCGCTAACAACCGCCGCATTTGTGCGTTCTTGCGCTCAAGCCGCTCCATGCCCTTCAACAAACACGCCACGACCATGGACGGCTGGCTCCCAGACCTCGCGCCGACCTCACCGTCGTCGCCACTTTCAACGCCTACATCATCATCAGAGGCGCTGGAATCCAACTCACATACCGGCGGCGAGGCCGCTTTCCGCTTCTGAACGCCGCCGCATGAGGACTGTTTCTCTTTGGGACCTCCCACCGCCTGCTCCTGCACACGCAGTAGTGCTGACGCCGCCGCAGCGGGTGCTTCCGCATTCGGGCCAGCTCCCAGCTGCTGCTTAGGGTGCAGTTCTGGTTCGGACGGACCGGCGTTGGCAGCTGGAAGGAACCCGGATGCACCGGGAGAGGCGGCGGCATGCTGTAGCAATGCAGCTGTGCAGCGCGAGACAGCGGGATTGACGGGAATCGGCGGCGGCACAGATGGGCGAGAGGCGGTGGGCGGGCGGTGGTTGGCCTGAGAGGTGGTGGTGCCACCCTCTGTAGCATGCTCACCAGGCGCCGTGGAAGCAGCAGGCCGGCCTAACGGCAGAGCGGAAGAAGCGGAATGCCGCAGCCTAAACACTGGACGACCGGCTGACGTGGCAGCGGCGCCCGCGCTGCAAACTGGCGCTACAACTGGCGGCGCTGTGGCGGGCGCCGGCATCGTGGTGCAGCCGTCCGTAGGCACTGTAGAGGCTGCGCTGGCTCTTATTGGAGCGACGGGCACCCCAGCGGGCGTCAGCTGTCCGGGATGTGGATCCAGCGGTGTAGGAGCAGCAGCGGCTGCGCCCGTGCCAGCGCCTCTGAAGCTGCTTCTGTAGGGTTACACAGGGGCACGGAGAATAGCATTTTGCAACCGCGTCAGGCAGGCACTGGCGTGAGTAATCAACAGGCTAACGGTAGGCAACAATTGTCATTGGGAAGCATGCACGACTCCGTATCAACATAGCATCGTCATGGTACCAACTGAACGCGCCTAACGATGTGCAAACACACAAACGACATATCAACCCAAGTGCCACGGCAGCGCCTGGCTCTCCTCCCCCAACACAACAACATCAGCATGGACAACACAGCAGCCCTAACTACGTTACTGGCATGCAGTTGCTTACCCAGCAAGACCCAGGCCCCTCCCAGCCTGAATGAGACTCGCATCCGGACGACGGTCCTCCGCCTCACGCGCGCCTGTGTCACCACTGGTACTGTAAACGGGGCTGTAGCCGCCGCTACTGTTGGGCGACAGCGCGTCCAGACCACCGCTGCTGGCTGGGCCTGGAACCGTGTCCTTCTGCGGAGGAAATGTCGCATGGGCGTGAAACAAGTCGGCAATTGGCCATGACAGTGAATGGTAGGGACGTCGGCTACCGGTACACGGACTACGTGCATGGATTGGTGGATGTAATGTAATGTAAAGGGGTTTCCGGGCGTGATAAAACAACTGCGAAAGGGTTTTACAGAGTACATGACGGATGCATCAATTCGGTTAGCAAACAGACGCTCACGTTCAGCCCTCCGCACCTGAGGCTCCAGGAAAGGCTGTGCTGGCTGGTCGGCGTCGGCAAGGTGCCCGCCGAAGAAACCTTTATCGGCAGCAGCGACAGCTTCAGCGGCCAGACGCAGCAGCGGTTGAAACGCCTGTAATCGCGCCGCATCGGCCTCAGGAGCAGCAGGGAAGCTCCGGAGCACCCGGTCGAGGACAGAAGACACCACTGATGGTCGTGACGCGGTGGTTGGCGCTGTAGTCAGCGCTGGTACAGACACCTCATCGTCTTCCAGCACATCTACGGCTGCTGGGCGAGCGCCGCCCGGCAAGGAGGCTGGCTTGGAAGCGACGTGCGCAACCTGGCTACCGGCATTTGCCCTGATACTATCCGCAAGGGCCAGCGGCGGTATCGCAAAGGATACCCGCACAACTGGAGCCTTCACTAGGGGGTCCTGAGGGGCGATTCCTGCCTGTGGTGACGTGGGCAAGGAAACAGGCGCAAAGGAGCGTTCAGTGGCTATTCCGTTCGACGGTAAGTGCAGTAACTGGGCTGCATGCGGCAAGCGGCGACGTAAGAAGACATTCATAGCAGTAGATGGGCGGTACGTATTGCCTGACAATTCATCATCAGGTAAAGACGCGTCCCTATTCATGGAAATCAAAGCCCCGTCGCATTCCCCAGGAAACAGTGCACGTCACAGAACGCACCTGCTGGGGACAGAACTGCGGGCTTTTCCGCAAGCGGACGAGAAAGAAGATAGTCTTCTCGTCCTCAGACATGTACAAGAAACTGTCATAACTGGACATGGCGCTCGCCCTTTGTGTTTCTCCAAACATGCTTTGCGGCATGATCGTAGCAGCCAGCTGGGGTTTGGCCTTGGCGCCCCCCACGCGGCACCGGACTTGCTCCAGATGTACATCAGCGGGTGAGAGGGCAAGGTGCTTGCCAGCCGAGTCGGAAGCGGCCACACCCACGAACAGCGTCTTCTTGCGTAAGTCACGAGCGCGCTTCAGTTCAAGTCCAAACTCCTCAACTGCTCCATTCTGCCACATGTCAGTTATGAAAGTTAAATTGAAGGCGGCCGCGGGCGCTACGTCCCAGCACACGGCAAGTTCGTCGAACGGCCTCATGGGTATGATGAAGGTGTTGTCAAAAGGTCTTTTCTTGTTCCTCTCAAACGCCACCAACTTCAACTGAAAGCTGTTATCGGGATCCCTGCAGGATAGAAAAGGATTGGCGGGAAGAGTCATACTAAGTTCACCATCTGCAATAAGATATTGTGTACGGCTAATGTACGGATATTGTGTGCGTTCGTCATGCTAGACCCCGTGGTACCTGTGCCTGCGTGCAGGGACCCACGGAATGACAGCGGACAGTTCCAACGGAAGGACCCGTGCGGTCACACCTAGCGCAAGCATAGGGGTCTTTGAAGCATGCAGCATGAGTGCATGACATGTCCTACGGGTCTAGTTACGACAGATACCCGTCAGCATATCGGCAGCTAAGCCATGGTCATGCAGCCCAGAAGCTTGTGCGCTTTCACCTTTCTTGGTCTCTTCTACTGCAGGCGTGCGGGGCTTGCCTTTCCTCCCCCAGACCACTCCCGCCTGTCTCAGGGCCATCTGTTGCTATGCCATTGCACGCCGCTGCGGTGCTGCCACTGCCTCCGCTGCTGCGGGCTGCACTTGGCTCAAGTAACGGCTCCAAGCTGGCGAGCAGCTGCTGTGGAGTGCTAGCATTGGCTGGTATGGAGGCAGCGTCTATCCGCTCCTGCGATTTGTATAAAGGGCCCGCAATGTTTACGACGTGGATTCGACTTCACACTCTGGGTTACGAGGCTGTGCGTGTAAAGGGTTCTGGGTTATCCTGACTGCAAGCGGACAAGACTGGGTTAGCTATGGGCACGGACTTACCGCCGCAGCAAGCACACCGGCCGGGCGTCGAAGCTTAATCTTGATCCGCGGCGGCGAGGGCATACCCGCGGCCTCCGGCCTGCGGGGTTGAGTCCCCAGGCGTGTCATGGAGTTTGCATCTTGTTAAGTTACGATGAACTCCGTATGGCAGTCTCGATGGAATAATAGGACCTGGGCATAGCGCCCACGAACATGCAATAGCCCTTCCTATCCCAACCTCGGCACGTCACCGCTGCAAAGCCTTCAATTTCGCAGCTCTTATCAAACCCTTCAACCTCAATCCCCGGGGAACGGCCCATAATTTCAGTCCATACGAGGCGAAGGGTTCGCCAAGTCCACATCCCAGGGATTTCCTCAACGAAATATCAGACCTTCTAAGCGAGCGTTTCAATGGAAACGAAATGGATTTCGGTAAAACGACTCAACAAACGACCTCCAAACGACTGCGCGCCCGACCTCGGAAGCTCGTCCAAATCACGTGCTACCGAACACCGGCAATCTTCGTGTCTTCTTGAAACATACTCCTTTAAGCTATGTTTTCTCTTCATGCGTTATTATCCTAATCATAATAGGCTAAGCGGTTTACCGGTGTCACCTGCATTTGTTCAGGGCTCCAACCGAAAAAGCTTCTTAATACCTTTCGCAGGAGAGCGGAACTATAGTTCTGTACCTCATGCCCCTCCCTTGCCCGAGATACGTGGGGAAAGGAAAACTCATCAAATTGTGCCCCTTGAACTATTTTTGGGCCCGGTCCCTGCAACCAATTTGCCTAAAAGCCGAAGTGAGAATGGACACTACCAATAGTATACGCGAAGATGTCAACTTAACAACACTTATGTCAAGGAAAGATAAAGGGAAAAAGAAGATTGCCGGAGTTCGGTAGCACGTGATTTGGACGAGCTTCTGAGGTCGGGCGCGCAGTAGGGAAGGCCACGAACGACCTTTTCACACATGCCATATCCCATAGTTTCAACGCTTTTCCTACTATCCTTTATTGGTTCCAACCTTTAGAGCCTTTCCTAGAAGGCATGTCGCCGAAGTCAACGGTGGCATTAAAAGGGTCAACCAACCCCCTTGGCCCGGAATTCGCGCATGTTACACTCCTTATCGCTGGGAACACATATACCGGAACTAGAAATGCTAATCAACGCGTGTTCGGCAACTTTGCGCGCTGTGGTGGTGGCCATTTGACTGTCAATTGACTCTTCGCAACCCTACGGCGTACAACTGCGGAACAAAGTAATCAGTTGTTACGATAGAAGGCGTACGAAAGCTTAGGATACCGCAATGAGGAAGGCGCAGTGTCCGGCCACTCACGTTCTTCGTTTGTACGACATCGTTTACAGGAAAGCTAAACGAACATGGATATCGTTTGTTTCGTTTCGTTTTGCTTTCGTTTGCAAACGCGTTTATTGTTGGGGGTAACCCCTGCCACATCCTATAGGCGGCCCTGATATTACCCTACTCACCCTTCTGCCTGGCCTATTGTGCCTCCGCTACCTCCGGTCCCCCCAGCAGCAGCTCCTCCCTCCTGGCTGCCCCCCGCCGGTGGTGTGGCGCCACCGGCCCCGTCCTGAAAGGACAAAGTCGGCAACAGCGGGTAGGGGTGTAACAAAGACGGCAGCTTTATGACCTTGGGAAAACTCCCATCAAGATGAGTTCACATGGCCGGGCTACGAGCAAATACAACTTCAGCATTGTGCCAGTTGGACCAAGCGATAGCGCACAGCATCGGGTATGGCATCGCCCACATGACAGTCCCTTCAACCTTATGTAATAGGTGGCGACAACTTTAAGACGGAGAGCAAGAAGCGAAAAAACGAAGACCCTCCCCCGCTACCACATTTAAGGTTGTTTTGGTGTCAAGGACGCGCTAAACGTCGCGCACCATGGCAGGCGAGCGCTCAGCTTCGCTCATCCCCTGCTGCCGTTGCCCTGTAGCCGCCTTCCCATGGGTAGACCCGGGCTCGGCCACTGCCAGACATGGCTGCTGCAGCCCGTCCTGCTGCAGCACTAGCGGTTCAGGCGGTGGCGGTGCGGTACCCTGCTCGCCCTGCACCGCTGAGGGTGGCGAGGCAGGATGCTCGCCCTGCACCGCTGAGGGTGGCGAGGCAGGATGCTCGCCCTGCACTGCTGAGGGTGGTGACGCAGGATGCTCGCCCTGCACCGCTGAGGGTGACGAGGCAGGATGCTCGCCCTGCACCGCTGAGGGTGGCGAGGCAGGATGCTCGCCCTGCACCGCTGAGGGTGGCGAGGCAGAATGCTCGCCCTGCACTGCTGAGGGTGGCGACGCAGGATGCTCGCCCTGCACCGCTGAGGGTAGCAAGGCAGAATGCTCGCCCTGCACCGCTGAGGGTGGTGAGGCAGAATGCTCGCCGTCCTCCACAGCAGCCTGCTTCTGCCGAGTGCCCAAGTCCACAACAAGCAGCAACCAGTCAGGGTCTGGTTTATAAAGTGTCGAGCCATAGACCACGACCGAGCCAAGGATGGAATCGTTGCCAGTGGCTTCCGTCAATGCAGTCCTGAGCTTTTGAAAAATGACCTTGGTGTCAGTGACGTATCTTGCCACTTTTGCATCGACCGGGATAACCGGCTGCCCGTCCACGCTCACGCCGACCAGCAGCTTCGGCTGCCACAGTGCTGGGGCCACTCTGCTGGACCCGGCTTCCCCGGGACCTGCAACGGGCCCGCCCTGGCTGCTGCTGGCGGGGACCAAGCCTGCTGAAGACCCAGCTGAGGGTGCAAACTTTCGCAGGCCACTGTCACTATTGTCCGAGCATCTTATGATGCCTGCTTCCACTGACCAGCATGTGCGTGGCTGGGACACAAGGACCTGCGCATCGCCCATGAGTGCCTTGGTGACTCTGGCGGGCAGTCCGTACTGCTGGCTGGTGCGCTGCAAGACATGGCCCTGCTTCCGGGTCGGCGCTTGGGCCAGAATGGGACCAAAGCCGGGGGTTGACGGGTGTCGGGGCCGCACAACGGACGCTACAGGTGGCACTGCTGCGTCGGTCGCAACCTCTGCGCTGGAAAGGCACCTAGGCTTCTTGGTGGGTCGCATGAGCAAATTATCCTGTCGTGGGCAGCAGGGCGGCGTATGGATTCAAGGCGGCACAAAATTTCGTGTGGACCCCAAGCTGCCCCGAGCCCCAAATCAAAGGCACTTTACAAGGACCTTCGAAACATTTTTCCAGGCCACAAATAAGAGTCATGAAAGCTGTATTGTAATCCTGTCTTTGTTTCTTATAATATAACCATCTTTTCGTCTTCTGGTAGGTCCGGTAACACTTCATCTCAGAGCCGCAGCAGCCGAATGGAACTGCCCAATTCCAAAACTTACAAAACAACATATGTAGGAAGCAGATATCGCGAGCGCGGCTAGTCGGCCCTTAATGGAAGGCCCGGCATAGCAGCATGGCCCGTGTCCCAATAAGGAAATGAAATGAAATAATGAAATGCGACTAAGGAGGCGAGGTCGGGGTAGACAGACTGAGCCGCGAAGGACCATTCATTGTGACCATGAATGCGGGATAGCAGTGGGATGCAGTGCACAGGATGAAGCAGGCGTTGGAATTGGTGCCAGGGGATGTGGTTGAGGTCCCGCGCCACAGAGGGAAGAGGAGGCAGGGGCCTGGGACGTGGTAGTGCCGTTCGTGTCGGTTGGTGAAGACAGAACTGGCGGTGGCAGGTCGCAAACGGAAGGGTCTCCCAGGCGCCTCAGGAGTTTCATCCGTCAGAATTCAAGCTGGGGCCAACAACATGGTTACCTAGTGCAACGTTTTGACATGAACTTGTGTGCGCGTCTCGCCAGGGGGTGCGGGGTTTTCAAGTGCATACAACAAAGCGCGCACCGAGGAACCTAACTTTTTTCTGGTGTTCTGGCAAGATTTACACGACATGCTTGCCTGTGGGGTGGGTGTCTGTGAGGCATTTCCTAAAAAGATTTTGGCTTGTTCCTATATCGCTCCCTCCTGGTGTGGACCACAATCGACGTAGACCGTAAAGATTAATAAGGAAGAGCATTTGGAAATACAGATCTTCCGGCCAATCACAGTACCGGTACGTTCCGACTCGCCACTCGCGGCCAGTTTTCTTAACATAACCAATTTCAATACATACCCATGAAGTTCATACACACGGCCGAAATGCTATCTCGAGGGCAATGCTTACTCCAGCTTTTTCAGCACAAACCGTACTTCATCCATACCTGCATCTCAGACCCGGGCTCCGAAGCTTCCGGGGTCCCAGCGGGCGCTGTCTCCTCGGAGCCGTAGCTGGTAAGGTGTACGACCAGCAGCAGCCCGCCGGGGCTTGGCCGGTAAAGGCTAAAAGCCTGGACCACCGCTTTCGGCGGAACCTCGCCAGCCTTCGCATTTGCCAGCACGCTCTTAAGGCCATACAAGTCGATATGCTGCCCACGTTCCCTGCGCTTTACCCGTGCACTGATGGGTTGCAGATGCCCCGCGTCAAGGCTGACAGCAACAAAGAGCCTGAGCTTCGCCGGGTCGCCTGCAGGGGCCTTCAGGGCCGCTGAGGCTGGCATGCCCCACAGGATTCTGCGTGTCTCCTGAAGCTTGGTGACCAGGCCTTGGTCAAAGTCCTTGTCCACCGCATCACGCAGTGCGCGGCAGGTAGAGCGCAGCCTTAGGGCTTCGGCCACACTGAGTTGCCGAAGTACATAGCACGAGCCCATAAGGGTTAGCAACGACACTAGAGGATTATGCGTAGGCCCCTCGATCCAAGCATTTCGCGTGTGCAGGCGAACCTTCCCTACTTCCGCCAAGTGCCAACTGTTATGCGGCACCGATGGCTTCTCGTCCGTACCCAAGAGTGTATGGACAACAGCCGACACCTCCTTGGAGACCCGAGGCGAAACGACCTTGTCCCGAATGGAGACGGTCTCGCCCTCCCTCCTTTTAGCGGCTTGCAACACTGGTGGAAAGAGCAATGCGTGGTCCTTAGCGAAGCCGCTGTCATTCGGCAGCGAAAGACATGCTGGGGCCTCAGCCTGCGCCCTCCGCTTGCAACGCTTTTCGGTAACCAGGGCATGCTGAACGCTATCAGCACCGCACTTTTGCCGTGCTGGGTCCACGGTGGAGATGAGCTGCTCTTTGCGGCTAGGAACGAAGTCAGCCGGCGGAGCACTTGACGCTGCGGCCACCAACAAGTCCATTTCCTGCGAAAGTCAGGACAGATGGTATGTCAATCACTCTCTCAACTTGACTACGAAGGTCGCAAACTCAGCCGCGAAAGCACGTTACAACATGCGGCTAACCTTGCATACCTTTAGTAGCAAAGCGCTCTGGCCCACCGCAGGAAAATAGTCTGCAAATTATTGCGGCATTGGCAGCACCAAAGCTCGCCACTTCAGCCCTAAAGGTAAGGCAAAAGGTGTAGCATGTCGTCGCTAGGAAGGAAGCTTGACATACTATGTGCGCTGAGGTTACATAACAGCGAGTCCTAATAAAGGGTGGCGTGCCGAGATCTTCAATACATGATCAAAGGCCGACGCGGCTGGACAGAAGTGGTACCTGTGGTAGGCCGTGCGGCGGTGGCGCGGTGCGGGGAGACAACGGCTGCAAGCCAACACCCTTCTCAAGGTGGAGAGTGCAAAGACTAATATACGACTGCGCCACCGTATAGTCACAACTCACAAGTTTTGTTGATGGGCTAGGCTGAATCTTTGTCGAGTGTACCGGTACTGCTATGTTTGCGAAACGTTTCCGGCCGGCTGACCCAGAGCAGTACAATTAACTGCATTCCAAAACAAGATGCAGCTCACACTATAAAGGTGAAAAGCCGCTAGACCGTCAGGCTACAAGCCGCTACCTCTATTGGGTGATCCCAAGCCTTAGTTGCATCGTACCGGTACCATTGTTTTGTTGATCTGTGAAAATATGGACGGCATAATAAGGCGCACGTCTGGTTGTCCACGGCGAAAAAACTGGACTGAGCAATGCATGGTTGTAGGAGTCGAAAAGACCGGGCACGAACGGGGAAAATGACATTAAATGACGGACAATCCTTTATTTAAATTGCCGTCAAGGGTAACTGTTCCCGAGAATGCTGGTTTCGTATACTAGCCTACTTACGACTTGCCCTCGGGCCTCATGTTCTGACCCTGTATTCATCTAGGTCGCATACACACGTAGGTATGGCATGAATGGTCATCTTCTCGGTGTAAGAAACGTGCACGCAAGGCTGTGCTTAGTACCGGACGGCCGATGGGTTGGGTTGCCAATGTAAGTGGCCCTAATACTTCACTGCTACAAGGCTCTTGCAGCTATCATAGAAGCCACTAGGCAGTGTAAGGAAATCTGGAGGGAAAAGGTATTTGCTGGCCCTCTTCCGGACAAAGCAAGCAGCGCATGTGACCCCATGGGCGATGCCATGCAGGTGACCTGGGGTTCCCACGAGCAAGGACGCGGATTACGCCACATTAAACTCAACGTTACATTATGCAACCACCCAACGACCAACGCATGGCGTGCAACGACCGATGCTGCCCTTGTGTATTAAAGTCAAATTTGAGAGATAAAGGGTTGCAACAGGTTGACGAGCCTACAGCTATGCGACAGGCGCGCGGACGCGCTTCACGGTTAACTCCCGACAGCAGCAAGTAGGGAGCCGCCACTGGTGTATCGGTGTCCTGTGCCACTGAGGCCATTGACGGAAACGCCTAAAGGAGAGACCCAAGAACCGAGTGTACTGCGTGCACCAGCAGGTTCATCCAGTGCGGCGCAACAGACTAACAACATTGATCCCTGACAATCCAGAGAGAGCACCAAAAGCCACTGGCACGAACACGCAGCAGCAAGCTACGTATGGAAGTCGGGAGTACTGTACGGGAGTCCACTCCACTCAGTACCGACTACCGGTATTGCATAAACAACTGAGTGCCAAAACACCGTACAAACGGGGCAAACCATGGCCGAACATGTCACTCCTCGAAACCTGCCTGCCAAGACGTACGTCGTCAGCTAAACGTCTAAAGGCGGCTGCACCCTAACCATCCCTCACTTTACAGCCAAGACCAGGCGCCCATCAGCCCGCGACCCCAACAATGAAGGACTTGTTGTGCTGGCTCTGGCTGACAAGGCGCAAAGCGCACCAAGTAAACCCTACGACCCATTCCTCATGGCTTATCCCTTGGGGCAAGTCTATCGTCATGTGAGATGTGACCCCAGGCAAGCAGCTCCAACACCTTAAATCACCACCACGACAGGGGCAACATGTACACTGAATGAATTGCCGTTACAAAGGTTCCCTGAAAGGAAACACGGGTGATGAACCCAACCCTACACTGCAAGAAAAGCGCAACACGCCGGAAAGACACACCACAACAGGCTAGCAGGAAACAGGCATGAGAACCCAACAGGAACCACAAGAAGAGGTAATAACCGAGGGTAGAAGCCAAGAAAACGGCCCCTCAGCAAACACCTCTACAAGCAAAACCAATGGCAATACACGCACAAAAGGCCAAAACACAAAACAAGACCCCAACAGAGACAGCAGCGCGCGCAAACGCCAGGGAGCCCAGCACCCTACCTCGCAGACTCACACGGGGAAACACAGGACACTCAAACCGACAACAGAAAGCCGCCCGGCAACAACACGCAAGAACGGATGAGAAGGGCCCACCTCAGTCCACCCCCGACGGGGAACACCCAAACAAGTAAACCCCCGGAGCTGACCCGGAAACCAGGAAAACGCAAAAAGAGCGGCCTGGTCAGTTAGCCCAGGCACAGCACCCGCAGGACCAGACTCACGCATACGAGCCCGCAAAAAACGCCGACCCTCCTCCATAGCAGACAAAGCACCCAGGAAAACAATATCCCAAACACACTGCTGCACGCCCGAGGGAGGCAAAACCAACAACAAAGCAGCCCGCACCCAACTCACATCACCCAACTTCACCTCAAGCTGCTCAACCACAGCACGGGCAACAGGACAAGCCCAGAAATAATGCAACCGCTGAGACACCCCCAAACAGCAGACCCACAGCCACAACGCTCGAGTAACGGAATCCCATTAATGGACAAGCGTCAAAACGTCTCCTTAAGCGATTCTCCCAGCGAACACTCCAGAGGCGCTGGAAAGAATCCCGAAGGCCATCCGAAATACCCGCAGGAAGCTTTTGGGTAGCAGGAAGCCCCATAGCCTCCCGAACAAAGACCGAGTGCAACAGAGCACGCTCCTCGAACACACCCTCAAGCTGAAGCACCATGGCCATCTGAAAAGAGAGGTTCCGCAAAGGAACAAGTCCGACATGAGGTAAGTGCCACCTCAAGCGGGAAACCAAAACCTGCCAAGCATCATCCGAAGTAGCCGGCGGCGACGGGGGTGGCAAGTCGTCAACAAGAAAAGTCTCCGCAGCTGCCACCCAAGCCACACTGGTCACGGCCTCGACCGCCTTCACGACAAAGGAAGCTCAATCCTCAGCAGCCACAGGGCAGCCAGCTCACGCATGTGGCTGATTCCCTGGTCGTATCTCGTATGACAACGCCGTTAGGCGAACGTCACAAAGCAACCTTCATCCGCGCAACTCAACCCTCCATCGCAACTCAACCGTCCACCACAATACATTTCTTTACCGGATCTCCACCTTCTGCCGCATCTTCACCCGCAACCCAACCTTTCACCGCAAACAGTATCAGGATGCCCCTGCCAATATCACCGTTACCCCTGCTTTAGCACTAGTTCACTACCCTATACCCTGCGCCAACGGAATAGATGTCAAATCCGTGACGATAATATCAATGCTGACACACGCGCCCTTTTGGGTTGCAGGACAACCAGGTCCCATGTAGAGATTCACGTAATCACAAGCCCAACAGCCTGACCGGCATACCAAACGCCTTGAAGCCCAGGAACAAACCCGAATATGTCATAGTCGCGCCCAAACGATACACCCTGCCCCACCTTGACGCACGCAACGCACGCGCAGCTGGATCCCTAGGCAATCAGAATGTGTGCCCAAGACCATGCGGCTAACAAACACGCAGTGCGCCCTGAGACACTGCTTAAACAGCAAGCCTGCAACACCCGTGACCTGGGAGCCCACAGCAGTCCCTAAAGAGTATAGGGACTAAGGTCACCGCTATGTCAAGACCTGCCCCAGAAGAATAGATGGCACGGCACCACATTGGTAAACTATGCATCTGGCGCACGTGAACGCAAGCCTCGTGCTGCAGAAATTCTTCGCACTCCTGCGTAATTAGGCGCCCGGCGTTTGCTGCCGCATCATCACTGCTACACCCTTCCCCAACTCTCTCACTGCACACCGTTGAAAGGTATGCAACATGTATCATGAACATTCAACGAAGATCACCCGTAGTACCATACTGTCGATGTACCATACTAGTCATTGCAGAATATGGCGTCACGTTCATAAGCCGCAGTACACAACAGCGCGTGTACTTACAATGCTCCTAAGCTGCTTACACACTTCCTGGCGCACACTAGCAAGCAAACAAAGTCGCATTCGCCATAACCATGCAACCTCAAGCTGGGCTCATATCATGATAACGCTGCCAAGTACTGGTAGTTGGACTCTGGCCGCACACGAGCAGCAACACAGCCCCTTAACACCAACCGTCAATTGCGCTAGCATGGCTACCTCAAATACCAATGCGCTCCTTCACCTTATACAGCTCGTCCAGAAAATCGGTCATCTGGGCGTGCTCGGAAGCAATTCTGGCGGAGGCTGCTCCCAGGAACTTCATGCATGCAATACCGGCATCCGGCCCCTCCTCGCCAGCAGCTGCCTGCGAGGCTCCACTCCCGCCGGTGGCCGCCACGGGGCTCTCAGCTGCCGCGACAGCTGCAGCCCGCGTCGGCAGTTGCGGCACGACCTGCGCCTGGCCAACCCCAGCACCCACCGCTGCAGCTGCAGCCGTGCCTGCCCCATCAACGTCTTGCATGGCGCCTGCGACAGGGCCGCCTGGGGTAGTGCCGCTACCATCCGCCATGACAGCCGCTGCCATATGCGGGGGAAAGAGGCTTGCATCTACGCTCATGCTCACCGCATGCATGGCGTTTGCTGTCTGTGGCAGGCTGTCATTCTGACCGCTGGCCGCGATTGAGATGTCGACGGCAATCGTGGAACCCGGCTTACTGGAGTCAGCAGTCGCAACAGCCAGTGCTGCTACCGGAGCAGGGGGCTCGACTGCAGCCGTACCGGTTCCGGAACCGTTGACGTTTTTCCTGGCAGCTAATGGCAGCATCGGCGGTGCTCGGGTGTTGGCGACCTGGGGCGCAGAAGGTGCCGGTGGGATGTTCTGCGCTGGGCTGCCCCTGCGCTTCTTGTCCACTGCCTCAACCGCCTGAGGGGCGCTGGCCTGGGCCTCGCTGTTTGCCGGCAGCGGCACCGGTGGTGCATCCTTGTTGCCCCCCGCCGGTGGTGCTCGGGTGTTGGCGACCTGGGGCGCAGAAGGTGCCGGTGGGATGTTCTGCGCTGGGCTGCCCTTGCGCTTCTTGCGCACTGCCTCTGCCGCCTGAGGGGCGCTGGCCTGGGCCTCGCTCTTTGCCGGCAGCCGCGCAACGTTCTTGCGCTTCTCCTTTCCTGCCAGCGCCCCCGGAGTGTTGTTGGCATGGGCCTTGTTACTCGCTGGCAGCGGCGCCGCTGCGGCAACATCCTGGGGCAACATGTCGTCGTCTTCACGTCTTCCGGCGGCCTCCTGCTGGAGAGGGGCGCATGACAGTATGGTTATGAGACTACAGGTTAGCCCAATCGCATATACATGGGACGTGGACTAAGGCTTAGCGTGCACAGCCCTACCAGTTTTAGTTAACTAAGGGAACCAGCGGCAGTGGTTACATGCGTGAAATGACACACTAGGTAGCAAACTGCATGTTCCCCTTACTTCCTTCATTGGCGAATCCATAGCTAAATCGGACCCATGGGAAAAACGACGGCATCGCACCTGCTCGTTGATGGTCCCGTCCTTGCTTCCAAGGAAGATCACGAGGACGTAGGCCGTACCGCACTCGGTTACGTACAGCTGTATGCATCGTCGAATACTTGCTTTGGCCTCCCTGATGGCGTATGGAACTTCAATTAGATCAATGGACAAGTTGGTGTTGCTTTTTGCACCATCCAGAATTCCAGAAGCTGCGGATGCGCCGGCTGCAGATGGACCAGCTGCGGATGCGCCGGCTGCTGATGGACCAGCTGCGGATGCGCCGGCTGCTGATGGACCAGCTGCGGATGCGCCGGCTGCGGATGGGCCAGCTGCGGATGCGTCTTGGGCCGCAGGAGTTTGCTTTCCGGTGGCAGCAGCCTTGCTCTGTTTGAGCTGCTTGGGCTTCAGGAGCTTCAGGACTGAGCTGACGGGGTGCAAGATGATAGAAGAGATGTCGCTTGGCACTTCCTTGCCGACGAGGGCAAGGTACGTATGCAGGGTCGACCAAGATTTGGTGGTCAGGTGTCCACCAATGACAGAGTGGTGTAAAGGATCTGCCGACGTGATGTGTTGTTCATCGAGGGCCTTGTTGAAGAGGTGCTCCTGAATAACCGTACTGACTTCTTGCGTCGGAGGCACGGAGCAATCATTACCGAATACCTTGCTGCGCTGCAGCTCTCTTCCACCCCTCTTGTCCAGCTTGGGAGGGCCACCGACTGGAAGAAGGCGTCCGTACAGGGGCGGGGACCTGTGGAAACGGGTCCAAGCAGGACGGGTGAACAGGCGTGTCCAAAACAGAGACACACCGATATCCGCATGGCAACATTACGTTTATCCGCATGGCAACATTACGTTTCCCGGGGGGAGTAAAGCGGTGTAAGCTGCTTGCCAACATGCGTAGATCCAGCAGAATTCTCTTTCGACGCCTCTTGGGGGACTAAACAATCTGGTTTTCAACATTATCTGTATTGAAGGTTCGATCTACAATATTCAATGCTAATTAACTCGCAGCCGAGCTGAAGTGCTTCTATGTTGGCGTCGCTACCACGCAGCTCATGGGCGCTTGGGCAGCGCCCCCACAAGCTACGCATATGCTGTCCAACCGGAGCTTAATCATTTGCATGTTATAAAGACGAGCAACATGTTCGGATTGAAGCCGCCAGCACGCAGAAAGAAAGGTTGTTGTATGCACTAGTGCCCGCCTTCGCCAGAAACGCCAGCATCTGGGCAAAGATGTACCCTTACCTAAGATCGTTGTTGTTGTCCATGGCAACGTAAGGCTCGCACTTGTAGTTACAGGTGGTCGTCGGAAAGCCACACGCCACAAGCAGCAAGCCCAAGCAAGTGTGGCGCTTCACTGCAAAGACACAAACAGGCGTATTCAGTGGTGGATATGCATTAAGCAGACGGCAGGTAACCTTGGTAGGATTTGTATCAGGGATTTCACTGCGGCTCTCAATGCCGAGGACGAGACCAAGCAACTTGCCTGCTTATGTCAGCTCGTGAGGAAGCCAAGCCGAAAGACAAGTTGTAAAGGGTTGACAAGTAGGAGGAGCGGGTTTGTCGGCCGTTTCGTATTTCGGTTCATGCACCTGATCTCCTGATGGTATCTTGTCCGTGACCCCATCGGTACACTCTTTTATACTGATAGGTGGTCGTCAGTATCCTATTTTCTTTTCTGTGCCTTCAGGACATTGGCGAGGAGGTGAGCGGACCTTCTGCTGTGGAGGGCTCTACAGAAGTCACTCCACCTGCGTATCCGCGACTGATCTGCCTTCCATGCTATGATCGGCTTTGTCTGCATATAGGTATCGGCGGCAGTGGCTGAGGCTGACATCAGGGCAAATTTACGCCTGTCAAGGAGACGGCATTTCCGATGTCTCGCTGTTCGGTAAGAAGGCGACGAACACCAAAGGGGTTGCATATTCCCCTCGTTGGCGTAGTGATGACCACTGGCCTTGCGTCCTCATTGCCAAATGGTGCTGTGTAAGGCACGAATGGACCCTGCATGCACTTAAGTCCTGAGCAGTCCTGTACAATGGTGGAGGCCGCAGATGTTTCCTTCACCTCCCTGCAGCGGGGCCCAAGGTTGGGGGACCTTTTTGCTGCAGTACCTACTCTGCTCCCTTCCTTCTACACGCATGCACCACAGAATAGGGGCTGTGAGCACGAGACACGAAAGTCTCCAGATTCAGTGCTTGCAGCCAGCGTCGATGCGGTTTGGGGACTGGCTGCTGGCAGCACGTTGCAGCCTCCAGGCGACAACACAGGGGCGGCTATCGGCGACGTAACACCAGAGCCGGGCGACAGCGACCCTGGGGAGGCTTGCCTGTCAACAGACATGAATATCGAGCTACTCAAGGAGCCGGACTCCCTCAAGAGGCTACACTTTGAAGCATCCTGCAATTACGAGGTCTTCATGGCAACACTCGAGCAGCACTGGAAGCCAATGATCCGTGCCCTACTCGGGGAGGTCCTGGAGAATTGCCCTCCGTCCTGCAAGGTGGCCCGCCAGGGGGAGGCTTCCAGCATGGCGGCAGTGCACAGTGGCATAGCACGGATGGAGAGCGTGGCACGTTGGGAGGCGGCATCGGCCAACACAGCACGCTGCTGGGCGGCGGAGCAGCCCACCGGTTGCCTAGCCGGGCAATGGCTTAAGGCATGCCAAAACGGCAGCTGCAAGTTGCAGCAGGAGAGCCACCGCTTGGCGAACCGGGTTCACACCACTATCGACGTGCTGGAAGGTATGGTGAAGGAACTGAAGAAGAAGAGGGCATTGCAGGGAGGGATCTAAGAGATGGTTGCCTGCCAGACCAAGGTGGTGAATAAAGCCCTTTCCCGTTTGTCGTCGTGGCTGGGTGCTTCTACGGCTTAGTGCTTCCCTTGGTTGCTGGTCAGGAGTTGAGGGCGGCGAGGTGCTTGGTGTGGTGTCAAGGGAGGTTTAGGTTATTGTCCTTAACTGTATGTAGGCCGCACGGCGAGGTCCAGTTCAGTGCAGTACACAGCAACAGTATAATTGACAAGTAGGTACGGCAGAAAGAGGCATCTTGATGCACCTTGTTTACGGATAAGACGCAAACACCGTTGTGAAGCACACCTCGTTCCTTAACAGTACGGCGATATAGTTTTATGGGATGGGTTAGGAGGCGGCCAGCAGACGCTGCACGGTGGCATGCAGGTGAAGTGAGGGGGGCAGCACGCGGTGCAAGGTGGTATGAAGATCTGTTGTCACATATGTGAGTGCTGATGCCAGTCATGTAGCTGGGTAGTCGCTGGCGTTGCATACACGCCATGCATGGGAGACGTGGGAGTTGCGGCGTTGTATTGGGGTTGCCAACAAATGCACGCGTAATGCATAATTGGGGCAAGCAGGATTGAGGGTAAAACAGAATACAGTGTGGGAGGCTGGCGTTGGACCTAGGTAACCTTTATTATTAGCTTATGCAACTGTTTCATGGAGAGTTGGTGTGTGGGGGGCAGCGTCGGGGGTACCTTTTCTCCATACAACCATGAAGAGTAGTTGTTGCCTTGTGAGGATAGCATGCATGCACTTATTGAAGAGTGATACCCCTTAGCTCGCGGTGATGCGCCTATGCTCTATATAGCTGGTTCACTGCTGTTTGTGATTCCTTGCTTGGGCGTCAGCGTCGGGCAGGTTAGTAATGCAGTCTATTGCTAAGCATGTGCAGTATGGCAGTCGGTGGTCTTTGAGCTGCGTTGTTAAGAGCTGCGTCCTGCCTTAGCGCCATGTACGCTATTGTTTAGATGTGGCGCCTTATGTTCAGTATTTGCGTCGCATCTCGGTGTTATAAGTTGCTTGCTTTGCCGTGGATTGCGGAAATGCAGCCGATGTGTATTGGTGCATTGAAAATCGCCATCGCGTTATGCAGTGGGTACCTTGCGCACATGTAGTGTGCGGCCGCAGGCTATTGTGTTTTTGCTTGAGTGCTATGCAATGCATGTTGTGTTGTTCATGCGGCATGCCAGGATGCCCTTGCATGCGCAGTAGCGCACAAGTTGACGGTTGCCATCACAGCTTTCTTGGCATAGGGCAAGGGTTAAGCGTGCCGCGTGCGTGCGTGCGTCGGCGTATGTTACAGTAGTTTACCAGTAGTTACTCCGTGTAAGGGCAACGTCTTTCCGGTGACATGTACGACGTTATCGCCAGCAGCTGGCTTAATGCCACATGCCCGGTACGGCAACACTGGTTACGTAAACCCAATGCACGCCTTAACTCATGCATGCAAACGCATCCCTAGTCAGCCCAGCCCGAGCACTGCCACCTTTCGGGGATTCGTAGGGCAACCAGCCCACAGTAAGAAGTTGTAAATGAGCTGGTATGAGTCCCAAATAGTCGATGACCAAGAAGTCCCAACACAACGCAAACGGGGTTATAACTATAAATTAACAGCCTTGCAACGCACGGACCAAACACGTCAACGGATGTCGCTGTGCCTCGGTTACCATAACACACCAAGTACGCGCCCCGTGCCGCCAACAACATAGCATGCACCACACAAGTAGAGGTGATTCGCCGCCGTAAGACAGCGTGGCTGACGAGCCAAGCATTGCTGCTATCAATTGTCATACCGTAGGCAGCCTGCAATACCCCGGCAAACTGCAGCAGTGTCCTTTGAAGTGCTGCGGTTACTATATACGTCCCAGCAAACGTTCTGGTACACGTCAAACGAATACGACACCACAATGGCGGTGCACGCGTCTGACATGCGTGAACGCACGTCTTGTCCTGCAGGAATGCTTGGAACCCCTGCCTAAGGCTGCCGGCGTTTGCTGCCGCAGCATCACTGCTACACACACCCTGCTGCAGCGGTCTCACTGCACAGCGAAAGCATGCTCCTACGAATGGCTTGCCTTGGCTGGACAACACACAGCGTCCGTAAGCGGCATATGTCAGCAAAATCAGGTGGTCTCGCCATCCTCCATCATCTTCAAATACAGCTTCACAATCCATGGCCTTCACTCAAGCGGCCCCTCCTCGCCAGCAGCTGCCTGCGAGGCTCCACTCCCGCCAGTGGCCGCCACAGGGCTCTCAGCTGCCGTGACAGCTGCAGCCCGCGTCGGCAGTTGCGGCACGACCTGCGCCTGCCCAACCCCAGCACCCACCGCTGCAGCTGCAGCCGTGCCTGCCCCATCAACGTCTTGCATGGCGCCTGCGACAGGACCGCCTGGGGTAGTGCCGCTACCATCCGCCATGACAGCCGCTGCCATATGCGGGGGAAAGAGGCTTGCATCTACACTCATGCTCACCGCATGCATGGCGTTTGCTGTCTGTGGCGGGCTGTCCTCTTGACAGCTAGCCGCGATTGAGATGCCGGGCCGCCGGCAGCAGCGGCGCCGCTGAGGCGTCCTTGCTCACTCGGTTGTAACGGCTGCAGGCAGTGACCGTGGAGTTGGGGATGCGGGTCCGCGACTTCTTAGGGGTCTTGCGTACTGACATAGTGCCGACCGCGCATTTGCGGCCTCCCACCGACGCTTCCTCGCTATCAGCAGTAAGGCTGGGCGTCGTGGGCGACATAACATGCTTCAATGCATGTCCCCAGCAGGACAACCGTGCTACACGGTAAGGTCTGACGAGAGCATGCCGTACGTAAGGAGCTGCAAAAGCCTTACGACAGGCCATTCACACAAATCTAGCAGCAACGCGCACATGACTCGCACCTGCTGCTCGGGAGCAGGTAGTTGTGGCAGGACGATGTTAGAAGGAGCCGGCTTTACGAGCGTGGCTGCAGCGGTGGTTGCGGAAGTGGTTGCAGCGGTGTACACAGTGTCCCCATGTCGGAACGACTCTGCGTTGTCCACATCATCAGCCATCTCATCGCCCAGGCGCCCCACAGCAGGCGGCTGAGCAAGAAAAAGTGGCGCGGCTGCCATGCCTGGGAGGTGGTGGTTCTTGCAGCAGCCGTAGCAGTGTCATCTCTCAGTGCGGGCGAGGGCGCGTGCATTTTATATCCTTGCTGCAGAGCGTTCGCAGCCAGGGCCGTTGTCGGCGGAGCGCCGGGGAGGGGTGGGTGCAAGAGATCGGCGCGGTGCAGGCAGCCTGGCAGCATGAGGTGTTTGTGGGCGGGGCAGCGTCACCGGGTGAAGGTAGGAGCCGGCGTCACCCACACGGTTGAGCCCTTGAACACCGGATCCTGCAAATCAATGGCAGAAGAAGGGGGGAAATCGGCGCTTGGTTGCCGCTGCACTGCTTGCATGGCAAACAGGAGTGATTGTTGGACGCCGCACGTTGTTCGTTGCTGACAACTGGTAAATAAAGCGAAAGGGATTGAGGACAGGTTGCCATTATTAAGGCTTGCACCGGGGATGTAAGCTCAGCAGCCAATGCCCTAGCACGTCCCGAACAGACAGAAGGACGAACCCCGGGAGCCATCAGCCACAAGCGAACCAGAAGGAAGGCGTCGATGCTGTCCTCTGAAACATGCAAGCTGCTTTGGTAGCCTTATGGTCCCCAAGGAGACGGAAGAGGTCTTGAGGGACGGCAACATGAGCAACCAGCTGCACCTTGTTAGGATGCCGCTCACCGTAATGGTAGGTGCCAAATGCACCGTTAGTGGGGGAGGGGCCGACGAACCTGCCGACAGCAGAGCCATAAGCGGCGACTCCCAGCCACGGGCAGCCTCATCTCATGGGAAGTTGAGCGACTTGTGGCTGCTCATGGATGGGGAGCGCTTGCATGGGTGATTTGCCAAAGGCAACCTGAGACTATGGCGACCTTGAAATCGCATGGTGAAGTCACGTCCCGATGGAACTCGCAGGGAGTATCGACCCCTACGTAGGTGTCGGAGTCGATGCATATATCGTCCATGGCGGATGCCATTTCCTTAAATTGATAGCCGGAGCCGGGCCCCTGCGAATTTCGGATTGTGGGACGTCACAAGTTGACAAGCATGGAACTAGAGGGCCGGATGCGTGAGGTACTGTAGGGCTGGTGCCGAGGCGAATTAAAGCTGGGAAGTCGACTAGGTGCATGAAAAACATTGGACGAACTTTCAGGCGCTAGCACAGTACCAAGCTGCTTCACAACAGCAAGGTTACTGGAACGTCGCTACGTCGGCGCGAGACGCTTTGTGCGGAGGAACTCTCGCGACGACCGCGGACGCACCAACACACAAATGCTATACGTAATGATATGTATTTCTATTTGCGAGGACCTTAAACTTGAAAGAAGGGAAATTGCTTTGCCTGCATGAGCACCAGCCAGCTACCGATATTATGTCCAAGGTTTGCCATGATTTGATGATCAAGCGTCATAACCTGCCAGGCATATGTAATATTGCACATGAGCATGGGATTGCTCCGTGGGCGTTTGACGTTACTGGAGCGGGCTAGGTCGATGCACAAGCCAAGTCCTTGCTAACATCTATGTTTAGGGCATAGAATAGCAACCTGCGGCGCAAACACCTTCAAGGTCCAGACGGCATTCCGCGTACCAAGGCACCCCGGTCTTTCGTGCGTGCGCTGTGTCCGTGTGTCGGCGCTAGGCGTAAGGCCCCAACAAAAACAAAATAACGCAACGCCAAGGTCGCAAGCAATCTTCATATGCAACGGCATGCCGCCTGCTCCGCTGTTAACTGTTACGTAGCTTTAAACTTCTCATCTTGTTCATCAAGCGCTCGCCGGGACATGAAGTTTTCTTGTGCAATCTGTCCATCGCAGGTGTAAGGCACGTTTCATGTCATAAGCGTGCAGCGAAATGTTATATTACCTTTTATACTGCTTTCAGAGCAGCGCTCCTTCCTGTCGAGTCGTCAAAGTTTAGGAAGTGGGGATTCGGCTAGCAGTACGCTGCAACCTCTGAAAGGGAAGGCCACCAGCGGCTAGTGTAAGCTAGGGCTACTGGTCCCCCTTTTAGTGCAGGCGGCAAGAGCGGCTGCAAGGGAGGCAAAGGACTTGGGGGAAATGCGGGAGACTGCAACCTGCTTGGCTTGGCAGTACGGTTGAGGTAGCGCTAGCCATGTGTGGGCTTGGTTGGATGAATGACTGTTATAATGGTTCCCTAAAAGGCTTGGTTGCCGCTGTGGCGCTACTGCAATGCCTCACTTGGTGTGCATGGGTTTGATCCAAGGGGCTTGTTTACAAGGGGAGGAAGCGAGCGAGTGAGCACTGGCAGGGGCCGGCGGGGCCGGCTTAAGGAGGGCATCCATGAAGCATGGCACGCAGTCAAGCCACCAACTGTCATGGTCGCATGGATGCCCCCGATGCCATTCGCCCGTCTCTGCCATGTCTTTCCCCTGTGCTCCTCAGCGCCTGTGGCCCGCTGTGTGCGACGCTGCCGTGCCGTGTGCTGCTCTGCGCTCTGGCTTGCGCGTCCTGCTATGCACCGACTGCCCATACACCTAATGTCCTCCCTGTTACCTTCCGCTGGGTCGCCGGTTGCACTCTCTCTCTAGGACTAATACGGCTGCATGAACGAGACACGACCCAAGCATGTGTGATTGGCATCACACTGAAAGATTTTCAGGTGGCGCGGTGAAAACTCACAGTGAAGACCTTTCGTTTCTACTGCTCAACCTCGTACGACCTTGTCGTATTGCTTGCTCGTACAACTGCTCAACGGAAGCTTGGTCAAACCAGGTGGCGCTGCCCTTTAAGAAACTTTCTATAGATATATTTTAACAGAGGACACTGTTTATGTTTTGGTCCTTTGTGACCACTTTGCTCCGCCATCAGTGCGTCGTATGTTACTGACTACCGGTATTCGACTGAAAGATCAACAACAATTGCAAGCTGTCCGCATAAAACACTATACATATTACATACCTGCACATTCTATCGGGCCGAGGCCCCGATAGAATCCGCTGCTGCTGACGCACAGCAGCCTCGGATCCCGCAGCTGCGGTCCTCATTGCTCCACAACACAACCATCTAACGCAATCACAGCTACAACAAAATCCCACCAACAACTAGTAAAAACCCTCCTTCATAATGGCTCTGAGCGGCGGCCACTCCGCAACAGTCGTCAAGGAGGAAGCCCCGGTCCTGGCCGGCCGACGCCGCGTCAAGGACATCCCACCGTCCTCCCTACAAACCCCAACACACGACCCGCGGAGCCAACTCAGTCAACGCCACCACCACAGGGAGCCTGCCACCGGCGGGCCCCTGCGCTCCG